GGGGATGAGGGGCCAATACGTCACGCAAGCTTCAGTCACGAGTCTTCGCCTCCACCACGCGCGAGAGAGACATAGGCGGGAGAGAGAGGGAGGATCAGAATTGGAAGATGCAAGGGGAGGCCGGGGGGGGCATAGGTGAGAGAGAGAAGATCGGTGAGCCGGGCTTGAGAGGCGTGGCGCTCGGGCCTTGGAAGTGTTCGTTAGAGGAGAGAGAGAGAGAGAGAGAGAGGTAGCGAGAAGAGAACGCGGGGGGCGGGGGAGGGCGAGGGGGAGGAGGATCGTAATGGGATGGGAGAGAAGGCGCGCTTTCACCATTCTCGGATCTCTCGACTCTACGGAGCGGCGGCACGTATGAGCGCGCGCTCGCTCCCTGGCTCGCGCGCTCGCTCCCTGGCTCGCTCGCTCGCTCGCTCGCGCGCGGCGGGCTGTGTGCCCTTAGACATCAGCGGCATAAGGCTGCGTCTTCTTGCCGCGGCGCATCATCTTGATGCCGCGCCCCAGGCCTTCGGCCTCGGCTTGCGCGTCCTGCAGCTGCGCGTCGCCGGGCAGGCCGTGCGTGTCGGGCAGCGCGTCGGGCGCCTCGGCTGCTGGCGCCGCCGGTCGAGGACCGAGGCTGCGCTGCTGGTGCGAGGCGGCGTCGGCTTGGTAGTGGCTGCCGCGCACGACGTCCAGGTGCACATCGGTGCGTGCGACGCCCGAGATGGTGCGGCCGTTGTAGTCGCGCGCATTCTCGACGATCTCCATCGTCACTTGGCCCTCACGCGTTTGCTGTTGAGGGGAAGGATTAGCGCGAGAAGAGAGGGGGGTTAGGAAGAGAAGGGACGTACAGGCCAGCGAAGGTAGAAGTGATACCTGCTCCAGCCGTCACGCGTGTCGGCATCGCGGTTGTCGGGGTATTGATGGGCCTTGAGGATCTCTGAGGCGGGGGGGGGGAGGCAAGGAATGCTCAGCCACGACTCATCGAAACGCAGCCAATTCACGCTCGAGGCGCCTCAAGCAAAGGGCAGGCAGGCACAAAGGAAGACTCACGACGGTCCACGTAGATGTCGATGTCGGAGGAACGCGAGTACTCTGGCGCAGAGGGAGGAGAGGGTGAGATGTGGGGATGAGAGGGGCCAGGCGGAAGAGGCAGGCATCTCACCGTCTTGGCCGCCGCAGTAGAAGATCTCGACGTCTGCGCGCGAGGGTGTCTTTCGTCAGTCAGGACAGCCAGTGTCCTCCAGGGCTTTGCTCCACTCACTCTCGCCGACGGCGACCTGCTGTCCGTCGCGCGGGCGCACGACGCCCGTGTTGTCCGCATTGCACACCTCGCTGCGGCGCTGCAGCGGCACGGCGGCCATGCCAAGACCCTGCGCATCCTCGCCCACCGGCTCGACATTCTCCGCCATCTTCTCCGCGCCCTTCTTGACGCCGCCAGCATAGCCCTTGATGCGCACGTGCTTCGCGGCATCGACGGCCATCTGCTGCACGCGCTCGGCGGACTGCTTGAGCGCGGGCATGCCGAGATGCACTTGCATGCCTTCGCCGTTCTGGCAGGGGAGGCAAGCGTCAGCGGCAGCACAGAGAGAGGAGGCGAGAGGGGCAGGGGGTAAGCACACACGCACGATGGGGTTGCCCTGAGCGCCCGCATCGACAGTCGGAGCATCCTGCGCCATCTCGAGTGCCTCTTGCTGGCTCATGATCTCGCCACGAGCATTGATGAGCGGGCCCTTGATGAGCGCCATGTCGTTCTCGGCCAGGTCGCGCAGGTTGACGAGCGGGCCCTTGACGAGCGCCATGTCGTTGGTGGCGAGCGGACTGCCGAGCTGAGGCTCCGGTTTGGCCGCCACCGAAGAGAGGGCGAAGGCGACGAGCAGGAGGAGAGAGCAGCGAGGAAACATGATGAGGGTGGAAGAGAAGGGGATTCTGGTGAGGGGACGAGGAGCGCAGTGACGCGCTTGCGTCGGCCTTTAAGCCTCGCGGCATGGCCCTCCAAAGAGGCGCCTCGCTGCGGCAAAGGGTCAGCTTCAGCCGTGCATGAACGACCCGATGGGCGTCAACTGCCCGCACCCCTCCCGAGAGCGAGTGCGCAGCAATGTTGCCAGCAAGCAGCTTGCGGCGCCGTGCGCACAACCAATCTGTCGCGGAGGGCCGAGCGCAGGCGCCTCGCCGTCGCGCCGATCGCGCGCTGCGCGGCAGAGACTCGCGTCTGGACTTCTCATCAGCGCCCTCGAGGCTCAAGCGCTCGGCCCGCAGCGGGCTCAGGGCTGCGCTGAGGCGCAGCGAGCCAGGCGAGGTGGGTTGGATTGCGGCTAGCATTGCAGAGTGAGGCTCGTGCGGCAGAAATACAATCTTCATGGGGTGCGGGTTCGGACCTTCTCTTCCTTCTCTTCCCTCCTTGCAGCGCACTTGCGCCTCGCCGCAGCGATCTGCCCGTTTGCACGGCAGCACCTGCCCGTCTCGACGCCGACGCCAGCTCAGTGCCTCGACATGTGGCGCTCGAACTCCTTCCGCTCCTGCTCGTCTTCCTCTCGCTCCGCCTGCACGGCGTCCGCGAGGTCAGAGACGATCTCCCTGAGCTCCTTGACGAGCGCCGTGCGGTCCCACTCGGCGCGGTGGCGCCAGATCGCATCGAAGGCCGCCGCGCGCAGCTGCTCCAGCTCATCGACGGTAAAGCCGGAGCTCTTGCTCAGCAGGAATGCCTGCAGCTCGTCGACTTCGCGCTTGGGCACCACAAAGGCCGGGTGCGGCGCAGCGGCGGGCGGCGGCGTCGCAACGGCGTCGATCTGCATGATGGGCGCAGCGAGGCCCGGCGGAGCGGCGGCGATGGGCGCAGGACGCTCTTCGGACGGAGCACTGCCGTTGACCTGCAGCACGGGCTGCGGCGCAGTGGAGCCGCTCGACGCCTGCTGCGAGGCGGCGCCCAAGCTTGAAAGGTCTGCCGTCGCAGCAGCTCCGTTCATCAGCCCGTTGCTGGGGGCGGCGGCAGCAGAGCCGCTGAGCGCGGCGCCGAGACTGTCGGGCGCCGTCTGAGAAGCGGCGTCTGCTTCCTGGCGCAGCCGCTTGCGGCCCTCGCTGCCCTCGGCGCCCGAGGGGTAGTCTGAGCTGCGCCGCGCGCGCTTGTTCTCGCGCTCCAGCGCCACGACGTCGATGAGCGCATGCTCGGGCGCCTTGCCCTGCACGCGTGCACTCTGCCGCTCGCCGGAGGGCCGCGCGGCGGCGGCCGCAGCCACGGCGCTGGCAGCTGCGGCGGCCGATTGGCTCGCGCTGGCTGCCGCTGCCTCGGCCTCGGCCTTCTCGCGCGCCAGCATGCGCTCGGCCATGCGTACGAAGTTGTCGCGCGAGGCCGGGTCGACGAGCTGATCCAGACTGATGAGTGCGTCGTTGCGCATCTGATGCGCGCGCAGCAGTCGCTCGCGGTCCACCTCTTGCGCCTGCTCGGCGTTGAAGACGATCTTCTCGAGATCCTCGACAAAGTCGGCGACGGTGAGGTAGCCGTTGAGATAGAGGCGCTTTTGCATGCGCTCCAGCGAGATGGTCCAAATGACGAGGTCGCGCTCGTAGCCCTCGGGCACCAGCGTCGAGATGCGCAGGCCCGGCAGCTCGGGCACGACGGGCGCCGCCTCGGCCTCGGCAGCGACGCTGGCAGAGTCCTCCGCGACCGGCACTTGCGCGGCCGAGGCGTCCGGCACGGCCGGTGCGCTGCTGGAGGGGACTGCTGGCAGCTGCGCCTGCAGCTGTTCTTGCTGCTGCCCAGGCTGCGGCGCATCGTCCTCGGCCATGAGTGTGTCATCCGTGGCCGCCGGCTCGCCGTTGCCTTGCATTTCCGCCTGCGACGGCGGCTCGACGCTCGGCAGCTTGCTGCCCGCAGCCGAGGAGGCGCCGCCAGCGACGAGGCGGTTCGGCTCGACGCTCGAGTGGCGGCGGCGGCGCGCCCGCTGCACGTAGTCCTGCGTGTAGTGGATCGTGACGATGACGCGGCCCTTCTCTCTGCGCGAGGGAAAGTCCTCGCACAGCTTGTTGAGGTTGTACTCGACGTGCGGATCGCGCGTAAACTTCTTGTAGCGCTTGCGCAGGTCGACGAGGACGAGGCCGAGGCGGTGCTTGAGGTGCTCGAGCAGTCGCGTGTCGTCGGCCGCCTGCTGCGCCAGCTCGGCGGCCGTCGGCTCACGCGGAGCGCGCGGCGGTGCGATGGGCAGCACCTCTAGCACGCGCTTGCGGCGCGGCAGCGCATCGGGAAAGTGGCTCGGGTCGCGCTCGACGTGCTGCAGCAGCTCGTGGAAGAAGGTCTCGCGCGCCTTCTGCGGGTCAGGCACCATGTGTCAGCTCACGACTGTCAGGCAGCACACCGATGCACTCACAAAGTCCGAGTTGCGAATCTCGACCTTGTTGTCCTTGAGCAGGCCGAACCACGAGCGCACGTCGCGCGGCAGTTCGCTCATCGGCGCCTCTGCGATGGCGAGCAAGAGCACCGGATCGGCGGGATTGAGGCCGTCGAGCAGCGCCTTTGTCGTCGAGCGCACTCCGTCAGAGACCGAGTTGGCCCAGTGCACGAGGCTGGGGATGTACAGCACGCTCGGCTTGTGCCGCTTGGCCTCGACGAAGAGCTGCACGATGGTTGCCTCGGGCGTGCGCGCACTGTCGCCCATCAGCGTGCCGATGTCGAGCGTCTGCACGTGGTAGCCCTCGAGATGGTGCAGCAGCGCGGCACCGGCCATGCTCTGTCCCATGCCCGCGCGTCCGTGGATCAGCAGGCGCGGACGGAAGACGCGCAGCGCCTCAAACGACTGCAGCATCATCTCGCGCCCGAAGCCGCCGTCGGCCACAGCCGCAGAGGCGGCGGCGCCGCTCTGCGGCACGGGCACGTCGTCCTCGTACAATGCCTCCTCCAGCGGATTGCGCTTGGCCGCAGGCGGCAGTACCTTCTGCAGCGCCGCGATGGCCGCCTCCACGGACGGGCTGAGCAGCGGCTTGAGGTGCTCGGGCAGCGGCGCGGCAGCCGAGGAAGCAGAACGAGCAGACGACGGCACGATTTCTGCGACGGATATTAGCGCAAGCGGGGCCAGTGACGCCGACAGCACACGCACTGTTGACGCTCATCATAAAGTCCTTGGCGTCGACCTGGATCGTCTCGGGATGCAGCAGCAGGCGCTCTGTCGTCTGGTAGATCTGCGGATATCTGCGCTGCACAGCATTGAGTGCCGCCTCAGTGCACAGTGCCTAGTGAAAAGTGCGTAAGACAAGGGCTCTTCTCCCAGCTTCAAGGCTGCTCACCCTCAGGTCGGCGCCGCCGTAGCCCTTGGTGACTTCCGCCAGGCGATCCTTGAAGGCGCCGTCGAGCGGCGGCTCCCACTCGCGCGTCTGGATGTCGATGATGGCACGTCGCGCCTCGCGGTTTGGCAGGCCAAAGTAGAACTCGCGATCAAAGCGGCCGGGACGGCGCAGCGCCGGGTCGACCGAGTCGGGCCGGTTTGTGGCGCCAATGACGACGACCTGTCCACGGCCGTCCATGCCGTCCATAAGCGCCAGTAGCGTCGAGACGATGGAGGCGTGGATCTGGTCCTGCTTGCTGCTGCGCACTGGCGCCAGGCCGTCGATCTCGTCGAAGAAGATGATGCTCGGCTGGGCAGCGCGCGCCTCCTCGAACAGCAGGCGCAGCTGCCGCTCGGCCTCACCGACCCACTTTGAGAGACAGTCGGCGCCCTTGCGCATGAAGAACGAGATGGGCTGGCCGGAGCTGCTGCAGCTGGCCGCCAGGGCGCGCGCCACGAGCGTCTTGCCCGTGCCGGGCGGTCCGTGGAAGAGAACGCCGCGGGGCGGCGTGACCTTGAAGCGCTGGAAGACCTCGGGATAGAGAAGCGGCAGCGAGACCATCTCCTTGAGCTGCTGCACGTGGCCGTCGAGGCCGCCCACACTGCTGAAGTCGACCTGCATGTTGACGCCGAGCGGGTCGGCATCAGCGAGGTCCGAGTCCTTCTTCATGCGGCCCACGGCATCGCGGTTCGCGCCGAGATCTGCGCCGAGCGCGGCACCGCCGGCCGCACCGGGCGGCAGCAGACCGCCCGCGGCGCCGCCACTGCCGAGCATGCCTGCGTTGCCCGCCTTGCGCGCCGCCGGAATGTCCTCGTCGGAGCTGTCGGGCTCGTCGCCAAAGGCACGCGCATAGTCCTTGCCCGTCATCGTGGCCGGCAGGGCGTCCCATCCCGTCTTGCCCTTCCGGCCGCCGCCGCGCAGGCCGGCCAGCGAAGGACCTGCGACGCCTGCGATGGCATCGCCGAGCCCATCAATCTCGTAGTCGCTGCCGTTCTTGCCCGCGCCTCTGCGCGACTTCAGCGGGCGACCGAAGCCGTCTCGCGGCGGCGACGCCGGCGGCGGAGCCATGCTGTAGTTGACCTGCTTGCGCTGGCGCAGCGTGTACGTCGGCTGGCTGCTCGTGCCCTCGCCCTCGCCGTCCTCCGTCGTCTCGGCATCGTCGTCATGCGCAATGTCCGACTCGCTGCGCTGCCGCGTGCGGCGGCGTGCATTGTCCGCAGCTCGCTTCTTTGCAGCGAGCGCAGCCAGCCTGTTGGCACTGCTGTCGGCCGCGCGCTTGAACTTCTTGCGCCCGAACTCCGCATCGGGATCCTCATCCTCATCATCGTCGGCGACAAACTGCGCAGTCTGGGTCAGCTTGGTCGCGCAGCGCGATGCCCGAAGCTACTTACCCCTCCCAGCGTCTTGCTCGTCCGTGTGCCGCGAGGGCGGACCTCGTCCTCAGACTCCGGCTCGTCCTCTGCCTCGTCGCTATAGCGCTGCTCGGCGTAGCTCTTGACTGGCCGGCCACTGCGCGTCCGACGCGCCGGCTTGATGTCGTCGTCTTCTTCATCATCGTCCTCTCCCTCAGCATCCTTGTCGTCGTCTTCATGCGGCGTGTCGCCCGCCAACGGATCCTGCGCAGAAGATATGAGGGGTGATGGCCGGGAGCAGACGCGGCTCGCGCTACTCACAGGACTACTTGCCGGCGCTGCTCGCGAGTTTCTGCCGCGACGCAAGGAGCGACCCTCAGACGGCGGCGCCTCGGCGGGACTCGCGGCCGACTGAGCGCTTGCGCCGCCACGCGTGGAGCGGCGGCTTCGCCCAGCATCCAGCTCCGAGACCATGCTCGTGTCATTCAGCGCGTTGCCCGAGGCGCCCGAGCCCGAGCCGCGCGAGGAGCGGCGCAGATTGACCATGGCGGCGGCGGCGGCGTCGGCCTGCTCGTGCGGCGCAGGCTTGCGGATCTGCTTGACCTTGATTCGCCGGCCCTTGGTCGGAGAGATGGACTCTGCAGCGGATGCGGCAGGCTGCGGCGGAGGAGCGGCTTTCTCGTCGTCGTCCGAGTCGCTGAACGCCGGCGGCAGAAAGGCAGAGCGTTCCTCGAGCGGCGCCTGCTGCTGTTTCTGCTGCGGGACGCTGATGGCCGAGTGATGCGAGACGGACGGGCTGTATGCGCCGCTGTTAACGCCTGAGCCCGACGGCGAGAAGCCGAGATGGCCTGCAGAAGCGAAATTGCCCTGCAGCTGGTGCTGCGGCTGGTGCTGCGGCTCGAAGTGCTGGGGAGGCTGGCTGTATGCGGCCTCGTTGAACGTGAATGGCAGCTGCTGCTGGTTCTGCTGAGCGTAGTAGCTCTGCTGATGCTGCGCCTGCTGGGCTGGCTGCGCCTGCTGCTGCGCCTGGTAGGCCTGCGGAGCGAAGCCCTGCTGCTGGTATGCGTCGTGGACGCGCTGCGACGGCTGCAGGTGCGAGGGCAGCGAGTGCTGGCCGTGCTGCTGCGAGAACTGTGACGGCGCCTCGCCGTAGCGCTGCTGGTGCTGCTGCGCCGGCGGCGACTGATACTGCGGCTGGTGCTGTGGCTGCGCGCTCGCCTCGTACTGGCGGTAGCCGCTGTGCTGCGCCGCTGGCTGCTGCGGCTGCGCGTGCGGGGCGAAGGTGCCGTAGCTCTGCTGCTCGAAGTACTGCGGGTGCGGCGAGGACGTCGACGACGCCGACAGCTGCGGCGGCGGCGGCGGCTGGTAGGCGCCGAGCGGCGCGGGGGCGAAGGCGGCGGGCGCAGAGAAGTCGGGATAGGCGTCGTATGCGCCGGCGCTGTTGCTGCTGGAGTTGCTGTGAGGGTGCGGAAACGAGGGGCGGCCCTGCGACATGAAAGGCTCCGGCGAGGAGGCGCGGCCGCGACGAGAGAGGGGAGAGCTCTCAGGGACGAGGCAATACTGGCTGGGCCATGTACGTCTGCGAGATTGCGACGGCGGCGGCGGCGGCGGCAGAGGAGGAAGAGGGGCGGCGGTGGGAGCGTGCGCGGGTGCGGAGTGCGAGCTGCGAGAAGGCGGCGCCGGCGGCTAGAAGCGCAATTAAGCGCGGCGGCAGCAGCGGCGGTCGTGCGGTGAGATGCGATGGACGTGCGGGGGACAGGTGGCGTCGGGGAGCAGGGGTGCGTGAGGCTGCGGCGGGAGCTGGGTGTGGGAGTAGGACGCTGCGACAGCGGCCGGGCGAGCCGAGGCAGCTCGACTCGACTCGACTCGACTCGACTGCGATGCGGGTGCGGGGGGTGGGAGCAGGGGCCGGCGAGGGTGCACGCACGCAGTCTGGATGCTGGGCAGGCGCGCGGCGGCAAGGATGACGCGCCGCCAGGCACCGCGACACGCTCCCGCGGTCACGTGTCACTCGGCGCCAACGCCAACGCCGGCGCGGCCGCCGCCTCGACCTCCTGCGCTCTGCCACGTCGCGCCAACGCCCGTGCGCCGCCTGCCGGGCACGGCGCCAGTCAAGCGACGTTCCCGCCGGGGCGACGTGTGAGGCGCGAGGTGGATGCAGCTCAGCGAGCTTCGTGTCGCCTCGCCTCGCCTTGCCTCGACTCGCCTCGCCCCACCATCCTTCGCTCCTCCTCCATCCGTGACGACCGTGACGCCCGCAGCTCCGGCTCCTCTCTGCTCCCCACCCACACTCGCCGCGCCGGCTCCTGCTCAGCCGCCGCGCGTGCTCACCGGCCCACGCGCGTCCCCTGCTCTGCCTGCACGCCCGTCTGCCATCCGCCACGACCGCCGCGCGCCCCCCACCGACGCCTCCTCCGCCGGGCTGTGCCCTCTGCCTGCCAGCATGAAGGCCTCGCTGCCGCGCACCGCCGCCTTCTCCTGGTCGCCCGCCAACCTCGCCAGCGACGAGCCGCTGCTGGCCACGGGCACCGTCGCCGGCGCGCTCGACGAGTCCTTCTCCAACGACTCGCTCCTCGAGCTCTGGGCGCCCAGCTACGGCGCCGCACCCGCCGAGCAGAAGCCGCGCGGCTCGGCCGTCGCCAGCGCGCGCTTCAACCGTCTGGCATGGGGCAACGTCGGCGCAAAGACGCCCATGGGCCTCCTGGCCGCCGGCCTCGACAACGGCGAGCTGGCCATCTGGGACGCGCAGGCCGTGCTCGACGGCAGCGCCGAGTGAGTGGCCGCGCTGACCGTGCTTCGCGCATCCGGCGCTGAACACCTCCCGCACAGCTCGCAGATCATGCGCAACACAACCCACACCGGCCCCATCAAGGGCCTGCACTTCAACCCCATCCAGCCGAACCTGCTCGCCTCTGGAGGCGTGTCGGGCGAGGTGCGTCGCAAGCCCATGATGGCCCGCAACGCGCCTGCTGACGCTCTCCTTGCAGGTCTACATTTGGGACCTGACGAACCCGACCAAGCCCTACTCGCCCGGCGCGCGCTCGCAGAAGCTCGATGAGATCACGGCTGCCGCATGGAACTCGCAGGTTGCGCACATTCTCGCGACGTCGAGCGCCAGCGGCTACACGGTCGTGTGGGACCTCAAGAACAAGCGCGAGGTCACGGCGCTCTCCTACGGCGGCGGCGCAGCGACGAGCGGCCCGGCCGGCATGAACGGCAACGGCGCCGGCCGAAGGGGCGTGGGTGCGGTGTGCTGGCACCCGGACACGGTGCGTGTGCTGCCACTGTGCGCAGAGCCGCCTCGCTGACCTCCTCGCTGCACAGCCCACGCGTCTCGTCACGGCGTCCGACGACGACGCCAGCCCCATCATCATGCTCTGGGACCTGCGCAACGCGCGTGCGCCCGAGAAGATCCTCACGGGCCACGACAAGGGCGTGCTGGCCATGTCGTGGTGCAAGCAGGACGCCGACCTGCTGCTCTCCTGCGGCAAGGACAACCGCACGCTGTGCTGGAACCCGCAGCTGGGCGAGGTGGTGGGCGAGGTGCCGAGCAGCAGCAACTGGTCCTTCGACGTGCAGTGGTGCCCGCGCAACCCCGCCATGCTCGCCACGTCGTCGTTCGACGGCCGCATCGGCATCCACAGCCTGCAGACGACCAACGCCGAGGCGGCCGCCGACGTGCCGGCTGCCGCGCCGCCCGCCGACGGCTCCGACATCTTCAACCTGCCCTCCGCCACGGAGCTGCCGTCCAGCCAGGGCGTCTCGCTGCGCCAGGCGCCCAAGTGGCTGCGCCGTCCCGTGTCGGCTGCGTTTGGCTTTGGCGGCCAGCTCGTCAGCGTGGCCAACCTGCCGTCTGCCGCTGGCGGCGCGCAGTCCTCCGTCGTGCACCTGCGCGACGTCATCACTGAGCCGAGCATCGTCTCGCGCGCCACGCGGCTGCAGGAGGCGCTCGAGGCCGACGGCCTGGCGGCCTTTTGCGACGAGCGCAGCCGCGACAGCTCGACGCGCGCCGACGACGTGGCCAACTGGAAGGCCCTGCAGACGCTCTTCACTACCGGCTCGCGCGACGAGCTCGTGGCACTGCTGGGCTTCAGCAAGGAGGACGTGGCCGAGAAGGTCGCGACCGCGATCAACGTTTTCAAGCGCACCAGCACCACGGCTGGCAAGGGCGATCTGCCCGCCATCGCCGTGCAGGAGACGGCAGCCGAGGCGCCTGCCGAGCCGACCGTGCCGCCGACGAGCGAGGCTGCCGTGAGCGAGAGCACCGAGGCGACGGACGGCGACGACCTCAGCACTGGCGTCTCGAAGCTCTCCACCGAGGACAGCGAGGCGACGGAGCAGAGCCTCTTCAGCGACGACGCAGCCAACACGGCGCTGCCGCAGAGCGCTGCGGCCGACGCCGACTTCTTCAGCTCTCTCGGCGCCGAGGGACCGGCCTCTGCCATCCCCGACCACCTGCAGCGCGGCAGCGCCCTGCCCGGCAGCAGCGTTGCCGCCACGGCTGGCTCGCCTGGCCCCTCTAGCGTGGCGAGCGAGCCGCAGAGCCGCAGCACGTTCCGCATCTACCCCAGCGAGGAGGGCGAGGCGGAGCGTCTGATCACGCGTGCCATCGTGCTGGGCGACTTTGAGAGCGCCGTCAGTCTCTGTCTCTCGACGGACCGCTTCGCCGATGCGCTGCTGCTGGCCGTGCGCGGCGGACCTGAGCTGCTGGCACGCACGCAGAAGGCCTACTTTGAGCGCCGCACGACGAGCCTGCCGTACCTGCGTCTCTTCCAGAGCATCGTCAGCGACGACCTCACCGACGTGGTGCAGAACGCCGACCTGACCGAGTGGCAGGAGATCTTCGTCGTGCTCTGCACATTCGCCAAGGCCGAGGAGTTCGCCGGCCTGGCCGAGCAGCTCGGCCAGCGCCTCGAGTACCAGTACACCAAGAGCAGCCGTGGCGAGGCACAGCGCGAGCTGCGCAAGAACGCCGTGCTCTGCTACCTGGCGGCCGGCAAGCTCGAGAAGGTGGCGGGCATGTGGATCGACGAGATGCGCGAGGAGGAGTCGGCGCTGCAGACCGGCGATGCCTCGTCGGCCGCAGCCGATGGCAGCCTCTACTCTGCGCATGCGGAGGCTCTGCAGACGTTCATGGAGAAGATTACCGTCTTCCAGGCGGCCGTCAAGTACGTCGACGTCGACCTTGCCGCGCCGACGCAGGATGCAGAGGCCGCCGCCAGCGGCGCGCGCACGTACAAGCTCGCCAGCCTGTACGACCGCATCCACGAGTACGTCACGCTGCTCTCTGAGCAGGGCCTGGTCGGCCCTGCCCTCAAGTACGCCAGCCAGACGCCCTCGGACTACGCACCGCGCTCTGCCGAGCCGTCGCGCAGCTCGGCCACTGGCCTGGCGCGCGAGCGTCTGGTGCTCGCCGACGCCGCACGCAACAATGGCCGTGGCGCTGCTGCCGCTGCTGCTGCTTCCACGTCCGCCGCTGCGGCGCTCAGCAACGGCGCAGGCTCGTCGACGAGCTACGCCCCCGCGCCGAACGCCTACGCTGCGCCAGCTGCCAACGCGTACTCGGCGTCTCCCTACGCCGCGTACCCTGCCGCCGCTGCGCCCGTCGCCGCTGTGGACCCGTACGTGGCGCAGAACCCGTACTACACGCCTGCGCCGCCGCTCCAGCCTCAAGCTCAGCAGCAGCAGCAACAGGCGCAGCCGCAGCAGCCGCAGCAGAGCTATGGCGCATACGCTCCGACAAATGCCTATGCGCCCGCGCAGCCTATGGTCTCTGCTCCTGCGCCGCCGTCGATTGGCCAGCTCGGGCAGCCTCCCAGCGTGCAGCTGCCGCAGATGACGCCTGCCGGTGGGCCTTCGAGTGCAGCACCGCCGCCGCCGCCGCCTAAGCGCAGCAACGACGGCTGGAACGACATTCCCGAGGCGCTGGCCGCTGCCACACGCCGCACTGGCTCTGCGGCCGCGCAGAAGGCGGCGCCCATCATGAGTCCCTTCCCCAACAGTCCCGCGCCTGCGCCCGGGCAATACGGGCAGCCGCCGCAGCCTGGCGCAGGCCTGCCGCCGCCGCCGCGAGGCGCTACTCCGGGCGGTGGTCCTGGCCGCGGTGCGTTCAGCCCGCCTCCCGGTCAGGGTCCCTACGGCCGGCCTCCTGGACAGCAGCAGGCTCCGCCGCCGCCGCGTGGTCCGCCGCAGGGCCCGCCGCCGCCGCGTGGCGCCAGCGCCGCGGGCATGCGTGGCCCGCCGACGGGAGCGTACGCTCCGGCGCCCGGACAGGTCAATGCGCCGCCGCCGCCGATGCCCGGCATGGGCGGACCTGGGCAGTCGAACTTCCCGGGACAGCAGCCGCAGCAGGGCATGCCTCCGCAAGGCCAGCAGCAGCAGCAGAGTCCTCCTGGGCCCTACGGCGCGCCGCAACAGCAGCAGCAGCAGGGCCCGCCGCCGGGCATGCACAACATGCACGGACACCCCAGCATGCAGCAGGGTCCGCCGGGCGCTCGTCCCCCGCAGGGCCCCGGTGGCACCATGATGCCGCCTGCCGGAGTGCCGCCGCGTGCGCACACGCCCGGCGCCGGAGCGGGCGCGCCTGCTCGCTCGAGCACGCCTGCCAAGCCTGCGACCAAGTACCGTGAGTTGCTTGCTCTTCTCGATGTCCCTTGACTTGCGCGCCACTGACATGCAGTGACTCCACCAGCGGCCGGCGACCGCTCGCACATTCCCGACGCGCAGCGGCCCATTGCCAATGTGCTCGGCGCGACGCTGGCACGCATCAAGCAGGCGGCGCCGCCGGCGCAGAAGCGCATGATGGAGGACGCCGAGCGGCGCATCAACGTGCTGCTCGACCACCTCAACTGCGGCACGGTGGATGCGCGCATGATCCCGCTGCTGCTCAATCTCGCCCAGGGTCAGTGCGCACGTGCATGAGCCGCTGGCATCCTTGGCTGACCCCCCGCCCTTCCTTGCCCTGATGTGTCTACAGCGATGGACGCGCGAAACCAGCAGGCTGCGCTGGGCCTGCATCTGCAGCTCGCCTCGATTGCCTCGGGCGAGCTGGCGACGGCGATGCCCGGCATCAAGCTGTGCATCACGCGCATGGCCTAGGCGAGAAAACGTGGGTCCTAGGCGGCCCGAGACGGCGGCCCCGGCGGTGCGGCCCCAGCAGCCGCAAGCGCCCCTGTGCACACGCCCAAGCTCGCTCTGCGATAGACGCCTCCCCGCAAACCCCCCTCCCCTTCCCTTCTCTCTATGTCTTGATCATGCCCCGCTGCTACTCGAAATACGAACCGTCGAAGCCATGCCGTGGTGACGTCGAGTGCGGCGCCGAGAAGCGAAACGGGGCGTTGCCGCACCCACCGTCGTGGCATGCGCTTCGCGCTCGGTGCTCGCGCAGGGCAGACGCAGGAGAGGAGCTGCCGGGCCACCGAGCGCGTTGCTTCGAGCTCTGGCACACGAGGTGCTGCAGCGGCGAACATCGTCCGAGGCCTGCACCTGCGTGCGACGAGCTCGCAGCGAGCTTCAGAGCGCAGTCCGAGTCTAGGCTGCGCTGGCGCTGGCTCTCGAGCTTCGCGCTTGGCCTTGAGACGTGATGTGCTTGCGCCTTGTCCTCCGCGCCGCATGAAGCTCCCTCCATGCCCGACGGCCGACGCGGCCTCTGATGCTGCGCTCGGAAGAAGCAGCTGCAGCCGCGAGCGTCGTCGTGCAGCGGGAGCGGCGCAGGTGCAGGGGGGCGCCAAGGGGCGCGAGGTGGCGGCGCATGTGGCAAGGCTGGCCCTCCGGGCACGAGAGCAGTGTGCTGCCCGGCGCCTGCCTATTCCGGCGGAGCAGCGCGCGGAGAGTACAGTACAAGCCGGCTGCTAATCAAATCGCGCTCAATTCTTGAATTTGGATCGCAAGCACCCCCCCTGCCCCGCAGGCAGATCGCCTGTGAGGGGCAAGGGGCTCGCCGTGCCGCCGCCGTGCCGCCGCCTCAAGACCTTCGCACCGCCGTTCGGGGACCTTGCCCATGCGGCCCGCAGGCTCGCGCTCACGTGGGCAGCGCGCCTCCAGCTCATCTCCCCCGCGCTCCGCTGCCGCTTCTCGGCCTCTCACCACCAACTTCTACCTCGCTTCTCCGCGTCACTCCTTCCACCTCACCACACCTGCCTCTCCTTGCCCATCCCTTCTCGTCCGTCTTCCAGCCTCGCTCCTCTCCCGCGCGCCCCGCCATGTCCTTCTTCAACGCCGCGCCCTCGTCGTCGGCGCTCGCCCCCGCCTTCGTCCCCGCGCCGTCGGGCGAGCGCAAGCGCAAGGACATGGACATGGACGCCGAGGACCACATGGCCCGCCAGCAGCAGCAGCATGCCGGCATGCACGGCTGCGCGCCGCCTCGCAAGGTGAGCAGCGGGGCGAGCTGTATGCGCGAGCCGCGAGTGTCGCCGCCGCGGCGCGCGCGCGAAGAAAGGCAACGACGCGTCGCGTCGTCGTCATCGTCGCCGTCGCCGTCGCCGTCTCACTGCGCGCAGATTCTCACACCCACACCCTTGCAGATCGCCGTGCCCCGTCGCTTCGCACCCGGCGCCGGCATCTCGCTCGACCTCTCCTCGCCGGCACTCTTCCACGACGCCGCGCATCTCGCGGCCGCGCAGGCGCACGTGAGCGCCATGTATGCGGCGCAGCGCGCCATGCTGCCGCCGACGCCCGAGTCGAGCCCGCTGGGCGGCTACTTTGGCCTGCCGCAGCCAGGCCACAACTGCGCGCCGCAGACGGGCATGCAGGGCGCAGAGGAGGGCTACCCCAACGTGCGGCCGTATGCGGCGGAGCCGATGGCGACGCCGGAGCGCAGCCCGGGCCTCATGGGCCCGTGCAATGGGTACAATGGCTACGACGGCGGCATGGATCTGGACGGCATGGAGCGCAACCTGCATGGGTGAGTGTCGCCTCCTCTATTGCCTCTCCACTGCCTGCGCTGACGCTGCGGCCTGTGTGTGTGCAGCCCGCACTGCGCCTCCATCCCGCAGCTCTTCGTCAAGCACCTCACGGGCGCACATGCAGGCTGCTCGGAGCTGTGGGCCAAGTGCACCGACTGCGGCAACGCCAGTCCCGTCGAGAACAACGCGAACCGCAGCATGAGCTACTCGCCCTGAAAGAGAGGCGTGCACGCTTCTCAGTCATCGCCAGGATCTCTCGCTCTCTTCGCTCCGACGTCTCCACGCTCTTCTCCACTCTCTGCGCTCTCCTCTTCTCTCTCTGCTCCAGGCAGCTCGCCGCCCCTCGGTCTCGCGTGCGAAGCGCCGCCTTTCTCCACCGATCCGCATCCTAGCTGCTCCACGATTCTCCCCACTCGGCGCGCCGGCGTCCTCCCATCTGCACCCGTCTCCTCGCTCCGGCTGCGACCTTGCGATCTGTATACTAGCTCCGCTCCCATTTGCCGTCTCCCTGCCATCCTGCTTCCTCCACGCGTCCGCCCGCCGCCGCTCGCGCTACTCTCAAGCTTGCTCCTTGCTGGTCGACGACCGAACTTGGAAGCGCTCTTCGGCCCGCGCCCCCGCTCTGTACTTCTGCTCCTCTCTCTGCGTCACTCTCCGCTCTGCCCTGCAATTGACAAAATGCTCTCCACCTGCTGTCTGTGGTTGCGCGTGCCACTTGTGCGCCCGTCACCGCCTCGCTGTCCTCGGCACGCTGGAACACGGCAGGCGCCAGGCGCTGCGGGCAAGAGTGCGAGGCGATGGCGACGCGGGCAGCGCGCACGCCTGGCTCGCACGCATCTCGCTCCGAGAGCTTGATGCTGGAGCAGGCAGCATGCGCAAGAGGCAGGCTCGACCATGACGCACGCCGCGGGCCCCTTGAGCAAGACAGCGTAGCCACGATGGAGTGAGAGCAGCCAGGAGCGCGAGCAGGAATGCGAGCATGGCCAGCCGTCGACGGCGAGAGGCGGTCACGTGCACGCGCCACGCACGGTCCGCCGTGGCTGCTGCCGCCAGCAGCGAGGCCGTGCGCGCGCGCCGATGCGAGCTTCTTCCTGTTGCAGCCCACGTCACCCCCACCTCGCCCTCCCGCTTCGCCATGCGTCTGCTCCTCTCGCTGCTGGCGCTCAGCGCCGCCGCAGCACGCGCCGCGCTGCTCTACTCGCCCGCCGACTTCCACCTGCTCAGCGCCGTGCGCTCCGTCGATCTCGCCTCGGGCTCGCTGGCGCGCATCCAGGACATCCACGTCGTGCGCCTGCCTGCCGCGCGGCAGCGCGACAGCACCCACGCCGAGCTCGACTACTTTCTCGCCCTCTCCGCCGCCGAGGCGGCACAGCTCAGCTTCTTCGAGTGTCTCGCCAAGTCGGGCGGCGGCCTGCAGGCGTCCGACCGCGCCGTGCTGCAGCCGGAGCGCGTCGTCGGCGCCTCGCTGCCCGGCTCGCAGCTCTTCCGCGTCGCGCTGCCCGCGCGCTTCTTCGCACAGCAGCACGACACCGTCGACGCGCCAGACGTGACGCTGACGTGCGCCAGTGTCGTGCTGCACCAGGCGGCGCCGCTGCCGCGCGAGGTGGCGCAGAAGGAGGACATGTTCCTCCACTGGCGCGGCGACAGTGCGCCGCGCACGCTCTATGGCGCCGACAAGGGCCGCGTCAAGGTCCGGTGAGTGGAGCGCAGACTGGCGCAGGCCCGCCAGCCGGCCGGCGCACTCGCACGTGCCATGCGTGCATGCCGTGGCAGCGGCGCCGCTGTTCCCACCGCAGCCGGCTGATCGTGGCTTCGTGCAGCGTGCCTCACCCTCGCATTCTCTCCTTCGCCAACTCGGGCGGGGCGGAAGCGACCAAGTCCGGCACGACGATCACCTTTGGCCCCTACGAGAGCATTGCGCCTCTCGCGCCCGGCGCAGAGCTGAGCGTGGGCAGCGTGCACTACCTGCACGACAGTCCCGTCATCTCCCTCGTCGACGCGGAGCGTCACGTGGAGATTTCGCACTGGGGCGACAACGCGGCCGTCGAGGACCGCCTGTGGCTGCGCAACGATGGGCCCCAGTGAGTTGGGCGCGTGCGCCTCGGCACCTGCTCGCGTGGTCCGACAGACAGGCTCATGCTGCGCCGTGCCTTGCGACAGACTCAAGGGCCACTTCTCGCGCATCGACCACCAGATGAGCTCCTTCTACACCAAGGACAACTCGCACGTGCTCAACTCGCTCGTCATGCATCTGCCGGCGGGTGCCAAGGATGCCTACTAGTCAGCTGCCTGCGTCTTGCGCCTCTCCTGCGCGTCCGTGACCTCCTTGCTGAACCCCCTCCCCTGCCTTCAGTCTCGACCAAATCGGCAACATTTCCACCTCTCACTTCCGTCCCTCGCCTCCTTCTCCTCCGCACAGCTTCACCTCGACGCACCTCCTGCCCTCGAACCGCGCCAGCTCGTTGGACCTCAACCCGCGCTACCCGCTCCTCGGCGGCTGGAACTTTACCTTTTCCGTCGGCTTCAACCTGGGCCTGAGCGAGGGCGGCTGGGGCAAGCACCTCGGCGGCGCCAAGTACAGCGTCGCCATTCCTTTCCTCACGCCCATCACGGACGTGGCCGTCGACATGGCACGTACGCGCATCGTGCTGCCCGAGGGAGCTTCGTGAGTCGGGTCTTTCGAGTCGCACCTCAGGCTCGCCCTGCACATGGCTTATGCCCTCTTGCACACACACAGCGACATTTCCGTCTCGCTGCCCTTCTCCGTCGACTCCGAGACACATGGCCTCTACACGACGTACCTGGACAGCACCGGGCGGCCCTGCGTGCTGCTGGAGCGTGCGCGCTGCAGCGACCAGCACGGCGGCAACGTCATTGTGCGCTACTCGTACTCGCCCGCCGCGCACGCGCGCAAGCCCGTCGTCATCGGCCTCATTGCGCTCGCGGCGTTCACGGCCGCCATGGTCGGACGGCGCGTGGAGAGCAAGATTGGCGCATAGAGAGGCAGACACGAAATGCAATGCAATCGAACGTGCACACACGCGCACACAGCCTGCGCAGAGTCAAAGAAGAGGGGTATCTATTTGGCTTGCGAGCGCACCGCTCGCCGCAGTAGCTACACCCGCAGGGCCCGCACGTTGCGGCCGCTGGTCAGCGCCAGCCAGTCGGCGCTGCGCGTGGCGTCGCCCTTGGCATAGTCGTCCCACTCGCCGTTGCTCTTGCGGTTCTCGTTGGGGCGCCACCACGCGACGTTGTTGATCATCTCGCTGCTCTCGTACGCCAGGATGGGCGTTTCGGCCGCGACGCCGCGGGCGTCGGAGCTGGGCGCCGGCGAGGGAGAGTAGGTGGACATGGCGGAGGACGGCGCGGGCGAGGGACCGGCCCCGTTGCGCGAGCGTCGACCCTGTGCGGAGGCGGAGCGCAGCGTCGAGGAGGCCAGGTCGTACACGAGACACTGCGCGTCGTCGCCGGCAGTGCAGATCATGCCCTTGCTGGCGCCCTGTCCCGGCGGGCCCCACGCCACGGCATTCACGGCCGCCGAGTGGCCGCGCAGCTCGAGGATCGGCGAGCCGGGCGCGCGCACGTCGAGGATGGAGATGGCCGAGGCATCTGCGGCGAACGTGGCGAGGTAGTTGGCGTCCCAGGGATTGAAGGCGATGCGTAGCAGGGACGAAGGCATGACGGCGGCAGAGGAGCGTTGCGAGGCGCTCGTGCCCGGACGCGAGCCGGCGTTGCCGCCAGGACCGGCGGGCGCGCCCGTCTCGTAGATGATCGTCGAGTGCTCCAGGCTGCGCAGATCAAAGACGCGCACCGAGCCGTCGGCGCCCACGCTGGCAAAGACGTCCGACGAGCCGGGACACCAGTCCACATCGTACACTTCGCGGTCGTGCGCGATGAGCTGCGTCAGCGCGGTGCGCGTGGGCAGGTCCCAGATCGTACACGTCGTGTCGATGGAGGACGTCACGATGAGCGACGGCGTCGGCGCGTTCCAGGAGAAGGAGGTGAGGGGAGCCGGCGGGGAGGACGAGGACTTGGACTGCAGGAGGAGGCCGTCAGTCAAGAGCGCGGAGGATGCCAAAGGCCAGCACACGGCGACAGTGACTGCACATGAGCGCTGTGGTCGACGACTTGCGCACGCCGCGAGATCCATCGCCTGGCGCCGATCGTGCTGACCCGCGTCTCTCTCCCACTTGCTCTTACGCGCACTCACATGTGCCAGCACGCTCTTTTCCCGCAGTCCAAACGGCAGCGGCGCGCCCTCTCTGCGTCCCACGTATGCACTGCTGCGATCCTCCTCGCGATAGCACTCCCACACGCGCAGACAGTCGGCCGTCGTCGCCAGCAGCTCACGATCGGCCCAGCCGTCGCTGCCGCTGCCGCCCTCGTCGCCGCCGCCCTCGCCCGCCGAGCCGCGCCACGAGGCACGCTTGGCGGCGCGCGACGTGGGCGCGTAGCGCGGCGTCGAGGGCGGCGAGGAGGAGGAGAGACTGGCCGGCTGGAAGGAGAGCTTCGTCGGCGGATACGGGTGCGCGGCCGAGGCGAGCAGATCGAACTGAGGTCTGGTGGATGCGGGACAGGTCAGCCTGCCGGTCGCGGTGCCCGTGCCGGCGGACGCCATCTTCGCTGCCCTGGCCACGCGGCCAGCTCCGCCGCCAGATCACAGCCACAGCCAGGTGCTCACCCGCTGCCGTCGTGTGCCTCGCGCACGCCCAGCACCTGCACCTCGTTGTGCGTCTCCTCGACGAAGCTGCCGATGGCCAGGCGTGCGCCGACGATGCCCGCGGCCGAGCTGGGCGCGGCGCGCGGGTACGGCGCCGGCGACCAGGCGAGCGCATACACGGGCCCTGCGGTGGAAGAATGAGCGTCAGCACGAAGGAAGGCCGAGGAGCGAGACTGCTGTCCACGCACATGGCGCCTTGTACTCGAAGAGCGACATTGCCGCAGCGGCAGACGCGAGCGCGGCCGTGGAGCGGCAGCGTCACAGCACGAGCGTCGAGCGGCGAGCTCTCAGCAACGCCTGCGCGACGCAAGAGGTACGGCAGCTGGGCAAAGCGAGACGCCACGGCGCTGCGGCGTGCCGAAGCGCAAGCGAGCTGGCCGCTGCGCGGGATGCGCACCGACGCTGCGTCGCCAGTCGGGACTCGCCGAGCGCGCCGAGCGAGGCAAGCCGGGGTGCGAGACGCGGAGGGCGCACGGGGCCAGGCGTGCGGTGCTAGCAGCTGTGCAGAGGTGGGAAATGGCGCTCGGGCGGCGTGGGTGGAGCAGCACAGCGGGCGGAGGTGAGGGTGAGAGTGGCTTGGAGGAAAGAAGCAGCGCGGCCAGCACGCCAAGGCGCGGCGGGCGCCCCGAGCGCGACGTGCGCACGGCCGCCAGCGCGCGCGCCGCTCGGCTGTGAGGGATCTAGATGCGGGCACCGCCTCCTTCTCGCGCGCCGTGCTGCGTGGCTCCTGACCACCACCCCGCAAGTGCCAGCAGGCAGGCCGCACGTCCGCTCAAGCATGCATTGCATCGACTGCGACATCTCCACCACACGTGCTCTCCACTCTGCGCTGCGCCGGCCTCTCACGCAGGCTGCGGCGTGTGCCTCTTCTCCTCCTCCACGCCCGCGCCGCTGCGTTCCTCGCTCGAGCGGGCGTGGCTGCGCGCCTGCGCCTCGAGGCGCAGCCGCTCGTCGTCGTCGCGATCCACGTCTCTGTGCTTCATCAGCAGCGCGGCCACCACAAACGCCGCGCCCGCCAGGCTGGCCAGCAGCTGGAAGACGCGCTGGAAGCCGCGGCGGTAGGCCTCGCGCAGCGCCGCGCCGTCCGCCGCGTCCGCCGCGCCGCCGGCCAGCAGCGTGCCCGAGTGGCTGAGCGCCGCGCGCACGCGCTCGCCGCTCCAGCCCAGCGGCAGCAGCGCCGCCGTGGCCGACTTGTTGCTGCCAAGGCAGAGCGCGGTGTCAGCCCAATGTGCCCCCTTGCGCAGCCTGCGCGCTTTCTGTGCAACGACGCACAGCACAGTGCCGGCCAGCGCGAGGCCCAGCGCGCCGCCGAGGTTGCGCACAAAGTTGCGCGTCGCAGTGACGGCAGCCATCTCCTGCGAGACAAGGACAGTCAGGTGAGAGCTGGCAAGCCGCAGGGCTCGCCGCTCGGACGCACCTTGCGCGGCACAGCGCCCTGAATGGCAATCAGCGAGGCTGGCCAAGTCTGTCAGCTCGAAGTTATCGGTGCCGAGGGTGGCCATGACTCACGCTGCAGCGTCGCTCCGACGCCGACGCCCGCCAGCAGAGCTGCAGGTGCGGGCGCTGGTGTCAGCAGACGTCCTTCGCGCGCGATTGCCTCGCCACACTCACAGTAGCCGATCTGCTTGCCGAGCCCCGAGGACGAGTCGAGCGTCGAGAAGAGGCCTAGGCCGACTGCCCAGAGCGCCCATCCCACTAGCAGGATCTGCCGAGCGGAGGTCAGCGGGCCGGATGCTCGGGCAGTCTGACTGGCACGCACCTCGCGATACCGGCCTGTCCAGGTGATGAGTAAGCCGCTGAGCGTCGACGCGGCAGCTGGAAGCGCTCGTCAGACTGCTGCAGATCAGTGAGTGGCCAAGCTCTACACTCACTCTGCACGACGGTCAACGGCAGCAGCAGGCTTCCAGCTCGCGTCGCGGAGTAGCCGTACGCCAGCTGGTAGAACTGCGGGATCATGTAGACCTGCGTCACGAAGAGCCAGCCGTTGATTGTCTGCTCCACAATCCCACCGAGGTGAGCCAACGCAAACCCTGTCGCTCACGCCGGGCGAGAACGCACCTGCGTGATACAAGCGCCACACACGACGCCGCTCTTGAAGATGCCCAGCGGCATCAAGGCGGGCCGCTCCGCGCTGCAGCCGTAGCCCTGCCACAGCACGAAGGCGAGGGAGGTGGCGAGGCCAGCGAGCAGGGGGCCCAGCACGTGGGTGTCGTCCCACGCATACTCGCTGGCCCACGTGAAACCGAGCTTGGAGGCGATGAGCGGCCAGCACGATGCATCAAGCTATGAGACGCGACTCACAACGAGCAGCAGTGCAGCAGCAAAGGACAGAAAGGCGCCGAGCCAGTCAATGGCTCGAGACTTTTGCCGCCAGTCGCCCTCGACGGGCTTTAGCGGCATAAAGAACCACACGGCCACGCCGCCGAGGAAGGAAAGAGGCAGCATCAGACGGAAGATGTTGCGCCATGTTGAGGTGGAAGCGAGAGCACCTCCGATGACGGGACTGTGGAGGCGTCAGCCGAGGAAGGCGACTTCTCATCGCACATCTTGACGGACCCAATGCCATTCGCGAGTGCCACGACGCTGCCAAGACAGTCGAGTCAGCCGAGAGACGCTGCGTGCGTTGCAAGGGCACTCACGCGCCCAGGATGCCCTGGTACTTGCCACGCTGCCGCAGAGACACCACATCCGAGACGATGATCTGGGCAATCGTCATGAGGCCGCCGCCTCCGAGGCCGGTCACGCCGCGGAAGACCGAGAGACTGCGAGCGGAGGATGCTTTCAGCGCCACATCCACCGATTAGGCACGCTGGCACTTCAGGTACCTGATCACGTCCGTCGCCAAGCTGCTCGCCAACGAGCCGAAGAAGACGACCCAGATGCCGGCGAGCAGCAGCACCTTGCGTCCGGTGATGTCCGAGACGCGGCCATAGAGCAGCTGGCAGGCCGTGCTGGAGATGAAGTAGGCGCTCGAGATGAACGACACCTGCGAGCCGGCGTTGAACTCGGCGCCGATGATGGCGAGCGCCACGGAGAGCGTCGTCTGGTCGATGAGCGCGACAAAGTCGATGAGCGCCAGCGCGAGGAAGATCTGGGCCGCAGGTCAGCTGCTGAGCCCGGCGAGCGGAATTGCGACGGCGACCCGACTGACTGGGATCAATTTGCTGGGCGGCAGATAGTTGGTCTGCTCGGCAAAGTGGTGCGCCTCCTTCGAGCACGTGCAGCTAGCTTCCTCTGGCTGCGCTTCCTCGCCACTAGCTGTGGTCGGAGCTTCGCTGTGACGACCTGCGAGGGAGGACGGAGTGGAGACCTCGATGCTGCCGCCGTCGCTTCGACCGCCGATGCGGTCTGGCACGAAAAGGTGCGCGAGGTCCACTTCTTTGCGCATGTTGAGAGCTTGCGGGTGGTGGTTGCAGCTGAAGCCTGGAGAAGCCGAGGTCCGACATCTCTCGCCGGCCGAACAACGCCAGAATAGCATCACAGCAGCATCACGTGCTGAGCGCGGCGTTGCGAAGGCGCCGGACGGAAGGAAAGAAGCGCATAGACTCCTCGTCGTCCAACCCAGAGATCAGATCACAGCGTCACAGTGATGTGAGCGTCTATCCTCATTCGGGGACCTGTATCTCGGCTCCGCACGCCAATGTGGCGCTAGGCCAACTTTTCGGGTACATCTTTCATGCCTGGCTCGACGCTACCGCGAGGGTACGAGCTCTTGGCATGCACGTGGACCGGTCAACTGGAAGGTGTTGAGCAGCGTCAGATCAAGTGTGCGGCTGCAGCAGCTGTGGTGCGCCAGAGCCCTTGGGTCAAAGGGAGCCGCGGAGGATGACAACCTCGGCGAAAGGCCTGAGCCGAGCTGCTGGCGTACGCATGCCGCTGCGCGACCTCCCGATGTCGGGCAATCAGAATCGTAAGCGCGCAAGCGGATGTGCCGCCTTCAAGCCGGCGGCGCCGTTTTGACAGGAGCACGGACCTCTGAAAAGGCGCCGGGAGGGGCGCCGGCGTCGAAGAAGGCGCCGAGAGGGGCGGCGACGGGCACGCTTTAGCGCCGCACGCGGCCGGCAAGGTCCTCACGCGGCCATGGCGCGCCGCCCGCGCGTGCCTGGCGTGCGTGCTCAGGGGGCGCACTCCCATCTGATGCCCCTGAGTATGGCCCTCGCCGCAGAATCATCCGCACGGCGCACGCTGCGATGACACCACCTCCATCAAAACAGCTAGGTGGCACGGGGCGACTCGAGGCCTACCACCAGGATTTCCGCTGGCGTCGGCCACTCCAGTGCCGTGGCGCCCGCATGGGCCCCTGAAGATGGCCGATGGCGCACGACTCTTCACCTCGCGGGTGCGCCGGACCTTTTGTCTTTCGGCCAACGGCTCGTGCGCAGCAATGCACGAATTTAGCAGCATTTCGAGCTTGTTTGTGCGCTACACAAAAAGACCTCCGTGCTACGCTCCGGCTGCTCTGACCGCACAGCTCTCCGTGAGCGGACGGTGCGGGCGTAAGTCCGCGGCCAAGCTGGCCGCACTCCTCATCCTGGTGTAGGGCACGGGGCCCAAATGGGCTTGCACGACCGAGCAAGGGCTGCTAGACAGGCCTCAGCGACCTCAGCAGGTCGCTGCTCGGCATAGACGGACGAGATGCCGCGGACGGCGACAGAGCGGCGTGCTCCGCAGGTGGCTGCGACCTGACGGGTGCGCAGAAAGCTGGCGGCACTGACGTGCGACAGCGGCCGGCCGAGGAAGAGCACGTAGCGTACACCTCCTGTGTCTGCGCTTTTGTCGTCAAAGGTGCTCTGGGCTTAGGCGCCAGATCAGCGATCTCAGGGTCACACAGCTGTCAGAGCTGCGCAAAAGCACTTGGGCCCCTGGTGCGCGGCCGGTCAGGTCACGGCTATAAGACCACGGCTCTGATCTCGACGGCGCCGCTCGCATCCTCCTCACCTTCGCCTGCCAAAATGTTGCTTGACAACGAGAGTAATGTATTCAGAGGACAACGGTCGCTTCAAGATTAGTGAGTCGGCTACGGGCCTCTCTCTGCATGCGTCGCCCTGACCCGCTCCTCGGCAAGCTTTGATCCAGACCAGCACCGGCCAACACCGCTCGTCGAGCTCCCGAAAGAACTCAACCCATTCTTCGACGAGCGCGTCCACATCTATGTCAAGCTGCATTCGACTCTGCCTGGTGCGTATTGTGACCTCCTCGTATCCCTCTGCCGCGTCGCTGACGGCTCTCACCCTCCAGCCGGCAATGTGAAGTCGCTGCCGGCACTCAATATGTTCCAGCAAGCCGGTCTTGACGCCGGCACGGAGCACCGCATCAAGCGCATCGTCGAGTACTCGTCCGGCTCGACGGTCATCTCGATGGCCATGCTGGCGCACATGCGCGGCATCGACGACGTGAGCGCCTTCCTGAGCAACAAGACCAGCTCGGCCAAGCTGAAGCTCATGCGGGTGAGCCTTCGCGGGCCCGTGACGGTTGGAATTGTGACTGATCGCGCGTCGCCTCTGCAGTTCTTCGGCCTCCGTCTGCGTCTCTTCGGCGGGCCATCGCAGCCGGAGCCGCTCGATCCTCGTGGCGGCATCGCCGCAACAAAGCAAGCTGCCGTCGGCGAGCACGCGCTCAACCCCGACCAATATTCCAACCCGGCCAACTACGGCGCACACGAACGCTGGACCGGCCCGCAGCTTGCGCGGCAGCTGCCCGAGATGGATGTCTTTGTCGCGTAAGTCTTGAGACGGTGTTGGTCCATGATCGATACTGACGATGCGACTGCACAGAGGCATGGGAACCGCCGGCACCATGACGGGCACCGGCCTCGCTCTCAAGCGTCTGATGCCGCGGGTTACTCGTGTCGGCGTGACGACGCAGCCAGGCGATCGAGTGCCAGGGTGAGCCGTGCTCCACGAGTCGCGAGAGACGGCGCGCTGACCGTGCGAGCCCTCCAGACCGCGTGCTGAAAGCATGCTCAAGCCCGTCGAGTTCCCATGGCGCGACGCCATCGATGCGATGGAGTGGGTCACCTCGCCCAAGGTGCGTTGCATGCGCGAGGAGTTCACTGCAGCTCGCTGACGCCGAACACCTCAGGCGTATGCGCGCTCGCTCGAGCTTTGCCGCTACGGTCTACTCTGCGGCCCCTCGTCCGGCTTCAACCTCGAGGGACTCCTCCAGTTCCTTCGCGGACACCAATCACGCGGCACGCTCGACTCTCTGCGCGCCAGTCCCGACGCTCCGCTCCACGCCGTCTTTATCGCCTGTGACGGCCCGTACCAGTACATCGACGAGTACTTCGACAAGTGTCCCGCCGATGCTTTCCCGCCCATCGAAAATGAGGGGCTCATCGACGTCGATCGCTACCGCTACGACGACGCGTGGGAACTAGGAGCTGTCGAAGCACACGAGAAGCTCGGCGCGACCGCACCTGTGCCTTCGGTGCCCGTGCCTCGAAGCATCGACGTGCTGCTGCGCCGCGGCTCGGACTCGAGCACGGCGTCGGAGACCGAGTCGTCGGACAGCGACGAGCAGAGCGACGCGCCCTCCACCCGCCGCACGTCGATTGCCTCGTCGGACGGCCTGCGCGAGGCATCGAGCATCAAGCCGCGCACGCTGGTGCTCGACCTGCGCAGCGCCGATGAGACGCACGCCATTGCCGGCAGCGTGCGTGTGCCGCTTGCCAGTCTCACCGCCTCCACGCTCTGTCCCTTCGCCGACGCCGCCGTGCTGGCCCGTCAATGGCGCGAGCTCGACGAGCTTCTCGACCCATGCAGCGCTTCGTCACGCAGCCAGAAGCTGCAGCGCCTGCTCGCGTCGCACGCCGGCGAGGTGCTGCTGGTGTGCTACGGCGGCGGCACGGCGCGCGTTGCCAGCTCGGTGCTGCGGCAGCGCGGCCACGAGGCCTTCTCGCTCGCCGGCGGCATGCGGCGGTGGCAGCACGGCAGCTGGCCGGTGGTGGCGACGAGCGAGGTGCACAAGGGCGAGCTGCTGATCTGAGCTGGGCGAAGAGCGAGCTGGCCTCGCTGCAATGCTAGAGCTACGTGTGACGCTGCGACGCGTGACGAGCAGCGCGTCAGTGACGCTCATGGAGGCCCACGTGGCAGCGCATGGCGAGCGACAGCGCACGAGCGAGTGTGACCGAGAGCAGCTGCCGCAGCAGGTGCTGGCGTGCGCTGTGCTGCTGCAGGCTGGCGAGGAGGACGAGCGGTGCGGGCCGAGCGAGCCGGTGCAGCGGGACGCGGCCTGCGGGGATGTGGATGCGGGGAAGCGAAGGACGCGGGGCACGCTCCGCGGACCCGCGCCCGGGCGCGCCGCGCCTTGCCCCGGCCGACTCGACTTCCCCGCGCCGTCCTCTCCTCCTCTCTCTCAAGCTCCACCCACCACATCCATCCTCTCACACTCTTGCCGCGTGCTCGTTGTTCTAGAGTGAGTCGTGTCTGCTTGGTGTCTGGCTGCAATGTCGTGGCGCGGTGTCGTGCGTCGGGTCCCGCTGGCCGAGCTGCTCGTCGCAAGACGCTGGCTTCGACGAGGTGCATGCTGCGCTGGCGCCTTGCCAGTCTGCTGGGCGACAGCAGCCGTGACGGCGTGGCAGATGCAGCTGCTGGAAGCGTTGGCTGCCAGACTTTGCCAGCGTGCAGCGTGCTTGTTGGCTGCAGCGACGGTGCGGCGCAAGCTTCCCCGCATCCTCCTCGCGCCTGTCCAGCGTCATCCGCTCGCGCTCCACCTTGCTCGCTGCGGCGTCTCGCTGTGCATGCGTCGCACTGCAGCGGCCGAGCGCTGGCTCTGCCTGCTGCATGCTGCTGGCTTGGCCTCGCTGGCATGCCCTGTGCCAGGGCGGCCAGGCCAGCCAGCAGCTGCGCCGCTCTTGCAGCGAGGTGGAGCGCCGCTGCGGCGCAAGCGGACGAGCACATCTCCGTCCGTGTATGCGCATCTCGTCCCTCGAGCACGGCATCGCACCTCTCTGCTCGCCGTCGTCGTCTCTCATGCTTGGCCGCCAGCGCATGCACGATGCGCGCGGCGAGGGCGCGGCGAAATAGAGTCGCGCGCGCGCGCAGAGGGGCAGAGAGAGCCGGGGTGCCTTCTTCGCGGTGTGGGTCGCAACCCTGCAGCAGCAGCAGCCAGCGCGATTTTGCTCCCTCGCGATCTCAGCGCTGCCCTCGCCTCGCTTCACTTCGGAGCGCAGGCCAGCTTACGTCTCGTCCGGGCAGCTTTCAAGTCTCTCGCGCTGTACCAAGGAGCGACCTCGCTAGCGTCTGGCCTCTCCGCGTTACCTCACGCCGTCGCCTCGTCGGCCGCCGCCCGCCCCGAAAGCCGGCGCGCACCGCTTCTGCCTTCGCGTCCCACCTCCATCCCTGCGTCGCCTTCACCGCACGCAGCCCCACCCGCCGCCCGCCCAGCATGCACCCGTCTCTTGCGGCCCGCCGCGCCGCCGTGTCCTCCTGGACACTGGCTAATGGCGCACAGATCCCCAAGATCGGCTTCGGGTGAGTGTGCCGCGCGAGGCTCGGCGTGCCGGTGCAGCGCTCATGCGCGCCCGCCGCCCGCCAGCACGTGGAAGATGAACAAGGAGCAGGCGCTCAGCTCCGTCGGACACGCCCTCAAGACGGGCTACCGGCACCTCGACTGCGCCTGGGCGTACCGGAGTGAGTGCCGCTGCTGCTGCTGGCACGACCCTGGTCAAGGCGCTGACACGCGCCCGCAGATGAGGACGCCGTCGGCGAGGCGATCCGCAAGTCGGGCATCAGCCGCAACGAGCTCTTCATCACCTCGAAGCTCTGGAACACGTTCCACGGCGACAACGTCGAGGCCGGCCTCGACGCCACGCTCAAGGACCTCGGCGTCGACCACCTCGACCTCTACCTGATCCACTGGTGAGCACCAGGGCGCGCGGCCCGGCACTGGCGCGCATGCTGACCGCATGCACAGGCCCGTCGCCTTCTCCAACCCCAACGTCTCGCAGATCTCGTCGATCAAGTCGCAGACGGGCCGCCCCGTCGAGGTGCCGCACCTCTCCGGCGACATCACGGCGACGTGGGCGCGCATGGAGGAGATGGTGCAGAAGGGCAAGGTGCGCAACATCGGCATCTCCAACTTCAACATCCGCCGCACCGAGGAGCTGCTGGCCGCGTCGACGACGCACAACCCCGTCATCAACCAGGTCGAGGTCAACTTTGGCGTCGCCAACGAGGAGCTGCTGCACTACTCCGAGGCGCACCAGATCATGCTGCAGGCCTACTCGCCGCTCGGCGGCAGCGGCTACGCGCAGGGCTACCTCGAGGACCCCGTGGTGCAGGACGTGGCGCAGCGCAACAACATGACGCCCGCGCAGGTGCTGCTGGCGTGGCCCATGGCGCGCGGCATCATCCCGATCGTCAAGAGCAACACGCCGCAGCGCATCGAGGAGAACTTTGCCGCCGCCGAGAAGAGCATCGCGTGGGACGACGTCGTGCACCTGACGCGCGAGAGCGAGGCGCGCGGCATCGAGCGCACCGTCGACCCCAGCGAGGCGTGGGAGACGGACCTGGACATCTTCGAGGACGGCAAGGACCAGACGCGCCTGCTCGGCCTCAAGAAGACGTCGCTGGAGGTGCCGCCGGCACACAAGGCCGACGGCTCGCACTTCCTCGAGCCGCGCAACGACCCCGAGGCCAAGCCCATTGGCCCCGGCGGCACTGCCGTGCGCGAGATGCACTCGCTGGCCAACGTCGCCAGCAGCTCGCGCGTCAGCCGGCCGACGGCGCTGCAGGTGGCCCTTGGCGGCCGCCGCGCCATGTCCTCGTCGGTGCGCGCGCGTGCCGCCGCGGCGCCGTCCACCAGCGGCGAGGCGGCCCCGCCGTCGGCGTCTGAGACGCCCGCCGTGAGCGCCAGCCCGCTGCTGGCCAACTCGTCGAAGGCGGCGCTGCGCACGCCGGGCCTCAAGTTCACCGATGGAGAGGACGGGGTCACGCGCGAGACGCGCAAGATGAACCTCTACACGGTGCGTCGCGGCGCGCGCTCCTTTGCCTCTGTCGCCGCGTCTTCCGCACCGTCGCCCGCTGCGCCGTCGTCGCTGGATGTGGCCCCGGTCGCCCGCCCCGGGCGGACGTACACGGCGCGCAAGGCGTTCCTGTACGAGCAGTACGCGCGGCTCATCGCCGAGAGCCCGCTCATGATCGTCTTGACGCACCACAACCTGTCCGTGGCGGACGTGTCGCGCATCCGGCGGGACCTGGCCGCAATCCCGGCGCCGGAGGAGGGAGTGCAGGCGAGCCTGACAACGGTGCGCAGCGGCGTGCTGCGGCCGCTGCTGCGCAACCACGCCTCGCTGGGCGTGCAGTCGCTCGAAGAGGCGCTCGAGGGCCCGACTGCCCTGCTGACCGTCGGTGCCCTCTCGCCCTCCCACCTCAGTCGCGTGCTGGCCGTGCTTGAGCGCCACTCGGGCGCAAAGGCCATGGCCGCGGCGGCGCAGGAGGGCGCGGCGCCGGCAAAGGTGCCGCGCATCGTGCCGCTCATCGGCCTCGTGCAAGGGCGGTCACTGCGCCTGCCGGCGCTCAAGGCTGTCGGCGAGCTGCCCGACCTGGCCACGCTGCGTGCCCAGCTCGTCGGCCTGCTCTCGTCGCCGGCGTCGCAGCTGGCCGCCGTGCTGAGCCGTGCCGCCGGCGGCGACATTGCGCTCGCCCTCGAGGCGCGCAAGCGGTCGCTCGAAGAGCCGTCCGCTTGAGCGCTGCCTGCTCTCTCGTGCCTCCTCCCCTGTATCGCCACTACCCCTCTTCTCTCCTAGTCGTGGAATCCATCTTTCACCTGTACCTCTGTGCACCGTCGACTGACGCATTTCCGCCTGCAGGCCGTGCGCGACGCCCAGAGCCACATCCTGGCCTCCGACGAGACGGCCTGCGTGTTCGGTGAGCGCGAGTGAGGCCGCACTGTGCAGCGCTCGTCTGAACTCTGCTTGCAGGCGAGGACGTCGCCTTCGGAGGCGTCTTCCGCAGCACCATGGGCTTGGAGAGCGAGTACAGCCGCGAGCGCGTCTTTGTGAGTGTGCCCGCAAAGACGCCTTGTCGCCTCGTCTGACGCAGCCACATGATAGAACACGCCGCTCAGCGAGCAGGGCCTTGTCGGCTTCGGCATCGGTGCGTAGCACGGTGCAAGTCTGCATGCGCTTGGCGGCTGACACACGCCACAGGCATGGCGGCCATGGGCCACACGGCCATCGCCGAGGTGCAGTTGTGAGTGTCGGGTCCTCCTCGACGGTGCCGGCTCCTGACTCACTGCGCTTGCTCTGCAGCGCCGACTACATTCTCCCAGCGTGAGCCGACATGCAGAGAACACAACGCCTTGGTCGCTCATGCGCCCGCACAGATACGACCAGATCTGCAACGAGGCGGCCAAGTACAACTACCGCAGCGGCGGGCAGCACACCGCGGGCAAGCTCACGATCCGTGCGCCGTGCATGGGCGTGGGGCATGGTGCGCTGTATCACAGCCAGGTGCGTCGCACAGTGCTGCTGACTGGCATCGCGCTCACGTGTCGCCATCGGTTCAGAGCGTCGAGCAGCTCTTCGTTGCCGTGCCCGGCCTCAAGGTTGTGATCCCGCGCTCGCCCATTCAGGCCAAGGGCCTGCTGCTGGCGTCGATCCGCGACCCCAACCCTGTCATCTTCCTCGAGCCGAAGATGTGAGCGGGCGAGCGAGCTGCTCGGCTTCTCTCACGCAGTACTGACCCGCTCGTCTGCCAGCCTGTACCGCTCATCCGTCGAGCACGTGCCGATCGACGACTTTACGCTGCCGCTTTCGTCTGCCGAGGTGCTGACGAGCGGCGATGACATCACGCTGCTCTCGTGGGGCGCGCCGCTGTACTCGTGCGTCGAGGCGGCCAACCTGCTGCGCAACCCGCCGGCGAGCATTGCCAAGCATGTGCCCGAGTCGCTGCGCGGCGCAAACGTCGAGATCATCGACCTGCGCACCATCCTGCCGTGGGACCGCGAGAGTGAGTCTGCTGCACGCCGCCAGCGGTCAGGCCATCCCTGACGCTTGCGCTCGCAGCTGTGACGAAGAGCGTCATGAAGACTGGCCGCTGCGTCATCGTCCACGAGGCGCCCGTCACCGGCGGCGCAGGCGCCGAGATCAGCGCGCACCTCCAGAGCGCAGCGTTCCTGCGGCTTGAGGCGCCGATTGAGCGCATTGGCGGTGAGTGTTGAGCGAGTTGGCCCGAACTGCACGTCCTGACACTGCGACCAGGCTGGGACACGCCGTTCCCGCACGTGCACGAGGTAAGTCGCGCGATGCCAGCCCTGCCGGTGCGATCCTGACGGTCTCTCGCCCTGCTCCAGACATTCTACAAGGTGCGCCTTGCCGCGCTGCTCGGCAGGGACCAACAGACTAACGCGACTTGCCCTCGCAGCCCGGCTCGCTGCGCATCGTCGACGCACTCGTCCGCTCGCTGTCGTACTGATAGACGCAGCCCGCCCTCTGCTGCCACCTGCACCAGCACATTTCTTCTCCCTTCCCAGCACTCTGATTCCCCTGTCCGCTCTTCTGCAGTCCTTCCCCATTCGTCGCGTGTCAATGCTCATGCATCTTGGTTATCCTATCTGTCATTTCCCTCTACCCTTGCTGCTGCGCGCACTTCGGCCTGCAGGCGTGCCGATGTTAGGTCGAGAACGGCGCTGGCCTGCTGACCGGCGTGCCGCTCAGTGAGCGTGCCCCCGGTCGAGCTCGAAACGGATGCCGCTGCAGAAGGACAGGCGCGTCAGCGATGCTCTGCTGACCTCAAGGCCAGAATCCACGCCCCGCCGCCTCGAATGCCACCACAAGCTGATATGCTCGTGCAAGCGCCAGTGCGCCGGACGCTCCGACGAAATGCGGCACTGCCAGACTGGCTAGCTCTTCGATCGCCCATCCGGGCGAGTCGTCACCGAACGACGCACGGTCTGCGGGCCTGTCTCGTCCCCCGCGGCACCCTTGAGCCGCAGCTCGCGCGCTCCTGCGAGCTGCTCTCGCTAGGTTGCACAATCCGCTCGCCATCACATCTCCCGCTACTTTATGGCTGAGCTCTACGCACCAGTACTGCAAGGGCTGGCGTCAGCAAGCGGCCGACGACCACGCAGGCTGGAGAAGACTCACAGGGCAGGCCTTCGGTCCGGGCTTGTCGAGGTTGATGAACACCTTGGGGTGGCCCAGCGGGCCGTCACCTGAGCCAGCAAGCGGTCAGCCCAGCGCGAGACTTGCGAGGCTCGGCGCTGCTACACGGCAGCAGTGTCGCGAAGCTGGCAAACGCTCCTCGCGCGACAGCGTGCCAGCCTCACTGGCAGCCTTTTTCTGCAAGGTCACAACACCAGGCAGATGTACGGCAACCAGCACACATGCAGACGCCGCTACTCTGCTTCCTCTCCGCCCGACACTTGCACACTCACCTCCGTCGCAGCCGACGACGCGCGCGGCGACGAGGCGGATGGGCTCGCGCTGGATCATCTCCATGGCGCTGAGCGGCTGCGGCTGCAGCGCCATGTCCATCTGCTCGAAGCGCGGGCCCTTCATGGCCTCGGTGCGCGGCTGCTGCGTGGGCGACCACGTGCCGGCGAGGTTGGGCGACTGCTCCTCGACGACGGCCGGCGGCGTGTGCGGCGCGGCGGCGACGGTGGGGGCGCGGGCACCGCCGCTGCGGGCGGGCAGGCGCTGCGCGACGGCCGGGCGGCTGAAGAAGCCGGCAGGCGTGTTGCTGGCGACGCGCGACGCCGAGCTGAAGGCGCGACGGAAGATCATGCTGGCGGAGGAGAGGGGTGCTGGAGGCGGAGAGGCGAGCTGTGCGAAGGTGTCCGGGTGCGGCCCAGCGACGTGCACGGCTGTCGCGCGATTACAACGGGCAGCGGTAGTCGGACTATGGCGAGGCGCCCGCCAGTGCTAGTCGCTGCCCGCCGCACGTGACGCACGATTATTCTTGGTGCGGGCCGCCCGCCTGAGCCTTCGCTCTCTCTCCTCGCCGCCGCTGTCTGCGCTGCCTTCTCCTCCTCCACCGCTCTGGCATCGCTGCCGCACCCTCCACACCACAGCGCAAGTGTCACAACCGCACCTGCATCTCCCCCGCCGCCGCTGCCCCCCACGAGCAGCCTCGCGCCGCCCGCGCGCAGCCTGCTGAGTCGCGCCAGCTGCCGCCGCTCCACTCTGCCGTGCGCCATCACCTTCCGAGCCGCCGTTGCTGCGCCTCTCTCGACGTTCGCCGCAGCGCCTCTGCACGCCGCTGTGTCTCGCTTGCTCGCACGCCGCCCGGCCTTGCCGCGCCTGCTCCCGTCTGTCGCCGCGTCCGGTGCAGCTGCAGCGTCGCGCCGTCTCATGAGCCAGCAGCCGACGCAGGATCCCTCTCCCGCCTCTAGACGCTCGCCGCGCTCCAGCGCCGCCGCTCCTGCCTCGCTCCTCGCGCGCATCGAACCCGTCGCACAGGCCTCGCAGTCTTTGCACCCGCGCAAGCGCCGTCTCAGCACCGACCAGGCGCCTGAACACTCGCGCCGCACGCGTCCCGCTCCTGCCATGGCCGACGAGTCTGGCTCGTGGCGCACCGGCGCTGCCAGCGGCGAGGCGCCCTCGGGCGGCAGCAGCTGGGGCCACGGCGCCGCTGCTGCTGCTCCGGCGGCCGCTGCGGCCTCCAGTGGTGGGCGGCGCAACGGCGGCGGCCGCAATGCCCGCGGCGGACCGGCAGCCAAGTGAGTGCCTGTGTGTGCGTCCCTCGGCCATCTGTGTGCTGAGCGCTGCTCGGTCCCAGGCGTAAAGCTGCTCCGGCGCCGAGCAAGCCGATGAGCATCCTGCCCGCGCCCAGCCACACCATCGAGTACCTGCGCGAGACGTACGCTCGCATGCTGGGCAGCTCCGAGATGAAGCCGGCGTGGCTTGACAACCCGAAAAGCCCGGTGCAGAACCACGTCATGGCCATGACGGGCGCCAACCCGAAGTACGAGGTGGAGGAGGGCCACGTCGAGGGCCGGCGTGAGAAGACTTACAGGTGCGTGAACGAGTGTGCCGCTGTCATGTCCTCACGGGCTGATGAGCTCGATTGCTCTTCTCCTCAGAGCCACGCTGGTGGTGCACCAGCAGCCCGAAGTGATCGCCTACGGCGATGCACGCTCGGCCAAGGACGCCGAGAAGGTTGCTGCGCTGCATGCGCTGCTGCTCCTCGTCGAGCGCAGGCTGCTCGGCAGCCGCCCGCCGCCCGGCGTCGCCAAGGCGGCCGCGGCGTCCAGCGGCGCCGCCGCCGCTGCCGCGCAGCCGACGGTCCAGCTGTCCGACAAGACGATGCTGACGGCCGAGCGTGCGCGCGAGTTCATGGAGTACTACTGCAAGAAGTTCAACTTCGGCAAGCCCGACATTCTGCTCTCGCAGGGCACACAGCAGAAGGGCCGCCGGCAGGTGCAGGCGGGCTGGGAGGCCGAGATGGCCGTTGGCGGCCGGCGCATCGGCATGGCGCAGGGCAGCAACAAGAAGGTCGCCACGAGCAACGTGTACCTCGACACGGTCAAGTACCTCGAGTCGTGCGACCCCGAGCTCTGGCGCCAGTTCGACATGACGCACAAGCCCGGCGCGCCTGTGGGCAGCGCCCCGCACGTGTACTTCCGCATCTCCGACGAGCTCGACGACGAGCTGCGCGCCGTCTATCAGGACACGCGCCAGAGCATGCTCTACGCCAAGCGGCCGCGCCTGGCGGGCGTGGCGCAGCCCGGCGAGGCGCGCAGCGAGTTGGTCGCCCAGAAGCCGCGGGACCAGCGCCGCTTTGGCGGGCCCGGGGCCGCGTCCGAGGAGGTGCTCAAGCAAAAGAGCGCGCGCCTGCTGGCCGACCTGGACGCCTACCAGACGGCCGACCGCGTCAAGGCGATCCGCGAGCAGCGCCACAGCCTGCCCGTGCAGCAAAAGGCGGGCGACGTGCTCGTCAAGATCGAGCTCAACCAGGTCACCATCGTCATGGCAGCCACCGGCTCGGGCAAGACGACGCAGATTCCGCAGATGCTTTTCGACGACTACATCCTCCGCGGCGAGGGCGCCAAGTGCAACATCTTCTGCACGCAGCCGCGCCGCATTGCCGCCATCAGTGTGGCGCAGCGCGTGGCCAAGGAGCGCGGCGAGCGTGTCGGCGAGACGGTCGGCTACCAGGTGCGCTTCGAGGCCAAGACGCCGCAGCCCAACGGCTCGATCACGTTCTGCACCACCGGCGTGTTCCTGCGGCGCCTGCAGTCGGCGCTCGGCGACTCGAACGCGAGCAACAGCTTCCTCGACAGCCTCACGCACATTGTCGTCGACGAGGTGCACGAGCGCGACGTCGAGACGGACCTGCTGCTCGTCGTCATCAAGCGCCTGCTCGCCGAGCGCAAGCGCATGGGCAAGAAGGAGATCAAGCTCGTGCTCATGAGCGCCACGATCGACCCGACGCTCTTCCAGAACTACTTTACCGAGCCGCCGCCGTCACTCAAGCCGGCGCCCGTCGTCGAGGTGCCGGGCCGCAGCTTCCCCGTCGACAAGCACTACCTCGAGGAGACGATCGCGCACCTGCAGTCGCAGCGCCTCACCCACCGCGACGGCGCCTGGGTGTTCCAGGAGAAGAACGTGCGCGACTATCTCGAGCGCGAGCTGAACCAGGGCGGCGGCATCGTCAAGCGCGTCATCAATGGCGCGCCCGGCGCCGAGGCCGAGGCGTCCGACGCCATCGACGACCTCGAGCTGCCGTACCCGCTCATCAGTCTGATGATCGCCGACGTGATCAACCGCTCCGACGACGGCCACGTGCTCGTCTTCATGCCCGGCTGGGAGGAGATCAAGGCGGTCAACACGATCCTGCAGGACACTCGCTCGCGGCCGCTGCTCGGCCTCGACTTCAATGACTCGAGCCGCTTTGAGGTGCACATCCTGCACTCGTCGATCCCCGTCGCGGAGCAGCAGGCCGTCTTTGACCCGCCGCGCGACCCCTCGATCCGCCGCATCATCCTCTCGACGAATATCGCCGAGACGTCGGTGACCATCCCGGATGTGGTCTACGTCGTCGACACGGGCCGTGTGAAGGAGAAGCGCTACGACCCAGAGCGCCACCTCTCGAGCCTCGTCTCGGCCTGGGTCGGCACGTCGAACCTGAACCAGCGTGCCGGCCGTGCTGGTCGCCACCGCCCCGGAGAGTACTACGGCGTGCTGTCCAAGGCGCGCTACGACCAGCTCAATGTCAACCAGACGGTCGAGATGAAGCGCACGGACCTCAGCAACGTCGTCATGCACATCAAGGCGCTCGACATTCCCGGCATGGAGGTCGAGGACGTGCTCGACGCGGCCATCGAGCCGCCGGCGCCCGAGCGCGTGCGCGCTGCGATGGAGAAGCTCTTCATGGTCGGCGCGCTGGATCAGAGCAAGGCGCTCACGTCGCTCGGCCACGTGCTGCTGCAGCTGCCCGTCGACGCGGCGATGGGCAAGATGTGCCTCTACGGCGCCTTCTTCCGCTGCCTCGACCCGACCCTGACGCTCGCGGCCGTGCTGACGAACCGCGACCCGTTCATGGCGCCTATGGCACTGAAGCGCGAGGCGGACGCCGTCAAGGACAGCTGGTGCCCGCCCGACTTCCGCTCCGACGCGCTCACCGTGCTGCGCGCCTACACGCACTGGTGGGACATGCAGGGCCGCGGCGACTACCAGGCGGCGAACCGCTTCTGCTCGGACAACTTCCTGAGCAAGATCACGCTGCTGCAGATCCAGCAGGTCAAGGAGCACCTCTTCTCGTCGCTCGAGAAGGCCGGTATCATCGATGTGACGCTCGGCAGCGCCGCCTCTGCGCGTGCGCCGGCGCCCCGCGCCCACGGCGTGCCGACTGGGCCGGCCTCGCGCATGCGCTCGCACCTGACCGAGACGAGCCCCGAGCTCAACGTCAACTCGGGCTCCACGCCGCTGCTGGCCGCGCTCATTGCGCTTGCCTCGACGCCCAACTTTGCCATTCGTTCGAGCGAGAAGGTCTTCCGCACGTCACAGGACAAGGTGAGATGCGCTGAGACTGCTGGCTCGTGCGCGTGACGCTGACTGCTCCCTCCCAGGCGTGCTTCATCCACCCCTCGTCGGTGTGCCATCTCAAGCACACGAAGAACAAGGAGTCGGAGAACACGGGCGAGCGCGAGCTGCTGGCGTTCAGCGAGAAGATCCGCAACGTGTCGATGGTGACGGCGGGCGGCGGCAACAGCAACCCGCAGACGAACCTGCGCGGCGTCACGCGCCTCGACCCGCTCACCTACATGCTCTTCGGCGCGAACCAGGTCAGCATCGCCGACGGCGGCATCTACTGCGACGAGTGGCTCCCGGTGCGCGGCCACTTTGAGAGCCTCGACGACGTCGAGCGCCTCAAGGGCATCCTCGACGTGTGCATGCTGCGCGTCATGGAGGGCTGCACGCACGTCAAGCGCGGCCCGCGGCGCATTCAGCCGCAGCGCCAGCAGCAGCCAAAGCGCTGGGGCGAGGACGATGACGACGCCATCGAGGGCGAGCACGCCGAGGACGGCGCCGTGGACGCGTATGGCGACCGCTCCGACCTCTCGCTGGCGCCGCAAGAGATCGAGGAGTTTGAGCGCCTCACCTCAGGCATCGTCGGCATTCTCGACCACTACGCGCACGAGCGCTCGTGGAACGCCAGCCGCGGCAGCACGCGGCCCGCCACGCCGCAGGGCTATGGCGGCGGCTCGGGCCCCGGCAGTGCGTATGGCGGTGCCTACGGCGGCGTGCCCAACGGCGGCGGCGGCGCATACGGCAGCAGCGGCAGCGGCTACAACTCGCCCTACTCGGCCGGCCCGCCGATGGGCAACAGCGGCGGCGCCTACACGATGGCTGCGAGCTCGCTGGGCCTCAGCGGTGCGCGGCATAGCCACAGCGGGCCCGGCAGTGCCTACAACTCGCGCCCGGGCACGAGCGGCAGCGGCACCGGCCCCAGCAGCGGGCCCTCGGCGCTCGGCTCGTGGCGTCGTGGTGGCGCCTAGCGTGCGTGCGAGGCCCGGCGTGCTCGCTGGCCAGCGCCAGACGCACTTACTTACCCAAAAGACGACGATCTGTGATGCGACAATCTATTCTAGACGATTCCTGCGCTACAGCGTGTGCAAGCATCTCGTGATGGCAAACACATGCACGCAGGCTTGGCTGGCGGCTCTTCACGGGGTGTAGCCCTGCCCGACCTCTCCTGATCGGGTCCTGCCGGTCGACGCGCGTCGCACTCACACTCCCTCGCGGGGCACGGATCACATTCACTGTCAGTCAAGCACGTGGTGACAACGCTAGCGGCGCGGGGCATAGCGCATTGCAATGTCAATCGGAGTCTTGGGAAGGCCGAGGGCGACCTCGAGGCGGCCACGCAGCGTCTGGACGTAATGGAAGTAGGCGGCGCTGGCAGTGCGCGTGCCCGTGCCGTCCGGTGCCTCGTTGACCTTCTCGGAGACGGCCTTCCAGTCGACGTTGCGCTCGCCGGCCTCGAGCACGGCCATGCCGACGACGGCCGACTCCTTCTGCGTCCAGTGCACGCCCGGCCTCATCGACGAGGTGAAGCAGCCGCCGGTGTTGAAGACGTACCCGCCGCGTCGCTCGCTTCCTCCGCGAACCGCACTCGACGTCGGCCCACGCGCTGCCGTGCCTGCCTGCCAAGGGCTCAGCGGTCAGTCATGCGAGCATCAGATCAGCATCAGCACCATGCAGTCACCGAGGATCTGGACGGCATGGCGCGAGTCTCGATACGTGCACGCTTGTGCTGTCGGCGGGCCGGGTCATCCGCGGTGCTGTCGCCGTCGGAAGAGGCGGAAAGCGGTCGCTCGACCGACATCCCATCGTCTGTTAGTCGAGACGAGCTGCCTGTTGGCTGCGGGAGCGCTTCGACTGGCCGACGAACGCGTTCGCTGGGAGACGGGCTGCGCGACAGAGCGGTGCCGGTGCGCGGGCGACCGGTCGGTCCCAGGTGCGGCGCGCCAGGCATTTCCGATCTGTCTGCTCGCGCGCCGGTAGGAGTGGTGCTGGTCCTCGGGCTCGCAGGCGCAAAGACGAATGGCCGAAGCAGAGAGCGAGGCCGCATCGAGCTGGGCGGCGGAGGCGGCATCTCCTCGTCGGCGCGGTCGTCGTGAGCCTGTTGCTGCGCCACTGCGGCCGATGCAATCGCCGTCGCGAGTTGCTCGTCTGCCGCACGTGTGGGAGAGACGCCAGCCGGTCGGTTCAATGTCTTCGGCGGCGGCGGTGGCGGCGGAATGTCGTCCATCTCCTCGTCACCTCTCTGGTCAGCCGCAGCCTGAAGAGGGCGCACAGGCGTAGATACCTGCAAGACTGCCTTGCGAGGCGGCGGCGGGGGCGGCAGAACGTCCATGTCTCGGTCCTCGTCGGGCTCGTTGCTGCCGAGGAACAGCGGCGCAATGCGTCGCGAGATGATTGGCTCAACTGCGGCATCTTCGGCGTCAGAGTCGGTCATGTCGATGCTGATGGCGATGGCTTTGCGTGCCGAGCGCTGCTTCTGGGCCGGCTTGATATCGAGCATCTCTGTCTGGCTCCTTTCGCTCCGAACTGAGCCTGATGCACCTGCGGAGCGTCTCTCGACAGGCGCTCCGCTTGCTGGCACAGCGAACGCAGTCATCGTCGTCGCGCCGTCCTGCTGTTCGCTGGCAGCCGGCGTCGGGCCGACCGTCTCGGCTTCGCTTTGCATGACTACTCGCTGCTCGTTTTGCTCGTCTGTGCAGGACGTGAGTGCTTCGTCTTGCTCGTCTTCCGCAGTCGGATGCTCGGCAACGTGCGGCAGAGGCACACTCTGCCTCCTCGCGGGCGGCGACAGCTGAGTCTCTTGCCACTGGCCGTTCAACTCGCTGTTGCGGAAGAGCACCATGCGCGCCTCGAGGCGGAAGGGCTTGGCAGGCGGATAGCTGGCCGCGCGCCTGCGCTTGTTGACTGCCGAGCGACACGAGTCAGCCCGTGTGGATGGACTTGGCACATCTCAAAACTCACGAGCACGAGCGGCAGAGTCCTGCAGGACGGGGTCCAGTGCCGGCGACGAGAAGCACGTGGGAATCGCGAGGTCTTCCAGCCGCGGGAAGCCATCGGTATCGGGGTCATCGGTCGTGGCGGCGGCATCAGTGCGCCGCTCTGGCGCGCCTTCGTGTACGGTCTCGCTCGTCGCCTCGGGCATGGACGGAGGCACCGGCGCGCTCCCGGATGCCTTGGATCCGCTCGTCTGGAACGCTGCATTGACGGTTGGCACCGTCAGCTTGTAGCCAGAGACGCGGCGAGGCACGAGCTGAACGTGAGCACCGCGCTTGCTCTTCGGACCGAGGTCCTCGGCCTTGTCGCTGATCGCCATCGACTCGAGCCCGGCATCGACGAGGAGGAAGTCGTCGCGGAGGCCGGGCGGCAGCGGCACGCACGATCGCTCCCCGGCGGCGCGCGCTTCAAAGGCGAGGAATGGTATGTCTTCGCCGCCCGTGTCAGACGCAGTGCCCGCGAAGAGAGGACGCTGCGCCTGGTACATCGAGGCGGCGCCAGCTGCTGCCGCTGCGATGTGCGTCGAGGCAGCGCTAGTCGCTGCCGCTGCGACGTGCTCGACAGCGAGAGAGGAGGTAGACTCTGAAGCTTGCATGGTGTCGAGACGAATGCGTGACGAGACGAGCGGTTGAAGATGGGGTGTGAGGGAGCGGTGCGGAGGCGGTGAGAGACGGACCTGCTGTAGCAGAGCCGCCGCTGCTCGCGGAGCTCATCAAGGGCATCAGCTGCCTTCGAGGCCGGCAGTGGAGTATCGGCCCCGAATGAGCCAGAGCGGCAGAGCCGGCACCGGCAGGCCGAGGGAGCGCTGCCGGAGCACTGTGCCCTCTGGCCTGCCTCGGAGCGGCACGTTCATCTGTGTCAGGCGTGCTTTTGCTCGAGATCAGACTGGCGAGATACGAACTCGCTCGAGCGGGTTGTCTGACGGCAGCCAATATGCTGCTGCTAGCGGCCGCCGCCGTATGAAAGGTGAGCGAAGCATGAAGCTCAGGAGACGGGCACGGGCCGGCCGGTGTGCCTGGACCGCCAGACGGGCCATGCACTTGCGGGTGCATTCTGATTCGATTGACGGAGGGACGGCACTTGCGTCGCTGAGTGCTTGACCGCCGAAGGCTGGGGCGATGAGGTGGGAGGCGACACGCGCCGCAGCAGACGCAGGCGCGGCTGTGGGGCCGCCGCCGCCAAAGCGCTCATCAGCGGCCAGACGCGACGCGTGTGATGGGAAAGTGCCGCCGCGCCGCCGCCGCCCTCTTCTCGTCCCACCACGACAGCAAGCAAGAGAGCTGCTTCAAGCATGGACCGCGAACGCTCCGGCGCTGCTGCCTCGGCGATGGACAGTGCGTGCCCGCTGCGGCAGCGCCCCTGTCGCACAAGCTGACCGTGCGCTGCCCTGGCCGCAGCGCTGCACGACCTCTCCAGCCTGCTCAACACGGGCCTCACGCCCGAGCAGCTGCGCGCCTGCGTCGAGCTCATCGAGCAGGGCGTCGGGCCCGAGGCCGTTGCGGTGCGTCTCTCTGTGCGCCCCCGAGGCATGTGATAAGCGCTGCACTGACACACGCGGCACAGACGGCCGTCAAGGAGCTGCGCAAGGAGGCGGCCAACGCGCCCGCGGCACGCGACAAGTGACGGCGGCGCAGCAGAGCTCGATGCTGGATACCCCGCGCATGGCGTCGAGACGGTGACAGTCGGGTGTGTACAGTACAGAGCCGCACAGGGCGGCAGAGAATACAGGCTAGAGACGCGGGACGGATGCTGGCTGAGCGAGGCGCTTGCCCAAGGCGGGTGACAGGAAAGATGAGGGAAGAGAGCGCATCAGGCGCTGGGGAGCGCACGGTCCAGCGTGCTCCAGAGGTCCTCGGGCGGTGCGTGCGGGACACTTGCAGAGAGCAGCTGCGCAAAGTACAGTTCCACTGGACGGGACGAGTCGAGCGCCTGCAGCGCCTGTTCGATCGAGGCGGCCTCCGTCGCTGCGACCGCAGATGTGCCGAGGCGTGAGGCATCGGCCGGCGCCGCTTCAGAGTCGTGTTGCTCGACGTTCTCTGCGCCGTCCGGCACATCCGTGCCGAGCGGCGCACCGGATGTGTCCGGCTTGCCGGTGGCACGCCGGGCAGCCTCCACGAGGAGAGCGTGCGCCAGCTTCGCGGCGCCATCGCTCGCATGAACGAGGGCGGCGTCGATCTCCTCGCGGAGAGCAGCAGCAAGCGGCTCCTCGACGCCCTGACGCGCGCAGTTCAGCAGGTGCAGCGCGAGCACAATGGCCGCCGCGTGCGAGTGCCGGCGAAAGGTTGGAAACTGTGCGACAGAGGTGTCAGCGCGGCTCCTCAGGCAGCAGCTGCGCCGGCGCGAGCGACGCACCTTTCGCGCGGCCCACACGGTACGCTCCAGCTCAGCAGCGCAGAAGATGACAGCGCGGGCCGCTTCAACGCTCGCCTTGGCGGAGGCGCTCGAGTCGGGTGCTTGGCTGCCATGCATCAGGAGCGGTCGGTGAAGCGTGAGCAGGCAAAACTGCACGGCTTCCGTGAGGATGAGGCGCTGTGCGGCAAGACTGCGAGGCATGACATCAGTCGATGCTGCCGGCGGATGGTCGTCGCACTCACTGCGGGTGACGAGCTACGACGGCTCGCACCCGCTCGAAGTTCTCCGACTCGCCGTCGAGCCGCAGAAAGTCTGGCAGGTCCTGGGAGGTGTCGTGTGTCAGCCAGAAGATGCAGTGACAATGCTGAGCTGCTCACATCGATGAGCTGGCGACACTTTGCATGGAGCTCGAGCACGAAGGCAGGCTCGCGCTGTGCGGCCGGCTGCGCGGCCTTCAATTCGCGCACCAGGCTCGCGACGCGCTCGAGATGGATCACGAGCGTGTTCCTCGTCGGAGCGCTGCGCTTGGTCTCGTCGGGCAAAATGAAGGGGTCCGGTCCGCTGCCATCGGGCAGCTCGGCCTCGTCGATGTTGAGTGGAAGCTTCGTGCCGCCGGCCCGAGGCTCCGCGAAGCCCGCATCAGCCTCATCCGCCCAGAGGTCTGCGTGCATCTTGCTGACAGCGAAGAGCCGCCGCCCGGCCTCGCGCACGAGATGGCTGCGCTCCGGCAGCACGCATTGATAGCTGCCAGCGAGGTGGTCAGCGGAGCGGAGCTGCTGGCCGCAGCGCACTCACGTCGCTGCCTCGGCCCGAGGCTCCGGCGTCGACCAGAAGGGCGTGGTGATCTGGCCGGTCGAGCGGGCGCGGACCGTGCCTTGCGGAGGGCTCGGCGGTGGTGATGAGAGCCAGCGCATCTGATCGTCGTAAGCGCTTCCGAGGCGGTCCAGACCGAGCGTGGCGCAGGTGCGCAGCGTCTGGTGTCAGAGAGAGGCGTGTTCAACGGACGTGCCGGCGCAAGGGACGAGGACGACTCACGAGCGCGGCCATCGTGGCATGCTCATTGAAGCGGCTGCGCATAAGAGCGTGCTGGCGGCTCGTCGCTAGACACATGAGAACGTTGAGGTTCGCCTGCTCCATGAAGTCCACTGCCGAGAGCAGGGTCTGGCCCATCGCGCGGTACGTGTCCGTGAGCTCCTCGACCTCCGCCTCCGCGCGCACGATTTGGTTGTACATCAGCGTATGCGGCTCTGTGCACTCGACGCCTGCGGCAGCGAGGAAGAAGAGGAGCGCGAGGAAGGTCACGTCGAGCGTGGGCAGAGAGGCGTCACTGCCGCTCTGCTGCCAGTGCTCGAGCTCCGAGCGGAGAGCCTCCAGCTGCAGGTCGATCAGGCCTGTTTGCGGGGCGTCAGCGAGGCATGCGCAGCCACCTTCATGCGACTCACGGTGGCTGACACCGGTGGAGAAGCCGTTCAGGTGCAGCGACTTCTCCGCCTCAAGCAGGCCAAAGAGCTTCTCGTCGCGCGGCAGGAGATGGAGCGCATCGCGCAGCAGCGTCTCTGTGAGGCGCGCCGAGAACGGGAAGCGCGGCCGCGAGCTCGGCCCTGCTTCAGATCTGCTGTCGGCAGCAGTCTTGAGGGCGTCGAAGTCGAGGAAGCCGTTCTGCAGGCCGGTGTGGTGCCGGGCGATCATGGCAAGCGCATCTGCCGCGATGCCGCGTTCCAGCTCGGCGCCGGACAGGCCGCTCGCCGCGCCGGCCTGGCCGTCGGGCTCGTCACTGCTGCGCATCTCCGGGCCGAGCTGACCCATCTGATGCGCGGAGAAGTCTCCGTTCGAGCCGCTAGCCTCTGCTGAGCCCTGCCCATGGGCGGCCCCGCCAATGGCGCCGCTGCGCGCCTCAAATGCAGCCAGTGGGTCGGCTTGCGAGCCCAGATCGCTAGATCCGCCGGCGAGTTGCGCGAGCGTGTGTGCTAGCGCCGCCTCGAGACGCTGATTGCGTTCTGCCAGCCTGCCGTACTCGTCGCTCAGGCGCGCGACCTCCCTGAGGCCAAAGGTGCGTGAGCACGGCGAGAGCAACGCACTGTCTGGCACACCCCACTGACCCGTTCCACGCACCGCCCTGCGTCGATGACGACGCAGAAGCATTGTCGTTCGCTGCAGGCGCATACCAGCTCGAGTCGTACATGTCCGTCGACAGCGACGGCTGCGGCTGGAAGGCCGGGTCGACGTCGACGCTCCACGTGCACTCCATCTCTTCGATGTTGTACTTTTTGCACTGGCCGCAGTGCGGCTTCACCTTGTCGCAGCGCACCTTGCGCCTCTGGTGGAGCATGCAGATCGTCAGCTCGGCGCTCTACGACACGCTGCGGCGGCATTCCTCACCTTGCACGGCAGGCAGGTGTTGATCTTTCGCCGCTTTGACTGGCCGGCACCCGATGCTCTGCTGCGTGAGGTATCGGCGAGAGACTCATCATGCTGCTGCAGCATTGCGTGGTGCTCGTGCTCCCCGCTGCCGCCGTCATTGCGGGCAGCGGCCGCTGCAGCCGCTGCAGCGGCAACCACGAACTCCTCGGGCGTCTGCTGGTGCTCGAGGCCGCTGTGCGGCGAACGGCCGTGCTGCACGAGCGCTTGCTGTTCATCGTACGTCTGCGGCGAGCCGTCGCCGGCATGGCCCGCCTCAGAGCCGGCGGCCCTGGCAGCAGCCGCGGCTGCATGCGCCTCGGCCTCCTCGGCATCGGCCGCCGCCTGTTCCTCGTCCGCCTGGTGCTGCGCCGCTACCGCCGCCACGGCCGCCGCAGCATCAAGGGCGCGCTGATGCGCAAAGAGCTCGGCGTCGTGCTGCTGCGGGTCCATGGCGCCGCCCGTCGGCCGCTCGCCGCTCTCGCTGCGGCTCGCGGCAGGCTGCAGCGGCGCGGGCAGAGCGAGGGCGAGGTGGAGGACAGAAGCGCGCGGCTGCACAGCAGGCTGGACTCGAAGCCAGTGCTGGCGTGCGGCGGCGCAGAGCGAAGTGTCTGCGAGACGGCGAGCTGCGAGGCGTGAGAGTGGTGCGAGCAGGGAGGTGGATGTAGGAAGAGGGCGCGAGAGGCGTAGGTGCGCACCTACGTCTGGCCGACTTCCGCATTCTCGAGCCTTGGGCCAAAATCCTGGCGCACGTGACGCCGGTACGCATCTCCCGCCGCCGCGCGGCCGTGCGGCCGCTCTTGGCTGCACCACACCACCACCCACTGCTACTTCGCACTCGCGCACCGCTGCACCGCAAGGATTATGTCACTATTCGCTATAAAGAGATAGGCGCACGCAGCCTCGGCCGCGGCGGGAGAAGACGAAGAGGGCGGGCCCAGGCGAGGCATGCCGGTGCGCTGGACGGCCACGCCGCTCAGGCGCCGCGCACCTCCTGGTACGTCGGGTTGTTGAGGTCGTACGGCACGGCGCCGGCAAAGACGCCCTGCTTCTCGATGCTGAGCGCCGGGATCGACGCGCCCTTGGCGTCGGGCGACCACAGCGACACGGCCAGCGTGTTGGTGCCGTTGAGGTTGAGGATGCCGGGCGGGATGGGAAAGTTGACCTGCGGGCCAAACTGCACGAAGCGCTTGCCGTACTGCCAGCCGTTGACGAAGAGCATGCTGCGCCACACCTGCGTCGCATCGCTGGCGTTGCCGCCGTACACGATACTCAGCGGGATGTCGTGTCCCGCCGGCAGCGCAAGGTCGAACGAGGTGCGGAAGAACTTGACGCCTGCACCCGCGACGGCGTCCGAGGCGTTTGGCGCGCCGCTGGCCCACTGCGAGTCATCGAAGCCCGGCAGGTGCCAGCCCTGGCGCTCTCCGTAGAGGCCACCCTCGTTGAGCGGGCCACGCGTCTTGTCGGGGAAGTCCACGCCGCCGCGGTTCCCGGTGACGCTCCATGCCAGCGATGCATCGACCGTAGCATTGCCGGCCAGCAGGTCGAAGCCGAGGATGCCGCGCGGCTGCTTTGTGTTCTCGCGCGGGTACTCGTAGCCCTCGGCGCTCTCGATCGAGCCGATTTCTTCCAGGCCCGTTGAGTCGATCAACACCGTAAAGACGTTCTCGCCGTCCTTTAGCGCATCGGCTGGCAGATCAAATGTCGCGTTGGCCACTTGCGTGTCCGTCGGCACGTCCGTAGCGCCCACAAGCTGGCCGTTGAGCCACGTCGACGAGGCAAAGAACTTGCCGCCAATGTATCTGACGGCCAGGCGCGTGGGCGCGCTGCCCGAGTCGTTGCGCGAGAAGCGCGCCTGCCACAGGACGGCACCCTGCGAGTGGAAGCCGTATGCGCCGGCGAAGAGGACGTTCTTCGTCGTCGCCTCGCCGAACCAGGCGTTTGGCGTGCTCGTCAGATTGGCGCTCTTCCAGATGTCATCCGGGACGTAGTCGGCGGCGATCTCGGGCAGCGAGTCGGCCACCTTCCACTGCGTCAGCGCCGGCGCCTCGTACGCCTCGGCCTCCGAGGATGCACCGTCGAACGCCGCAACGATCGAGCCGTAGTCCGTGCTGCGCGAGGACGTGGCCTGCGCGCCGTTGAACGTAACGCTAGTGACAGCAGAAGGGGCGACGATCTCGAGCGTGGAGCTCGTGCCGTTCAGCTGGCCGAACAGCGCGAGCACACCGGACGACGTGCTGGCGTTGGCAACGTGGTAGGCACCCTGCACGACGATGCGGTCCGTACGGCCGAGGATGCCGTCGAGCGAGGTGATGTTGGCCTCCGAGGGGAACGTCAGGCTGCGCGCATAGAAGCTGTCGCCGAGGCGGAAGAGGATGTCCGAGCTGCCCGAGCGCGTGGCCGTCACGGTGAGGGCGCCGCTGGCGATCGGCGTCCAGTTGACGACATTGTCGCGGATTGTCACGCCGTCGTCGCTGCTCGACAGCGTCCAGCCGCTCTCGAGGGCAAACTCGTAGTTCTGGCCCGCCTCGCCGTGCAGGAAGACGACGTCGCGGCTGTCCACAGCGCCGGCGAAGCTGACATCGGCCGTCGAATACGTCAGCACGGTGCCCGAGGGCAGCTTGAAGTGGATCGGCATCATGACGGCGTCGCGGCCGTTGAGCGTCGCTTTACCGTTGGTCGGCAGCGTGAGCTGCTGCCCAGCGGCGTCGACGGAGATGCGGAATGTCGTCGTGGCGCTGGACGACGAATCGGCTTGGCGCACAAAGTACCACGCCGCGTCGCCGTTGGCCAGGTGCGAGACAGCCACGTCGCCGTCCTGCTCCAACACGCCGAGGTTCGTGCCCTGCAGCACCACGCTCGCCGCCGCAAACGCCGGAAAGGACTGCACAAACGAGCCGACGAGGCCGATCTCGCCGAGCTTCTCGCGCTTGATGCGCTTCTCGCTGATGCCGGCGCCGTAGTCGTAGCTCGTGTACACGAGGCCGCCGTACGCCAGGTTGCCCCAGTTGGTGCCGCCGAAGCCCATGTAGTTGGACTTCAGCTTGATGCCGTCGCTCAGCGCCCCCTTCTCAAATACGCGCACAAAGCTCGAGTTGGTGAGCAGCGCGCAGTTGTCGTACGTGCTGCCGCCCCAGGCGTCGTACGAGCCGCCTTGAAACTCCGGGATCGTCGGCGGGTTGCTCGGGCGCAGCGTCGAGTAGGACGTGTAGTTGTCTACGCGGCTCCACGTGTCGGGGCGCGCGCAGTCGAAGCTCTGCGGGTACGAGTCCTTGCCCCAGATGTCAAGCGTCGTCGAGTTGACGTAGTCGCTGGTGCCCGAGAGTGCATTGAAAGTCGTGGGCACCGTGACGTTGTTGGCGTGGTAGAAGCTGATGATTTCATCGAAGTACGCCTCCATCGACGGCGTCTGCTGAAATTCGTTCTCTACCTGGTATGCCAGCACGGTGCCTCCGCTGCCGTCGGCCTTGTACTGGTACGGCACGGAGGCGTCGACGACGGCCTTGACGTAGGGCTTCCAGGCGTCGGCGAAGGCGGACGTGTTGACGCGCAGCTGCGTCTCCAGGTTCTGCACCCAGCCCGGCATGCCGCCGTTGTTCGTCTCGGCGTTGATGTAGGGGCCCGGGCGCACGATGACGAAGAGGCCGAGCTCCTTGGCGATCTGCAGGAAGTCGGCCAGGCGATTTGCCGGCGCCTCGAGGCTCACCGAGGCGGCGTCGGGCGAGGGCATGATGAGGCCCCAGTGCGTGTAGATCGAGATGGTGTTGACGCCCGATGCCTTGAGCTTCGAGAGCGGGTCGCGCCAGAGCGACGGCACCGGCAGGCGCCACGGGTGGAACTCGGCGCCGTAGAGGAGGACCTCCTCGCCGTTGATGCTGAACGCCTTGCCGTTCCACGACACGGGGCCGGCGCTTGTCGCCTGGCGTGCGGCGAGGGGCGACGAGAGGGGCAGCACGGCGGCCGACGTGACGCACGCGGTGGCCGCCAGCAGCGCTGCCCAGGCAGGTGAGAAGGCTCGCATGGGGGGGGGGGGGGGGGGGGGGGGGGGTTGAGTGCGCCGCCGTCTCGCTGCCTTGAGCAAGGCCTCTTATAGGCGGCGAATTCGCCGATGTCGATACAGAGTCAGCGCCGGCGGCGCCGGCGGCACTGCACGGCGGCGGCGAGGACGCCGGCGGGAGCGAGGCATCATCCTGCAGCTCGCCGGCGGGCCGGGCGACAGCACCTGAGACGTCAAGACGTCAGCGCTCGACGGCGCCCTCCGCTTTCCCCGCACGCGGCGGAGAAAGGCGCGGCGGACAGCCAGATTGCCGCACGCTAACGCGCCCGCCTCCGCGTGGAGCGACGGGCGCCGGCGCTAAGCAGCGAGATCCGCAGCGCCGGCGTCGATCGAGCGAGGCTGCGCTCCCACCCAAGGGCCGGCAATCTGCTGCAGCAGCGACTAGAGCTGCTCGGTTGCAGCGGCTAGCGCCCTGCCCTGTGCCTCGCCGTCACGCGGGGCATGCTGCGAGAGATGATCTCCGGCCCGCGGCGTCATGCGCAGCCGGCTTCGTACCACAAGCCTTCCCCACACCCTCCACACACACGCGTTGCACGGCATCGTTCAGCTGCAGTATGCACAGGGTCTGGCGAGACCAGACGAGGAGGAGAGACACAGGCACGACATCGAGGAGCGCCAAGGCCGGCGTCGGACACCGTACGAGGCGCACGCCGCCCGGCCAGCCCGTAGAGTGCGCAAGCCATCCATCGCTGCATGCGTAGCGCAGAGTCTGTCGTGTCGCACCACGCCTCGCCCGGCCGCCTCAGCGCCAGCCCGCGGCACTGTTGGGGCGCGAGATCGTAGGCGTGCCGGGCCGGCTGGGGTATGGCGTGTTCGGGAAGAGCTTGAAGCGCAGGCGGTGCAGCTGTCATGCGGCGCGAGGCATGAGGCACCGTTCACGCAGCACAGACACGGCGGGGCACTCACAATTGGCAGCTTGGGCAGCAGCACAAAGACGGTCGCGACAAAGTTGAGCGCAAAGAGCCACGGGTTGTAGCGCGTGTAGTGCGTCGAGATGAGGAAGCTGCGGGCCACAAGGCATGAGCACGTGTCCCTAGGGCCTGCCACTCCACTTCGCACACTCACAGCCCAATCGGCACGCTGGTGAGCCACTTCTTCGCGGGCGTGTACTGCGCGCCGTGGTCGATTTGCTCCCAGAGCGTATATGCGTCGTACGCGCCGGCGTTGCTCTCGAACGGCGTGCCCTGCACGTAGTGGAACATGAGGTAGGACAGCTGCGTCGCGGCCGAGCGTCAGCGACTGTCTGCTCGGCGATTCCTGCAGAGCACATGGCGGCCACACTAGCACCCCATGCCAGTGCCAAGAATGCCGCAAGCCACCGGTGCTCGCAAGCTGTCTTTCTGCGCATGTCGCCGCTGCACCAATGTTGCTCTGTGCACACTCACCGCGATATAGCTCAGATTGACACATGTCCAGCTCGTGTCCTGCTCCATGCCCGGCACCACGTCGAGCAGGATCTTGCCCACGACGATCAGGACGACGTGGATGACCCACGCGCCCTTGTAGTTGACCCACTCGGCGTTGGCGTTGAAGCCGGCGGACTGGTCGAGGAGCTCCACGGGCGACATCTGGATCTTCTCGACGTGCACAATCGAGCTCGAGCGCCGCCGATTTGACGGCCGGTCCAGGCCGCCCGTCTTCTCCTCGAGGTCGCCGCTGCCCGCGCCGCCGGCGCTCGGCGGCGTGATGGTGAGCGTGGGCGGCGCGGCGGGCGGCGAGCGCGAGCCGCGGTGCACCGTCGACGAGAGCGTCGGCGACGGCGTCGGCGTCGCAGACGCAGAGGTCGACGACATCTGGGCGCAGCGCGGAGCGTCAGCCATGCAGGCGAGGGATGTTTCAGGCGCGAGGAAGTGCGCCTCTCCATCAGCACCGCGGGCCGGCATGCCAGCAAGCGCAGAGCACTCAAGATGCACATCGCTGGCACCGCGGCCGCGCACAAACCGAGGCCGAGGCGTCAAGCACGGCCGTCAGACGTGCCTGGGTGATAGACACAACGCGAGCGGCAGCGGTGGCAGACACCATGGCGCCGCCATCCGCTCCTCGGCGGCGCAGCCGGCAGTCTCGGCTGCGAGGCCCTCCTCGTCGCCATGCGGCTGTGGCTGCATACAGGGCGCAGACTCGTGCCGCGACTCACTGTGTCTTTCAAGCGCAGCTAGAGCGTGCGGCGGCAGTGCCTATGCAGTGCACAGCGCGCAGAGAGAGCTGCCTGGCGGAGACGCCGTGCCTGCGATAGAGACGCGGGCTGGCAGGCGCGCGGGAAGAGCGGCGGTGCGACGACAGCGGATGTGGCCGTGCAGCGCAGCGTGAGAGGTACTGGCGAGGCAGCGCGGGCGTGAGCGTGACGTGGAGCGAGTGTGGTGTGGCAGGCGCAGAGACGGGACAGGGGTGTCGGACGGTGCGGATGGGTGGAGCAGGCCACGCCGCCGCGCAGCAGCGCCGACGACGAAAGCGCGCAGCAGCAGCAGCCACACGCGCCGCCGAGCTGCGTCAGGCCACCGGCGGCACGGCCCGCGTGCCGGAGCCGCGGCGCCGAATGCTGAATACAAGTCGCGCACCCGCCAGCTGAATTCTCCCGGCGCGGCAGTTGTACTCGAGTCGGCTGAGCCGCGGCTTTATCCGCTCCCTCGCCATGCTCGCGCCGCTGCCGCGCGCGCACGCAGCGACGCAGGCGGTGGAGAGAGAGGAGCATGCGCTCGCAGGGCAGCATGCGTGCACCGTGCTCCGTGCTTCGCCCGCAGCCAGACGTTGCAGGGGCGCCACAGACGGCCCGCCAGTCCGCACAGCACACCAACCCGCTTGCTCGTCCATCTCGGGCAGCTGCTGTAACGTGATCATTGCACCTCTCTACGCCGCCATCGGCCGACGGCGGGCGCCTGGCGACCCGCGCAGCGGGCCCAGGACGCGGCATCCCAATCCAGACTCTAGCGTTTCGCGCACAGGCCGCGGCGGGCCCGGCTCTACTCTCGCGTGCGCGCTCAGGCGCTCTTGGCAATGCCCTTGACCTCGTTGGCCGCCTGCTCGGCCAGCTCCTGCGTCCGGTGCGCCGTCGTCGCGGCCAGGTCCGCCGTCTTGTGCGCCACGGCCTGCACCTTGGGGCCGGCAATGGCCTCCTTGACGTAGTCGGCGAACGAGACCCTGGCGCGCGGCGCTGTCAGCACGCTGTGCGTCTCTAGGGCGCCCTGTGTGCGACACTCACATGCAGATCGTCTGCCAGATGCCGAGGAAGATGCGCGGCGTCACGCCGCGGTACAGGCCCTTGATGCCGTTCTCCTTGTAGATGTAGCCTGCGCGGCGCGTCAGTGTGGGGCCCGCTGGCCTGCACGACTCTACGCACTCAGCGTGTTGCCAATCGTGAGGTTCGTCGGGCGGTTGGAGCCCGGCTCGGCCTTGGCCATCGACTGCATCTGTTGCGCAGCCACACTCGTGTCAGCAGCGCGACTGGCAGCAGCACATCTCAAGCACTCACCTCGACACGGATGACCTCGATGGGCTGGTTCCAGCAGCCGAGGGCGCCACCGATCGACGAGCACAGGATGCGCTCGGCGCCCGACAGCTTCTCGGCCTCCGTCTTGCCCGACATGGCACGCACCGGCGTCTCGGCGAGGCGGGCGAAACCCATGCTGAGAATGCAGCGTCAGCGCATGTGTATGAGGGAGGAGCGCCGCAGCGGCGACCCGCACGAGCCGCATCGCGGCGCATTGCTCGAGCTGCGCAGGACCTGCTCTGCCGAGCGATATGCAGATCCGCACCTCGTCGCCGCACTCTCCACGCGCCTGCCGCACTGCACTTACCGGCTGCCCCAGTTGGTGCACTGCCGTACGGCGACGGCGTTGACGCCCTTGTTGATGCCCTTGATGCCCTCGCGGCGGTAGATGTCCATGAAGACGGTGAACGTGCCGGGCGGCTTGATGCCCGAGGCGGCCTGCTTGTGGCGCGTGATCTCGGCCGTCTTCATGCAGGTGCAGAAGCCTGGACGATGATCAGCGCTGGTGCCGCACATGGCCCCTCCTGCTGCGGCTCACCCATCGTGGCGTAGGCCTGCGCAATGCCGCCGCCCATGCCGCCGAGCAGGCCCGAGGCGCCGGCGCCAAAGCCGTTGCGCGACGCGACCTTTTCGATCTCGGCGCTGGTGAAGATGAGCACGCCGCCCTTGGTGCTGGCCTCGATCCAGGCCCAGGGGATGAGGCCCTGGTAGAAGCCGAGCACGCCGCCGCGCGACCAGACGGTCTTGAGCGCCTCGGCCATCGACGCCTTGCGGTTCGACGCCATCGTCGTCTTGATGACCTCGAGCGGCTGGCCGAGCGTCGAGACCTCGAACATGCTGCGCGGGGTGTGAGTGGGGGTGGTGCGCTGGCTGCGCTGGGCGGCACGCACTTCATCGTCGCGCCGACGGCGATGTTGGACCAGCTGAAGCCCTTCTGCTGCGGCGCCATGGTGGGCGAGTGTGTGCGGGGGTGACGGGGAGCGGGTGGGACGGTGACAGAGGCAGGCGAGACGGAGACGAGCGGTGCGAGGCAGGATCGGGGTCGGGTGGTGGCAGGAGAGAGGGAAGCAGCAGCACGGCGAGGCGCGGGCACAGCGAGGCGCGTCTTCTGGGGCAGGCCGGCCGGCACAAGAGCAGCAGCCTGAGCAGCCGCGGCACGCGCACCTTGCATCCGCAGCGCTCAGCTCGAGAAGATGATGCACTCTCGCGCAGCGTGCGTGCCTCAGCGGCTGCCAGTGCAGGCCTCAGCGCGCAGGCTGGATGCTGCTCCCTCTGCTCGCCGCTCTCGGACCGGCCCTCGCTCGCTGTGGCTGCTGGCCTGCAGGCGGCGCTCCAAGAGGCACGCCGACGACGGCAGCGCAGGCGCGAAGACGGCCGCACGCACGCAGCGGCGGCGCGCGGGAAGCAGCGGCGGGGCAAGGGCGTGCCGCACGCCGGGCACGGGAGCAGTGTGCGCACTGACCACGCGCGCCGGGCTCTGGGGCGGCCCAACGCGGCGCTCGCTGCGGAGGGCCAGCGGAGTGCAACACCGCGCGCACCCGTCGCACATCCTCCGCAGCAGCCAGTGCGACACGGGCGCTCGACGATGACATGCTGTTCTAGCACGACCCTCTGACTGCAGAGCAGCAGCGAGACCAGCTCACTGCAGCGGCGTCCAAGCTGTTGGAGGCGCGCGCGAGAGAGCCTCCGCCATCCGCGCGGCGCGTCCGACCCAAAATTTCAGCCGCACAAAGCCGCGCCGCGCCCGCGGCGTGCGTGCCTGCTGGCTGCGAATGCTCGCGAGCGAGGTGGAGAGGCCTTGTGAGCGTCGCAGGCGCACCTGCAGCTCGCTACATCTGCGACGGACACGAGCAGTGAGGGCGGCCTCATGATGCATCCCTGCTTCCAGACTGACCCGCGCTCGAGCTCTGGGCAACAGCCGTCCTGCAGGAGGGACTACGTCACGGTTCATATACGCTATGGCGGGCCGCCTAGAATTGGCGCCCGTATGGCCAAGTGGCAAGGCACCTCACTTGTACTTTTGATGGATGAGGCGATCGCTGGTTCGATTCCGGCTGGGGGCATGACTTTTGCACCCCCTTTTTGCTGCCCTCGGCACCGCCCTTCACTCACGCGCGGCGTCACGGGTAACAATGCTGTATTGCATGCGGCAGCGGCACCCTGCTGTCCAGACAGCGGCGCTCTAGCGTCTAGGCGCGCGCGCGCGGGGCTGAGACGCGCGCGGCGCGCTGCTGCGACGCGCTTGTGCGCACCACCCACGCCATCAGCGAGGTGATGCCGCGCAGGAGGTCCGGGCGGTAGCGTGCGGCGCTCGTGATGACGCCGATGCTGAGGCCGAACAGGATGCTGCGGTCGGGTGAGCACATCGCTGCAGGTGGCCACGACGCTACGGCTCACCGTTCAGCCATGAGCGCACTTGGCGCGCCGCCGCTGGCCCAGCCGGGCTTGGCCATCTCGGCGCACGCCATGAGCGCACGCGGCGCGACGTACAGCGCCATCTCGGCACGCTTGCGCTTGTCCTCGATGAAGACGGACCAGCCGCACGTGAGCGAGCCGAGCATGGGGCCGAGACCGGCGTCCCAGAAGCGGTGCGAGACGCTGGGGAAGAGGCGCGGCAGGAGGAGCGAGCGGCCGAGGCAGACCATGAACCTGCGCGCGTGGAGTCAGCCTCACAGCGACGGCGGCCGGCGACACGGGACGCACCAAATGCTGGCGGTAAACGTGGAGATGAACGCCGAGCTGCGGGCGCTGCCCTGCAGCACCTTGATGAAGCTGTCCAGCGGCGTGCGCACAAACTGCTTCGGATTGAAGAGCAGGCGCGGCACCAGCTGCACGGGAATGTAGATGCCCATGCACATGCGCCACGCGCGCAGCCAGCGCAGCGCCGCGTTCTTCCAGCAGTTGCCGCCGCCCGTGCCGCAGTGCACCAGCTCGCAGGGCATGCCGCCCATCTCGCCGCGGCCGCGCGGGCCGCAGGCGCCGGCAAAGATGAAGCCCGGCTCGCCCTTGGGCTCGCGCAGCGGCTCGCGCTCGGGCGCCTTGCCGGCTGCACGCAGCGCCGCGTTGTCGGCGCGGGCCTGGGCCACGAGCTGGCGGGCGTGTGCGGCGCTGTGCGGCATGCGCGACGGGTCGCCCCACTCGTAGGGATGGCCGAGCGACTCGGAGAGCCCGCCGAGGAGCTGGATGCCCGCCGGCGGCACGCGCGAGTCGGCATAGCGCCACAAGAAGGGCTCGTCGCTGCGCAGGCAGCGCAGAGCGACCAGCAGGCGCTCGTCCATCGTCGCGAGGTTCGAGATCCTACAGGAGAGTCAGCATACGCGCCAGGATCAGGGCGGCACGGCGACTCACCACTTGACATACGTCGGCGGCAGGCGCTGCGGGTGGTAGAACCAATTCCACATGATGACCGCTGCGAGAGAAAGTGAGCCCCTGCCAGTGCAATTGTCGCGCTTGGCGGCGGCTCACCGCAGGCAACGACAAACGTCAGGCCTTCTGCCTGGCTTGCGGCAGCCGAGGCAGCCTGAGACACCAGGCCCTGGCGGCGCGTGGGCAGACGGAGGCCTGCGTCTGGGCCGCCGAGGCCATTGATGCCATGGCCCTTGGGACGGCCCTTGCTGGCCGGGCCGAAGAGCGTGCGCAGCGCAGGCACGCCGCGCAGCACCGTGTCGAGGGCGCGCACAATGGCCACGAGCGTAATGTCGATCGTCGGACTCGGGCGCTTCGGCCTCGCAGCCTTGCTCGCCGCCTCTGCCTCGCTCGCGGCCGCGTCAGCGACGCCCGGCGACGACGGCGGCTCGAGCAGCGGACTCGGCGGCTCGTTGCCGTCGGCCGGCAGCGGCGTCACGTCGCGAGCGGGCGAGAGCGGGCCGACCGAGAGCGCGGGCGTGGCGGGCAGCGAGAGCGCAGTGAGGCGCGAGAGGAAGTGGCCGCCGGGCGCCAGCGGCGTGGGGCGCGACGAGCGCGCCTTGAAGCTCGGCCCGCGGCGGAACGGGTTGAGATGGCTGAGCGCCGAGCGCGGCAGCACGGGCGAGAGCGGCGCGGCACTGCCGCCGAGCGTGGGCAGCGCCTTGCTGCCCGACGCCGCCGCACTGGCCGACGCCGGCGCCGGCGCATGCTGCAGCAGGTACAGCGCGGCGCCGCTGGAGAGCGTCGAGGCGAAGAAGGTGGCCGCGACGCGCAGCTGGAACGCACGCTGGCGCGCCCGCACATGCACGCCCGGCGCCCCGGCGCTGCTGCTGGGCGTCGGCAGCGCGAGCAGCAGGCCGAGGGCGCTGCGCAGCACCCGCTCGAGCGCGGCGCTGCCGGCGAGCGCAAAGGCGGCCGCGCTGGCCATGCCGTGCGGGCCGAGCGCGACGAGGAGCGCACGCCCGAGGCGCGCCAGCAGCAGCGGCACCTCGCCCAGCGCCGGGCGCACGCCGTCGGCCCACAGCGACGTCGGCGGCGCACGGCTGCCCTCGGCACTGGCACTGCCGTCGGCGCTGTGCAGGCGCACGCTGGGCGGCGCGGCGCCGCCCTCGGCGCGCACGGCGCGCTCCTCGCGCTGGCGGCGGCGCAGCTGGGTGAGCAGGCGCGTGTGCGTGACGCCGAAGCGCAGCAGCAGCTTGAGCAGCGCGGGCAGCACGTCGAGCACGTAGCCGAGCACGTACGCCTTGAGCGCCGGCTGCAGCGCCGCCGGCACGCGCTGCGTCGGCGACATGCCGGGCGCGGGCCGGAGAGGCGGAGAGAGAGAGAGGGGTCAGAGAGCGTGGGAGCGGGAGCGGGAGCGGGAGCGGGAGTGTGTCGTGTGGAGCAGGCGAGTCGGCGTCGGCGTCGCAGCGGGCGCACGGCAGAAAGAGGTGGCACGGAGCGGCACCCGCGGTGCTGTGGCAGGAGTGCGGCTGGCTGGCCGTGGTGGTGGTGCGGAGGCAAGGTGTGTGCGGTGATGAGGGTGCCGACTGCAGCCGATGCACGCTGTCCGGCGGCTCAGGGTCGCTGCCGTGCCGGAGCGCGTGGGGCGCCGCCACGCCGCGCCGCGCCGCGCCGCGATCTTCTGGTGCTAAGGCTCGCGCTGGCAAGCGGCCTCTCCTCGCGTGCCTCGCTCGCTTGTGCTCGCGCTCGTCCCGATGCACGCCGCGCACGTCAAGGGGGCCCCGTGACAGCGCATGGCAAGCGTCAGGGCGCCTGATCCGCCCGGTTGCGATACACCCGCACTCCACACGCCGCTCCGCCGACGGCATCCACGTTGCTCCACGCTTCTCCACGCTGCTCAGGCCTGCCGCAGCCCATGCGCGCTGCTCCTGCTCACACGAGCAGTCGGGTGCGGGCGCGGCGCTGTGCCGACGCCACACGCCCGCAGCTTCTCTTGCGACTATCCGCAGCGAACCGGGCGTCGCACCCATGCGCATAAGCGCTCCATTGCCGCAGCCCGGGGTGCTGTGGAGCGCATGCGGCACCAGGGATTGGGCGACTGGGTGTGACACAAGCGGGTCGTGCGGCATTGCACGTCACTCGCCGCTCGCATCACTCGCCCTGCTCAGGAGTGCCATGTCATTGCCAGCTCGGCTACGGATAGAAGACACGCGAGTAGGCGGCGACGGGCGCACGGCACGTTGGACAGGCGTGTGCGCCCTCGCCTGCCGCGTCGCCGCGCTGCGGCCGCGAGGCCATCGCGTCGCGGCACGCATCGCACAGCGCCAGGCAGCGGCACGGCCAGCAGATGATGCTGCGCTCCTCGGCCAGGCAGATGACGCACGTGCGCCGCCGCTCGCGCTCCTCGCTGCTGCTGCGCGGCGGCGCCACGGCGGCCGTGCCGCTCGAGCGGCGCTGCGCCAGCACGACGGGCAGCGACGTGCCGGGCACGAGCTGCGCGAGGCGGGCGCGCGTCAGGGGGCCCGAGGAGCTTGGCCGGCTGAGGTGCGCCATGAGGACCTGAGCGAAGGGCACGCGCGAGCTGATGCCGTCGGCGGCCCAGGAGCCGTCGTCCTCGTCGTCGTCGAAGTCGAGCCGCGCGAGCTGCAGTAGTGTCGCTGCGTCCGTCTCTTCGTCCTCGTCGGCAGGGCCGGGCGCTGCAGGCCAGCGGCTCCGGTCTTCGCCCTTTGCGCCCAGTGCCAGCTGCAGGCCCGCCAGCGAGCCGCCGCGGACGACTCTCCGGCCGCGTTCAGCAGGCACGTCCTCGGCGCCGCTCTCGCTCTCCGTCTCGCTCTCCTCGGCCGCACTGGCGCGCCACTCTCCGTCGCTCGCCTCTTGCGCCTGCTGCTCCTCCAGCAGCTCGGCGACGTGGCGCGACAGTGTCCTCGCACGGTCGAGGCAGCGCGCCACGCCCGTGCGGTCGCCCTTGGCCGCGTAGCGGCTGACCTCGCCGCCCAGGCGTTCCCAGTCGCGCTCGACGCGCTCGCGTTCGAGACCCTGCAGAGCGTCGAGGCTGCCACCCACGCGTTCGATGAGCTGCTGCGTCGTCTTGGCGGCAGCCTTCTCCTGCGCGCGGATGGCGCGGCGCGCCTCGCCGTTTGTGCCGTGCCACAGCAGGCGGACCCGGCGCGGCCAGCCGCGCATCCTCGCTGGCAGCGGCACGCGCAGCGCCGGCAGCGGCAGAGCATCGACGAGCATGCGCAGCAGGTTCAGCATGATGCGCAGCCCCGTCTCGGTGAAGCGCGCCAGCTCGGAGAGGTAGATGCCGCTGGCGAGAATGCTGAGGGCAGTGCGAGGGCGCGTGTCGTGGCCCATGCGCACTGTGCGCACCTCACGCTGCAGCCCGCCGGGCGCATACGCCGAGAGCTTCGTGTCGCCAGCGGCGGTGAGCGCGCGGGCGGAGTGCACCGTCGCACCGCCCGACGCCGAGAGCTCGAGCCAGGTGCCGAGCGGCGTCGGCACGCCGCCCAGCTCGTTGGAGAGGCCCGAGAGGCGCGTGGACTCGAGACACGCCGTGCCGAGCTTGAACAGCGCCGTCGAGTAGTCGTCGCCCATCGCCGGCAGGTTGGCGCGCGTGAAGACCAGGCGCGAGGTGTCGATCTGGGACGGTGTCAGCTGGCGAACGGGACTGGGCAAACGAGGCGGCGACGCACCGAGCCCTCGGTGACGAGCATGGTCAGGCCGTGCAGGAAGATGGTGAGCAGCACAATGAGCTGCGCAGCGCGACGTCAGCCGGGCAGCATGCGAGCCGCGCCGCGCACACGCACAATGAGGCCAATGTCGAGCGCACGGCTCTGCACAAAGGGCAGCGAGCGGCCGCTGAAGTGCGCGAGGGCGTAGTGCGCCGTGGCGGCGAGGCCGAAGAACGTCGAGACGGGCAGGCGCGGCACGGGCGCACGGCGCAGGCTGAAGAGCTCGAGGCAGTACAGCTCGCCCATGTCGAGCAGGAAGCTGAGCCACGCGTGCTTGTCGGGCGTCAGGCCGCCGACGGAGTAGAGGTGGCAGAGCATGGCGTAGCACACGATGCCGAACGGGTTGTTGTACTGCGCGCCGTGCATGCCCGGCGCCCGGCCGTCGGCACGCTCGCCGGGGCGCACGCCCTCGAGCGCGGCGATGAGCGTCGAGAACAGCACGCTGATGCACGACGCCATGAAGATGCGCCAGAGCAGCTCGTCGATGCTGAGGCGTGGCGGTGCCAGGTGGGCGGCGCGCGCCCACTGCCACTGCGCCGCCGTCTGGTGCGCGAGGCTGAGCAGCGTGTGCGAGAGCAGCGCCAGCGACGGCAGGCGGAAGGCCAGCTTGACGAGCGGCGAGAGCGGGCGCGCCTGGCGCGGGCGGCAGAGGTGCTGGATGCGGTTCAGCAGCACGGCCTGGCGGTGGGCGTCAGCAGTGAGCAGCGCAAAGGGCTCGAGCACACGCACGAGCACGAGCAGCACGACGGCGTAGTGCGAGCTGAAGAAGGCCAGCGAGCCGAGGCTCGGCGGCTCGCCGCCCGCGCCGCGCCCGGCGGCCAGCAGCGGCGGCGCCTCGGGCGGGCGCGTGGGGATCGGCGGCCGCGGCGGCTCGCGTGCGAGGAAGGACATGCCGCTGCGGCGCCGCGGGTGCGTGCGGTGCGGAAGGGGCGGATGCGGCGAGCGCGCGTGAGGGCAGTGAGGGGTGATGGCGGGACGCAGGGTGCTTGCGGGGATCGCGGGTGCGGAGAGCCGCCGCCAGCAGCGCGCCAGGTGGAGCAGGCGTCAGCCGGCGCGTGAATAGCGAATTGCCGCGGGGCAGTTGTAGTGCCGTGGCAGTGCGCACTACAACGGCGCCGGCGCCTGCTCCCACGCGCCCTCGCCTCCCACCTCCATCATCATGCTCGCCCTGGCGCTGCTCGCGCTCCTCGCGCTGCTGCCGCCCAGCCGCGCGTCGACGTGGCTGTGCAAGTGCACCTGCTTCGGCACCAACACAACCATCCTGCCGCTCATGGCGCCCGCCGCGGGCAGCGCCGGCGCCGCGGGCCCGTGCAGCATGTGCACGCGCGCCTTCTGCCTTGAGCACGCCGCCGACGCCTGCCAGGGCGCCACGCTGCAGACGCCCAGCCAGGACACGGGCACGGGCTGGGAGGGCGAGGTGTGGAGCCGCTGCTTCCGTGAGTCGTCGGGCGGGTGCGCTGCTGCGGCGCTGCTGCGCACATCACTGCGTGCCGGTCGTCTTGCGTGGCACCGGAGAGTGCACTCGTGCTAGTCGCCGTCGCAGAGCGCAGTCGTGGGCGATGCTACTTCGTCAACGCTGCGGTGCTCGTGCTGAACCCTCTCTCGCGCAGAGCGCAACTCGTCGAAGGACCAGAGCATCGTGTCGCTCTATCTCTTTGTGCTGCTTGCGCTGCTCCTCGTGTCGCTGCTGCGCGGGCGCGTTGCCGGCTGGGTCGAGGTGCGTGCCCTGCGTCTCTTTCAGCTCCTGCGGCGACTGACGCGCGCGCCCTTTCGCAGCAAATACGCAACCGCGGCCCATCGGGCTTCGTGCGCGAGGTCGCACAGCCGTGGATGCGGCGCACAGGCATGTCGGGCCACTGAGAAGACGGCAGGCTCGGCAATGTATTGGTATCGAGACTGGCACAAGGCTGGACTGCCAGCGCCGAGGTTGCTCTGGACGGAGGACCTACCAGATGCGCTGGCGCCTCTGCTGCCCGCTAGACCAGACTGCGTGGCCGCAAACTCCAGCGCCTGGTCCAGCCGGATGGCCTCTGCAGCCTCTGCTTGCCACACCTCGCCTCACCGGCACCGACAGTGTTGTCGCATCTCTATTACACCCTCTGACCGTGCCTCTCAAACCTCGGCAAACGCCTCGCGCGTGTGCATCTGCATCGCGTCTCCGTCGCCCTGCTCTGCCTCGTCTGGCACGATCGGCAGCTCCTGGTGCGCGTCCTGGTAGAGCGAGCTCCACTTGGGAAACACGCGCTTGAAGAGCGGCAGCATGATCGTGTCCATCTGGTTGATGGGCTGCGAGAAGTGCGCTGTAGGGGGCGTCAGTGGGTGAAAGTGATGTGAACAGGCTGGCGCGAGACGCACCCTTGAAGTAGCCGTGCGTGCCGAGCGACTCCTTGATGTGGCCGGCCTTGCCGTACTTGGTGTGCAGCTCGATCGGCTTGAAGTAGTGCACGTCGGCTGTGTGCGTGTGAGCAAGGAAGGTGTGTGGGGCCATTTGCCGACTCACAGCTGTTGAAGAACATCCAGCGAATCGTCGCCGTCTTCTTGTGCACCTTGAACGGGTGGCCCGTGAGCACGATGCGCTTGACGTTGATGCGCGTCGGCGCGGCGTCAAGCAGGCTGCCGCTGCCCACGAGGTGCGGCATCTGGTTGGCGCCGACGCCGCGCTGGTCGTGGCCCATCTCGCCGTCGAGCCGCCGCTCCCGCAGCAGCACGGCGGGCACGTTTGCGCCGCCGAACGTGACGGGCGCGAGCACGGTGCCGACGCTCACGGCGCCCGAGCCGCCGCGCAGGAAGCGCGAGAAGCGATGCACGTTGTTCGTGCCGCGCGAGCCGTTGTTCGCCGGGTTGTGCTCGCTCCAGATCGGGTTGACGCGCAAGCGGCGGGGGCCGAGGCAGAGCACCAGCGGGTCCTGGAGGAGGTGAGCTGGGTTCGCCGAGGACAGATCTGTCGGTCTGCTCACCTTGGACTTGACGCTGCCCTCGTACTCGGTGTTCCGCGCGACGGTGAAGTTGAGCACGGACATCTTGTGCTCGTGCCGCAGCAGCCCGAACAGCACCGGCCGCGAGTCGCGCTCCGGCATGCCGAACGCACCTGCACGCGCGGCTGCCGCCCGCGGCACGTTTTCGAGCACCAGCTTGACACGCTGGCCCACCGCAATGCCCTCCTCGAGAGCCTCGCCCTCGACGCGGCGCCGTGTCCGCCGGTAGTCGTCGAACTGGAAGATACGGGCGTAGTCGAGCGGCAGGTCCTCGTATGCGTCCCACTCGGACGTCCGCAGTGACCGCAGCCCGCGGTAGCGCGCAAAGCGCTGGCGCGCCGGGATAGCCAGCGGCGTGTCGACCTCGTCGGGAAACTTGGCATCCTCGTCGTCCCGCGCGCGCTTGGCCTTGTCCTCGGCGCGCTGCGCCTGGTACGCGGCAAGCGCCTCGGCGTCCTCCTCGTCATCAAAGTCCTCATCCTCGTCGTCAAAGTTCTCGTCCTCCGAAAGCAGCGCGGCCTGTTCTTCGGCGGCAGCCGCGGAGTCGGTCTCCATCATCTCGCCGTCCTCCTCGTCCAGCTCCTCGTCGTCGGACTCGACAATCCAGGCGGCCTCGTACTTCCGCCGGCTCGCCTCGCCGCGCTTGGCCTTGGCCGCAATCTTGCTAATGCTCGCGGGCGTGGTGCCAGGCGCCGCGTCCGGCACCGCCTCGTCGGCCGTCATGGCAGCGGCCGCAGGCGCGTCGGCCATCTCCTCCTCTGTCGGCCACGTCTGCTCTGCGGCCATGGCGTCCGGCTCGTTGGTCTCGACGAGATCGTCGGCATAGCCCTCCTCGCGCTCGTCGAGCACGAGCTGCTGCGGCTCAGCGTCGGCCATCTCTGCGTCGCCCTTCTTGGCGCGCTTCTCATGCCGCTTCGACAGCGGCGCAGCGACAATGCGGCGCACGATGAAGTCGCCAAAGTCGGGGAGATGCACGAGGCGCTGTGCTGAGAGCGGGGCTCCGCGCACCCACGTCTCGACGCTGAGCGTGCCGCTCTCTGCCCCGGCAGGTGCATCGAAGGCCGCTTCCTCAACAATGCCCCAGGCGCGGGCGTCGCGCCATGCGACGCGCCGCGGCGTGCTCGTGGCCAGCGTACGGAAGAGGGCGCCGCGCTCGGCCCGGTCGTCGAGCGCGTGCACCTTTTCGAGCGTCGGCGCAAAGTACTGGGCAAAGGAGAGGAGCGAGGAGCGCGCGCCCTGCGACGCGCGCTGGCGGGCGCCGGCCTTGGCGGGTGCGTCGTCGGGCAGCAGCGTGGGCACGGCGCACTGCACCGACGGCATGCCCTGCGCCTGCAGGATGCGCAGCGCGGTCTCGCCCCACGAGCCTGGGTCGATGGAGTGCGAGGCGGAGAGGAAGAAGAGGAGAAAGTCGCTCGACTGCGCGAGGTCGAGCAGCGGGAAGAGGGCGCCGTACGCGGGGCAGTGCACCTGCAGCACGGTGCGGTGCCGCGTGAGCCTGCGGGGTTGGGATGAGCATAGTGGTCATGCAGGCATGGTGGTCATGACTGGCAGTGCGGCTGTGCCATGCGTCGCCATGGAGCGCCACGCTGCGCTGTGCCGCGCCACTCACTCGATCTCGCAGCAGCGGCCCGCCTTGCGCGTCACGACGACATCGTCGTCGGCCTCCATGCGCAGCAGCACCTCCCACGCGTCGACGTCGGGCGCCAGGCTGGCGCACACGACGGCGCGCGGCATGTTCTGCTTGCCGTACACGTCGCGCGCCTTGAGCAGCGCCTCGTCGTGCGCCTTGCGCAGCTGCACGGCGCGGTTGCGGCGCCCGATGCGCGCGCCCAGCGGCGACGCGGCGGCGCCGGCGAGCGGGCCGCGCAGCGACGGCACGACGCTCTCGGTGCGGCCCTTGCTCAGCGCCTTGGTGGCGCCCTTGCTGGCATGGCGGCGCCCGAACTTCTTGTTGGACTGCGTGAGCACGGAGCGGTGGTGGTGCGACGCGGAGGGCGCCATGCTGGGCGCGGATAGTGCGCTGTGCTGCGGGGTGTGTGCTGTGCGGGCAGCGTGCGCTGTGCGAGGAGCAGGTGGCGGGTGGAAGGGGTGTTGAGGAGAGAAGGAGGGCAAGGACACCGCCGCGGCCAACTTTTTTGGCTCTCGCACGGGAGCTGCTGTCGCCGCCGCGGCGCACGTGATGCCGCCCCCTGGCGCCTCGGGCGCGCCGTGACCCCGCCGCGCCTGCCCCTCTCGCCTCCACTCCACCGGCCCAGACGACCGCGGCGGCGCGCCTTGTCTCGCCACCGCCTCAAGCCCGGCCTCCTTTTGCCGCCCATGCTGCGCCGTGCCCTGCCGCTGCGGCCGCTGCGGCTTGCGCCAGTGCCGCACCGCGCGCCGGCGCGCCGCGCCTTCTCGACGGCGCCGCTCTTCGACCCGCTCGTGGCGCTGCTCGAGGCGCTGCCGTCGCTGCCCCTCGTCGCCGCGTCGCCATGCCCGCAGACGACATCGCTCGTGCTGCTCGCCGTGGCGCTGCGCACCGCCGCGCTGCCGGCGACGCTGTGGAGCCGCGCGCGCCAGCGCCGCATGGCCGAGCGCGTCGTGCCGGCGTGGCAGGAGGTGAAGCGCCTGCTGCCCGAGAGCGTCGCGCGTCGCTGCCGGCGCGCGGGCATGTCGTATGAGGAGTACCAGGCGGAGCTGCAGCGCGAGGTGAGTGGGCTGATCCAATACTGGCGTGGCGAGGTAGCCGTGTGCAGCACCCGTCGTGGTGCATCGGCTGGGGAGAAGCTGCGCGCTTGACCGGAAAGAGGCGGCCCGTCAGTTGGCGTTCTGCAGGCGAGCTGCCAGTCAAGCTGAAGGTGCCTGTCTGCCGTGCGGCTGGCTCACACTGCTTCTCTGCAGCTCAGAGCACATCTCAAGACGCTACTGGCGCAGCACCGCTGTGCGCCGATTCCGACCATCGTGATGCCGCTGGCGATTCAAGTGCCGCTCTTCATCATCGCGTCGCAGACTATCCGCCTCTCCATCGGCCTGCCCGACTCCTCGTTTGGCTCCGAGGTGCAGCCCTGGTGGTCTGCGCCGCCCGGCCTCGAGGCGCAGTTCGCCGAGGGTGCAAAGGTGCTCGCCGCGCGCGGCCTGGAAGGCGAGGCGCTCGAGGCGCTGACGCGTCCGATGGGCCCAGACCTGCGCGAGGTGGACCGGAGCATGATGGGGCCCATCGCGCTCGGCATGAGCACGCTCTCGAGTGTCGAGCTGACGCAGTGGATGCGGCGCACCGAGCGCGAACGAGATACAGAACAACAAGAGGGCAAGAAGGCCGCAGAGGAGCAGATGGAGCAGCAGATTGAGCAGAGCGTCGCAGAGCCGCTGCGCAACCGCGTGCTGGCGAACGTTCTGCGCGCGGGCAGCATCGTCTTTGTCGTGGTGGCAAGCCAGGCGCCTGCTGTGAGTTGCCAGGGTACTGTCGGCGTCTCGGTGCTGACGCGCGCGGCAGGCGGTGCTCGTCTACTGGCTCTCGTCGTCGCTGTACACACTCGTGCAAAACGGCGTCTTTACCGTCGCAGATCGGCGCCGTGCACTGCGCGCTGCAGCCGCTCCGCCGCCACGCCCGTCTGTGACCGCGGCGGTGCAGTCGCGAGAAGCACAAAGACAGCGGCGCATCGAGCGCGGCATCGCACAGACGCAGGTCGGCATCGCGGGCGAGATGGGCAAGGGCGAGATGAAGCGGAAACGAGCGCTCGTGGGCCGGGCGGCAGAGGCCGTCGAGCGCGAGCAATGACACAATGCTACAATGCTCTGCATATTCCATGCAAGCCGGAGCTAGAGACGGAGCTAGAGGTGCAAGCCGGAGCTAGAGATACAGGTCCTCGGTGCCGTGTCCCGCCATGCCCCACACGCCCTTGACGCCGAGGTCGAGCGGGTCCTCCTTGACCTCGACCTTGGGCCGCGACTCTCCGGTCGCCTCGTCGAGCTCGGGCGGGCCCTGCGACACCATCCTGCCCACGCCGAGCGACAGCTTGAGCATGTGCGGCGCGGGCTTGAAGCGTGCGGGCAGCGGCGACGCGGGCGCGGTGATCTGCGAGAGGATGTTGGAAGCCGCGACGTCGGCCATGTTCCACGCTGTCGGCGCGTCAGAAGCAGCAATAAGGTGGGGCACATGCGACGCACCTTGGTAGCCCGCGTTGAGCGCGCCAAACGCATCCGCCACGTCGCCGATGGCGTACACGTTTGGCAGACACTCGACGCCCTCCTCGTCGCGCAGCAGCTTCTCGCGCTCTGCGCTGTCTGCTTTCTTGTCGAGGAAGCAGTCGCAGTCGCCGCACGGCGCCGTGGGCGCCATCGTGTGCGGCACGGCCTCCTCGGGGCACGCGACCTGCAGCGTCGGGCGCACGCGCACGAGCCGCGAGGAGGCGTCGACGGAGCCGGGCGAGAGCTGCGCCATGAGCGACGAGGCCGGCTGCTGCCCGGTGCACAGCAGGAGCATGTCCGCCTCGAGCTCGCGCCCCGTCGTCGTGCGCACGCGGCGGCGGCCGTTGCCGATGCACATGCCCTCGGCGGCCGCCTGCGCGCCCTCGCCCGGCGCAGACGAGTCGCACGTCACGGGCACGGGCGCGGACTGCGTGCTGCCCATGGGACAGCCCTCGCTCAGCGCCAGCCGCTCGCCGAGCACCAGCTCGACGCCCAGCTCCGTCAGCGCCTTGTGTGCGGCGTCGTGCACGCGCACGTCGAAGTTCGGCAGCAGCTGCTTGCGGCTGTGGATCAGCGTGACGTGCTTCTCGGGGTAGATCGACTTGATGTCCGTCGCGTACTCGACGCCCAGCGCGCCGCCGCCGACGAGGATGACGTCGCGCGCCGCGCGGATGCGCTCCTGCATGGCGACGAGCCACGCGCGCCCGTCGGCCTTGGTGCGCGCCGGCGTGCGCAGCGGGTCGGGCAGGTGCGAGCCGAGCGCGTAGATGAGGTGCGTGTACGGCAGCGCAATCGAGTCGATGCCCCACAGCTTCTTTTTCGACGTGTGTGCGGGCTCGACGAAGACGTGCGTGGCGCTGAGCGACACGACGCTGCCCTGCAGCACCATGTGCGCGTGCGAGTCTTCGAAGCCGGGTGATATCTGAGACGAGGACGAGGCCTCGGCGTGGACGTGGCCCTGCTCGTCGAGGTGTGCGACGACGACTGGCCGCTCTTTGTCGTCGTCGCCGGCCGCGCTCGCCGGCGGCGTGCTGGCGGCCGTGCTGCTCGAGACGGCCGTGTCGCTCGACGCCGACGCGCTGCTCGTGCCCTCGCTGTCGGCCGGCGAGCGCGAGCGCGCGGAGAAGCCGAGCAGCGCTGCGCCGTCGCCGGCGGGGCCGTGCCGTGCGCGCTGCGTGCCGCTCGCGGCGCTGCCCTCGGCGCTGCTGCCTGCACGCCGGGCGCCGCTGCGCCGTGGCCGCACGGGCGCGGCGTCGAAGAGCGACGTGTAGGGGATGAAGCAGCTGTGCTCGTGGCCGGGCAGCACGGAGAAGCGGGGAAAGACGTAGAGGTGGTTGAAGTGACTGGGTGGTGGGCAAGGCGTGAAGCGTGGGGGATGGGCTCAGTACGGCGGCAAGCGGCTCGACGGCGCTGCAGCGGACAAGCCGACCGGGCCTGGCGACTCACGAGTTGCGCTCGACGAGCACGACGCGGTGGCTCGGCGGCAGCGTCTGTGCCAGCACGCTCGCGGCGTGCATGCCGCCGTAGCTGCCGCCGAGCACGACGACGTTCTGCACGGGCGCCTCGGCGTCGGCGGCGGGCGAGGTGGAGGAGGCGAGGGCGCGCCGCAGCGGCACGGCGGAGGAGGAGGCGGGCATGGCGCGGGCGACGCGCGCGAGCATACGCTGTGCAGGGACCGCCAGAAGAGGGGGAAGGGCGAAGCGTGAAGGTGGGACGGGCGAAGCACGGAGGTAGTGGAGACGAGCGAAGCCGCGTGGAGACGGAGGTGGTGGAGACGAGCGAAGCACGGCGAGTGCGGCACTCGGGCGGCGGCGCTGCTCGGCGCCTGACGTGAGCAGACGCGGCAGCCACGCCGCGCGCGCCGCCCTCTGCGACGCAGCCGCACCCGCCCGCCCTGCCAAGCGCCCACGAGCGGCTCCGAGGCCGGCCAGCTCTCATGCGCCATCTGATCGCCGCTGCCCATCCGCTCCGGCACTATGATCGAGTGGTCTAAGATGCAAGATTAAGGCTACCGTCCGGCTCTTGTCCTTCGGGGCGTGGGTTCAAATCCCACTGGTGTCATCGTCTTTTGCTGCAGCTGTTGCTGCGAGATGCGAGGCGTGCGACATGCGCGTGCGACATGCTTTTGCCAGCGAGGAGGGGCAACAGCGAGGAGGGCCGAGCAGCGAAGGCGGAAATTTCCAATTCTGCGCGCTGCGGCGGACGCGTCTGCGGCGCCGCGCTGTTCCCACGCCGCCACGCGTCTCGTGCGGGAGCTGCCGCGCCGCCGCCGCCGCCGCATCTCGTCGCTGCCGCGCTGCCGCCACCCGCACGCGTCTCGTGCCGCTCCCACGCCGCGGTGCGTCTCGTGCGGCAGCTACCGCTCCCACGCCGCGGCGCGTCTCGCTGCTGCGCTCCACCACCTCCACCATGGACCTTTTTCTCCCCCACGCCAAGACGGCCACGCTGCTGGGCATGCGCATGCTCAACAAGGCGCGTGATGAGCTCTACGCCATGTGCACCACCGGCCAGCCTGTCACGTGGGCAAGGCCCAGGAGGAAGGCAACAGGAGTCTGGCAGGCAGCCACGCAGGATCTGAGTAAGCTCTGGAAGCCTAGTCAAGAACCTAGACCCTTGCCGGAGAGGAGGGTGTGACAATGCAAGATCAGAACTGACTATCTACATGTGGGAGTGGGGGAGGCCCTCCTTATATACCTTAGAGGGCAGAGCAGGGAAGACGCAACGCAGGTTCTACAGTGTTCTGTGAGGGAAGCTCATGGAAGGGGATGGAAGGTAGTGGAAACAGATGGAACCTGGTAGAATGTTCCAGGCGGATCTGTAAGGTTATGTAACCTTCTGCACAGTCCTGTACGCTTCTGTCAGGTTCTGTAGAGTTCTAGGACGTTCCATGGGGTTCCAGAGGGTTCTCTGAGGATCCATGGAGTTACGCAGGGTTCCAGAGGGTTCTGTAGGCAATCTGCCGCTTGGTTCATGACAGTACCCCCGGGTGTAAGCGCTTGTTCGATGAGCGCGGTTAGGGCCCTGGACGGTGGGGATAGCGCCGGTGATAGCTCTTGACCAGGGAGCTTGAAGGGTCCAGCTCTGATGCTGGGATCCAGGACCTGTCCGAGATGGGATAGCCTTCCCAGTGGACAAAGTATTCCAGGTACTTGCGGCGTCCTTGTCCGTAGCGCCGGGAGTCCAGGATTTTCTCTACCACGTAGGACTCTGTGCCATCACTGTTGACCACAGGTGGTGGCGGAGGATTGATGCGCCGTGATGGGAGCGTGTTTGGCTTGTGACGCTCAAGGAGAGAGACGTGGAAGACCGGATGGATGTGCATGGTAGGTGGCAGAGTGAGGCGGTATGCGCGGTCCCCAATCTTTGCTTCTATGGGGAATGGGCCCAGGCGCTTGGCGTCCAATTTGCTGCTTGGTTGTGTGGTGGTGATGTTGGTGCGGAGGAGCCATACTTGGTCTCCTATCTTGAAGTCAGGGGCGTCTTGACGCTTCTTGTTTGCCCAGTAGACTTGCTGTTCTTGTGCGCGCTGGATGTTGGCCTGTGCTTGTTGATGAACCGCCTGTAGATGGCGCAGCTGCTCAGTGGCAGATGGCACTGTGGTCTCTTGAAGCGTGATTGAGAGCCGGGGATGGTAGCCACGGTTGGCATAGAAAGGAGTCATCCCTATGCTTGAGTGGAAGGTGCTGTTGTACGCATGCTCAGCAAGTGGGAGCAGCGCTTGCCAGTTGTCCTGGAGGTGGTCGCAGAAAATCCGTAGATGTTGCTCAATGGACTGATTGACCTGCTCTGTTTGGCCGTCACTTTGAGGATGAAACGCCGTAGAGAGGTTAGGCTGGACCTTGAGGTTGCTGAGGAAGGCTTTCCACCACTTGGAGGTGAAGGTGGGCCCACGGTCTGAGACTATGTCTGAGGGCAAGCCGTGGAGGCGGAAGATGTTCTCCAGGAACTGTTGGGCTAGGACTTGCGCAGAGTCACTTTTCCTGGCCGGTATGAAGTGCGCTTCCTTGGTGAGACGGTCCACTACAGCTAGGATGGCGTTGTATCCGCCTGATTTGGGCAGGTCTGTGATGTGGTCCATGGATAGGGACTGCCAGGGCGCCTTTGGGATGGGCAGTGGCTTGAGGAGTCCTAGGAGGTCGACAGGGAGCAAGAGGGGTTCTGAAGCGAGGCTGGCTGACAGATACAGGGGGCCAACTGGTTGAGAGTTGATGTGGCACCCGGAATCTTGGCCTAGAGAGGGGTGACTAATCTTTTGCTCTAGGCCTCTGCATTTTTTGACAGCTCAAAGTCTCCTTCAGGGAGGATAGTGGCCTGGATACGCGCAGGAGGACGGCTGTTCCTGGGGTTGTTGTTCTTGAGGTTGCACTGTGCAGCCATGTGGCCAGCCTTGCCGCAGTACATGCAGAGGTTGTTCTCACGCCGGTGCTTCTTCTCGGCGTCTGTGAGTGGCTTGAACTTGCGCGTGGCCGTAGAATCAAGATCCATGGGAGCAGGGCCATGATTGGGGGCCCTGTACGTACGCTGCGTCGCTTTCTGGAAGGCCTGGGGGGCCTGGAATGCCTGACGACGGCTGTTGGGGCCAAACTTGTCCATACAGCGGTCGTAGAGGCGGTTGTCCAGCTTGATGGCAAGGTCTGAGAGGTCCTTGAGGGTCTGAGGGTCCTCAGAAGCCTACGCAAGCGCATCCTTTACCTCAGGCTTGAGGCCAGTGTAGTACTGCCCGCGCAGAGCCTCATCATTCCATCCCAGGAAGGAAGAGACCTGGTAGAACTGAGAGGTGTAGTGCGCCGCAGATCCTACTTGCTTGAGGGCCTGAAGTTCCTTAGTGAGGGTCCTGGTGCGGTCCGGATCTCCCAGATTGCGCAGAAGCTCATCTAGGAAGAGCTGGAAGTCATGGAGTAGGGGGCTGGAGCCCTTGAGGAGATGAGGCTCCACCCACTTGAAGGCGGCGTCGCGGAGATATGACACCGCAAATGTGATCTTGGCGTCATCTGTGAGGAAGGTTTCCGGATTTCCGTTGATATAGTGCTTGAGGTGCGCAATGAACGTCTGGGCCTCCTTCCTGTTCTTTCCGTCGTAGGTAGGAGGCTTCTGGAGAGCCTTGCCAAGGGCTTTGGCCGCAGAGGTTGGTGCCTGAGCAGGGGCCTGGACGGGGACCTGGATTACTTGAGGCGCAGGCTGGGCTTGAGCCTGGACTTGCTGCGCTTGCTGCAGGAGCTGGGCCTGGGCCTGTAGCTCATGCTGCTGCTGGTCAAGAGCTTGCTGCATCTGCTGCATCATGGCAGACATGTTGCCAAGCTGCAGAGAGAGCTGTTCCATGGTGTTCATCTGGACGTTGTTGCCGGACATGTTTCTTGACTGGAGGTGCTGAGAGTGGCCAGAGAGGCGCAGAGAGGTTTCTTGAGGCCAGAGAGACGCAGAGAGGATCCTTGACTTGGTTCTTGGTTGGTTGTTGCTTTTTTCGGGGATCTGGAGGTGCTGGAGAGGCCCTGGTTTTATACCTTTTTGGGGCCTTGCTGGAGGCGCCGCCTAGAGAAGACTGCAGAAGCTTCTGTAGGCCAGGAAGCTGCTGGAAGAGCACCAGGCGCAGACTAGGATTTGCTGGAAGCGCTACCTGCAGAAACCCTGAGAAGGTCTGCAGGCCAGGAAGGGCCTAGAAGGCACCAAGCGCTGACTTGATGATGCTGGAAGCGCTTTCTGCGCTGTCTGGAGGTACTGGAAGCGCCGCAGCGCTGACTGGAAGCTTCTAGAAGTGCAGGGGGCTGATGGTGTTGCTGCACAGTCTAGAAGTGACTGGAAGCGCTGTTGCGCTGGCTGGAGGTTGCTGGAAGGACGTGGAAGTCCTGGCTGGAGATTTCCCAGACGCACGGGGGGCTGATGGTTATGCCGTGCAGACTAGGCTGGAAGCCTGTGGAAAGGCTGACTTGATGTTGCTGGAAGCGCGTGGAAGCGCAGACTGGATTCTCCTAGAGACGCAGGGGGCTGATGGTAATGCTGCGCAGCCTAGGCTGGAAGCCTGTGGAAAGGCTGACTTGATGGTGCTGGAAGCGCGTGGAAGCGCAGACTGGATTCTCCTAGAGGCGCAGGGGGCTGATGCTTATGCTGCGCAGCCTAGGAGTGACTGGAAGCGCGTGGAAGCGCCAACTGGATGGTGCTGGAAGCGCAGAAGCCTTGAGGATACTTGCTGCGCAGACTGGAAGTGGCTGGAAGCGCTGAGAAGCGCAGATGACGTGGAAGAGCACTGAGGATTTCACGTAGAAGCGAGGATGACGTAGAGCAACGTAGAGGATGTGGTGTGCGCGGCGTAGAGAAGCGCAGAGCGTGCGCAGCGTAGAGTGTTCCTTGAGTTGCTTGAGTTGTCCGGGGAGTGGTGCTTCCCTACAGGTCAGGTGGGCTGTTGCCCGGCTGGCCTCTGAGGCCTCCCTGCCTGTGTGGGTCAGGAAGCTTTTAGCTAAGGAAGCCTGCGCTCACGCTCCGCTGCCTGGGGTGCCTAGGACTCCAGTAGCTTCAGCAAGCCTTCAGGCCCCTCCGCACGCTGCAGTTCCCCAGGAGAGCTTCGCAGTGGCAGGGCTGCAGATACCACCTATGGCAGAGGTCACTGGTTTCCCACGGCGCCGGGCTGTCCGTAGATTCGCTTTTTCCGTAGATACACCGCTGAGTCCGGGTGTGGCTGAGCGCCAGAGGGAGTTCTAATCTTCTGTCACGTGGGCAAGGCCCAGGAGGAAGGCAACAGGAGTCTGGCAGGCAGCCACGCAGGATCTGAGTAAGCTCTGGAAGCCTAGTCAAGAACCTAGACCCTTGCCAGAGAGGAGGGTGTGACAATGCAAGATCAGAACTGACTATCTACATGTGGGAGTGGGGGAGGCCCTCCTTCTATACCTTAGAGGGCAGAGCAGGGAAGACGCAATGCGGGTTCTACAGTGTTCTGTGAGGGAAGCTCATGGAAGGGGATGGAAGGTAGTGGAAACAGATGGAACATGGTAGAATGTTCCAGGCAGATCTGTAAGGATCTGTAACCTTCTGCACAGTTCCGTACGCTTCTGTCAGGTTCCGTAGAGTTCTAGGACGTTCCATGGGGTTCCAGAGGGTTCTCTGAGGATCTATAGAGTTCCGCGGGGTTCCAGAGGGTTCTGTAGGCAATCTTCCGCTCAGTTCATGACATGCAAACTGCATCCTCCGTCTTGCATTTGCGCATGCCTTGCGCAAGCAATGCAACATTGGCGCCCTAGCATTGCTAGTGGCCTACTTGCAAGGGTCCACAGGTGTCTTGCTTGTGCCAATGGCTGCCTTGTTGCGCTCCTACAGCCAGGCAGTACTGAGCCTGACTTTGGCTTCCTCATGCAGTGCTATCTTGGCCCATGACTTGATCTCAACCTCAAAGGCAAGCCACTCATTGGCAATGTTGAGCTGCACAGAGCCAAGTGTGTCTGCATTGCAGTCAAATTGCCCGCAGGCCGCACCAAGGTGCAATGCAGCATTGTTGAACTTCTTGGCACACGCTTTAACTCTAGCAGCAGCACATCAGGCCTCTCCCCCGCCTTGTTCTGATGCACATTGCACAGCATCTGCCGCCTGCTGCAGTTGGCCTGCTTGCTGTTGACCTTGTCCTGCTGCGCCTGGCATGCAGCAATTCACAGACTGTCCTTGGAAATCTGTGCAGCATTGGTGGCAACCTTTGTCTTTTGCACATCAACCTACCTCTGGCGCATGTCTGGCTGGTGACTACCCAGCTTCTGCTGCGCATTAGCGGCCTTACTGAGGTAAGCAGCACATTTCTGCTGCACCTGTTCTTGCTGCTGCTCAGCTGCAACTGCAGTGCAACACTTGGTATCCTCAACAAGCTGAGTGACAAGCATGCCCTGCATCTTGCTGCAAGCCCGTCACGTGGCAAGGCTGGTGCAGCATGTCTCCTGCTGCTTGTGGCATGCATCTGGCTGCTTGATGCAAGCGTCCTGCCCCCTTGTGACGCTGCTGCTGCTCCATGTCGCGCCGTCTGTCCGCGCCGGCTGCCCCTGTCACCAGCATCCATTGCCCCGAGCGAGGGTCAGAGCGCACAATCACAATGGTCTGAATTACAGCGACGAGAAAAAGGCCTTCGTCTGGGTGTCCATCGACTCCATGTCCGGCACGAGCGCATACGCCTCGGCCGGCGCGCGCTGCCGCGCCATCTCCCGCTCCATGGCCGCGAGAGCGCCGTGCGGCACGACGTCGTCCTCGCCGCTCGAGGACTCCGTCTGCGACGACGCGACGGACAGCGGCTGCGTCTCGTCATCGTCGCCCTCGTGCGGCAGCGGCTGCGTCTCCTCGTCGCCGTCGCCGGCGTGTGGCAGCGGCTGCGTCTCCTCGCCGTCGGCAGCGTGCGGCAGTGGCTGCGTCTCTTCGTCGGACGCCTTACCGTCCAGTGGCTGCGTCTCGTCGTCCGATGCCGCGCCCGCGAGCGGCAGCGTCGCCTCGCCGTCGGCGTCGAGCCGCGCGCGCTGCGGATCTTCCTCGTCGCCTTCGTCGTCGCTCAGGTACGCGCGCGAGCCACGCATGAGAAGCTCGCTGGGCTCGTGAGCGCGACGGTGCTCTCGCTGAGCAGACGGCGCAGATGTGTGCCGGAAGCCAAAGTGGCCGAGTTGCGCCTGCTCCAGCGGATTACTTGTGCTTGCACGCGCATTGGACGGCCCAGCCTGCCCGGCGTCGACGCCGAGCCAGGTCTGGTCGAGCTGGGCCCAGGCTGCGCCGGCTCGTGATGCGTCGTTCTGCGTGAGTGCGCTCTTGCGGCGCGGCGACGAGTGGCGCGCCGCGCGTGTAGTACTGTCGGCCTTTCGCGCGGATTCTTGACGCGGTGATGAGGAGGCGAACAGCTCGGCGCTGAGCTCGTCGCGTGCCATCTGGCTTGCTGAGCGGTGCGATGTGCTGCGTGGAGGCGGCAAGGCGGCACCCGTCGGATCGAGCGGACCGGTGCTGGAGCCACGCTGAAAGACGGAGAACGTGCCGCCGGGCGCAGTTTGGCTCTGCTCGTCAAAGTCCTGCACCACATGCGGCGGAGGCGCTGCCGCCGCAGCCTCGACTGCAAGCGCCTCGTAGTTCGTGTCGGACCGCTCCGACGTCAGCGGGCTCGAGCCGCCGAACCAGTCGCGAGGCGGCGAAGCGCGGCCGCCCAGATCGGGCTGCGTCGGGCCGAGCTCGAGCGAGTCGCGAAAGACCGAGACTGGCGTACGCGACGCTGCGACCAGGGGCTTGCGCCGCGCAGAGCTGGCCGTGGCGAGCTGCGTGGCGCCGGGCTGCGTCTCGTATGCGAGGATGCGCGGCTGTCGAGGTGCCGGAAGCGCAGAGGTACTCGCCGAGCCAGAGCCCTCGGCTTGCTCTGCGCCACCGCACGCGTCCGACGCATGCGGCGCAGCAGGCGACACGGCTCGTCGCGCTGTCTTCTTGCGAGCGCTGCCATTGCTGCGCGTGCCTTGCAGGCGTTGCAAGGCCGCTCTGCGCTCCTGCTCTGCACGCTCCCGATTCCGCAGGCGCTCGCGCTCGCGCGCTGCCGCCTGGTCTTCGCGCGACTGATTGATGCCGGCGGCGTCGCGCCACTGCGCGAGCGTAGAGGGCATGTGCTCCTCCCAGCCGAGGCGCTGAGATTCGGACAGCGTGTCGTGCATGTAGGGCGTGGTGCCCTTGAGCGGCGACGTGTTGGCGTGCTGGGGCGTGCTGGGCCCTGCCAGCGCTCGAGACTGCAGCGGGCGGCGCGGCCGCGGCTGGTGCGACGACGAGGCCACAGCTGAGCGCGACTGATGCATCGCAGCGCGGCGTGGCGGCGAACTTTCGGGGCTGCTGGGCTCGCTGTTCTCGTCTTGTGGCAGCGGCTGCTTGCGAAGACTCGAGGGCGGCGCGGGCCCAAAGGCCGCCGCGATGGCAGGCACGGCGTCGGCAAGTACGCTCTGCTTGCGCAGCCGCCGACGCTGTACCGGCGCATCGGTAGTTGCTGCCGCCTCGTTCTCAGAGGAGAGAGGAGAAGACGCAGGCCGCTTGGCTGGCCTCGACGCCGGCGCGGGCGACGAGCGCATCGTGCTGCCACTGCCACCGCCCGGTGCGGCGGACGGCCCTGCAGTGCGCAGGAACGGGAGCGTGGCCTGCCGCAGCCGCGGAGTGCTGCCGTGCGGCGAGCTGGCCGGCGGTGCGGCACCGCGGCGCGCCAGAGCACGCGCCGCCGACGGAGCGGGCGAGTCGGAGAAGGCCAGCTTGGCCGGCGCGCGCTTCTGCGGCGGCGCTGCTGCGGACGATGACGAGGCAGACGAGTTGGTGCGCTCGGCCAGCGCGCGCGCCGGCTGCTCGCGGATCCAGCGCGGCCCGTGCGCCGGCATCGCGGCGGCGTGCTGTCGGACAGGTGCGAGTGTGAGAGGGCGAAGGTGGGGTGGAGGAAAGGAGCGCGTTGCTCAGCAGGCGCGTCGCGTGGCGGGCGCGGCCCGACCAACACCTGCACTACAACTTGCTGCGCGGCGCTTGTAGCGGCCCGATTGTAGTGCGGGCCAGCTCGGCCGCGTGCCGCCGACGCGCGCCCGCCGCCGCTGTCGCCGCCGCACAGCGACACCGCGCCTGACGCACCCCCTCCTTCGCTCCCCACACCCAGCACACTCACCATGTCGCACACCACCAGCCTCGAGGAGGCCAACGCCGCCCGCCTGCCGCTCGGCTTCCGCGACCAGTGCAGCGCGTGCGTGCTGCCCGGGGTGCTGCCGCCGCCGCCGTGCCCGCTCACGCCTGCGCATCCCCCAGCCTGCTCATCCCGCTCAACAAGTGCCGCAAGCAGACGCTCTACATGCCGTGGAAGTGCGAGGACGAGAGGTGCGTGTGTGCGCTCGAGTGGTCAGGCTGGCGGGCGCATCGACGGCTGGCCCGGTGCTGCGATCGACGTGTTGGCTCGCGTAGCGGGCGAGGGCGGGCAGCGTTGGGCCTGCGGCGGTGCCTGGCCTTGCGCTCGTGCGCGGCAGGCCGTCCGCCGCAAGACGCAGCATGCGCTGCAGACTGCGGCTTCGTCAATGATGGCGCTACGAAGCTCGTCGTGTGGCCGCGCCTGCGCCCTGTCTCTGCGTCGTGGGCGCTGCACAGATGGCGACACGGCGTCTGGGATGGCGCTGAAGCGTGCGCACTGCGCGACGCCGGCACGAGGCACGTCACCCTGCCTCAAGCCGTGCTGACGCTGCCGCCCTCAGGCACACATACGAGAAGTGCCAGTACGACGAGTGAGTGGCACGCACAGCGCTGGCCGCGCCCGCCGCTTAGACGCACGCCCCTGCACAGCTTCATCCGGCGCCAGCGGGAGCTCTCGAAGCAGGCGCTGGCTGCACGCGCCGACGAGGCATGAGGAGGCCCGCGAATGAGACGCATACACGCTGCCATTGCCCGACGGACGTGCACAGAGACGGGAGACGCAACCGAGGTAAGTTACTTTTGCGTGGCCAGCCACCAGGCCGCGCCGCGGAGGCCCTCGGTCATCTCGGCGAGGCTCAGCGGCTCGCCCACGGGCGGCACGTGGATGAAGAGCACCGTGGCGCCGGCCTTGCCGGCCTGCTCGCGGCGCGGCCGGGCGCGCTGCGCCTCGCACAGCGAGGCGTAGTACTGCGTGCTGCCTGTCAGCGCCGCTCGCAGCTCTGGGCGCGCCTGCTCTCACGATAAAGTCGCACAGGAAGCGGCCAGCGTCGAGGGACGGGCGCACATGCTGCGGAGTGCGCCGTGTCAGCGGCCGTGCGTCGCTGCGCCATCTGCACGCACCTCGGTGCCCTGCCGCTTGAGCCACTCCACGAGCGCCGCGACGTCGACGCTGCTGCGCTCCTCCTCCTGGAAGGCCTCGTAGCCCTCGGCAAAGCCGCGCACGCACGACGTGTCGGCGACACGCTGCGGCGCCGCCGGCTCGCCGCGCGCGGCACGCTCGAGGCGGGCACGCTCGCGCGCCTCGGCCTGGCCGACGACCTCGGCCAGCGCGCTCTGGTCGAGAGCGCGCGGCGCATGCTCGCCGCGTGCGTCGGTCATCTGGTAGCGGCGCTTGTGCGCCAGCTGTTCGACGGCGAGGTTGCCGGCGTGGCCGACGCCGACGTGCAGCACGACGTCGAAGCCGCCGGGCGGGTGCTGCAGCGCGTAGCCGGCCGGGTACGGCTTGCCGCTGCCCTGCGGCCCGCAGCCGGCGACGGGCGCCGCGCCGCGCGGGTCCAGCCACGGCTCGGAGTGCAGCGACGGCGGACAGCCGTGCAGGCGCGGCACGAGCGAGAGGATGTGCGAGTAGCACACGGCGCTCTGCAGCACCTGGATGTGGACGCGGCGCGAGTCCGAGTCGCTCGCCGGCTGTGGCGCGGCGGGCGCGAGGAGGGTGTTGTGCAGCGCCTGGATGGCGAGCCACGACGGGTTCGTGTCGGTGACGATGCTGCCGAACGGCTGCGTGCGAGGTGTGAGCGAGCGTGCGAGCGAGCGCACGGGCGAGGCCGAGGTCCAGGGCCGGCGCCATGTCCGCCTCGGTGCCGCCCAAGCACGTCACATGCTGCGCCCATGCCCCTGCCGCTCTGACCCTCATGCGTCTCGTCGCTGCTGCGCCCGTGCCCACTCACACCAAAGCCCGTGATGAGGACGTGCGTGTCGCCGGCGCGCGGCGGCGCGCTGGCCTGCAGCGGCGGCGGCGCGGCCGGCGGCGGCGGCATGCTGCAGGGCGAGGGGCGCGGCGAGAAGGACGGCGCCGCTGCGAGACGGCGAGGTGCCGTGCTGCGGGTGGTGGTGGGAGGCAGCCGACGCTGCACAGCTCAGGGTGTGCAAGTGCAGCGCCCCTGGCGGCGGCGGATGGCCTGACAGGGGCGCAGAGTGGAGCAGCGAGACTGAGTGGAGGCGGCGGTGCGAAGTGGAGTCGCCGCCAGCGCAGCGCAGCCCCCGCGCGCCACGCTGACTCGCGCCTTCTCGCGCTTCCTTCGCGCCGCCCGCACGGACACACCACGGCGTGCCGCCGGCAGGCCAGCGCTCCTTCTCGCCCAGCTCGAGGAGGCCCAGCATCCACCTCTGCAGCGCCTTTGTCAGGTCCCTGGCGAGACTACTCCGGGCTGTGGCTGCGGCTGCCTGCCGCCATCGCCATGCTGCTCCCACGCTGCGCCGGCGCATCCGTGCGGCACGCGGGGCAAGCGCACGCACCGCAGGCCAGGCCATGGCGGCATGCGACACTGAGGCGATGCCGTATTGCGAGAACGGCTGAGACATGAGTGTGACTGCGGCTGCGTGGCCGTGGCGGGTATGTGCGATGCGGTGCAGAGCGGGTGTCGTCGAAGATGTCGAGCGGGGCCGGCAGGCGCGGCGGCGGCGATGCGGCACGTGCGCGCCCGGCAAGGCCGCACACGGCGAGGCAGCCTCGCTCCTTCTGCTTCTCGCTCCGCTCCACCACCTCCGCCCCTCTGCTGCACCGCCGGCATGCCCGCAGCCACGCACGCCGCGGCGCAGACGCCCGAGCGCAAGCTGCGCATCGCCTTCATCCACCCCGACCTCGGCATCGGTGCGTCGCGTGGGCTGCCATGCCGAGCTGGCATGCTTCTGCCCTGCCACCCCGCTCACCCTGCCGCGGCACAGGCGGCGCCGAGAAGCTCGTCGTCGACGCCGCACTCGGCCTGCAGGCGCGCGGCCACGACGTCGAGATCCTCACCTCGCACCACGACCTGGCACACTGCTTCGAGGCGACGCGCGACGGTGCGTGCTGCGTGCTGGGTGCACGGGACGGGCGAGGCAGCAGATTGCTGCCTGCGTCGATGTATGCGCTGGTGCTGGGCACGTCGATGTATGCGCCGAGTACATGCGCTGTCGACGTATGCGCATCGCATGTGCTGGCATCGCTCATGCTGGCATCGCATGCTGGCATCGTTTGGGCTCGCATCGCGGCTGACAGCGCCCCGCAGGCACCCTCGTCGTGCGCCATGTGCGCACCCGCCTGCCGCGCTCGCTCTTCCACGCCTTCACGCTGCCCATGGCCATCGCGCAGCAATTCTCGCTCTTCGCACAGCTGCTCGTGGCGCTCTTCGCCTTTCGCTTCCCAGGCACGCTGCCGGGCCCGCTGCTGCGCCTGCTCACGTCGCTGCCGCCGAGCGAGCCGTACGACGTCGTCTTTGTCGACCAGCTCTCGGCCATCGTGCCGTGGGTGCGCACGCTGACGGCCACGCGCGTCGTCTTCTTCTGCCACTATCCCGACAAGGAGATCGGCGGCTCCATCGCACGGCAGCGCGCCCTCGACCGCGGCTACGGCGGGCCGGGCCTGCTGCGCGCCCTGTACCGCATCCCCTTTGACTTCTTCGAGGAAGCCACGATCGGTGCGTCCGCCGCTGCTGTGGCCCTCGGACCCATCACTGACACCGCACGCAGACTCGTCCGACAAGATTCTCGTCAACTCCGAGTTCACGCAGCGCCAGTTCGGCAAGAGCTTCCCGCGCCTGCGCCGCGAGCCGCGCGTGCTCTACCCGGGCATCGACGCCGAGCACTACGACGCGCAGGGCGTCAAGCAGGCTGTCGACGCGCTGGGCGAGCTCGGCTCGGCGTCCAGCGTGCGGCACTGCATCCGCGATCTGTGCATGGGCACGTGCGTGTTCGCTGTGTATCTTGCGCGCAGAGGCGGCTGACACGCTGCGCAGCAGCGACGTTCCGACGCTCGTCTCGATCAACCGCTTCGAGGCGAAGAAGAATGTGGCTCTGGCGCTCGAGGCGTTTGCCCAGCGTGTCAAGGAGCAGAACAAGAGCGGCAAGAAGCAGCCGCTGCGGCTCGTGGTTGTCGGTGGCTACGACCGGCGCGTGCGCGACAATATCGAGACGCTGGACGAGCTCGAGAAGCGCGCGACTCAGCTCGGCCTCGTCCACACGACGCTCTTCTGGACAGCGCAGCCGCACCAGCCGCCGGCGTCGGCACCTCCACAAGACCAGCTCGAGGCCCTGCAGGTCATCTTCCTGCCGTCGCTGCCAGGCGCGCTGATTCCGGCGCTGCTGCTCTCGCCCAACACGCGCGCGCTGCTGTACACGCCCAAGGACGAGCACTTTGGCATTGTGCCGCTCGAGGCCATGGCGTGCGGCGTGCCGGTGCTGTCAGCCAACTCTGGCGGACCAGTGGAGACCGTCGTCGACGCCGGCACGCCTACGCCCACTGGAGGCTTTACAAACCCCGACGGCACAGGCTTGCTGCGCCAGCCTCGCGCGGCGATCTGGGCGGGCGCCATTGGCAGCCTGCTCGACATGAGCGACAGCCAGCGGGCAAAGATGGCCAAGGCCAGCCGAGAGCGTGTGCGGGCGCGCTTCAGCACCGAGGTCATGACCGACGGTCTCGAGGCCGCACTGCGCGACACGCTGGCCCTCGGCCGTCTGCGCAACGAGGAGAATCTCTTCCTGTGGGGCAGCACCTTTGCCAGTGAGTCGCACGCAGTGCTGCCGCTACGGCGCCTTCTCAACTTTCTGCCTCACAGTCTTTGCCCTCATGGCCGCTTTGTGAGTCACCTCATGCATCATTCGCAGCGGCACAGCTGACGTCGGCTCTCGCGCAGCTTCTTCCACACGACGTGGAAGTAATCAGATGCGCGTCGTAGCTACGCTCGCGAGAGAGCACGTTGAGACGACATTGGCAGCGGTGGCTATGAGCGATGACAGTGGTGATGTGAGGTAAGCGGGTGAAGGATGAGGAAAAGGTGGCGGGACGATGATCGGTGACGGCGGACGCTTGAAGTGGCGGGCGTGTGCATTAACGGACAGTGCGATGGGTGATGATCAGAGGCGGCACGAGAGAGAGAGAGAGAGAGAGAGACGGAAGAGGTGGGTGCGGGCGAAGATGGACGACCCGGCAAGGACTCGCGGATGGAGGTCATCGCGCAGCGCAGCCAGGCCGCTACGCGGCAGCGCCACGACGACGGGCACGGCGGGCAGGCACGATGATCTCGAAGCCGTCGCGAGCGACCTGCGGCGGAGGCGGCGGTGGCTGCGCTGGCGCTTGTCGGCGAGCGCGCTCTGCGGCTGGAGGCGCTGCCGCCACGTCGCGCCGTGCAGCTCGAGCTGGCGGACCAGCCGCGCCCAGGGCCTGGCCAGGAGCAACAGCGTGCTGGTAGAGGACGTCGCGGTCTCCGAGGAAGAGCACATCGCCGGCGAGGGCAGGAGGAGCCTGCGTGTCGAGTCATTGGTCAGTACGCGAACAACAGTTGCAGCTCGCGCCACGTGCCGTCGACTCACGCGAGCAGGGCCAGCTCTGTGATCAGGCGCAGCGAAGGCCACGCCGTGGCCGAATCGCACGGCTCCGAGGGCGGCAAGACGAGCGTGTGCATCGTGCAGCGCGGCCATCGGGCCCGCATGACGGTGGAGCGGCGCAGCGGCAAGAGCAGCAGCTTCGGCGGCGAGACGCGCGCGCGCCATGTGGCCGAACATGCGGAGCGCTTGGTAGTGCTGTGCGAGGACGTCGCGAGCTTGAACATCGGCGAGGGGGCGGACAGCTGCGAGATAGCGCTGGTCCAGCACAGGGGCAACCTGTGCCATCATTCGCAGCTGCTCGTGCTCGTGCGGCACGTGGCCGAAGCCGAACGCCGCGAGCGCGCGCTGCACCTGCTCGGTGAGAGTGACAGGCGGAGGCGCCGGAAGAGGCTCGGGTTCCACGTCCTCGGGCGCCTGGTCGCCGAGAGCCTCGCGCACAGCGGCGACTTCGCGCTTGTGTCGCGCGGCCGTGTCTTCCCTAAAGGTTCAGCAAGGCCGGTTAGCAACAGAAGACGCGCGCTGGTAGGTGCATTCGCGCACCAAAGAGGGCTGCGGAGCAGGTATCGGTCAGTGGGCGTGCATCAGCGGATGTGAGACGCGACGCACCACTTCTGTGCGTTGCGGCCAGCGGCGTAGTTGCTAGGATCCTGATCGAAGTGCGCATAGCCTTCCTGCGAGACATCGGCCTTGCAGACGTAGCAGAACAGCTGCAGAGAGAAGGGGTAAGATGGGCCGCTGTCAACAGCCGGCCAAGGGTACGCACCATGCGGCACGAGGGACACCTGCAAGTGCGAGGAGCGTCAGCGGCTAGGTCGCAACCGCGCTCCTGCTGGACATACGTCATCTTGTTGCAGTTCGCCGCAGTATCTGCAAAGACGGGTCAGCGCTGCCGTGCAAGAGCCAGGGTGAGTCGGCTCACCATCTTTGACGATCGGCTGCTCGCATCCCTTGCGCGGGCAGCGGCGCATGCTGAGGCACGGGTGCAGAAAGCATGCGTCAGATAGCGAAACTAGCTGCTCTGGCACGGGCAACTCACAGTGCATTCGACAGCAGCTCTTCCGCACGATGGCGGCCATCGGCGCTGCGCGACTCCTTGTACTCTGCAGACGACATCAGTACGGCGCGCCAGGGAGGCCAGAGACGGACACACCTTCGCACGAAAGCGGCACATGGCCCTCCTCTTTGCAGCCGCGGCACCTGGGATCGGGCAATGCGTCAGCGGTGCGTTGGACCGGCACCGCGCTGGCCCACACTCACGAGACGCGCAGGCACGCCTTGTTCTGGCAGGTGAAGAGCTTCTCGTCTGGGCGCGCGTCCATGACGCACGCGTACGAGCAAAAGGGGCAGCTCTCGAGGCCGTCGATGCCGGCGTCGGCAATGCAGCGCTCGGCCTTGATCTTCTCCCACAGCTTGAACGTCTTGCGCGGCAGGAACGCGCGCACGACGCTGCAGCGCGAGGCGGTCAGCACGCACCGATGCGCTGCAGCCCGGGCAGCCTCACCTGGTCGCAAACTCGAGCTCGCAGCCGTCCTCGTCCATGCAGCGCAGCTCGTGCTTGCGCATGCCGATCTGCTCCTCGGCCATGCGGCGGCAGCAGGCCTTGCAGAAGACGTGGCCGTCGGGGCACTGCGCCAGCGCATCGAGCGGAAAGGAGTCGTCGCAGCATACGGGGCACTCGATGCCGGCTGCCGAGCTGACCTTGCGGCGCGAGCGGCGGCCTACGGACGGCGTGGCATGAGCTCTGCGCAACAGCGACGCAAACGCAGGCGTCTCACCTTGGCGGGCCTTGCCGTTGCCGGAGCGGCGCTTCTTGCCGGACGCCGCCTGCTCGTCTGCCGAATCCTCATCGTCGCTCTCCGGCTCAGGGGCACGGACCTCGGCCGCCTTCTTCGGATAGCCGCCGGGCAGGTCAAGCAGCTGCAGCAGCACGCGCTCGCCCGCGACGCCGGCGTCGCTGCTGTGCGCCTCGCTCATCGTGGCGCACACGCTGCGCAGCTGCTTCAGCGCCGCCGCCGGCTCGACGTCGGGCAGCACGGCATACACGACGGCGAGCTCGCGCTCCTCGAACGTGCGCTGCGCAGCGTCGGACTTGAGCTGCGCCAGGCGCGCCTCGCGTGCGGCCAGGTAGCCCTCGGTCGGCACGAAGATGACCTCGTCGGCGCCGGCGTCGGGCGACGACGCGGGGCCGCGCGCGTGCGACGGCCCGGCACGAGCGCGCGAGGGGCCAGCGCGAGCGTGCGAGGGCCCGGCGTGAGCGTACTCGGGCGAGCGCTCACGGCCGCGGCGGCCCGCGGCAGCGGCCATGCGAGGCAGCGCCCGCGCGCGGCCGTCGAGGCGCATCTCGTCGCTCGAGTCGCCGCCGCCGTCGGCGTCCTCGCTGTCGCTGCTGAGCAGCAGGATGGGCTGCGAGGCGCGGCCGCGACGAGGCAGCGGCGCAATGTGCTCGTCGGCCACAGCGGCGGCGGCGCGGCGCGGCATGGCGAGCGGCGGCGGCGCAGGTGGGCGTGGCGGCGCGGGTGGCGGACGAGGAGCCGGTGATGGCGGGCGCGGCAGTCGTGGCTGACGTGGGCGCTGGGGCAAGAGGGCTGGCAGCGCGAGGCAGCCTGCGCGGGTGGCCTTTTGCGACAGCAATAGTGAGGCAGCGGTGAGGCCGGACGCGGACACGGGTGATGATGGAGAGCGGAGCGAAGGAGCGCGGCCATCACAAAGAGCAACACACGCGCGGCGGCCCGGGCGCGCGGACGCGGCTCGGCCAGCCAGCAGGCACCGCACCGCCCACTAAGACTCTTACTGCAAGGCGGCCTGTGCGCTTGCCCGGCGGGCGCACACCACGCAAGGCAAGCGGTCGCCCCTCGTTGGCGGCGGCCAGTTGCGGGGACATGAGACGTGCGGTCGTCTCGCAGCAGCAGCCAGACGCAGCTCTGCAGAAATGCCCCTGAGGCCGGCCTGGAGAGCCGCTGCCTGTGCTGGGGTGGGCGCAGCAGCAGCGCATGTGGAGGCGGCGCCGGCGTTGCTGCGGCTGCGGCAGACGCGAGTCTGTCCACTCAGACTGGCAGCCGTGAGCGATGCTCTGCGCTGGGCCGGGCTGGGACCTCTCGAGTCCTAGTGCCAGGAGGCACGTCAGCTCGCGACAGCGAGGCTGCCGGACGGTGCTGCCGCGATGCTCAGCCCCGACGCACGAGCAGACTTGGCGAACGCGTGCAACATGCCCGCCTCTAGCACACAGGGTATCGGTGACATTCGCAGTACAAGCTCGCCCACTGGCCCACCCGTTCCCCACTTCCCACCTCACTGCCCATGCGGCGGCGCCGTACCCGCCGCACCGTCGCGCTGGCGGGCCTCGTCGACGGCGCGCCGCGTGCGCTCCTTGGCCGTGCGCACGACGTCGTGGCGCAGCGCTCGCTGTGCCGGCGGCAGGTCGCCGCTGCCCTCCAGCGTGCGCTCCACGGCGGCGCGGTACTGCACCGTACTGGCTTCCAGCGGCACCGTGGCTGCCTCCAGGCCGTCGAGCCCGGCCTGCGAGGCCGCCTGGAACGCGCGCTTGTTCGGCAGCGGCACTCGCGCACCGACGCGCTCTGCGCGCAGCGCCGACGGCGGCGCCGGCGGTGCGGTGCGCTCGAGACGCTCGCGCACCAGCTCGCGCACCAGCTCGGCACGCGCGAGCGGCACTGACAGCTGGTCGCTGCCGCTGGACGTCGAGGCAGCAGCGGCGTGCGCCGTGTCGTCTGGACCGGGCGCGGACGGAGAGGCAGATCGCGGAGCAGGCAGCTCGAAGAGCAGCTCGCCGAATTTGGCGCTCGTCCGGTCCACGTCGGCGGCGTTGCCGAGTCTTGCCGCCTCCCGCGTATGCGCCCACGCCGAGCCGGCGCACGGAGTGACGGCAAAGACCGACGCTGCGCCGCTCGGTGCCTCAAAGGAGACAGCCTCTTGCTCCTCGTCGGCCGGCGGCCCTGCCGCAGCGATCTGTGCTGCGCGATGCGCTGCGAGCGCCTCCTCGTCGGGCGTGATTGGCTCTGGCGTCTTGTGGAGCTGCACCGCGCGCTGCCGGCGGCGGGCACTAGCCTGGATGGACCGTCGCTGCGCCTCGCTGAGCAACGCTTCCGGGCGCACATTCGACCGATACGTCTTGGCGGCAAGCATCGCGTCGGAGGGAAACAACTGTCGCTCGCCCACGACAGTGACGGTGCGTGGCGGCGCGAGCTCACCGCGCAGCGCCTGCACCACGGCGGAAAGCTCGGCGACGAGCAGTGGCGCAGGCGAACGGTAGTTGCACTTGAAGGCGTTTGGCAGCTGCAGGATTGTGGCATGCGAGTCTGAGGTCGAGAATCAGCAGCGCCCCACGCAGCCCACCCGCACGCGAGACTCACCGCTGGGCACTTCGAGATGCCAGGGCTGCACCACGCCGTCGTCTTCCGGAGCAGGAGCATCATCGCGAGCAGTAGACATGCCCGAGTCTTCGTCCATGGCATCGTTGAGGCGCTCGTTGCTGCCCAGTGCTGGAGGAGACGAAGCTCCAGCGCTAGCTGCGGCGTCGATCTGCGGGCCCAGCCGCTGTGCGGCCGCAGAGACATCTAGCGTCGTGCCGCACAGCACGTAGAGGCCGATGACGGCGCCGACAGCAGCAATGAGAGACTCGTCCGTCACAGAGGCAGCGCTTGCCAGTTGCTCTCGAAGCGGCACGAGATGCTCTGTTCGACCAGAAGGGTCAGCCGCAGGCACATCGACCTCGCCGTCCTGCTCCATAAGCAAAGCTGTCTCGAGCTGATGCCGGCATGAAGCACTGGGCGGTACTCTCTGAGTCGCCACGTCAGGCATGTCACTCACGAACTAGAGCATCGCTGACGGACTGCCAGAAGGCGGCGCGCGTACCGGCGTGCTCGCCCCAGGCGAACTGCACATGCACCCAGCCGAGGCGGCGCCACTCGGCGACGAAGGTCTGCACCAGACCCAATGTCTCTTCATGCGCCGTGCCGGCGCCGGCGAGGCGCTCAGCGAACGCGGCCAGCAGATCTGCGACGTCGCGGCGCAGGCGCTCGAGGAACGCAGCGCTGCGCGCAAGCTGCGGCGCCGCCGGCTCGAGGCCGGCACGGCCCAGCGCCTGGCCCTCGCTGGCGCCGCGCGGTGGGCCGACCACCTTGCGGCGGCGCTTGGGTGCGGCGGCGTCGGCGTCGGGCTGTGCGGCCGCCGGCACGTCTGCGGCGCCCCGCAGCGGCGCGCGCGGCGCGAGGAAGCGGCCGGCGGGCACGAGCACGAGGCCGGACGGCGCGGCGGCGGCCATGCTGCGCGCAGGAGGAGCGGCGGGCGATGGCCGGCCGCACGCTGAGCTGTGACTTGCAGGTGGTGGTGGAAGGCAAGACGGCAGCGCTGCCAGTCGAGTCTTGAGTCGCAGCAACTTTCAAGGCGAGGCCAGGCGCGACTTTCGAGGCCTGGTGGAGGCGCGCGGCGGCGAAGTTGTATTTGCGAATAGCAGCTGCGCGTGGCTGCTTGTATTGCACTCGCCGCGCCTCTCGTCTTTCTCCTCCCGTCCGCTGCGTCTTCCCGCCTCGCTCCCACCTCATTCTCCCGCGCTGCACGCTGCAAGCGCCTCGGCCTGCCTGCGCCGCTCCTTCTCACTTAGGCTGCCGTTCCTGCTGCTGCGCTCGGCCCGGCCCTCCTGCGCCGTGCGACTGGCCGCTCGGGCCGCCGCTGCCTCGCGGTCTGCCGTCCATGGCGCTGCGGCCGCCGCCGGCGCTGCTGCGGCGCACGCTGCCATGTGTGCGCTGCCAGACGCAGGCCCAGCTGCTGCGGCGCTCGTACGCCCGGAGCAGCGTGCCGGTGCCGCCACGCTCGCGCCGCCCGGCGCAGCTGCTCACTGCGCTCGGCGCCGTGGCGGCGCTCGTCGTGGTGCTGGCACCGCGGCCCTCGCACGCGCCGCGCGAGGGCTCGGCCCCGTCAGCGACGGCCAGTGGCAGCAGCAGCAGCGCCGACGTAGCGCCGCCACCACGTCTCGAGCCGGAGCGCTTCCGCACCTTTCGTCTGCGCAGCCGCGACTGTGCCACCTCGACGTGGGCTACGGACAGCACTGGCGACGGCGCACACGTCGTGCTGCGCGTGCCTGTGGCGCCGCCGAGCGATGCACCGGCGGCGGCGCTGGGCATCCTCACGCTGCACCTGGCGCACCCGCTCCTCTCCGTGCAGCGCCCCTACACGCCGCTCTACGCCGCACCGCTACTCGCAGGCGGCGATGCGACGCTGCTCATCAAGCGCTACCGCGACGGCGAGGTCGGCCGCTATGCGCACGAGCTGCGTGCCGGCGACGAGGTGCTGCTGCGCGGGCCTGAGTACAGCTGGCGGGCGCGAGGTGACGAGAGCGATCTGCTGCTGGTGAGTGGGCGAGCGGCGCATGGGCAACGGCAGACTTTCCGCAGCGAGCGCCCATCTTACTCGCCGCGCACCAGATCGCCGGCGGCACGGGCCTGACGCCGATGTACCAGCTGCTCACGACGCTGCTCGGCGCACCCGATGCAACAGACGAGCCGCCGCAGACTGCTGCGGCGCGGCCACGCCTGACGCTCCTGTACGGCACGTCGCGCGCCGAGTCGCTGCTGCTGCTGCCCGAGCTGGCGGCGCTGCGTGAGCGGCATCCCGAGCTCGACGTGCGGCTCTTCGTCGAGGACGAGGCGCCGCAGGGCTGGTGGGCGTGGGCCAGCGGGCAGCAGCGGCGCATGCATGGCATGCCGCTGTACGCCGGCCGCGTGACGGAGAAGGACGTGCGCGGCGTGCGCCGCGAAGGGCAGGACGTGCTCGTGTGCGGGCCCGACGGGTGAGTGCGCCGCTGCGTGTGTGTGGCGCGGCACTGGCGCGCCGCTGACCCTCGTGTGCACACAGCATGGTGGCCGCAGTCGCCGGACGACGGGCGCGCGACGGCCGCGGGCAGGGCGAGCTGGGCGGCATGCTGCAGCGCCTCGGCTACACCAGGGAGCGCGTGCACAAGCTGTGAGCGGGCTGGCGCGACGGGCAGCACAATACATGGCATCACAAGGCGCAGCGAGTGCAGGCGCTTCTATTGCGGCGCGCGCGGCATCTAGAACGGCGGCACAATCTCCTTGGCGACGAGGTACTTGATGATCTGGTCGACGGCCTCGTCGACGGACGTCGAGCCGGCCTGCACGTGGATCTCGGGCGACGCGGGCGCCTCGTACGGCGCCGAGATGCCGGTGAACTCTGCAGCGCGTGCGTCAGCACAGAGTCTGCGTGAGATGTCACTGTGCAGGCTGGCAGTCTGCTATGCCGGCAGCCCGGCAATCGCTGTGGACCGCCGCACCCCAGGCACACCACGCACCCTTGATCTCGCCGGCGCGCGCCTTCTTGTACAGGCCCTTGGGGTCGCGCTTCTCGCACTCCTCGACGCTGGCGTCGATGAAGACCTCGATGAAGGGCAGCGGCGGGTCGTGCTTGGCGTGCAGCGCGCGCGCCAGGTCGCGGTCTGCGGCGTAGGGCGAGATGAACGACGTGATCGTCAGCGCCGCCGACGAGGCGAAGAGCAGCGAGACCTGCGTGGCGTGTCAGCCGGGTGTCACGCATGCGGCACAGGTGCTGTGCCAGTGCGGCGCAGAGGTGCTGCACAGCTGCAGTGCAGAGCGCGAGCAGCACTGCTGCACACTCTCAGCGCAGAGCATGCACAGCGCTCCGCCGCTCACACCCACCGCTCCACCGCTCCACCGCTCCACAGCCGTGACGCACCTCGGCGATGCGGCGGATGTTCTCTTCGCGGTCCTTGGGGCTGAAGCCGAGGTCCTTGTTCAGCCCGAAGCGCACGTTGTCGCCGTCGAGGCGGAACGCGTTGCGGCCGACGTGCAGCAGGCGGCGCTCGAGCGCCACGGCGATCGTGCTCTTGCCCGACGCCGAGAGGCCGGTGAGCCAGAGCGTGGCGCCGTTTGCGCCGAGGGCGAGGGCGCGCTCCTGGTAGGTGATGCCGGCGTGGTGGGTGATGTTGGTGGCCATGGTGGGTGGTGGTGGTGGGAGGGCAAGCGGGAGCGTGCCAAGCGTCGGTCCCTCTGCGGCGCGCCGGCGACTGCCGTCCAAGCACGCAAGAGGCACGACGAGCCGCGGCTCAACTGTGCCGGCGCCGCCGCCTTCTTGGCGCACGAGAGAAAGTCGCGCCCCATGGCTCGCTCCTCACCCGCTGCTCTCCCTCTCTCCTCTCCACCGTCACCCTCAGCCATGTCCGTCGCCGCGCTCCGCTACGAGGCACGCGCCGAGGCCTACGCGCCCGCCAGCGCCGCGCGTGCGCTGCTCGCGACAATGGTGCGCAAGCGCAGCAACCTCTGCGTCAGCGTCGACGTGACGCGCGCCGCCGACCTGCTCGCCGTCGTCGCCGCCGTCGCGCCGCACGTGTGTCTCGTCAAGGTGCGTTGGGCAGCATGAGCGGCGGAGCAGTGATCGGGCCAAGGCGAGGCGCTGTGCCGAGGCTATGCCGCTGCTGGGCGCGGCGCTGGCATACAGCGCACGGCTCGAGGTGCTGCCGCCGTGGCACCGACACTGCTGCAGGCCCGGCGCTGACCCGGCCGCGCCAGACGCACATCGACATCGTCTCGGACTTCAGCGACGATCTCGTGGTGCAGCTGCAGGCGCTGGCGCAGCAGCACGACTTTCTCATCTTCGAGGACCGCAAGTTTGCCGACATTGGTGCGTGCCGGCGCGTGCGTTGTGGGCCCTGCGGCTGACCCGGGCGGCGCCAGGCAACACCGTGTCGCTGCAGTACGCCGCCGGCGTGCACAAGATCGCCTCGTGGTCGCACATCACCAACGCGCACCTCGTGCCCGGGCCGGGCATCATCGACGGGCTGGCGGCCGTGGGCGAGCCGCTGGGGCGCAGCCTGCTGCTGCTCGCCGAGATGTCGTCGGCGGGCACGCTGGCACGCGGCGAGTACTCGCGCGAGTGCGTGCGCGCCGCATATGCGCACCCCTTCGTCTGCGGCTTCATCGCCATGCACCGCGTCGACGACGACGAGGCACCGCCGGCGGGCCAGGCCAAGAAGGACTTTCTCATCCTCACGCCCGGCGTCGGCCTCGACAGCACGGGCGACGGGCGCGGCCAGCAGTACCGCACGCCCGACGAGGTCGTGCGCGCCAGCGGCTGCGACGTCATCATCGTCGGGCGCGGCATCTACGGCGCGCTGCTCAAGGAGGGCGTGGCGCGCGCCGACGCCATCGCCGAGGTGACGCGGCAGGGCGAGCGCTACCGCGACGCCGGCTGGCAGGCGTACGAGGCACGATTGGGTGCGTGAGCAATGTATCGCGCTTGCTCGGCCTGCGTGTTGACGGTGTGATGCGTCCTGCTCCGCTGCTCGGCCGGCGCGCGTGCTCAGCGGCAGCCGCAGGCCCCTCGGCAGGCGTCTCTTCCTCGTGAGCTGCTCTCAGCATGCGTCCGCAGCGCTCTGTCCCTCACGCGAAGCCCACTGCAGCGCGGCACTGCCGATGCACGTCTTTGGCTACGGCTCGCTCATCTTCAAGCCGCCGCCGTACACCGTGGCGCGCACCGTCGGCTACATCCGCGGCTTCGTGCGGCGCTTTGCGCAGAGCAGCATCGACCATCGCGGCACGCACGCACGCCCCGGCCGCGTCGTCACGCTTGTCGAGGCCAAGCACTGGCGCGCCGCTGAGGAGGCCGCTCGCGCCGCCGGACACGCGGTCGAGGAGGAGGAGCTGGGCGAGGACATTGTGTGGGGCGTGTGCTGGACGAGTGAGTGGCCCGGCCATGCGCCGCGACCACTGCCGCTGAGCGTCGACCACAGTCGATCCCTCACACGCAGCCGACGTGCGCGCCTACCTCGACCACCGCGAGATCAACGGCTACACGCCGCAGCAGGTCTCTGTGTACGGCCGCGCCGCGCCCGACGCCGAGCAGGACTCGGTGCTGATGCGCGACGTGCTCGTGTACGTCGGCCTGCCGGACAATGAGGCGTTCGTCGGGCCGGCGCCGTCGCAGACGCACCTGGCCGCGCGCATCTTCTCGTGCGCCGGCCCGAGCGGCCGCAACGACGAGTACGTGCTGCGCCTGGCGCGTGCCACTCGCGCACTCGCGCCGCAGGTCACCGACCGGCACCTGTTTGACCTAGAAGAGCGGCTGCTGGCGCTGCGGCGCGCCGAGGGGCTGCCGGAGCTCGGCGAGGACGTCGTTGACGCCGATCGCGAGCAGCGGATCTTGGAAGAGGTGCTGCAGCGCGCCGCCTCGCGCCCACCATAGAGCTCTGTCTAGACACACTAGATTATCTTGGCATGCAGCTGGCGCCCGTGTGCTGAGCTGAGCTGACGGCGGCTCAGAGCTCGTAGTGGCGGTGGATCGTGATCGGCTTGACCAGCCAGGGCTGCCGATGGATGTCAGCGAGCGCTGCAGGCTGCACGTCAGCCTAGCTCACCTCGACGGCGGGGTTGAAGGTCTGGTGCGCATGTCAGTCTGAGGCGGCAGCGACGACGCCGACACACACTCACCGCCCAGTACTAGAGGCGCAGCAAAGAGAGGCGTGTCAGCGAAATGCAGCGGCGTGCGGCGCCCTACGCACCGGGTTCTCGAGGTCTGCCAGCGGCGCGAAGTCAGCGCCAGCTCTCGGCCACTACGCAGCAGCACGCACGGTACTTCTGCGACGACTCGTGCTCGAAGCGCTCGACGATGGAGAAGCGCGTGGGCTCCTTCTCGTCCTGCATGACGAACCCTGCGCAAGGCGTGAGCTGCTGCGGCCACTCCCGTGCCGATCACGCCACGCACAGTCGAGCGTCTCGCGGTCCTTGCGGTACACGGCGGCGGCCTCGACGAGCTTGGCGCGCATCAGCTCGACGCACTCGGGCTTGACCTCGGCGTGGCAGACGAGCGTGTAGACCATGGCTGCTTGGTGTTGTGGTTGCGAGGCAAGAAGAAGCGGCGGCACTTTGGGCGCAAGGTCGCAAAGTGGAGCGGCCGGGCGCCCCTGACGCGCGCCAGCGAGTCGGGCCGCGGCGGCGTCCTGCGCTCACCACGGCGGAACCTCGGGCCCATGCGCATGCTGCTTCCTCTCTGCCTGCACCTCGCAATGAAAGCAGGCGGGTGAAGCACGCTGCTCCAAGAGGTGAGCTCTCAGGGAGCCGAAGCAGCGCTTACGGCTGCGCTTGCAACGGCGCTCTGGATCAGGGAGCGGGTCCTCGCGCTTGCGAGAGACGCAGCGCGTGCCAAGACGCCGGCCTCCGCCAGGCATGCCCCATCCTCACCCTGCCAACTGCAACGCGACCGGCAGGCGCACATCCGGCAAGCAGTGCTCGTCACAATCTCAGACGTCGCACCACGCATACATCATCAGGTCCATTCGCCCATTGCGCAGTCGAGCTTGAGCAGCCGACCTGACGTGCCTCTCAAAGAACCGTCCTTCTCGTAACGTTTGAGCAGAGCACGCAGCCTGTAGTTCACCTGCGACGACCCTCAGCGAGCCATCACGCGCTTGATCGAGCGCACTCACGCCCGGATTCGTCTTCTTGCCCTTGAGGCCGGAGCGCTCGTGCTGCCGTGCACGAGTCAGCAGCGGCGAAGGGGGCACCACACACCGACGCACACGCACCAGGAGCGGGATGCTGCTGAGGCCCAGCTCGAAGAGCGCCCGCACCAGCGCGAGCTCGTCCTCTGCGCCGTGTCTCAGCGTTATGCGTGTGAGGCGCTGCGCCGCACCGACTCACCCGGCGTCCAGAACTCGGCGGGCTTCTTGGGCTTGGTGGGTTTCGCCCGCGGCGCCTTCTCCTCCTCCGTCGTCTCGTGCTTGGCCGTTCGCTGTGCAGGCTGGACGTAGCCTCAGCGCCTGCAACACTCGCACGAACAGCTCAGTTACCATGATTGTGAGGGAGCGATGGATGTGGTGTCTGACAAAGCGGCGGCAGCGGCGGCAGCGGCGGAGGCAGAGGAGAGCCTCATCACCTGGCGCTATCAGCGAATCAATCAATCGAAGGGCGAAGCGGACGGGGTGCACAGACCAGCGGCCCCACCTCCGTGATGAATGCAGAGGCTGGCCAGTCATGGGCTCATCAGAGCCGGCCAGCACACACGGCGGTGCCTTCGCAGGGGGCAGCACACCGGCATCGCTGTTCATTGCAGGAGCTGCCTGTACGCGCTTCGTCGACGGCACATGTCTCTTGCGGCTCAGGCGGCTCAGAGCTTGCCCGACTTCTCGAAGCGGCTGAGCAGGTTGCGCAGCTTCATGTTCACCTGGGCGCGGGGCGTGAGCGTGCCGCGGACCACATCGCTACCCGCCGTCCTCACGGAAGAGTTGCCGCGCCGTCCCTTGAGGCCCGAGGCTTCGTGCTGGATGATCACCGTCAGCGTCGTACGCAGGCAGACGCGGCGCACGCACGAGCGCAGGGATGTTGCTGAGCGCCAAGTCGATGACGGCACGGACCAGCATGAGCTCCTCCTCTGCCGGTGCGTCTTCAGCGACGCCGTCTCTCGCAGGCGGGCTGGGCCACGCACCAGGCGTCCAGCTCTCCGTCTTGCGCTTCTTTGCCGGCTTGGCGGCCGTGCTGGCGCCTGCTCCTGGCTCGCGTTTGGGCGTGCGGTCGGCTGGCTAAGGCCGCGTCTGCATCAGAGCAAGTGCAAGATGCAGCATGGAGCAGCGACCCACCATGCTGAGTTCTGTATGGAGAGGTCGTGGCAGTGTGGAAAGATCAGCGAAGCCCAGCGGCGGCTCGGTGATCGGTGCGGCCCCTGTCCTCGACGGCGTCCGGTGCGCGGATGTGGGAGCCGGATGCCGCGGCACCGCAAAGCCGCCTGGCGCGTTCATCAGCAGCTGCTGTCCGGCCAGCCCGCGTGAACGCTGCAGTCAGCTTTCTGCCCGCATCTGGTCCTCTGAGACTCTCTGTGCGGCGAGCATCGACCAAGCAGCCGCGGTCCAGGAAGCGAGCGTATTGCAGACGAGACTAAATTACACGTGACGAAGAAGAGGCAGAGGATGGAGCGCCGACTGTCGAGGGCTCGTTGCTGCTGCATGATGAGTGCACTGCAGAGCGAAGAGAGGCCTGAGCACGGTGTGGCATGCTGAGGAGGAGAAGAGCGGTCAGCCGTGGCTCTTCAAGCCGCAGTACAAGCCCGTCTGTCCACCAGCGCAGCGCCACCCACTCCTAGCGCTGCATGCGAAGCGCACTTGACCGCAACATCCGCCGTGCGATTCGCCGGCCCTTGAGTCCCTGTCGCCGACCGCCTGCGACCACTCAGTGCGGTGGTCGAGCCGCCTCCACTGTGGGCGCCCGTCGCCATCTCCGCGCTCCTCGCACCCGCGCGCTCCGCGGCGACGCACCTCAGTCGAGCGCAATGCGGCTGTAGCGCGCGTGCCCCAGCTGGCAGCCGCAGAAGAAGGCAAAGCCGGCAAAGACGAGGGCGGCGACGTAGCACGTCGTGGCGACGGCGGCGCCGTCGGCGGGGTCGCCCGTGGAGCCCATGAAGGCCTCCCAGTTGCTCGCGAAGCCGAGGCCGATGATGGCGAGGATGAGCACGCCGAAGAGCGAGAGCACGGTGCAGCAGCCGGCTGGCGGGTGGGGCGTCAGCAGCGGCGGGCGCAGGAGCGGCCGCGGGCGCACGCACCCAGGCCCGGGTGGACGAGCGGACGGAGAGCCATGCTGGGCAGGCGGACGGCGCGCGGAGGTGCGGTGCGGTGAGGCAAGAGTGCGCAACTGCGGCTGATGTGAAGCGAGGCGGAAGGCGCAGTGGAGTGGGGTTGGGTGCGGGAAGGAAGGTGCCAAGAGAGAGAGCGCGGCTGATGCTGCTGATGCTGCTGGCGCTGCAACGTGCACGTCCCGCGCAGGCGCCGAGACGCACAAGCTGGCGCGACGCGCGCAGCATCGCCAGAGTCGCACACGGCCGCCCAGCGCAGCGGTACGGCCGCCGGCCTGCCCGCACAGCGCCCACAGCGGCAGCGCATGCCCCTGATGCTGGCAGAGAGGCGCAGGACAGCGAGCACGAGCATCTCTTGCGTCTCCTCCTTCTGCGGTTGATGCCGCGAGGGCGCACTGCGACCCGAGCCAGGCGCCAAGAGGCGAGCTAAAATTAGACGCGCGCCGCGGCGAGCAGCACGCCGATGGGCTCGCGGCGCATCGGGCGGGCGGCGATGCGCCGTGTGCTGGACGCAGACATGCTGAAGCGCAGCAGCGGGGATGAGCTGTGCCAGGCGCAGTCCAGCATTGGCGTGCCAGCCCGGTGCGCCCTGGCGGTGCATGCGGCGGGCGGCGCGCCGGCGGCCGAGGCGCGCTCAGGGGTGTCGCGCGAAGCATGAAGCGAGAGGCGCGCTCGGGCCGCGCGTGTTGGCGGGCAGCAGCAGCAGGTGCCGGCGCATCATCCGACACTCGCCTCCGCACCACCACACCCACCAGCATGGCCGCAGCCGCACCGCCGCCGCGCGTCCGCCGCGGCGCGCCCGCCTTTCCCGCCGCCGCGCAGCCCCTCGCCGCGCTCGACGGCCCGTTTGCGCTGCAGGAGTTCCTCGAGGCGCGCGTGCGCAGTGCGCCGCACGACGTCGCCGCCCTCGTGGCGCTGCCGCCGCCGTCGGCGCACGCGGCGCTGCTGCTCGGCGGCGCCGGCGGCGAGGAGGAGCCGCCGCGCGACGCCGACGTCGACACCGACGTGTGGGTGTACGAGCAGCTGCGGTGAGTCGGGCCAGACGCCGCGGCGTGCGGGCTGGCGAGGCGATGCAGCGCGGCGCAGACGTGTTCAGCACGGCGGCGGAGTAGAGAACGGTGTCACGCTGAGGGCACAAGGCTGGTGCAGCGCCGCGCATGGCGTGGCAGGGTGATGCAGAGGTGCGGTCGGCACGTCAGCCCAGAGCAGTGCACGGCGGTGCACGGCGGTGCAGCCCAGCAGCGCAGCGATGATGCGCAAGCAGCTCATGGGCGCAGCGGCGTAGCAGCGCATCGGCGTAGCACTGGGAGCGCAGTGGGCGCCGAACAGCGGTGCGGCTGCAGTCCTGGCCAGCACGATCCCGTTTCTGCGCTTCCCTTCTGCAGACATGCTCACACACCTCCTGCCAGACGACTGATCCGCGACTTCACGTCGCCGTGGCTCGTGGCGCTGCAGGCCTCGTGCTCTTCCACCTCTGAGGGCTGCAGCGGCATGGCGGCGCACGAGTGGGAGTATCTGTGTGCGGCGCACGGCGAGGAGCGCCAGTGCTGCGCCATCGACTACGTCACACACACGCTCGACGCCACGGCCGCGCTGCTCTCGTCGGCGCGGCACTTCCCGAGCCGCAGCTACGTGCCCACGACGTCGCTGCGCCACTTTGGCAGCGCCGCACGCCGTGTCAGCCGCTGCTTCGTGCATGCGTGGGAGAAGCACCGGCAGGTCTTCCTCGAGTGCGAGGTGAGTCGCACGCGCTGGCGCCGCAGTGCCCGGCTGACCCCTGCGCCAGGCCGAGACGTCGTTATATGCGCGCTTCCTCGCGCTCGTCTCCACGTACGACCTGCTCGACACCGACTCGCTGCCGCCGGCGCCGTCCTTCTCAGAGTCGCGCACGCTCGACGACGAGGACGACTTGCCGCGGCGGCCAAAGAGCCGCGACGCGCAGCTCGTCGGCGACGCAGACGAGCCGCAGACTGTGCCCGTCGACGCCGACGAGTCACTCGACGGCGCTGCGTCCAACGGCGTGCACGTGCTCAGCAGCGACCATCCCTCGTTTGGCGATGACGCAGCCGGCACTGCCAACGGCAGCGAAGAGGGAGCAGACGTGCCCGCTGCGTTGCCGCAAGGGTCGCCGCAGAAGGGCAAGAGCAGCAAGGGCGAGGCGCGGCGCACAAAAAGCATGAAGCGTGCCGCCCAGGCAGAAGAAGCGCAGGCGCCGGCTGATGCAGACGCAGAGCACGAGCCGCGGCCAGCCAAGTCGCCAGGCGTCAACTTGGCCAGCAAGGAGCTGCCGCCAGACGCCGCGCTCGCCGAGCCGTTCCAGGAGGCGGCGCCCGGCGACGAGACGGTCATGGCTGAGCCGGAGCAGGAGTGAGAGGGGGCGAGGAGCAAATGTCATGCGTACTCAGGCCAGTGCACGACGATCAGCACGCTCAGTGTCAGAGTAGAGATGCTGGTGACGATGTTCTATTGTGGCCGCGGGCTGCTGTGCTCCTGCGCGCCGTCTGACGGCTGCTCGCCTTGCCGGGCCTCTTGCTCCTGCAGCAGGCCGTCGAGGCGGCCCAGGAAGCCGTCGAGGCGCTCCTCGAGGCCGACTGCTGCGTCCTCTGCCGCGTCCATGCGTGCTAGCAGCTCCAGCACGTCTGGCTCGCCCTTGCTGCCAGGGCCCGAGCTGAGCAGCGGCCCGAGCAGGGCGGCATCTTCTGGCGAGAGTGACGCAAGCAGCGCAGCCAGGTCCGAGGGCGCCTCCTCATCCTCGTCCTCGTCCTCTTCCTCCGCTGCATCGGGTTCGTGCTCTTCTTGCTCGTGCGCATCACCGTTGGCGAGAGCCGGCGGCGGCGCGTGCGCATCCAGCGAAACGCCGCCCAGAGCCTCGAGCAGCGCCGGCGGCATCGAAGCCGAAAGTGCTGGCCGCCGGGCGCTGGGCGGCTCGTCGCCATTGCTCTGCGCGAGCGGCGAGAATGGCGCCCGGGCCTGCGGTGCGGCCAGAGGATTGGACACGTGGCGTGCCGCGGGCGATGGGAAGCCGTTCGTGAGGCTCGGCTCGGGCAGCTCCGCCACGGGCGTCGGGACGCCGAGGGGCCGGTCTCCGTTCGCAAAGCCCTTTCCTGACGCCTCGCGCGGCGCGGGATCGCCGACATGGCGCAGCCAGGCGCCGATGGCGCCGAGGTAGCCCTCGTGGCGCAGGAAGAAGGCGCGCTTCGTGCCCTTGGACCAGAAGCGGATGGCGTACGAGAGCGTCGAGATGGTCGCCTGGTGGCCGCGGATGAAGCAGCCGCCAAAGTAGATGCGGTCGAGGTTGTACTTCTCCGCGTTCATGAAGCTGCACAGAGTGTCAGCATGCCCAGGCGCACACAACACAGAGCGATACGCACGCTATTTGGCCGATGTTGTTGCTGATCGCGTACAGCAGACTCTTGCAGATGTCCTCGGGCCGGAACTTCTTGCGCCGCTCGCGCTTGCCGCCGCCCTCCTTGCGGAACACCTTGCCGAAGCTCGACGCGATCGTGCTCGACTTGAGGCCGAGCGACGAGAGCGCGTCCGAAGAGCCGTAGATGTCGCCGACGAGCATGTCGACGGCCGCATTGTCGCCGCGCGTGGACAGGTCGAGCATTTCTGCGCGCGCGTCAGCATACACCTGCTGTGGCTCGCTGTGCGCGCGCACTCACCGTCGAAGCTGTCCGCGTCCGTGAGCAGGCTCAGCAGACCCCACAGCGTACCGCCGCCAAGACTGGTGCCGCTGACGCGCTCGTACGCGCCAAAGTCGTCGACCTTGATGATGCTGACGCCGCTGCCGATGTTGACCAGCAGGCACGGCAGGCGCGGCGAGGGCTGCGAGTCGTACACGGGCGCATACAGCGGCGGGTCGGCTGACGGGCGCGGCAGCGGGTCAGGCGAGGGCGCCGAGGGCGGCGAGGTCGAGCGCGAGCCAGAGGCGCGCGCCTTTCCGCCTGGCGGCGGTGACGACGAGGCCGGCAGCGGCGAGTGCAGAAAGGCGACGAGCTCGTCGCTATAGCTGAACACCTCGTCGGGAATGAGCGTGGCGAAGTTGAGGCCCGTGATGAGCGCGCGCATCTCGTCCTCGCGGCGCACCTCGACGCCGAGCTCGGCCTGCAGGCGCTCGCAGAAGAGGTGCGCGCCGCCGCCCGTCGCCGAGAGGCACACGGAGCGGCGCATGTCGGCCAGCGACACGCGGTTCGCCGCCGCGCTGCTCGAGATGAGCGTGTGGAGGAAGGAGAGCAGCGAGGCAATGTCGGCCGTCTCGAACTTGATGAAGTTGAGACGCCCGCCGGGGAGCGCCGCGGGCAGCGAGCGGCGCGCCAGCACTGTGGAGCGCAGCGCCGACGCTGCAGAACTCGACGCGCCTGCAGTTGCAGGAGCCAGCCACGAGGGCGAGCGTGAGATGCTCGTCGGCGTCAGCGTGCCCGACGGCACGGCAGCGGCGCCGTCGGCCGTGTACGCGACCTGCGTCGGCGTGTCGGGCGTGGCGACAGCGGGCGAGAGCGGGAGCGTCGGTGTGGCTGAGCTCGAGGCGCCCTCGCCGCTGCCCACTGCACTCTCAGGCGAGCACGCATGCGTGAAGTAGACGACCTTGGCGAGCGAGCCGCCGATCTGCGCACGACGTGTCAGCGTGCTGCTGTATGCTGCAGCTACAGCAGGCCCCAGCGGCGTGGTCCGCCCAGCAGCGCTCGGCTGTGCAGCCCGCGCATCCCACCTGCACGCGCAAGCGCAGGCGCAGCTGCACCCGCCGCCGGCCCGACCGCAGCGCAGCGACCAGCGCAGCCACTGCCCTGGCAGCAACGTCCACATGCACGAGCCACGAGCGGCGACTCACATCCAGCGCAATGTGGCTGACGCTCTCGACGTGGTTGGGCAGGTAGATGTCGCGGCCGTCGCGCTGCGCCTGCGTGCTGGGCGGCGCAGCAGAGGCGGCGCCAGGCGCCGGCTCGGCGTCAGGCTCGAGGATCTGTGCGCCACTGGCAGGCGCAGAGGTTAGTGAGGCGCCTACAAGCAGAGCACGGCACACACGCACGTGGTGTCGACAGTGACGGGCAGCGCCACAGGAGCGGCGACGCTCGCCGCAGCGGCCGCCATGGCAGCGGCAGCAGCAGCGGCCGACGACGGCGATGCAGTCGCTGCGGCCATGCGCGGCGAGTGTGCTGCTGCGACGGAGCAGCGGCGTGACTATGGCAGCAGGGCCGCCGTGCCCGGCTCGCTCGGCGCAGGTGCGGGGCGGCGCCAGCAGCGGCGTGCAGGAGCAGTGCCGAGCGGCAGAGCAGATGTGCAGATGCGTCGGTGCGGAAGACGAGCAGAGCGGCAGGCAGGTGATGAGGCAGCGAGCTTGAGGTGACGGCGGTGGTGGTGCGAAGGCTGCCGGGAAGGCAGCGAGGAGCAGGCTGCCGGCCCCCAGAGGCGAAGCGGGGCTCGGCGCGCTGCCGGCGCGAGACGCCGCAAGGCACGGCGCGCGACAGCGCAGGCGGCGCGCGGCAGAGGCGGCAGGCGGCCGGCGTGGAGAAATCGCCTGCGCGGCGAGGGCCGAGAGCCGGCAGCCGAGCAGCGCCGCGGCCGAGAGCGCGGCACCCCAACGCTGATGCTGCGCCGCCGCTCCTCGCAGCGGCATATCTCCGGCTCTGCCGCAGCGACCGGGGGCAGACTCGAGAGAAGGCGAAGGGAGCGCCTCGCAGCAGGCAGCATTCAGGCTCGCAGCTGCGGCGGCGGCCCGATGGCGGCAGCGCCAGCGCAGCGTCTGGCGTGCGGTGCGCCGGCGTGGCCGCTGCGAGCTGTCCTGCCGATGACGGCGCCGCCGCCAGCGCTGCGGCCGGCCGTTCCTCGGGTGCGCGCGTGGCGGCGCCTGGCGCGGGCGGTGCGGCGGGCCCACGAGGCATAGAGCATGGCCCTCTCTCTGCTCTGTGCGTAGGCCTCTGGAGCGTCCCGAATGGGCGGCAGCTTTGCCATGAGGCTGGGACGGCACAGAAGGCGTGTGTGAGCTGCACCCTTGCACCCTGCCACGCTCGCCAGGCACGCGCGTCCAGTGCGACGCCGAGGGCTGTCGGCTCAGGGGACGCGCCGGCCAGCCTGGCCCGCCAATCAAGCCGCTTTGAGGCGCCTCTCGCGGCCGGCGCTCGCAAGAACACCTGTGCATGGGGCAGCGGCCGGCCCCTGCGCCGCAGATACACCCGTCTGCGTGCGCGGCGGCGGCGCTGCGAGCGTTCAACTCTCGCGCCGCGGGCGTCGTCGCCACTGCACCTGGCAGCCGCCTCGTGGGCACCGCGGCGCAGCACAGCCTGCGCCGCACTCGCGTGGTGACATAACCCTCCACGCTGGGAGTTGCATGCAACACCCCTAGCCCGCCAGCCGTATGGCCTCTTCTGCCCTCACCGAGGCAGGCTGCACCTTTTTGCCGATACCGGCAACGGTCGCGCGTGTTGCGCGATGCCGGCGGCGGTGCGGGGAAGGCGGCGCAGCGCGCGTGTGTGTTGCTCTCACGCCTGCGCGTGTCCGCGTCACACGAGCACCCTTACCGCTTGCCTCTGCTCCTCCATCCCCGCCATGCCTGCCGCTGCCAGTGGCGCACCCCGCCCGCAGCCCGGCAGCGGCAGCCAGCGCGCTGCTGACGACGACGTGCCCGAGCTGGCCGCACCGGCGCTGGCGGCACAGGCGCTGGCGCTGCTCACCGCCTTCCTCGCGCTCCTCGACGCGCCGCCCGCCAGCTGGCAGCCGCTGCACAGCGCCGCCGCTGCGGGCCCGGCGCCGGCACTCAGCGTCGCACGCCACGCCGCCGACGCCGCCCTCTTCCGCGTGCAGAGCGCCGTGCCCGCGCCGCCGCACGTGCTCTGGCCGCTGCTCGCCGAGCCGCGCCTGCGCGCGCGCTGGGATGGCGCCGTGCAGGACGCCGCCGTGCTGGCGCGTGTGGCGCCGCTGGCCGCCGCCAATGCGCGCCGCGAGCGCTTCGCCTTTGGCAGTGTGTGAGTGTGGAGCGTGGAGAGGGCTGGTGAGATGTATGCCTGGAGGCAGGGCTGTAGATGGCGGTTGCGAGGTCGAGGCCTGTGCGGCAGCCGGGTGCCCTGTGCCACCTGCAGCGCACGCTCCATGGCGCTCTCGCTGACACAACACGCAGGTTCATGGTCATGAAGCCGCGTCTGCTGCACCTCCTCTCGCTCGACGTGCTGCTGCCGCCGACGGCCTCGCACCCCGTGCGCCTCGCGTCGCTCTCGACGTCGCTGCCGCACGCGCCCAGCGCCACGCACACCGTCTTCAGCATCTCGCTGTCCGGCTTTCTGCTCGAGGGCGAGGCGGGCGGCGCCGCATGCCGCCTCACGCAGCTGTCGCACCTCGGCGATGCGGCGCTGTGGTGTCCGGCCGCCGTAGTGCGCCTCGTCGCCTCGTCGCTCGTGCCGCGCAGCCTCAAGGCCGTCGCCAAGGCGGCGCAGGCCTACCAGCCGGAGCGCGGCGCCGCCGAGGCCTTCGCGGCCGAGGTGCGCGATGAGGCCGTCAGCGGTGCCGATCGCCGTCTGCCGAAGAGTCTGGAGACCATCGTCGCGCAGGTGGAGCGCATCACCGCCGATGCCCAGCCAGCCGCGGCACCATCGAGCGCACCGAGCACAGACCTTCCAGAGGACAGCACACCGGCGCCATCCTCGACCGAGACTCGCGATCATGTGTCGGATGCGCCGTCTAGCAAGCCGCAGGCGGCCACAGCAGAGCCCGAGCCGCCGATCATTGCAGGGACTGGAGGCGCGGATGCCATTGCTCAACGTCGCGCCGATGATGAGCCAAGCCAGAGCACCGAGGTGCACATGAAGGTGTCCGGCGATGTCAGCGTTGCTGCACCGCGCGATACTGTCGCAGCGAGCGATGACGTTTCGGGCCCTCGGGAAGCCGACAATAGCGTGGACACAACAAGCCCGAGTGTCGCAGTGGAACAAGGCGAGATGGCCGAATCTGGCGGAGCTTTAGGCGGCGAAGAGCTCACTTGTCCAAGTTCTCCGGCCTCTGCTCCGTCTCTGCCGGGAGAGGAAGCTGTGCGCCTGCCACGGCTGCGCGTCGCAACGGCCGCCGAGCCGGGCCTCACGTCCGAGCACCTCGAAGCTGCGCTTCGTCGCATGACGCGTGTGCTGTCCTTCGTCGAGGCCGACTCTGTACCGCGTGTCGACCCGGACTCGACGCTCGGGACCGACCAGCTGCTTGTCAAGGCCGAGGCGCTCCAAGAGCTCTTTGCAGATGCTGTGCATATGCAGCTGCAGAGCAAGATCGAGCCATCTGCCACTCCAGCCCGTCCGCTCTCGAGGGCGCAGCAAGAGGCACACAGACTCAGCACGATGCTGCTGCTTGGCGGCGACGCGCTGGCTCTGGCGATCGCACCTGGAGCGCGCGAGAGCCACGTTCACGCCCCAGCAGAGGGTGCCGAAGTAGACTCTTCGACCGAGCCAGTAGCGAGCCTACCTGTCTCGCACGGCTCACCGGTGCTGGCCGGTGCCGCCTCGGCGCGAATTGCAAGCGGGGCCACGACAGCCTCAAGCCAGCGCAGCAAGATCAGTGGGTCGAGCAGACAGTCACTGGGCACCCGCTCGACCAGCCTGAGTCCTCACTCGAGCCCAGCCCTCGGCAGCGAGAGCGGTGTAAGCCAGGCGGGCTCCTCTACTTCGTGGGGCAGCAGCCTGGCGCATGCTCCTTACACGCTCGCACTTGGCATGATGGCGCTCAGCTCCGTCGTCTTTGCTCCGGGCAAGGCCGAGGGCAGCTTTGTCTCCGCAGGCGACTCGACAGACGCCGCATGTCTCTCGGCTGCGCGCATGGCTCTGGAGGCCGCCGCCAAACGCTCGACGGCCGGCACTGGGCGGCAGATCTCCGCCAAGCCGCCGTCTGCTCATGCGCCCTCATCTGCTCCTGCTGCATCGACTGCGGCCTACTCGCCGAGCAATGTCAAGCTGCATCCCTTTCCTGCCTCACTCGGAAAGAGCAGCGGCGGCGCCGTCCTGCCGCCGCTCCGTCTCAAGGCCCGCGCACTCGAGCGCGCGCCCGAGCGAGACACTCTCTTCGAGGAAGACGTCCGAGCACAGGACCCGCTCCCGTCCGCGCCTCGTGATGCCGACCAGCAGCCCGCTGCAGCGCCCGGCTACGTTGCCTGGCTCGCGAGCTACCTCGCGCCGTCGCGCTGAGCCCCCATGCTTCACTTCACCTCTCCTTCTCTTCATTCCCGGCTCCGTCGCACACCATACCCAACCATCACGCATGCTCCGTAGCGCAGAAGTGTGGATTGGCAGGTGGCACAGTGGTGGTACACGGACAAGGGAACATGCAGAGGGGCCAGCTCGGTTCAGTAGGGCGCGGAGGATGCGTGAGGTAAGGGGGGCCCGGTTCCAGAAGGGCTCTCGTCTAGGGGGTGGAATAGCAGGGCGGGTCGAGTCTAGAAGACGAGAGGCTGGAGCTGCCGGCTTCGGCAGCTCGGTATATGTGAGTCGCAGGTGAGCGCGATCGGAGGAGGAGAGGCAGCGCGCTGCAGACGCTACTTGACGTCTCGACGTTGGCGCTTCAGATCGGCTGCAGCCGAGCTCGTCAGCGCCTGAGGAGCGCTGGCCGGCGGCGGTGTCGTCTTGGAGGCGGCTGCTGCAGCTGCCGCGGCAAGGCGGGCCTTGTCCTTGCTGGCGGCGCCGGAACGGTTGCGCTTCTTGATGACGTCCGTCTTGAGGGACAGCGGGCGCACGACGCCGTGGAGCTTCAGGAACAGGCCGCAGGCGTTGCACAGCGGCTGGCCCTCGGGATCGCGGCGCCACAGCGGTGTCTTGGTCGTGTTGCAGTTCGTGCAGACCGTCGGCGGATCGGCAGCCGACATGCTGCCGCCGTCGCCGCCTGCAGCAGCGCTGCTCGAGCTGGACGCGCCTGTCGCCGTGCCGCTTGCCGCACCCGTCTTGCCGGGCGAGGATGCCGCAGAGTTTGAAGCGGCCGACTTGCGCGCTGCGGCGCTCGTACCGGAGGCCTTCTTGGCAGTCTCGGTGCCTTTGGGCTGCAGCGGCGGCATGCCGCTCGAGGCGCCCGCTGAGCGTGCGGCAGCACCCGACGTTGCCTTACGGCTCTGGCCGGTCGGCGGCTTCTGCTCGGCCGCAACCTTGTTGACATAGTTGTTGACGAGCGGTGACGACTGGAACGTGCCGTTGCCGGGCGCGGCAAAGGGCGGAGTCGAAGCGGTGGGCGACTGCGTCTGGCTGCTGGCGGGGCTGTACGGGTTCCACGGGCTGGCCACAGAGCCGTCAGTCGCCGAGCTGGCCAGCGAGCCAAGCATGCCGTGCTGCGGCATGCCGGGCGGCGCGTCGAAGCTGCCGCCGCTTGTCGGGCCAAAGACTTGGTTAGGGTTGATGTGCGTCAGCGTCGGCTGGTGGTGCTGCTGGCCCATGGCGGCGTCCGAATTGTAGAAGATGGTCATGAGCGCCTCGAGGTCTGAGCTGGCGGTGCCGGCGTCGCCACCGATGTTGCCTGCCGGGCGCGAGCCGTCCGCAGGCGAGCTGGCTGGCGCACCCGGAGGGAAACCGGTGCTGAAGCCGCCGGCTGACGTCGGACTTGGCATAGACGAACCGGGCTGCGACGACACATCGTACGGCCCGTTGCCCTGCGCAAAGTGCTGCGGCTGCAGATGCAACCCCGGCGGCGGAGCGAGATTGCGCGGCGGGGGCATGGAGAAGTCGAACGAGGAGGCAGGAAGGCCGTGCGAGAAGGCGGAGACCTGTTGCGAGGCAAACGGAGGCAATTGGCGCGAGAGACCGGCCGCAATGCGATGGTCCTGGGAGGCGTACTGCGGCGGGCGCGCCGGCGACGGCTCGTAGGCGCGCTTGCGCGCATTGCCGGTCGAGATGCCGTCGTAGGGCGAAGCATGACGCTGAGGGCCGCGCGAGAGACTGCGCTCCTTGACCTTGTGGTCGAAGCTGGTCTTGCGCACCAGGCGCGGCAGGAAGCCGTACTCCGGGTGCTGGTTGGCGCTGTGGCTGCCAAAGTCTGCCAAGCCCGGCACGGAGCCAAGATTCGACTGCGGCGCGCCGAGCATGTGGTCGGCACCGACCGAGGACATGTCCCAGCTGCTCTTGCGGCCGCCGACGAAGAACGGCACGTTGCGGTCGTCGCTCGTAGCGGCGCGACGGCCGTGTCCAGGCAGGCCGGTGCCCGCAAAGAGATCGGTGAAGGCTGCCTTGCGGAAGGCACGCTGCATGGTGGCGCGCTGCGCTGCACGCTGCGCCTCCGGCACGGACTCGTGTGCGGCGCCTGCCGCCATGGAAGAGCCCGAGGGATCGAACAGCTGGCCGCCTTGCGAGGCTGACATGTCACCGAGCGCGAATGGATCGCCGCCGCTCATTTGACTGAGCGCGAGCAGGTCGGGCATGTCGGCCACGCCGAGCTCGTTGAGCGCTTCCTCGCCGAAGGCGGCAAAGTCGGCGAGGCTGAAGACATTCGAGTTGGGCGCGGACTGGCTGAGCAAGCCCTCGCCGCCGTCGTCATCGATCGTGTTCAGATGGGTCGCTGGCGCACGCGAGCGCGAGCGGCTCGCGGCGCGCCAGTCCATCGCGCCGACCGAGCGAGAGCGTGACCGGCTCTTGCTCTTCGCGCGCCAGTCCATCGCATCGTCGTCGCTCTGCATGACGCCGACACTCCCACTGGAAGCGTGTCAGCCGCGACGCGTGCTGCAGCCCGCCCGATCTGACTCACACTGTGCCACAGCTCTCCGGCGTGCGCGAGCTCCGTCCACGCCTACCGCGCTCTTCCTCTTCGGCCATCTCGGCAAAGCGTGCCCTGGCCTTGCCGCGTGCGGGTGGCTGAGGACCAAACGGAGCGCCAGTCTGGATGCTCGTGAGGCCCTGCAGCTGCCCTGACAAGACGTTCGAAGGCCCAGCAGTGCCAAGCTCCGGGCGGATGTCGGAGTTGCCGCTGCTGCGTCGCGACGTCGGCAGCGACGGACGCGAGCCGGAAGCAGGCGACACTGGCGCGGAGAACTCTGCGGCGCCGCTGGTCTCCGAGCCGGCCGCACTCGTGAGCGACTCGGTGCCGCCCTGCAGCGCGGCGCGCTCTGCCTCGAGCTTCTCCTGCTCGCGCTTCTTGCGCAGCGTCATGGCCATCATGCGCCAGGTGATGTTCTGCGCCAATGCGTCAGACACACGTCGACGTCCTTTGCACGGCGGTGACTCACCTCCATGCGAGCGCCGTGCGGCAGCGCGCTCTTCTGCTTCGCATACATGCGCCACACCTGCGTGGCCAGCGGATCCTTCTTCTTCATCGCCTCTGGGTCCTGCACCTCTTCGTCGTCTTCCTCTTCAGCGCCCGCGCTGCCAGCTTTGCCGCGCGGCATCAGGTTGCCGGCATCCTCGTCGGAGACGGTCGTGTCCAGCGCGCTGAAGACGGAGCCCAGGTCGGTGCCCTGGCTCGGCGCGCGCGACACTGGCGCGCCGTACGAGCCGACCTGGGACAGCGGCGCGGCCTGCGACTCGGCGTAGCCGTTGGCGCTCGATGCAGAGGGCGGAAAGAAGCCCTGCAGGCCGCTGCTCTCGACAGGCGAGAGGATGTCGGCCGTCGACGGCGGCGGCTGGCGGTAGCCCTGGAAAGGAGTCGGCATGGGCTGGCCCTGCATGTGCTGGCGCGCAGCGGACGGCATTGAGGCACTGGCCCAGGAGCCCTCGGCGTAAGGCTGCGAAGAGCTGGAGAGCTGGTGCGAAGGGCTCATGAGGCCCGGCGATTGCGCGCGTGACGGTGCGCCGGACTGCACGGTGCTCGAGCTGTGCTGGCGCGAGTGTGCAAAGTGCTGCTGCGCTGCAGCGTAGTACCGCGGCCCGCTGGGACCAGCACCGGCACCAGCGGCCGAGGCAGACGGGTCCATCGAGGCGTGCCACGCCTGCTGGTTCTGCCGCATACTCGCCTCGTTGGCCTGCTGGCGCGCCTCGCTCATCTGCAGCGCCTGCGAGAGCAGGCTCATGCTCGGTCCGACGGGCAGACCATTGGGTCCTGCGCTGAGGCCGGCCAGCGAGGCTTGCGGAGCGCCGTGCATGTCGGCAAAGGGCTGCTGACGCGCAGCACCGGGCGGCAGCGCCGAGCCGCCGGCGCAGTTTGCAGCCTTGGGAAAGCCCCAGCTGTTCGGGAAGCTCGAGGCGGCGCCGCCGCCGTACGGCATGCCCTCGTAGCCGGACAGCGGCGTGCCGTTTGCGTGCTGGCCGTTGGGCGCCTGCTGCTGCTGCTGCTGCTGGAAGACGGCGTCCCAGCTCTGCATGTGCGGCGGGCCCATGGCGCTGCCGCCCATGGCGCTGCCCGAGTGCAGCGCCGGGCCGGCCTTGCTGGCGGCGCCGGCGTTCATGTAGGGGTGCGGCGGCGCGGCCGCATTGCCGCGCGCCGACGGGTTGCCAGGCATGCCGACTCCTTCAGCAGCCAGCGCGAGAGGCACCTGCGCTCTCGGACGGCGGGTGCGGCGAGCGGAGAGCAGCGCCGGGCAGTGGGCTCAGCGCGGTGGTCGAGGTGGTCCGAGGCGGTGGGAGCAGCAGGGTGGAGAGGTGGCGATGGCGAGGCGAGGCGAGGTGACGATGCTCCAGCGAGAGGGTGAGATGGAGGAGGAGAGTCGGAGTGCAGCAGCGGCCGCCAGCAGAGCGAGAGGCGGCGGCGTGACGCGCGCGCGCAGCAGAGCTCGATCTGCAGACGCAGACGCAGCTCGGCGCTGACTTGAGACGCAGACGCAGGTCCAGCACAGGGGCGCCGGCGCAAGGTGTGGCTGGCGGTGGTGGTGGTGTGGTGGGTGAGCGTGGTGCAGGCGGCCAGTGCCGAGGCGTGAGAGAGCGGCCGGCCTGGCTGAATTCAGGGCCGGCCAGGGCGAGAGTGCCGGGCGCAGACGGCGCGCGCGTGAGCAAGAGCGGCAGGCGTGGCGGCGTGCGTGCCCGCTGCCGCCTCTCACACGCTCTGCGCCAGAGTCGAGCCACGGCGAGCAGCCGCGCTTCCGACGCTCGGCGGGCAGCAGAGCAGCGCACGCCGCCGCGCCTGCGACACTCGCCGCCTGCCTGGTGACGCGCGCGCCCTGATGCCTCTCAACTCTCTCGCACGACGCCGCCGAGGCATCTCGGGACGCACCACGGCGCCATCTCGGTGCTCGTCGTCTCTCTCGCACAGCTGCACGCTGCCGTACGGCTGCGGCGGCAGCGGCAGGCGGCGAACCCGTCGACGCCCGCACCGCCGTCCCGGCAGAATATTGCGCCTGCCGCTGCAGCATCCAGGCCGAGATGAGCAGCAGGCAGCGTGCGGCGTGGGCAGCGGAGCAGCAGCACCAGCATGCAGCAGCCGCGACCGCTCGCAGCGTCGAACGCGGCTGCATGTGCGCCAAAGAGCTCCGCGGCGGCGGCGGCGCGGCGTCTGTGCTTCCTGCCTGCCATGCTGCGCTTCCTCGCCGCTCCGGCGGCAGCAGCGCAGCGCAGGACAGCAAGGCCGCGTCCGGCGCCGGGCCGACGCCGAGGCTGCGACGCCGAGCTCGCCGTGCGCCGCCGTCTCCCCTTCGCGCTGGCCCTCTCGCTCGGACGAAGCCTTTGCGCTGGCTGTCACGCCGCTCAGCGAAGTCGTGCACTCGCGCCTGTCACACACTCGCCGCCTTCTGCTGGTGCCAGAAGCAGCGACACGTGGCGTCCTCGCCCGAGGCGGAGTGAACCCTCTGGCGCAATGACCCGCTCGCTCGGAAGGCGGCACAGGAGCCGTCGCCGCGCCGTCGCATGCACAGCCGCTGTGGCATGTCCGAGCCGTCGCCGCTCCTCGCCCTCTCCACGTTGGTCTGTGGGGCCTCGGCGCAACCTGAGTGCTCAGACGTGAGAGCGGCGTGGGCGGCCATTCGGCCAGCAGAGCTTGGGACGGCTGGCGCTCATCGGCAGCTGCGCTGCAGCACCGGGACGGATGGCGCTCACTGTACAGCCCTCCGCCAGAGACAGACCGCCGCTACACCCTCTCGATGGATCGCTCTCTCTCTCTGCGGCACGTGGTGCTCTCCTCGGTGCCGCGCAGCAGAGCTTGAGCTTCGTTTCCATTTGCTCCAGTCGCTCGGCAGCGGATGCGTCGGTGCCGCGTGGCTGCGCCTGCGGCGTTTTCCCGACGACGCCGCTGCAGCGGTGCGTCCGCGTGTGGCGCCGACTTCATCCTCCGCCGCCGCTGCTCGGGCAGCCCGCCAGCACCGCCGACGCCCGCTGCAAGCCGCACGGCTGCGTGAGACCCAGGGTGAGATCGAGCTGGGCCCTCGACGAGCTCGACGGGTGCGACGGACCGTGTGTGAGGAACGCCTGGAGCACTTGGCATGGCGGCCTCGTGCTCTGCGCACATCTCTGCGCCAGCTCGGCTCAGCCACGCCCGATCCCGATGGCGTCGCGGCGAGCGAGCAGCATCCGGCGCTCGCTCGACGGATCGGACAGGCGTGTCGAGAGACGGCTGAGACTTCAGGCTTCGTGCCGCCCCGGAGCCCGCTGTCAACCATGGCATTCCTTGCTGGCATCGCGCGCAAGGCCCTCGCCCAGCACGTTGAACTTGCACGCCTCGTTCCCCAGCGAGAGCCAGTAGCCGTCGTCAGCGAGACTGGCAGACTCGGACGCCGTCGACGCTGTCGCGGCACTATCTTCTCGCGTGGCACAGAGGTTCCTGGCGAAGAACTCGATGACCCTCGGGCTGCGGCGGTGCAACGGTGGCAGCAGGGGCCGCAGGACGTCTGCCTATGGTCTGAGTACAAGGACGACGTGACTGAGGCGACAGTCAGTGCTCACCAAGCATGTACGGCTTGCGGCTGTGTCCAAGGGGCACACTGGCCACGAACGCAGGTGCGACTTGCTCTGCCTGCGTTTGCGAGCCTGGCGCCACATGTCGAGCCAGGAAGAGCAGCTCGTATGGCTTGCGGCCCAGCGCTTCGGGCGAGACGAGGAGCTGAGTGGCAGCTGGCTGAGGGTCGTGATCACACGTCGCGGCCACAGAACACGGCGCGACGACCTTGAGCCAGGCAATCTCGCCGATGTATGCCAGATCGCACGCAGGAAAGAGCTTGTGCAGCAGGAAGTGCTGTGCCTTGGGCTGCAGGGCTCAGGTCAGCTGCGTTCACCGTTGACGCCCTCGCATTGACGCACGTCGTTCGTCACCCAACACGCCACGAGGGGTGCCTCGTCCGGCTCGGCCAGTGCGAGCAGCGCGGTGATGGGCGTCTTGAGCGCCCAGAGGTCGAAGAGATCAGCCGTGGGAGCGTACGCCTCAGGTCGGGTCCTGCCGTCTGGCTTCGCCTGTTGACAACGACGCAACCGCTGATCGTTCAGACGAGTTGCCGAGCGATTGGGGTACGGCGGGTCGAGCAGGAGCAAGGACGGAGGCTTCACCCTCGCTTTGCTGCAGAGTCAGTGTCGGCGGTGAAGGAGACGCTAGAGCGCTCACCATACTCCAGCACGCCCTGCAAGCCACGCGGAAGGTGTAGCTGGGAGCGCAGCAGGTCGGTGACCAGAAAGCCGGACGAAGGCGGCAGGATCATATGTTTGGTCGTCGGCTCGCACTTAGCGGACCCGATGGGCAGCACGGTAGCTCCAGCGCTTGCATTGAAGACCAGTCGATGGACGAGATCCTCAGAGGCTGTCGCTGTGGTCTGCATGAGCCGAGTTTCTCCTCGCACGCGCCAACGTGCACTCACAGCGCTTCTGCGTCTCGGACACTAGCAAGGGCGGCAGCGCTGCTGCATCTGCTGCTGAGCTCTGCTCGGCCAAGCGCTCCTCGTTCTGCCAGTCGTGCTCCTGTGCGGCCTGCTGCACCCTCAGCCTGGCACTGAGGCTGAGTGACTCGGGCGGGATGAGCGCCGCGGCGCGCACGGCGAGCGGCGCAAAGACGTCTTCGCGCGAGCCGTGCAGCTTGCGGCGCTTGGGCCCCTTGCCAGGTTCAGCGCCCGAAGGAGCCTCCGGGTAGGGAGTGCATCGTGGTGCAGCGGCCAGCTGAAGCTGGACATCCTCGGGCAGCGCGCAAAGCACTGCATCCTCGCGCAGGACGATGACGGCGTCCGGCTGGCCGGCGGGGCTCTCGAGCGGCAGCACGCAGCGGATGCTGGCGCCCGCTGCCGTGCTCAAGCTCGTGCGCGGCGGCCCATCTGCGCTCGCCGAGTGCGGCTGCTCCATCTAGCGCGGTGGTGCATGAGCTGCCAGCCGCTGCCTCTGCCTTGGCGTCTTGATGATGTGGTGGGAAGTCGAGTTGTCTGGGCGGATGCGGCGATGAGGAGGCGGCACGCGCGCGGCGTGTCCCGAATGCCGGGTGCGCGAGAAAATCTGGCGGCGCCGTCGAGGCCGCGCCTCCGCTGCCTCCCTCCACCGCACCTTGCATCGCCACCACCACCATCCCTCACACCCCACTCGCTCACCATGGGCAAGAAGAAGCAGGTCCGCAAGTTCGGCGCCGTCAAGCGCATGCTCAATCCCGCCGACACGCGCCTGTGCGTTGTCGCCCGTGCGCCTCAGCCGCTCCAATGCTCACGCACCTACTGCCCACAGCAAGGCCAACGCCGTGCAGCAGGCCGCAAAGAAGGCCGAGCTCGAGAAGAAGGAGACGAAGCGCGTCACGACCGCCGCCTCGTCGCTCTTCTTTGCGCACAACGAGGCGCTCGGCCCGCCGTACCGCGTGCTCGTCGACACCAACTTCATCAACTTCAGCCTGCAGAACAAGATCGAGCTGGTGCAGGGCATGATGGACTGTCTCTATGCCGAGTGTGAGTTGTAGTGTGCGCTGCAGATGGTTAGCGGGCGCGGCAGGGCTGCGTGTCGGCAGGTGCAGCAATGGCGGAGAGATTGCCGTGGCGGGGCAGGCTACGAGGGCGGATGCGGTGTGGCGATGCTGGGCCTCTGGCAACTCGACCGCTGTAATCGGCTGTCGGCACTTGGCTGTGAGACTGTGGGCGCTGTCTGAGAGCAGTGTGTGTTGCTGTGCTAGCCGAGAAGTCAGCACGGTGCTGGCATTGCCTGCTGCCGGCTTGGCGAGCGCCGGCACATCAAAGCTGCGCCTGCTGGCTGCAGGCTGCACAGACGGGGCAACGTCCATCCAGCTAGCATGCAAGTGGTGCAGGACTGGCGCTGACAATTGGTCCTCTCAGCGATCCCCTGCATCACATCGTGCGTGCTTGCCGAGCTGGAGAAGCTCGGGCCCAAGTACCGCATTGCGCTGCGCGTGGCGCGCGACCCGCGCTTCGAGCGCCTGCCGTGCTCGCACAAGGGCACGTACGCCGACGACTGCATCGTCGACCGCGTGACGAGCCACAAGTGCTACATGGTGGCCACGTGCGACAGAGAGCTGCGGCGGCGCATCCGCAAGATTCCGGTGAGTGGGCGGATGCGGTGGCTCCGCCTGCGGACTCGCACGCTCTTGCGTGTCTCTCAAGCCTCTTTGCAGGCCCCAGTGCTGACGCTTGCTCTGCAGGGCATCCCGCTGATGTACATCGCCAAGCACCAGTACCGCGTGGAGCGGTTGCCGGACCAGGGCATGGCCAACTGAGCGCCGCCTCACCCTCTTCTTTCATTCTCGGCCGTCCTTCATTCTCTTGGTTCATCAGTCACGCATGCATTCTATACGTTTCATTCAGCGTATGCGCAGCCTCGATGGCAGGGCTGTCGGAGCATCTTGCGCCGTCGGCGGGTGGAAGAAACAGGTGCTGCCGCGAGTCGCAGCGGGCAGCGTGCAAGCGGTGACTCGCGACCGCAGCGTCCGTTCTTGCCGCCAGCGCCAGCGTCTGTCTAGGCACAGACACACCACGCTAATATGAGTACCGTCGGTGCTCTAGTAGCTATCCTCAATTCTTGTCAATGGCGTGAGCGTAGCTGGACAGGCCACGCGGACGCCGCTGACCAGGACGCTGCCAGAGCGCGTCGCGAACGTGCGCCTTCTCGAAGCGAGGCCGCTGCTGCCGTCCGGTCAGTCATACACCGCCGAAGAGGTTCGTCCTCCCTGCTGCTGGGCCTGAGCTGTTACAGGCCAGCCGCAACGTGGGCGGTGGCCGGCATGAGCATGACTGCTGCTGGGCGCTGGCGCTGGCGGCGCGTCCGTGCGCCGCGCAGCGGCAAGGGCGCGGCGTGCTGCCGGATAGGGGCTTCCTTGCCTTCCGCCTCATCAGCCGCTCGCAGAGCCTCGCCGCGCAACACCATCGCCCGGAGGCCACAGCAGAAGGCCGGCATCGCCTCGCAGACAAGACAAGACCGCTCAGCAAACAGCATGGCGCCTGCTCCGCCAGCGGACGGCGTGCGCGTGCGCGTGCACAACCGCCTCGCCCACGCCCTGCAGCTCACCTTCACGCCGACGGCGCCGGCCAGCAGCGCCGTGCGGCAGCATGCCCTCGGCTCAGCCCAGCACGCCGTCTTTGAGCTGCCCGACGCATGCGTGCTGCGCGTGCAGGGCGCCGGCAAGCTGGCGTCCTCGGCGCCGCTGCATCTCAACCTGGCGCCGCCGACGCGCACGCAGCAGGTGCGCGCAGCCCGCCGGGCACTCAGCGTCGCGAGCAGCGGCAGCGAGGCGCTGCGCTGGAGGTCGAGCACGCCGTCGGCGGCGGCGCCCTTCCTCTCTGCTCTGGTGTGTGCCTCCACTACAGCCATTGCAATGCCTTGCTTACGCCGCCGCAGTCTGAGCCCGACAGCGCCGACGTGCAGCACCTGCTGCTCTACCCCGTGCGCGACAGCCGCAGCTTCCTCTCGTCCCTGCCGGACAGCGCGCTGCTCTCGTCGCTCAGTCTGCCCGGCACGCACGAGTCGCTCGCAATGCACGGCTGGCCCGTGTCGCAGTGCCAGAGCGCCGCACTGACTGCGCAGCTCAACGCCGGCGTGCGCTTCCTCGACGTCCGCCTCGCGCTCAAGGTCGAGCAGGGCGAGGAGCGCCTGCTGGCCTTCCACGGCCCGACGGAGCAGTTCCGCGAGCTCGGCGAGGTGCTGACGGAGCTGTACGCGTGGCTCGACGGGCCGGGCAAGCGCGGTGAGCATCCCCACGCTCCCATTGCGCCGTCCTGCTGACACACATCACCAGAGACCTTGGTCATCTCGCTCAAGCCCGAAGGCTCGCTCTCTGACCCGTGGGCCAAGGTGCTTTATGCCCGCCACGTCGATCCCAGCCGCAAGCGTTGGTGGCTCGAGAACAGGGTGCCCACGCTCGGCGAGTGCCGCGGCAAGCTCATCATGTTCAGCCGCTTCGTGCCGCTGCCAGGCAAGCCTGCTGGCATCGTGAGTTGCAGATGAATAGCCCATCGGGATCCTGCAGCATCTGACGGTGCGTGTCAGAATTCGACAAAGTGGCCTGACTCTTTCGACGGCTGGTGAGCAAATGTAGCACAAGCCTGCGTCGCCTCGTGCTCACAAGCGTGCCCAGCTTCTCGTACTCTCTGCCGTCCGGCCAGACAATCGCGACGCAGGACTGGTGCGTGCAGTGCCAGCAGCGTGGAATGCTGCCGTTGCTCACGCAAACTCGCCACGCTCAGGTACAAGATCGGTGTGCTGGCAGCGATCCCGCACAAGATCGACCTGGTGCAGCAGCTGCTCGCAGCGTACGGCTCGCGCGACGACGTGCTCTCGCTCTGCTTCCTCAGTGCCAGCTCGTTCCCGTTCGCGCTGCCGCAGCCCGCGGCGCTCGGCATGTTCAAGAGCGGCCCGCCATGCCTGCGTGTCATCGGCCTCAACGACCGCATGTTCGACCTCGTCGCCTCGCGCCTGACGTCGGCTGGAGCCTCGCTGACGAGCGCTGAAGCCGCTTCTTCAGAGAAGAGTCTCGACATCAAGGGCGACCTGCAGGCGCTGGCTGTGTCGGGCCGAATGAGCGCGGCGAGCGGGCTTGGCAGCGTCTATGCGCTCGACTTCTGCGAGCAGACGCAGGATCTGCTGTCGCTGCTCATTGAAGCAAACTTTGCCCCTGGCCAGGCGGTGCCGATCGTCAAGGCCTAGCAAGAAGACCACATTTACGCGCACATCGATGCGTCACGGATCTGTCATTGGACCCCAGATACCCGCCTGCCGCCCTTGTCTCTCACTTGCGCGCGTCTCCCTTGCGGCTGCCCTCGGACATGCCTTCTGCCTGCTCGTGGATGCGTGCCTCCTCTGTATACCACACGTCAGCCGCAATCTGCCATGTCTTGCCGCTGCAGCGACGTACCGCGTGTCAGCTCCTCGAAGCGCGCCATGGCCGCCGTGCCGCGCTGCGCGTGCTCCTCGACCGCAGGCAGCAGACGTCCGAAGCCCGCCTGGACGCACTCCTGTGCTCCTCGTTGTCAGCACTGTCCAGCGTGTGCTTGGCGCGCTGCTCACGCGGGCGAGCTCGAGCTGCTGTTCCAGCTCGCGCCAGTTGTCGCTGATCTGCGCGTCGAGCTCGTCCTCGCGCTCGCGAAAGCGCACGTACTCCTCGCCGCTGGCCCTCAATGAGCGCAATGCAGTCTTTGAGTGTGCGTCAAACAGCTCACAGGACCTTCTCGTACTTCTTGACGCACTTGGCCACCTGCAGGCAGCGGTCAGGCGGGCGATGCCGGCGTCACGCGCATCCACGCACCTGCTGCTCGTACTCGGTCGCGGCCTGGTGCAGCCATCGTCAGCAGAGGCGTCAACAAGCTCTTGCACTGCCATGCTCACCACGCGTGCCTTTGTGATGGTCTCGTAGCGGCGCTTGCGTGTGCGGCCTAGCTGCACCTCTGTGGCGGCGTGAGCTGGCTGTGCGCGTCCGCGAGGCGGGCCCGGCGCACGCACCGGCGAGCTGGCCCATGATGTCGTGGCTGTCTTGCCTGGTGCAATTTGAGCATGGGCCTCGGTGCGGTCTTCTGCGGCACACTCACTCGCTCGGCGGCGGCGAAGATGCGGGCGCGTCGGCGGCGGCGGCCTTGCGAGGAGCCATGGTGGGCGAGGTGGTGGAAGGAGCGCAAGGTCGAGGCCGGACGTCTGCCTTGCCGCAGCACGCTCGATCGAGCAGCCCGTGACAGCACGCTCTGGCCACCCCGGAGGTGCCTGCCCGATGCCCGCAAACAAAGTAGAGTGCAAGCGTGGGACAGTCGTCCCTGATGCTGCCGGCGAGGGTGTCTGAGGCCGCATCCGCTGGGCTAGAGGCCAGCCGCTGCACCATCTTGCTGCCTCACATCTGCGCGTGCTGAATCAACATGTCGTCTAGTAGACCCTGTTGGTCAGATCTGATTCTCAGCCTTGAAGTATGGCATCTCGGCAGAGATACGAGACGCAGCGTCCGGCGTTCAGCTCTCGAAGATCGCTTGACGCTGCTCTCCGCCGCCAGCTCCAGCCAGCAGTCGCCATCCGCTGCCGCAATGGCACAGCACCAAGCCAACCTCTTGAATCGAATATCGCGTCTTTCAGCAGCTGTCTCCATGAGCGGCGAGCGGCGCTGTGGGCGGTGCTTGATGTGAAGTGAGGGTCCGGCAAGTGCGCGGGACTCGGGGCGCGGCGCGGCGCGGCGCGCGCGCGGCGGCGTGATGAGAAATCTGAATGCGGCGCCTCGAGCTGGCCGGTCTGCTCTCCTTCTCGCCTCCACAACCCCCTGCATCACTGCAGGGCATCCACAGCAATGGCCTCCTCTGCCGACGCATACGCCGCCGCGCGCCGCCTCGTCGACGAGGCACACGCCGCCGACCCCAAGGGCGAGGAGCTGCACTACGCCGACGGCGTCGAGCGCTGGGCCGCGGCGCTCGCCGCCAGGCCCTTCTACGCCGCGCTCGCCGCCGCCGAGGCGCCCGAGCTGCTGGCGCTCGCCGCGCGCTGCCAGCACCTCGAGCGCTTCGCCACGCCGCGCGACTCGTTTCCCGAGGGCAAGGCCGGCTACCTCAAGTGGCGCCGCAGCCTCTACGTGCTGCAGGGCGACCGTGCGCGTGAGCTGCTGCGCCAGGTGGGTGTCGCCGAGCGCGAGTGCGACGCCGTGCGCACGTGGGTCAGCAAGACGGACCTGCAGCCGGGCAAGGAGAGCGGCGAGCTCGGCACACAGGTGAGCACCTCAGCAGGTAGCGGGCGAGCGAGCCCGTGGAGCAGCTTGGCAGCGGTGGGCAACAGAACAGGCACGGCTTACGCGCAGCAGTGCGTCGCTGCGAGAGGCGACAAGGTGCTGCAGGAGGCGTCAGTACATACACGTACTGACGCTTATGAACAGCTGCTCGAGGACGCCGCTGTGCTCGTCTTCCTACAGGAGCAGCTCGCGTCGTTTGCGGCGCAGCACGGCGAGTACCCGCGGCGCAAATTCGTCGACATTCTGCGCAAGACGTGGCGCAAGCTCTCGCCTGCCGGTCGCGACGCTGTCGCCGGGCTCGACTTCCCCGAGGCGCTCGCCGGCATCATCGCCGAAGCGACCGAGGGCGAGACGCAGGGCTCGGCCGGTGGTGAGCCGGCGGCCGCGCTCCCGGCAGCGAAGGAGCAGACTCTGTGAGCATCTTGACGAGGCACCGTGCTGTCGTCCTTGATCGCGGCTCGCCCTGCACGTCACGCTCGGCCGTGCAGCCATTCTCTTGTTCCCGACCTGGGCCCATGTACCGCTCGTCACCTGTGCATTGTATTCGTTCATACCTTGCCGGGCGCTGCGATGATAAGGCAGGGTCGGCCGGGCAGTGTTGGCCCACGAAAGTGCTTCAAGGCTGACGATGGTGTCGTTTGCAGGGCTACAGCACTTGCCGACGTGCATCTTGCAGACAATGCTGCCGCCTCTACTTCAGAAGTGCAGCCGCAAGCATTCCATCGCACTGAGCCGACGGAGGCGGACAAGGGCGGGCGGACGTTTGGCTCGCGGTATCTGGGCGATGAGGACGACATGTGGCAGCACAACGCATGGTCAGTCAGGCGGCGGAATAGGGCTGCGCCTTTGAGACTGAGAGGGCGCATCACAGGGATCATGCAAAGCCGCCGCCGGAGCACGTTGCCATGGTGGAAGGGCTGCTGGCCAAGCAACGAGAGACGCGCGTCAGCCAAGAAGACGCAGGTGAGTTCCTCGCCTCGCCGCCGCTGCAAGCGCTGACCAGTCCGCAGACAAGTATCATGCGAGCGCCGCGAGCTACTGGGACACATTCTACTCGAGCCACGACAATCGCTTCTTCAAGGACCGGCACTGGCTGCACCACGAGTTCCCGGAGCTCGTCGCGACCACGGCGGCAGACGTGAGCATGTCGAGTGCTGGCTGCCGCCTCCGTGCTCACTCTTCATCACACAGCGCGGGCCGTGTGCAGTCCTCGAGGTGGGGTGCGGCGCCGGCAACACAGTCTTTCCCCTGCTCGAGATGAACCAGAACCCGCATCTGCGCCTATTCGCCTGCGACTACTCTTCGGAGGCTGTGCGAGTCGTCAAGGTGAGCCGCAGCCAGCCAAATTAAGGTGCTTCGCTGATGCAGTCCCCGATTTCGCAGTCAAATCCCCTCTACGAGTCGCCTCCGGTCGGCTCACTGACATCCAGCGTCTGGGACCTGTCATCCACATCGCCGCCCGTCTCGGCTGACATGCCGTTCGCGGAGACTGCGGCAAAGCTGCCCGAGGGCATCGAGCCGCACTCGCTCGACATCGTCGTGCTCATCTTCGTGCTCTCTGCGCTGCATCCGCGCGAGTGGGAAGCCGCGGTGCGCAACGTCCGCACGGCGCTGAAGCCCGGCGGCATGGTGCTTCTGCGCGACTACGGGCGGCACGACCTGCCGCAACTGCGCTTCCGTAAGGGTCGCTTGCTCGACGAGAACTTCTACGGTGAGTGGCAGCGCAGTACCGCTGCTGTCATCTGCTGACAACGATGCTCACAGTTCGTGGCGATGGCACACGAGGTGAGCATTGCGCGTGTGAGGCGCTTCAGTCATCATCTGACGCGCTGCGCAGTGTACTTCTTCACGCCCGACGAGCTGCAGGGCATGTTCCGCGCCACACCGCCATCCATCACTGCCGACGATGGCGATGCCAGCACGCCGGCAGAGCCCGTCGACGAGACACAGTACGACTTCAAGACGCTGCAGCTTGCCACCGACCGGCGGCTGCTGCTCAACCGCAAGGAGCGCAAGAGCATGTGGCGCGTGTGGAACCAGGTCAAGCTACAGTCGCTGTACAGCGAGCCGGCTGCACAAGCGCAATAGACACTTGCAGGGCTACGAAGCATTGAGCCGCCGAGCGAGATCGGCGATGCGCTGCATGGCGGCATCGGCGGGCAGCGATGCCGGTGTCGGTGCGGCTTCTTCCGGCCTTGATGGACGATCGCCAGGAAAGTGTACAGACTTCTTGAGAATGCCCTTTACCTCGCGAGCGACACCCTTGGCGTCGGATGTGGCGGCTTGTGCCGTGCCGCTGGCGAAGGAGCGCAGGTTCTCGATTGCGTGCAGCAGCGGATCGACTGCGCCGGAGGAGCTTGGCTTGGGTGTGCTCTGCATCGGTGTCAGCTGCGCATTCGGGAGACGCTGCTCGTCACTCACTGCCGGCCGCTTCGAGCCGGCAAAGATCGAGTCGAGCGCATCTGGCAAGGGCGTACCTCAGCGTGGCTGGAACGCTCAGTCCGAACGAGGCTCACCTCTGACGTCCGCTGCGCCTGCACGTGCCAGCTCCGGATGCTTGGCGACGAGCTCCTGCGTGGCACGCTCGAGCAGGTCCGCTGGCGGCCGTGTCGTCAAGCCACGCTGCGCCGCCAGCTCGGCCACGGCTGAGCTGCTGCGCTCCGGCATCGCCGTCGGCGGCTCCGACACGACTTCCTCGGGCGCCGGCGATGAAGTCTCTGGCGTGCTGTCTGGCGACTTGCCTTGCTTGCCGCCGCCACTGTTCTTCCCCCGCCGCCACTCTTCCCTCCGCCCTGCTTTTTCGCACTCTCGTGACCGCCATCCTGCTTGTCGCCCAATGCAGAGCTGCTTTCCGCAGCCGGCTTGTCCTCCTTCAGCGGCTTCGACAGCGCCTCGACGACGTTGCGCACGACCTCGGGCAGCGGCAGCGCAGCGGCCAGTGCCTCTATCCTTGTGTGCGGCTCTTCTGGCGCTGGCTCTGGCTCGGGGCTCGACGGCCGTGGCGGAGGAGAAGAGGGCCGTGCAGAACTTTGACTGTGCTTGCTCTTGCCAGACGAATGCCTGCTCGACGTCGGCGAGCTCATCGAGCCAGCAGATGCGGCAGCAGAGGAGATCGTGGGCGATGCGGCGGCCTCGACCTCGGACTCATCGTCCTTGGCTGCTGGAGCCTCCTCTGGCTTCTTCTCATCATCTTTGCTGCCTGCTGTATCTGCCTTGATCGCAGCATCCGCCCCATCCGCTGCAGCTGCCGCGCCAGTCGTGCCCCCTGCATCCGCAGCCGCCTCTGGCCAGACCGTCGTCCAGCTGAGCCAGCCCATGATGGCCGTCGCGATGAGCAGCACGAGGAACGAGGAGACCGAGGCGCCTGGATGCGACTGCACGTGTGCTGCTGGCGCGTGAGGCCCGCCAGGCGGATACGGATACGGCGGCTGGTACGGCGCCATCCCTCCAGGCGCCGCTGGTGGCGGTGGCGGGGCGGTAGGCGGGTAGGCATGGTTGTGAGGCGGATGCGGACACGGCGGCGAGGCAGGTGCCGTCGCCGGCGACCAGGCGTCGAGAGGCGCGCGGATGAGGAGCAGGCTGAGCAGGCAGCCAAAGGCGACGAAGAGCAGCGACGACTCGAGGGCTGGCATGGTCTGTGGTGGGTGAGAGGAGAGCGCTCGCACCAAGCTGAGGCGCACCTTGTCCGCGCAATTGCGGCTTCACCCCTGTTCGCCGACCTTCCCACGACGTCCACCCGTTCACCCTGCTGCGCATGTGTGTATTGCATCTACATAGCGGCCACGAGCTCCTTGAGCTCGGCCTCGGCCAGGATGCGGAACTGCCCCGACTGACGGCCGTCGCGCGACGTGCGCGGCGTCACGACGGCCAGCTGCACGTTGTGCTCGTCGAGCTTCTCCTCCATGACCTGCTTCAGCACACGCAGTGCCAGCAGCTCAGCATCGCGCAGCGACATATTCTACAGGCATATGATCAGCAGACGAGCGCAGACAGCCCGCAACTGCAACGCACCTTCTTGTACTTGTCTTGCAGCTCCGACTGTGCACCCTCCGAGCCCGAACCGATGGCCTTGGCGTCATACCGCACCATCGTGCCGGACGGGTCGGCGTGGAAGCTGCAGAGGGCTGTGAGCGGCTGGTCGGTGTCAAGCATGGAGAGCACTCACAGTTGCGGCCCATTTGAGTCAATACCAGCGATGAGCAGAGCGACGCCGAACGGACGCGACTGCGAGATGCGGCATCAGCGCCCGCCGGCTGCAGCGATTCAGCCACCGCCCGCACTCACCATCATCGCCTCGTCGTCTTCTGTGCTCTCGCCGAAGCGCAGCGCCAGGTCGCACACTGCTTGTGTGACCGACGAGACCTTGATCTCTTCGTCGTAGGTGAAGTTGTGGTTCTGCGCGGGGCGTGTCAGCCGGAGCCCAGCAGATGAGAAAATGCCAGAGACGCGGAGAGATGGAACAGTTCCCTCACGACAATGCTCTCCGCATGCGCGCCATGAAGCATACGAATGCGCTCTCCGACACCTGCCACCGCCGGGCATGCTGCAGCCAGTCTCCTTGCACCGAGCTCTCGCACGCCTGCGCTGCGCCGACGAGACGTTTGCGCCACTTCCAGATTCTGCCCTTACACCTCACAGCCATACTCCACCTTCACGTCTCGTCACAGCCCAGTCGCTGCCGCTCGTCGCGCGACTCACCTGGCTGGTGACGCGTGCATGCTCGATCATCGTGCGCGCGTCGGCGGTGAGGCCGCTCATGGCGCAGGCGACGTGCGCGTCGATCTCCATGATCTTCTCGATGCTGCTCTTCTCGAGCAGCGCGCTCTGCACGCGCTTCTCAACGGCGAGCACGGTGCCCTCGGGCGTGGCGAGGCCGAGCGCCGTGCTGCCGAGCTTGATGGCCTCGAGCGCATACTCGACCTGGAAGAGACGGCCCTCGGGCGAGAAGGTGTTGACGCCCCTGGTATGCGGAAGGGGTGAGCAGTGGCAGCAGGTCTGCATGCTGCACAGCACACGCACCGGTCGTAGCCGTCGCGGGTCATGAACATGCTGGGCAGGCGGCAGAGGGTGCGAGGCCAGCGGGCAAGAGATCAGGCGGCGCGGGCGCAGCAGGCGGCAGAAGCGCAGTCGGAGGAGAAGTGCCGAAGCGGTGAGCTTTTCGAGGGCGGCGCGGAGAGACTAGCGGCGCTGCTGGTGAGAGTGAGGAGCCACAAGGAGAGGATGCGGCGAGCGGTGGAGGTGGGAGGAGCAGCAAGAGCATCGGAAGCTCCGTCGAGGGCCGCGTGTCGCGCTCAGACCACCCGGCGCGTGTGCTGACGTAAGCACTCCCACGCCCCCCCGCGCCGACCAACACCTGCGCCGCCGGGGAGCGGTGACAGCGAGCGTGCGCCCGAAGCACGCGGCGCTGGCGCAGCGTGGGCGTTGCATCATCCCTCACGCCAGCACCACCACCACCCGCCCACCCACTCCGCCTGCCCAGCATGGTGTGTATGCGCGGCCGCGCGCGCGTCTGCGCGTCACTCACGCTTCTGCGCAGGATCTCGAGGACATCGGCTCCAAGATCAGCCAGCTGACGATGTACGACGTGCGCCGCGCGTACACCGGCGCCCTCAACTGGGCCCTCAATGTCAGCGAGATGGAGGCTAAGGTCAAGGAGGCCACCAGCGACGAGAAGTGGTGCGTGTGCGGCGGTATATGTGGAGCGGCGGCTGGGGTTGTGGGTGTCGGGCAATGTGCAGGGGCTAGCACGTGCGCACGGCTTGCGAGCAGCGGCACGGAGCAGCAGCAAGGTTGTGACGCTGCGAGTGGCTCGTCCCGTGCCGCTTGAGCGGATAGCATAGCCAGCGGCGCACAGCTGGTGGAATGTTGAGTCGCAGCGAGCGCGACGAGAGCCACGGCCGCATGCGCGGCTTGTCGCGGCTCGGCAGCGGTGTCGGGCGCCTCGCCTGCTGTGCTGGCGAGAGGTGGTCGTCGGTCTGCCAATGTGATGGAAGCGCCTCAGGGTCTTGCGGCCGCGCTGCCTCTCGGACTCCGAGCGTCATTCCCAAACTGGCGCTGACGGAGGTCTATCTCGTTTCAGGGGCGCGTCCTCGACGCAGATGCAGGAGATCGCCCAGGCGACCAACAACTTTGCCGACTTCAACGAGATCATGCCCGCCATCTACCGCAACTTCATGGAGCGCGAGGCGCGCGAGTGGCGCATGATCTACAAGGTGCGCCGCCGTGGCAGTCTATTGCTGGCGACTGGCATGCTGACGCCGGACGCGCTGCTCTTTCTAGGCGCTGCAGCTGCTCGAGTATCTCGTCAAGCACGGCTCGGAGCGTGTCGTCGATGATGCGCGCTCGCACCTCGGCACGATCAAGATCCTGCGCAACTTCCACTACATCGACGAGGCGGGCAAGGACCAGGGCATCAATGGTGCGATGCGATCACCAGAGCATGCAAGCTTTGTGCTGACGCTTGCCTTGCTCAGTGCGCACGCGCTCCAAGGAGCTCTCGACGCTGCTCGGCGACGTCGAGGCGATCCGGCAGGAGCGCCGCAAGGCGCGCGCCAACCGGCAGAAGTACACGCAGGGCGGCGGTGCCGGCGACTTCATTCCCGGCTCGGGCACGGGCCGCTACGGCGGCTTCGGCTCGGACTCGGCCTTTGCCAGCGGCCTCGGCGCCGGCGGCTACGGCGGCTCGTCGGCGGGCGGCAGTGGAGGAGGCGGCTACGGCGGTGACCGGGCAGAGGAGTTCGATGAGTACGACGCGGGCGACGCCGAGGAGCGCACGTCCAAGCCGAAGCCGGCACCGCGCTCCAGCACGACGCGGGCGGCAGCGCGCGCCCCCGAGGCACCAGCCAAGGCTGCGCCCGTGGTGCAGGACCTCTTCTCCTTTGATGACGACGATGAGGAGCAGAAGCCGGCCGCTGTGGCTGCTCCTGCTGCTGCTCCGGCCCGGGCTGCAGCGCCCGCCAAGCCCACTGCGAGCCTCGACTTTGACGACTTTGACGAGTGCGTTGCGCTGCGTAGCGTGTGCTGCGAAGACGTGCGCTGACCAGCTGCCTTCCCTCAGCTTCCAGGCCGCACCTGCGGCCGCTGCCGCCGCACCAGCTGCGCCGCTCGCTGCATCTCGCCCAGCACCCGCATCCACGCCATCGTACAGCGGCAGCGCCGTCATGGCACCCACACGTGCGTCCTCTGGCACCCCTGCAGCTGCTGCAAAGCCGGCCGCACCGGCGAGCAGCGGTGCGTTTGGCTTCGACGACCTTTGGGCGGCCAGCTCGGGCACCGCCTCGACGGGCGCCGCCGCGCAGAAGGGCAAGGGCAAGATGAGCCTGGCGGAGATGGCGCGCGACAAGAGCTCGAGCGCGGTGTGGGGCAGCAACGCACCCGCGCAGCAGCCGCCGCAGCAGGCACAGAAGAAGCCGGACCTCTTCGACCTGCTGTAGAGTCCCTGCTGCGCAGTCCGGACACGCTCGTCACCTTTGCTCAATATACGCGTTATGAGAGAGCCGACGTGCGGCGCAGCAGTGAGATAGAATTAGGTTGGTAGCGGCGCGGCCCAGCAGCGGGCCGGACATGCTCAGTACTTTTCGGCCATGATGAGCGCCACGAGGCTCGTCCAGCCGGTGAACGGCTTGTTGCGCTGGCCGTGGCCGGTGCGAGCGTTGTACTGCTCCCACACGTAGCCGGTGCGCTCGTACTCCTGCGATGCACGGTCAGCCCGTGTGCAAATGAGGACCGCGAACCTCGGCGCACCTTGAATGTGTTGTTGATGAGATTGTCGCGCAGCTGGCTGTACAGCTGCTGCGCACGCTCCTGCTGCGGCCCGTGCTCGCGGGCATATTTCTGGGGGGTGAAGCTGTGAGCGAGAGGCGACTGGAGCGGTGTCGACACGCTCACCTTGTGCAGCGCCTGGAGAGCGAGATAGTTCATCGGCATCCAGATGGCGCCGCGCCAGTAGTCCTCGCCTGTGTGAGGCGCATCATCAGCGGAGCATCAGGCAGACCGCCACATCCCACGCACCCTGGCCGAAGTTGGGGTCCTGCATGCTGAGGCTGCGCACGCCAAAGTCGGACCATAGATGCTGCGGGTCCTGGACCAAATCGAAGATCGCCGCGAGACGCTCGCTGTCCGGCTCGAGCAGGCCGAGCAGGAATGGAAAGAGCGACATGTAGCCCTTGTGGCACACGTGGAACGTTTGGTCTGCAGCCAGCATCAGCGGGTGTTGGCAGATGCAGGGGCTCGCGGACTCACCGAACTCGTCGACCGATGCGTCGCAGTACATCTGCTCGTCGTCGCTCCAGTGCAGATCTGGCGCAGACGTCAGCGATGAAAGGCATGACAGAGCGCTCACACGCACCCTCAAGGTTCTGCACGACGCCCTTGTAGTGCTCGGCGTACTCGGCTGCGTGGGCCTCCTCGCCGGTCGCCTCGGCGATGCGGCGCATAGCGTCGGCAAACGAGCCAATCCACGAGAGCAGGTCGAGGTGCAGCTCTCCCGAGTGCGGCACGGGTGCACGCGGGTAGTCGTCCATGCCCGAGGTCAGGACGTGCGTCTTTGAGCGTCCGCGCCAGCGGTAGGCCTCATTCGATCGCGCAGCGCGGTCCCACTGGTCGATCTCGCCGGCCTGCGTGCGGCGGAACCAGAGGTAGTGCGTGCGCAGACGCGAGTAGATGCGCTTGAGGAAGTCGCGAGCCGCGTCTGCATCACGCAGCAGCTCGGAAGCGTGACCTTCGATGCCGGCCAGTGCGCCGAACACCTGCTGCCCAGAGGCAGCTCCTCCGATGTCCATCTCGGGCGCCGTGCCGTCTTGCGCAGCGTTCAGACGGTCGATGTACATCGTCAGGCCCATGATGAGCGTTGGCGGATTGGCGTAGAGCGGATACTGTGTCTGGAACTCTTGCGGCACCTGACGAGGGTGATGAGCACGAGCAAAGGCAGAGAAGACTGCCGGCCACTTACCCGCTTGCGCGCCTCCTCGCCGAGGATCTGCTCGCGCGCGACCCAGCCGTCGTCGTCGATGAGGTCGATCCAGGAGTCGAGAATGTCAAGGCTGCAAGAGTGTGAGCGTCGCTCTGCTCGTTCGCTCGACGGACTCACCTCAGATCGTTGTCCCACGTGCCGATCTGCGCCAGGTGGAAGCCCTCGTCCCTTTCGCGACAGATCAGCGTGGCTGCCGAACGGAGACGATCAGTAGCTCACCAGTAGAAGCCGCGCGGGAACGTGTCGCGGCACGGTGTCGCGGTCAGGAGTCCTCGCTCCTCCGTCAGCCGCGGGTCAGGCTGCGGATCCTCCTCGTCGAAGTCCATCTTGCCGCCGCCGGAGCCCGTGTCGTAGGCATGGCGGAAGGAGCGGTCGACAATGCTTGAGCCGTAGAAGTAGCCGATGCCGCCGAGCAGCGAGCTGGTCAGCTCGCTGGCAAAGGCCACGAGCTTGTCGCTGAAGCCCTTGGCGCGCAGGCCGAGCGTGCGCTCGAGGCGCTCATCGTACGCCTCACGACTTGCCGCGAGGCCAGCCGTGAGGGCCGCGCCATCGAGCGGCTGAGAGCCATTCGACGAGAAGAAGATGTCGACGCTGAATGCGCCCTTGAAGCCACGCGAGAAGGCCAGCAGGTTGGCGCCGGCGGCAATCTCGTTCGGCAGCACAAGCAGCGATGCCGGCGGCGGCGGCGTGCCGCCCTTGCCGTTCTCAGCGAGCCAAGCCCGCACCGAGTCTGTCAGGGCACGCCCGACGAGCTCTGAGTCGAGGGGTTAGCGAAAAAGCGAGTTTGCGCAACCAGCCAGCACACACCATGCGCGTTCCACCCTTGATCGGTCTTCGTGCCCCAAAAGCCCCACACGGGCTCCTCCTCCTCGGGGTCTGCCGGCACGTTCTTGGCCTGTGGGCTCTCGGCCACGCGCACGCTCCACTCGCCGATCTCGGCGTGCTCGCTCGTGGCGCGGAGCAGCGCCTCGGCAGCCGTGTCGGAGCCGGCCGGCGCGGCGGGCAGGCCGCCGGCGTCGTACGCATCGTCCGAGTCGAAGACGGTCTCGATGGCCTGGGGTGCGGCGAAGTGGAGGTAGAGCGCGAGCAGCGAAGGCTTGCCTGCAGTGCAAGGTTTGAGCGCCAAAGCCCGGCACTGCCGTGCGACACTCACTCGTGTCGATGGGCTCGGCGCTGATGCGCACGCCCCAGCCGGCCGGCTGTCCGAGCCACTGGAAGCGCAGCGCCGCGTTGTTGACGACGTCGCGCATCACCTGCTCGCCGGCGGCGCGCCCGTCGTGCCAGCGCCACGCGAACACGCGCTCCTCGTCGGTGCCCAGGCCGCTGCCGGCGTCGAAGCGCGGGCGCTGGTGCCCGCCAAAGTCGGTCAGGCCGTGCCAAGCGACGCTGAAGAGCGGCGAGTGCGGCAGGCGTGCGCGCAGCCCGAAGTACAGGTTCGGGCGGTACGTGCCCCAGAGCGCCGCTGGGCCAGCGCGGACGCCGCCGAGGAGTGCCAGCGGCAGCAGCAGCAGCAGCAGCAGCGCCGCGAGCGGCGTCGGATGCGGCATCGTTGGAGGCGGCAAGTCGTAGAGTGGCAGCAAGCAGCACGAATTTGTGGTGTGCTGCCTCTGGTGCGCTTGAGGGAAGCGGAGGTGGTAGTACAGAGGCAGGCTGGCACCCCGGAGCGGCGCGAAGATGTCCGTGCGCAGTGCGCGTCGTGATGTTCTCGTGCGGCAGCCCGAGACGTGGAGTGGCCTCGACGCCCTGCTCGCGCTTGCTTTCGCTCCACCACCTCACCTCACAGTCTCTGCTCTTCTCTTCGGTGCACGCAGCTTCTCTCAGCGCGCTTCAAGGCGCCCGTCGCCAGCATGAACGCCTATCCGCCCGACCTGCTCGTGCACCACTACCCACTTCTCCTGCTCTCGGGGCTCGTCGCGCCGGCCGCAAGTGCAGTCGACAGTGCCGCATCATCCTCAGCAGCTGCAGCAGCACCGCTCATCGATGCCAGCACGGCATTCCCGACGCTGGCAGCCGATCTGCGGGCGCTCGTCGCCGCCCGCGGCCGTGACTCGCCGTGGGACCCGGCGCGCGGGCGCAGCGCCGCCTTTCGCTCCGTGCTCGTCGACTCGGTGCGTACTCAGGGGAGGGTCGCTCTGTGGTTGCAGGCGTTGAGCGCCGCAAGTTGCGTGCACAGGCATATGCGCAGCTCCACGAATGCCGGACCTGTCTGACTCTTGCTCGTGCAGGCGCACCGGCTACCACCTCGCAAGTCTCATCCGCTGCCGCGAGGTGTGCCGCCGCCTGCGAGCATCCCTGCTATCGCACCGATCGGCCCGCCGCAGGATGCCGAGAGCGCAGCGGCGGTGCTCGCGAGCCTGCCGCCGCGCTCGGCGCTCAGCCCGACGCACCCCGCCTCGCCGCTGTGGCCCGACGGCCTCATCGCGCCCGTCTGGGTGCGCCGCCATCGCGAGCAGGTCGGTGCCGTCTGGGTGGCCGTGCATGTGCTGCCGACGCGTGCAGCGCTTGCAGCTGGCAGGGGCGAAGCAGTGGCAGACGTGCCCGCCGGTCAGAGCGAGGAGCAGGAGCAGGCAGAGGCCGAGCAGCTCCGCGAGGCAGACGAGGCGCTCATCAAGTCCATCGCCGAGCGCAAGCGCGCCATGGCGGAGCGCGGCATCAAGCTGACAGTCGTGCTGCTGACGGAGCGGGAGATGCTTGGTGAGTCGACGGACGTTCTGTGACTCGTCGGTCTGGCACGCTGACGCCTTTGGTGGGCAGAGTCGCCAAGTCTCGAGCCGCGCCTGTCTCACATCCGTCGCTCCTCAACTCTCGATGCAAAGGCGTCGCTCTTCGTCCTGACGCCAGTGCCGCGTTCTGATCTCTCAGCCTTCCTGACCTCGCTGCATACGGCGCTGTACCCCTCGGCCATCGACTACTACGCCGAGCACTCGCGCCGGCTGCGGCGCCGCCGCTCGCGCTATCCGCCTTCCGTCTCGTCGGTGTCCGAGGCGCTGAACGCCCTTGGCCGCGGCCTCCAGCCGCCAGGCCTCTCGCGCGACGGCTGGAATGCGCGAGCCGAGTACAAGCTCGGCACGTTTGCTGAGTTCGGCGGCGATGCTGCTGCGGCGCTGTCCCACTACGGCGCCGCCTACGCTGGTATCATTGAGCTATTGCGTAGCACCGCTGCCTTGCCGCCGCGCACCAAGCGCTGGGCTGAGGCCAAGGTGCTCAGCGACGCGCTCAGCCTGCGCATGACGCGCCTGCACCTGTACGAGGTGCGCGCAGACGAGGCCGTGGCGCAATTCAGCGCGCACCTCACCACCGTCGAGGACCTGTGCAAGGGCTGGGGCATGGGTCCGGAGAGCGCAGAGTGGTGGTCGTGGGCCGGCAAGCAGTCAGTAGGAGGGTGTTGATGCGCATCCTGACCCCTGCTCACCACTTGCACAGGTACCGTCTGCTGGGTGACCTCGCCGACCTGTCGATGCGCCAAACGCCCTTGCCGCTGCTGCCTATTCTCATTCCGCCGATGCCCGCCAACCTCCTCTCTCCGCCTTCGCACATCCCGACGGCCCAGTCGCGCGGGCCCGCAGGCTTCTGGTACGCCGCCGGCCTCTGCGCCGTCGAGCGGCGCGTGCGCTACCGGCAGATGCTCGACAAGGAGGAGAAGTCGGCCAGCGCCAACCCTGCGGGTGCACAGAGCTCGAGCTGGAGCATGCTGGAGCACGAGCGCAAGGTCGACCACGCCGGTCTCATCGCAGAGGTGAGCAGTGCCTGCAAAACCCTGACGATCGGGAGCTGACGCGATCCCCTTCAGGCCTTCACACGTGCAGACGACCTGGCCAAGCGCGCAGGCCAGCCGCTGACGGCACCGGCGCTCGCCAGCTTGATCGCGAACGCGCATCTGGACGGCGGGCATCACAATTCGGCGCTGCGCTACTTGCAGGGTGTCGTGCAGGCATATCCGGCCGTGCACCAGCCGCAGATTCTCGACGTGCTGCTGCTGCTCGTGCGAACCGCTCAAGCCGCGCAGGATGTCGAGGCGGAGCTGCGCGGCCTGCTGGCCGTGCTTCATCCGAAGATGCCGCTCAGTCAGGACCAACGCAGCGAGGCGCAGGAGGCTCTCAGCGCGTTGCTTTCCGAGAAGCAGCTTCCTGACGGCGCCGAGCCCGTGCGGATCGAGGCAGGCGCTACCGATGGGCTCCTCGTGTTCGAGGCCGCCTTTCTCGACAAGCAGGTCCATCTGGGCCAGCGTGCACCATTTCAGGTCCGCCTGCACGCTCCGCGTGGCACTGCCCTCGGCAAAGTATCGTTCGAAAAGCTGCGCATCTTCCGCGACGAGGACAGCGCCCCCATCGTCGTCACGCATAAGCAAAGCGATGGCGACGCGCAGTCCGAGCTGGTCCAGCTGGCGGACCTCGGAAGCGACGCCGCCGAACCGACCTCAGCCGCTGTGACGGCCGACTTGCGGTGGTCTCCCGGCTGTGTCAAGGTCTTTCAAGGCAGCATCACGAGCGACACCGCTCGTTTAGTGCGCTTGTCTCGGGTCGAGCTGCGGGCCGGCGGCACGCGTGTCCCTCTGCAGCTCGTGTTCACCATCCCGCCTGCTCCATGGTACGCCGAGCCAGTGCAGGCCCGCTGGTTCTCCTTCGCCTCGGGTGCGGCCCGGCATGTCTACTTGCCGCACGTCACCAGCCCGAATGCGGTCACGTTCCGGCGAAGACCGCACCAGCTCGAGACGACAAAGACACACGGCGGTGTCGCGTACCTCGACGACAGCACGGCCATCACGTTCACCGTGCAGAACAACGACAACGAGCCGCTGCGCGTCACGCTGGACGCCAGCGCGCTCCTCTCCGACGCAGCCTCACGCGCGGTGTTGATCCACAGCTCGCGCGCGGATGACACGGGCACAAGTGCGGCGGAGCTCTCCTTGGCTCTCGGCATCGTTGAGCCAGGTGCGAGCAAGAGCGAGACGTTCTACCTGCGCTGCACCGGTGCTGCAGGGCCGCGCGTGATCGAGGTCATGCTTCGCAGTCGTCCATCAGACGCACCTGACGCCGCCCCAGCTCCCGAAGACGGTAGCAGCGCCGAGGCCGATCCCCTCGTGCAAGAGCATCAGCACACGTTGGCGCTCGAGGCACGCCCGATGTTTGCCGGCAGTCATACGGCCACCTGGCGCCCTCCGCGGTCGTCCGCGCCTGAGGTGCCTCGGCCAGCACCACGCTCTGGCCATCTACTGAACCCGAGCGACGACTCCGCTAGCGAGGGCGGCGACTCGTTCGGCATCCACACCGACGCGGCGCCCGCCAGCACTGTCGCCGACCTCTCGTCGTGCATCCAGATCGTGGGCGACGACGCGGTGACCATACAGGCGGTCACGCTGGCTCTGGACCCGGCAAGCACGCATCTGCGTCTGGAGGGTGCCGGCGCGCCCGAGGAGCAGGACGCCTTTGCCGGCACTTGGACAAACGGCGACCGATGGGGAGGGCTGTACGAGATTGAGGTGCTCTCCGGCAGCGATCTCGGCGCGTCGCCCGAAGCGCCGGACGGCACCGTCAAGCCGACCGGTGCCCTGCAGGTGACGTGGCGGCGGGCCCAAGCGGAGGAGGGCAGCAAGTCGAACGTCACCAGCCTCGCGCTGCCCGTGCTGCTGCCGCCGCACCTCAACACACGCCTGCTGATCGCCGCGCCACCGAATGTGATCGTCGACCAGCCGTTCGTCGCGCTGCTCACCGTGAGTTGAGCACACCTATGGCCTGCACAGCTGCTCACTCTCTCACGCCAGGTCGTCAACCCGCACTCGACGCTCACGGCCGACGTCTACGTCGGCATGGATCCGTCGGACTACTTTGTGCTCGCGGGGCCGCGCACCTTCAACATCCCGTCGCTGGTGCCGCGCTCGACGCGCTCGGTGCCGCTGCGCATGGTGGCGCGCGCCGAGGGACAGCTGCGCATGCCCCGCGTGCGCGCCTGGGACCGGCGACAGCGCTTCCTCGCTCGCGACACTGCCGCACCTGCGCCCGCCACAGACGGCGAGGAGGATGAGAACGAGTATGGCGCGCCGCACGCCGGCCGGCCCGCGAGCGTCATCAACGAGCGCGTCGGGCTCGGCATCCCGCTGTCCGTGCGCTGGAAGTTCAGCGGAGCTCGTGAGAGGCCACGCGGTAGCCCTGACAAGCCCTTTCTGACTTGCTGCCGTGCAGATCTCTCCGACGAGGGCGCACCGGTCGATGGACAGGCGCCGGTCATCAATGTCGCGGCCAGGCCGCAGCAGTAGGCTTCAATGGGATGACATTGGCGCAGCGGAATGCCGTGCTTCCCTACATCAACAGACATCCCGCCTGGGTGCCGGCTCAAGAGCCTCCGAGTGTCTTCTCGTAGCCCTTGAGGTACTGGCGGAGCTTGGTGTTGATCTGAGGGCGGCGTCAGATCTGAGCTGAAAGCCAGAGGCGCTGGCGCTCGCTCACCGAGGGATTGCCGCGCTTGCCCTTGAGGCCGGACTTTTCATGCAGAGCCGGCACCATGGTGAGCGCAGTCTCGAAGACAGCACGGAGCAACGCCAGCTCCTCCTCTGTCGAGGCAAAGGATTCAGCCCTGACCAGCTGCGTGAGTCGAGTTCAAGAGCAGCGACCTCACCCTTCGTCCAGTCCTTCTTCTCGCGCGGCGCACCGGCGGCGGCCTTCGGCTTCTTTGTGTCCTTGAACTCGTCGCTGTCCGAGCCTTCTTGCTTGCGCTTCGGCTGGAGCATCGTCAGTGCAGAACTATCTCTGTCAGTATGGCCACCCACCATGGCTACTGCGAGGATGAGTGAGGGGTGGTGAGGGTTGACAAGGAAGCACGAGCGATGAGGACGACGCTCGGGTGCGGCAGCGGGGCAAGCGAGGCTATCGTCTTGCAGCCTGACTGCTGCCCTTGCCGGAGCTTCTCACTGCTCGATCGTATCAAACTCATCAGCAGGTCAGGAGCATGCCGCTCATCGTGCCGGCGGGATGAGGCCGGCGGCAAGCGTGCGGGGCCAAGTGCTGAGCGCGGGCGCGGCGGCGGAGGCGGCGGCATTTCGGGACGACGTGCCGCCGTCCCGCCCCCGCCGCCGCTCATCACCGCTGCACGACCTGCGGCTCTGCGCCGCGACCGATCAACCTACAGCTACGATGACACAGATCGATCGATCAGGGTCAGCGAGACGTGTAGAATATCAACGAGCAGAGCGGCTCCCCCGCTGCACTCTGCCCTTGACTTGGACGAGGTGGCGGCTTCCGGCGGCGGCACGCGGGCGCTTCTGCTGCTGCCGGTAGGGATCCGTCCCGAAGCGGCAGGTCTGCGGCGCTCCCACGCGCCCATCGGGCAAGCGCTGCTCAGGGACGCCTCGCGTGCGTCCAAACAAACACCTGCGCCAGCGCGACAGGGCGGCGCTGCGCCGCGCAGGAGAGCCGAAGCGGCATCTCGGCCCGCTCGACGCCGTCGCCGAAGCAGCGCCGCATCAACACCGCGGATGCAGCGTCAGCCAGCCATGCGCTGTATGCTCGAGCCCTGTGCCCTTCAAGAGGGCGCTGCACCGCGATTCTCCGCTCTCTCCCCTCACCCATCGCCCGCATCGCATCCGTCCTCATCTCTCCCGTCCCAGTATCTAGGCCTCTCCTCTCCGTCCGCTCGGAACACCCTCTTCCTTCTCTTCTTCGCCTCGGCTCTCTCTCGCAGTCCGACTCTCCTTCCTGTGGCCCCTTTCGCTCCTCGCCCCACCCTTACGCTCTCTTCCTCTCGTGCTTGAGTTCCATCCTCGCACCCTGGCTTCTAGCATGGACTACAGCACGATGTTCGGTGAGTGGCTGAGCCGTAAATCTTCGCACATCAAGGCGCGTGGCCTCGACAGCATGCTGACGCTCGGCCCTCCACTGCAGCGCACGACGGTGCCGCATCGCCCGATGCTAGCGATGCCTCGCCTTCAGGCAGCCGCGTCGCACAGTCGCCCAACTGGGAGCTGCGCGACGAGGACGACGAAGAGATCGCGCTGCTCACCATCGGCGACCTGGCGTCGTACGGCATCGTCGTCGAGAGCCCCGGTGGCGTGTCCGCCATCAGCTCTGCGGCTGCCTCGCCTGTCGCTACGCGCTCTGGCCTGTATCAGGGCGGACCGTGACACGTCGAGCAGGGCTGCTCCATTCGTCGCATCGAGCCACACCTCAGCTACGACAGCGACGAGGAGATGCCCGAAGCGACAGCCGTGTCGTCGCCGGCAGTCTCGCGCTCCGCCATCCTCGCTCGCGGTCCGCGCCGCGAGGCATCCTCGGAGTCGTCCAGCAGCAGTGCAGACTACTCCGCCTTCCTGCTCTTTCACCGTCTGTCGCTCGAGGCGCTAGATGTCTCAACGTCGACCGACAGCCGCGATGTGTCGCGCACCGAGCTCAGCTCGGACCTGTCGTACGTATCCACTGTGCCGACGTCGGCTGGCGGCTCGGACGACGAGAACGAGCCCGACAAGGAGGAGGTCGCACCTCGCCGCAACACCATCCTGCCGAGCATCAAGATCGTCGCCAGCAGTCCCTGGCCCGCGCATGCGACAAGCAGCTTCACGCCGCAGATGGTGCCCGCGTGCAGCGAGCCCGTCGACTCGGACGAGGAGGAGTGCGACGTGTGCGAGCGCCCGCAGTCGCGCTGCCCCAACTACGCCTGCCTGCTGCAAGGCCTCGAGATGCTCCAGAGCGACGTCTTTGCAGGCGAGTCGAGCGAGCCGCCGACGCCGGCCAGCCCCGTGGATGAGGCGATGGCGACGCCGCCAGCCACCGCGCTGCCTGAGCGCACAAGCTCGGAGGCGTGTGTCTCTGCGATGCTGGGCAGCACACGCTGCACGCACGGCCTGCCCGCCGGCCGTGATTGCGGCGACCCGACATGCGAGGGCTGCGGCGCCATCTTCTTCAACGCCACGCCCGGCAGCGACGCCAGCTCGTCGGGCGAAGCTGTGCTTGACTTCCTCGCCGCTACGTCGGCGCCGTCTACGGCTGCAGCCACGACATCTGCTGCGCCGCGCCCCTCTCGCAAGCGCAGCAGCGCCTCGGCCGGTATCGAGCTCGCCGCTTCCACGTCGGACAAGACCGTCAAGGGGGAACGCGATGCGGCGCTGGCAGCCCGCCGCGACGAGTGGATCTCGCGCATGCGTGGCCAGACGCGCTTCTACGGCAGCGAGAAGCGCAAGGAGAGCCGCCGCAGCGCCCCCTCGGCGCCGTCGCTGCTGCACTCCGGCCCGACCGGCGGCGTCAACCTCAAGCACGGCGAGCTCGACGCCGTCGTCATCGCGGCGCCACGCACGCTGGCCGCCGCCCGTGGCCCCGTGCTGCGCAGCGTGCAGCCAAAGGCGCCTCGCGCGCCGCTGCCGCAGCTGCACCCTGTCAGCTTCCTGCCGGGCGCGACGATGAGCGACCTCTTCGCCGGCGACGCCGTGCAGCCGACGCCGAAGAGCGCCAGCCTGCTGTACGAGACCAAGGTGTACCACCGCGCCTGCGCGACGCCGTGCCCCGAGCCGCCGCTGGCACGCTTTGCGCTGCACAAGCCCGCGCAGCAGCGCTCCTCGCCCTCCGAGGCCGAGAAGGCGGCCCTTGCGCGCAAGAAGAAGCCCACCTCCGTGCTGCGCCTCCTTCGCTGAGCGCCAGCTTATTTCCTCTCGTCACCCACATCGCTTCCACGTCTCCTGTCTGCGCCACTGCGCCTGCCTCGCTCTCTCGCACCAGTCACTCTATCCTAGACCACCGCAATGCTAGCACATGCCCCGCGCTCTATGACTGCCATGTTTGCGGTGTGTATATGAGGGTGGCACCTCAGAAGCCGAGGCCGCCCTTGCTGATCTTGATCGTCGCGCCGACGGCCGAGGCCGAGCCGGGCGTGTGGCCCACGCCGGAGCCCTCCTTCCAGCCCATCATGGTGAGCAGCTGCGCAGGGGAGTGTCAGCTGCATGCCGGTGGTCCTCCATGGCAGGCGCACTCACCTTGTGGCCGATGTTGTCCTCGCTGATCTTCTCAGCGCCGTAGCCGACCTCGGCGCCCTCCTGATTCCGCGCCACGCCGGCGCCAGCGGCAGACACGGCGCCGCCAGACTTGCCCTTGCCGCCCTTCTTGTCCCGGCGCGGCGCGCCCTTGCCGAAGCCGACGTCGCGGCCCTGCAGCACGGCGCGCACGCGGTGGACATTGACGTTCTGGCCGCTGCGCGAGTTCTTGACGAGCGTGGGGAAGCGCTTGGCGCCGTCGCCCTTGCTCTTGCTCGTCAGCGAGTAGGCGGCGGCGAGCATGTGCACCTGCGCACGCGCCCGCTTGTCCATCGGCGCCAGCGAGAGCGTCGTGTGCGCCGGGTCGCGCAGGAAGTGCTGGATCTGCAGGTCGAGCTCGTGCAGATTGACGGCGTGGTGCAGCATGAGCACCGACTCGCCCGAGGCCGGGCCACCAACCCCGCCGAAGCCGCGCGTGGCGGCCTGCGGCGCGTCGTCGAAGCCAAAGGCAGCGCCGTTGCGCTCGCCGCGCCGCTCGGCACGCGCAGCCTTCTTCTGCGCCTTCTTGGTGCCCTTCTTGTGCGTGTTGTGGAACGGGTTCTCAGCGGCGGCGGCCCGCTCGGCGGCCCGCTTGCGCTTGTTGGCAGCCTTGGTGGCGCGGTCCTTCTCCCACTGGCCCTGCAGGTTCTCGGCCCACGTGCTGCCGTCGTCCCACTTCTTCCGCCCTGCGTGGCCGCCTGAATGGCGCGTGTCAGCATGCTGCACTGGCAGCAGATCGAGAGGCAACGCACCCTTGACAGGCTTGCTGTCGAGATCCATGTCGAACGAGATCGCGCCGCGCGTGAGCTCCTCAAAGTCGTCGAACTCGCCGCGCTCGATGGCGCGGAAGATTTTATTCCGAGCCTTCCGGTCGCGGCCCTTGAGCACGTCGTCGTGCTCCAGTGCGTAGCGCTGCGAGCGGGTGGTCAGCAGTCAAAGCAAGGGTCAAGCCAATACAGTGAGACGCACGTCGAGCTTGGCGATGAAGTCCTCGTCGCGGTCGGCCCAGGAGAAGCCCTTCGGCAGGTCATCGTCGTCATCCGAGTCGTCCGAGTCAGAGTCCTGTGGGAATGATCAGCACGGCAGCGCCCACAGCGCTCGGCAACGGACTCACCTCGTCAGAGTCGCTGTCGCTGTCACTGTCGCTGAGGAGCTCGGCCTTCTTGCCCTTACCCTTGCGGCCGCGCGACAGCATGACAAGGTCCAGCTCGTCCATGTCGTCGTCGCTGTCGCTGTCCTCGGAGCTGTCGTCGCTGTCGCTGTCAAGGATGATCTGCTCTTCGATGGCAAGCATCTGCTCCTCCGTCTCCTCGTCCTGCTCCACGGCGATGCGGACGGACGTCGTCTGCTCCTCGATGACGATCTCGGTTGCGTCCTCGTCGCCGCTTTCCTCAGTCATCCACTCGTCCTCGGACGCCATGCGCTCCTCGATGGCAATGTCGTCGAGCGTCATCTGGCGCCCGCCGCGCTGGCCGTCCATGCTGTTCATGAAGCGCAGCAGGCCGTCGAGCTCCGTCTCGCGATCGAGGTCCGAGTCTTCGTCGTCGTCGGCCGACTTGCGTGCACGCACGTCGTTGGCCGCCAGCTCTGCCAGATCGTCCAGGATTGCCTGCTGCTGCTTGGCCTTGGAGCTGCTCGCAGACGCTGCGCCAGACGCGCCGAGTGTGAGGCCACGCCGCAGCTCCTCGGCCACAGCGTCGCCGCCTGCACCGTTCGCGCCCTTGCGCTTGGGCGGCCCGTCGCTGCCCCACTCGAGGTCGCTGTCACCCTCACGCGGCTGCGGCGGCTCCTCGAAGCCACGCAGTTGGCCGTCCTTGCCTTTCTGGCGCCGCCGGGCCTTCTTGGCCGAGTTGCGCGCCTTCTTGCCCGCCCCGCGTGGCTGGCGCTGCGTCATGTTGGGCGCGTCGTCCGAGGAGTAATCGATCTCTACCTCGGCGGAGCGCGGCGCCGGGGCCACTGGGTCGCCCAGTGCCGGTGCTGCAGCCTCGGCGACTGACTGCTCGAACTGCATCGGCTCGGACGCCTCGGTGTCGATGTAGAACGTCGGCTCGGCCTCCGGCTCGGGAAGCTCGTCATCGGCCGTCAGGTCGACCTCGATCGGCGCGTGAGAAGTTGCGCCATTCATGCTGGCAGACAGGCCAGCGGCCTCGCCAGCGGCAATGACAGCCTCGAGCTGCCGGTCCTCCTCCGAGTCGTACGCGTCGTCCTCCATCGGCCCTGACGGAGCCGACGACATGCTGGTGTGCGTCACGAGCACGACGTCCTCCTCGTCGTCCGACTCAACCTGCGACGGTTCGGCCACAGCGGCGGCGTGTGCGAACTCTGGCAGCTCCGAGACGAGCGGATCATGCACGATGCTCTCCTCGTGCGCCTCGAGCTCTCGTGTGTCAGGGTAGGCAGCGAGCAGCGCGGCCATGTCGTCGTCCTCGTCGTCCGTCGAGCCGAGCTCGATGATCTGCATCGGCGGCTTGCTCTCCGGCAGCGGCGGCTGTGCTGGTGCGGCGGGATCGGCAAAGCCGAGGCCACGACCGGACTTGCCCTGCGCCAGCGCCTCGGCACTCGCCTCCTGCAGGCCCTCGCCCTCGCGCTGCTTGTCGAGGCCGGTGCTGGCCACGAACGCCACGGGCTGCAGCATCGGTCGGTTTCGCGCTGCAGCTGGGTCGCCAGCGCGGAACTGCCGCACACCGGCGCGCGAGAGGCCAAGGCCGGCGAGCATCTGCGCTTCGACGTCCTCGCTGGGCCGATACGCACGCTGCGGCACGTTGAACTGTGGAAAGACGGGAGCGGCGCCACCTCGTCCGCCGCGACGCGAGGTGCCGCCGGCAGGCACGTAGTGGCCGCCCGAACGCTGCATCGCCTTGGGCCCAGTCGGCGGCAGCATGCCCGCCAGATCAGCACCATGCAGCGCATGCCGCGACGCGCCGGGCGCCGAGGGGTCGTAGGCACGCTCGACGGGGCGCTCGTGCTGCGGGCGGTGCACGTGGACGTAGCCGCGACGCGGCGTGATGACGACGTCGCCGTCGCTGTCGGGCGCCTGCTGCGCCGGCTGCAGACCCTCGGGCCCCTCGAGCGGCGGCGGCCCGCGTGGCCGGCTCAGCGAGGCGTAGTCGAAGCCCACTGCGTTCTGGCCGCGCATGGCAAGCGCCGTGCCACGCCCGCGCCCGCCGCCACGCCCGCCACGATAGCCGCCGCGCGGCGGGAAGGCGCCGTCGGGCGAGTCGAGCGTGCGGCCGGCGCCGGGAAAGGCGTCGAAGCCGGCGCCGTAGCCGCCACGGCCGCGGCCGCGGCCTCGTGGGCCGCCGCGGGCCATGTCGTCGTCGTCTGCGTCGGGTGGCGTAGAGGTGCAGAAGGAGTGTGGCGAGAAGGAAGGAGCGGCGGCGTCGAGAGAGCGTGCGGCGTGCTCGCTACAAGGCGAGCGTCAGTGGTGCGAGGCGTATAAGAACAGAAACAGCAGCCAGGAGGGTCCGGACGGAGAGGTGGTGGGAAGGAAGGAGCTGATGCGGCCCAAGACGCCGAGCCTCCTGGGCCGCGCGTGTGCTTCTCCACGCGCATGTCAGCTCAGCGGCCGGCGCACGTCGCGCGCGTCGCCTCCACTCGACTCGCCGCGTGCGCAGACAGCGCCGCATGCACCCTGGGCGCCAGCATACATGCAGCCCTCAGCATGCTTCAGACTCACTCGGGCAGATTGCGCAAATGCGGCGGCACGTAGATCGGCTTCACACTCTCAGGCCGCGGCAACCTGGGCGTCGTCGGTGCCGGCGGCTCGAAGTACGAGTCGTAGGCAGCGAAGGGCAGCAGCGCAAACGCCTGCGGCTGGTCGTCCTCGCCGTCGTCTGCCTCCTCCTCCGCCGCACCTGGCACCAGCTGGGCCCAGCGCGACGGCTTCGGCGGCAGTGCTGGCTCCGGCGCCGGTGCAGGCTCGGGCGGCGCCTTGTTGCGAAGATGCGGCGGCACATACGCCGAGCGCTGTGGCAGGCGGCGGCTCGGCTGCGAATCCATGGCAGCGTGAGGGGACGGCAAGGGTGGTGGGATGAGGCGGGGCCATAGGATGTACTTCTTCTCACACCCAGCGGGCGGAGACCTGCTCACTGCCCCTGTCTGCAAAAATGTGCCGCAGAGTGGCATCCGCAAGCAGCACTTCGCCGCGAAGATGGGCGTGCGAGGGGCCAGCCTTGAGCGTCGCAGCGCGCCTTGCGGGCGTCAGGCACACGCAGGCGCACAGCGCACTCTACTCCGCGGGATGGCGCGGCCACGCGCGAAGGACGCTCGCGCCTCCTCGCATCTCTGCTCACCTCCACCACCTCGATCGCACACAGCGCCTGTCCACATCGCATATCCCTGCTCCATCTCTCTGGCGCACCCGCACGTACTCAGCGCTCACCTCGCACCTGCCGGCTGGCGCGTCTCTGCCCGGCATGGACTTCAACTCGCCGCACCCGCGCCGCGGCGGCTATGGCGGCGGCTATGGCGGCGGCGGCGGTGGTAGCGGCTACAACGCCTCGCCCGGCGGCTACGCGCAGCAGGGCGGCTATGCAGCCTCGCCCGGCGGATACGGCGCATCGCCCGGCGGCTACGGCTCGCCCTACGGCGGACGAGGCCGCGGGCGCGGACGCGGGCGCAACTCGGGCGGCGGCCCGCAGCCCATGTCGCGCGCCGACATCGAGGCGGACCGCGCGGCACAGCGGCTGCGCTCGCTGCGCACCACGCTCTACCGCTGGGCCGACCCGGCGCACGGGCGCCCCGAGGGTGCGGCGGCACAGACGCACGACGGCGACGCCGAGCTCTTCGATGCGCGCGCCGAGATGATGTCGCACGCCAAGTGGCTTGAGAGCGTGGAGCGCGCGGACGTCAAGGTCGCCTGGCGCGTCATGTGAGTGGGCCGGCGACGGTGACTGCGTGCATTGCTCTGACGCAGTGTGTCGCAGGATCACCGAGCAGCCTCACAAGCTGCCGCTCAATGCGGCGCTGCTTGGCTACCTGCTCACCGCCCCGACATCTGTGCCTGCCGGCTCGAGCGCCAACGACGCAAGCGAGCAGCCCGCAGAGGACGAGTTCGGCCGCGCGTCGCCCGTGTCGCCGAGCAAGCGGCCCAGCAGCGCGCTCGGCGATGACGAGCGGCGGCAGGCTGGCTCCATGTCGCCCGAGAAGGAGGGCGCGCCGAGCGAGAAGGCCCTCAGCATGGGTGACGAGATCCTCAAGGACCTCGTGCGCGCCTTCCAGGGCTGGCTGGATGCGCGCATGTGGCGCAACGTGCGGCTCTGCGTGAGTGACCTCCCGAGTATGCCTTGAGCGCTGGCAGCTGACGCACGCTGCAGCTGCACTTCTTCGCAACGCTGCTGCCGCTGCGCATCCTCTCGCCCAGCTCGTTTCGCACGCTCCTCACGTCCTTTGCCGCCGTGCTCGACGAGCCCGGCGTGACGGCAGAGCGCGGCGACCGGGCGGCCGTGTGCGTCATCGAGGCGCTCTGCTGGGCTGGGCGCGCGGCCGTGGCCGATGGCGCGAGCGGCGAGGACGAGGCAGACGCGCTCGTCGATCGCATTGTCACGTACAACCAGAACCGGCGCGTTGAGAAGGACCTTGTCTCGCCCTGGGGCGGCGCCAGTGAGGAGGAAGACGACACGCTGCGCGAAGAAGTGAGTTGGGTCTGCCAGTGCTCGGCGGCTCGCTGCTGACGCCGGACTTCAGTCATTCGAGAGTGCCGTCTCTGCGCTGCTCGCGCTGCGCTCCAGCGGCTACGAGCGGCCCTTCTTCCTCGCCTCGCCGCTCGACCTGCTGCCGCCTGCGCTGCTGCCGCTCGTCGATGCGCGCGAGCCGTTCCTGCACCTGCCCGACGTGCTCGTGCCGCCAGACGACGACGAGAGCTCCATCACCAGCTTTGCAGCGGCCGCCGAGGCCGGTCCGGCGGGCAAGAAGGTGCGCCGCAACCGTCGCGAGATCTCAAAGGGCGAGGCGGAGAAGCTGCGCGCCGGTGCCGGTCCAGCGCGTGTGCAGCGCTCGGCCCGCTGGTTCGGCGAGGTGAGTGCTTCGTGCTTCCTGCAGCTGCGCCTTGCTGACGTGTCTGGCTCTGCAGTCTGTACCTGCGCCTTCGTCGCCGTCCGGGCTGGTGCTGCGCTCGCTGCTCGCCGACATCATCGACCTGTACGAGGTCAACCGCAAGGAGTGCGCCCGCATTCTCTTCGACTTTGCACGCTGGTGCCGACGCGGCACCTTCGTGGGCAAGGGTTCAAACCCGGAGAAGGGCCTCTTTGGCGATGCCGAGGATGACTGGGTCGCAGGGCCGGACGGCGAGGTGCGCGGCGGATGGGTGCTGGACGATGTGCTGGTCGAGGTGAGTCCTGCAGCTCGTTCGCACGCTACCATCGTGGCTCACAGGCTTCACAGTGCATCCTCTCGACGGCGCTGCAGCTGCCTGAGCCGCCGCTCAAGGCGCTCTACTACACGTCGCTGCTGCGTGAGGTCGTGACGCTGAGCCCGAGCACCGTGGCGCCGGCGATGGGCAAGAGCGTGCGCCGCGTGTACGGCGCCATGCGCACCGGCCGCGCCGAGGGCGAGGTGATCCGCCGCTTCGCCGACTGGTTCAGCGTGCACCTGAGCAACTTCGGCTTCCAGTGGGGCTGGAAGGAGTGGTGAGTCGTGCCGGCGCTGCCAGGAGAGGCGCACTGCTGACTGCACGCTCCCGCAGGATCGGCGACATGAGCCTGCCGCACGCACACCCGCGCAAGGCTTTTGCCCGGCGCGTCGTCGAGCTCGAGGTGCGCCTGGCGTACTGGGAGCGCATCAAGACGACGCTGCCCGAGGAGATCGCCACCGGCGTGCTCTCAGCCGAGGAGCCTGGGCCCTCTTTCACCTACGCGACCGAGGGTCACCCGTGCCGCGAGCAAGCCATTGCGCTCATTGAGTCGTTCCGCGCGCGCGCCACGGGCGAGGTCATCATGGCCAACATGGAGAGCCTGAAGCAGCAGGTGCTGCCGCAGGACGCCGACGCGCTCATGCCGTCGGACGAGGAGACGGACAGCAAGGTGCGCAACGAGGTCGAGGCCGACTTCCTCGTGCGCGACATGGTCACGCAGGCCGTGCTGAGCGTCGGCAGCCGCTCCTTCTCGCACTTCCTCAACGTCGTCGAGCGGTGAGTGCCACGGCATGTCTCAGCTGTGCCCTGCTCATGCATGCATTGCAGGTACCACGCGCTGCTGCGTGACCTCTCGTCGTCGCCGGCCATGCGCCTGGCGATCCTGTCGAGCACGGTGCGCTTCTGGGCGCTCGCGCCGCAGTGGGTGCAGATCGTCTTCGACAAGCTGCTGCAGTACCGCATCGTCGAGCCGGCCGACATCATCGACTTTGTCTTTGCGCCGCCGCGCAACATCCCTGCGCTCGTGCTGCTCGGCAGCGGCGACGGCGTGGCGGGCAGCTTCTCGCGCGTGGCGCCGCCCGAGGCCGGCGGCCTGGAGCGCGACTGGAGCACGTTCTCGTGGTGGGACATTGTGCGCATCACCGTCGACAAGGTCAACGGCCGCGTCGAGCAGGTGCGCAAGCGCCTCGAGACGCTCGAGCGCGAGGAGGCCGACGAGGCCGACCGCAAGGCTGCGGCCGAGGCTGCCGGCGCCGAGGAGCCGCAGCTGCCCGCTGAGCCAGAGTTCAAGCTGCCGCTCTTCCCGGGCGCCTCGCTGCCGCCGCGCCCGCAGCCGTCGCCCGTGGCGCGTGCTGCCGCGGCGCAGGCGACGCAGAAGGAGGCCGTCAAGAAGGCCAACGGCACGAGCCAGGATGCGCGCGCCGCCCTCGACGCCATCTCCGTCGAGCAGCGCAAGGTGCTCGTCGGCGCGACGCAGGGTTTCGTCCGCCTTGTCCGCGCCACTGCGCCGACGCTCGCGGCTGCGGGCGAGCTAGACGAGGCCACGCCCAACGAGGCATGGCAGGCGTGGTGGGTGCGCGCGTGGTACCGCAACTTCCTGCGGCTGGTGAGTGGTGCGAGTGCATACATGGCACGCCGATGCTGACACGCGCTCTGTGCAGTTCGCAAAGCAGCTCGCCGCCAACAGCGAGACTATCTCGTCCCTCGTCTTCCAGGACGTGCCGGAGGACGACGCCGTGCGCGTGGCGTTCGACAATGCGTGCCAGATGGCCAGCGAGTAGACAGAAGGCAAGCGCAGATGCTGCGCACAAAAAGCATGACATTGTGCCGCACCACGTGTGACGACTGCCTCACCGCTTGATCTTCTCGAGCAGCAGCTCCATGCGCGCGCCCAGATCCGGCTGCCCGCGCCTGTTCGTCTTGGCCGCCTTCTTCTCGCGCTGCCGCCGCTCCTGCTCGGCCTGCTCGCGTGTCCGCTGCGGCTTGTCGCTGCTGGCCGGCACCGCTGCGGCTGCCCGCTCCTCGCGCTGCTTGCCCTTGCTGCGCGGCGGCGGAGGCGCGAACTTCGGCCGCTCTCTTCGCCGCCGCTTCCCTGGTGCCTCGTCCCCCTTGCCCCTGCTACCCTCTGCGCTCGTGCTCGGCCCCGCGCTCTCGCCCGCTGCCGTGCCCCTTGCCCGCTTCTGCTCGCGCACACGCAGCACCTCGTCGACGTCCGCCAGCGCCGCCTTGGCCACGGGGTCCTCGGGCGCAAAGCGGCCCTCGTCGCGCGTGGCGACCTGCTCGGCCTCGGAGATGAGCGCCGGCGCGCCACTGCTGCTCGAGCCTGCGCCGCGGTAGAAGGCCTTCTTGACCTTGGCATTCTCGATCAGCCGGCTCTTGATCTTCTTGGCTGCGAGTGGAGAGGGTTCAGTGGCCGGCGGCAAAGAGCAGCACGCAGCACACGCTGCGCTCGCTACCACTCACCGCGGCCAAGATAGCTGCCGTCGGGCGCATGCTTGGGCCCGACCTGGAAGCCTTGCCGCCGGCCGCCGCCGCCGCCCGTGGCGTGGTGCGCTGCGCGACCGCCGGCCTCTGCGGCGTTGGTGCGGTGCTTGACAACCTTGCGCTTGTGCGGCGAGGCAGTGGGTGCCATGGCGGGAAGTGGTGGTGGTGAAGCTGCAGAGAAGTTGCGGATGCGTGTGGTGAGGAGAGAAACGCTGGACGTCGAGTCGCCGCGCCGCGCGCGCCGCGAAAGTCGAGATGAAGTTGGGCCGCGGCAACAACGGCGGCGCGCACCCTGACGGAGCGCACCGCCTCCGCCTGCTCCACCTCGGCCCGGCCCCGCACCGGGCACCGTGCGTCTGCGCCTCCTGAGCCTTGCCTCCTCACCTCATCCTCGTTCACCGCCTGCTCCGTCTCATCTGCGCTACCTTTGCCGCGTCTCTCCCGCTCCCGGTGTCTCCCACGCTCTCTCCCTGCGTCACCCCTCTCCCTCGCCTCTGCCGCCAGTCGGTGTCTCGTCCGGCGCCATGTCGCGCGCCTCGCCGATGCTGCGTCCGTCGCAGGACGGAGCGGCACCGCCGCCGCACCTCGGCGCCGCCTCACGCTCCGACGGCATTCTGCCGCTGCCCGACTTGCCGGCGTCGCACCTCTGGACGGCGCGCGAGGCGGCCGTCGTGCGCTCGCGCCAGGGCAGCGTGCTCAACCGCGGCCTCATCCTCAAGGCCGACCACTTCGCCGGCGGTGAGCACGCATAGAGGTGGGTATGCGCAGTCAGCTGATACCTAGCTGCCATCAGCACGCCGCCCGCACCTCGATCTGCACCTGCAGGGCGCACCCAACTTCCGCAAGGCCGACGTGCCGCTCGAGGTGTACGGCTGCGCGCAGCCGACCGTGACGGGCCTCAAAGGCGTGCTGAGCGTGCTGCAGTGCCAGCCCCTGTCGCGCGCATCGGCAAGCCGCGACAGCTCCGTGAATGGCCAGGCTCGGCGGCCCAGCGGCACGGCGCTCTTCCGCAGCGCCCTCGACAATGCCGCCTCGCGCGACACGTCGCCGTCGCCCGACGCTGGCACGCCGCCGCCGGCCGAGTCACCAGCGGAGGGCCCGTCGACGCCGAGTGCGCCGGAGCGGCCTGCAGCTGAGCCCAGACGACCGTCTGGTCGTCACCTTGGTGTGGCCACGGATGACATGGGTCCCGCTCGGAAGTGTGTCTGGTTCTGCACGCGCGAAGTGAGTCGCCAAGCTGGGTGCACGTGGCGACTGAGCTGACAAACACCTGCAGGAGCCGGTAGTCTACGTGTCGAACCGACCCTTCGTACTGCGCGAGATAGAGAAGCCGATGGAGACGTACTCGATCTCGGACCGCGCCGAGAACCTCGAGTCGATCGAGACGCGGCTGAAGCAGGACTTGCTGCGCGAGGCTGCGCGCTACGACGGCCTTCTGATGGTGCACGAGGAGGACGAGAAGGGCCAGCTGATGCCTGTCTGGGTGGCCATCGACGCGGAATCGGTCAGCACCATCCGCGAGGTCTTCCACAAGGCGCGGAAAGACGGCTGGAGCGTCGACTACCACCGCGTGCCCATCGCCGCAGACCAGAGCACCGCCGAGAACAACTAGTGAGGCGCTTCGTGTGCGTCCGTGCGTGAGCCTTAGCTGACCGCACTGTGGCTCAGCCTCGACGCATATCTGCGCATCCTCAAGGAGCTCGACCCGACGAAGACCTCCGTCGTTGCGAACTGTGGCATCGGCGCGGTGCGCACGACTGTGGCCATGTGCGCTGCGGTGATCGTGCGGCGGCGGCAGATGATTGTCAAAGGCTTCGACCCACTGCCCGTCTCCCAACGGCTTATGGATCGCCCAGTCGCGGACCTCAAGCGCTCAGCAGAGGCGGCGAATGGCTCGTCTTCTCGCCGTGGTACGAGCCCCGCGCCGGGCAAGGGCATCGCCAAGTCGCTGCGTGCCGCATCGGAACAGCACCAGACCGCACAGTCGCTGCTGCGGCTCATGCGACTCCTCACCTCCAGCATCGATGCCGCCTCGAACGTCGACTCGCAGGCTGTGCTCGAGCAGCTGCTGGGCAACCCTGCGGTACTCGAGTCGCTCCAGCGCGCGTACCGCGGCGACTACGGCATCGTCCGGCAGCTTTGCTCGCTGCTCGAAGAAGGCCTCGAGAGCAAGGCTGTTGCTGATCTGGCCATCGACGCATGCTCGTCGGTCGTGCACCTGCGCGAGATGGTCCTCTCTGAGCGCGTGGCCTACGCGCTGGCCAAGCACGGGCCCGGTGCCGGCTCCACGGATGCGTATGGTGACAGCGCTGCAGAGCACCTGGGCCGCGCCGTGCGCACGCTCGAGCAGTACGCCTCTCTCATCATCTTCGCCGAGTACGCCGGCGGCAGCGAGACGGCAGCCTTCGGCCATCGCTTCTCGACGTATCTCAAGGGCCGGCCGGAGGTCTGGGGCACGGTGCTGCGCGTCCGCTCCAAGGGCTCGCAGCTGTACCTCTTTGCGCCCGTCGAGGATCTCAGCGTGCTCAGCCGGCCCAGCTCGAGCATGTCGGAGGTTGGCCAGCTCATGGGCGGCTTGCGTCGCGGCACCGAGAGCCGCGCAGATCCCGAGCAGCCCGGCGACGAGTTCGCCGAGCACATCGTCCGCAACCGCGCCGGCGTGGTGCTGCGACCAATGATGCTGCTCAAGCAGGACATCTGGCGCAAGTTCATCGAGCGCGACCGCCAGACGGCCGGCACGGCCAACGTGCGTGGAGCCGTGAACCTGCGCCGCGTGCCCGACAGCAACATCTGGGTCACGGGCCAGCCGACGAAGCAAGGTCTCATCGGCATCGTGCGCAGCATCCAGCAGCAGCTTGCGCTTGCGGGAGCGCGTCAGAGCACATTGGAGGTCACCTGGCTGACGCTGCGCGAGGAGCCGCTCATCGTGGTCGCTGGCAAGCCCGTCGTGCTGCGCCAGAAGGGCTCGTCGCTGCGCAACGTGCGCGAGTTCGGCGGCATCTCGTGGGACCGGCTGAAGCTGCTCGAGGAGAGGCTGAAGGCTGATGGTGAGCGTCGGACTCTCATGTAGCGAGGCGTGCTGCTGACCCGCTGCTTAGTGCTCTCCGAGCTGGAGGCTGGCGAGAACAAGCTACTCCTGCACGCCGAGCTCGATGATGGCGAAGTGGTGCCGCGCTGGGAGGAGATTCAGCCCAGCGAGGTTCAGACGCTGCAAGAGGTGATGACGGACGCGACGCACGAGCTCGCACAGCCGCTCTCCCCGGCGGAGGGTGGCGCCAAGGGCGTCAAGCTCTCCTACCGCCGCATCCCGCTCACTGCCGAGCGGCCGCCGCACCCTGATGACTTCGACGAGATCCTGCGCCTCGTCATCAAGGCGAAGCTGAACGACAATGCGCTCGTGCTGAATGACCAGCTTGGTCGCGGCCGCGGCACGCTGACTGCCGTCATTGTTCTGCTCATCGTGCGCTGGCTCGACCGTCATCGCGAAGCTACGGCCACTACACCCTCAGTCACTTCGCCGTTGGAGGCGAAGGACGAGAGCATTCCGCACACTCAGCGAGAGGCTCTGAGCTACCACGCCGTGAACGCCCTCCTGCGCATCATCCCGCACGGTCTTGAGGTCAAGGCTTCCGTGGACGATGCGATCGACCGCTGCGCATCGTCTGTGATCAATCTGCGCGACGTCATCGAAGACACGCGCCTCGCGGCTGAGGATCTCGATGACGAGGCGCAGCGGCAGGCCAAGGTGCAGGCGGCGATGCACCACCTGCGGCGCTACTACGAGCTATGCCTGTTCCAGGCGTACCTCAATGCCACCAGCCTCGACACTCTGGACGCGTTGCCGACGTTTGAGTCGTTCATCAAGCGGCAGCCGGTGCTCGAGACGCTCTCACAGGAGTTTGACAAGGTCGACATGGCGACCATCACGCCGCTGCAGAAGCTCGATGCCGAAGGCGCCGCGCTTGATGAGGAGGTGCAGGCTGTCGTCTCAGCGCGTTCGGGCTCTGTGCTCTCGGCCTTCACCATGCTCAAGTCCGACATGTTCCCGGGCCTGGTGAGTGCAGCAGGGCTCAGTGCGCAGACTGGCGTCCACTGACCACCACCGACAGGCCAAGATCAGCTTGTCGCAGATCGAAGGTATCCCGAACCTGCGCGGCGTGCCACTTGTCCTTGGCGGCGACAGCCAGAGCGACCGAGCAGCGCTGCGCACATGGGGCCATGGCATGCCGTCGATCGAGGGCCTGCGCCGCGGCCTCGAGTACATGGATGCCGGCCCGTCTGGCAAGGCCCGCGTCGTCGCGTCGTCGATGCGCGAGGAGCCCGTGCTCTTCGTCAATGGCAGGCCGCACGTGCTGCGCCTGGCCGACCAGCCGCTCACGAACGTCGAGGCCACCGGCATCACAAAGGACGTCGTCGAGTCGATGGAGCAGGCGCTGAAGGAGGACGTGCTCAAGGAGCTGCGCAAGTACGACGGCCGCCTGCTGCTGCACGACGAGATCGAGCTTTCCGGCGGCCGCTACGAGATTGTCCCGCAGTGGTTCCCGGTCCGTGACCAGGATGTGCTGACGCCGCGCGACGTGTACGAGTCGATCCAGCGCGAGGGCTACCGCGTCGACTACGCGCGCATCCCAGTGACCGACGAGCAGGCGCCCGTCCCTGCCGTCTTCTCCGAGCTGGAGGAGCGCGTGCAGCTGGCACTTCGCACCGACGCAGCGCCCATCAGCAACTGCCAGATGGGCCGCGGGCGCACGACGACGTCGATGGTCATCTCCATCCTGGTGGCCACCGTGATGGAGCACGCCGAGGAGCTGCTGCAGGAGGACATGCAGGCGAGCTTCATGGCCGATCCGAGGGCAAACGACGACGACGCAGACGGCCTCATGGAGGGTGCCAAGGACAAGATGGACAACCGCGAAGACGACCTGCAGCTCGCGGGCGAGTACCGCTCGATTCTGCAGCTCTGCGGCGTGCTCGCGCACGGCAAGCTGGCCAAGCGGCTGACCGACAAGGTGCGTGGTGCCCAGCGCCGCCGTGAGCTCGCGTGCTGATACCGCGAGTGCAGGCCATCGATGCGTGCGACCAGGTGCAGAACCTGCGCAAGGCCATCTTCGACGCCAAGCTGCGCGCCGAGAATGCCGACCCGGGCACCAAGGTGGGTCGAGCAGGCGCCCAATGCATGCAGACCCATCCTAATCTCTCGGCAGAAACACACGCATCTCAGCCGCGTGTACAACAACTACCTGCAGCGATACGGTGCGCATCTGTGCTGCACAGCCTCTCCGCCGCGCTCACAGCCCCGCCGCAGGATACCTCATCGTCTTTACCTCCTACCTGCTCGACAAGGTGGCGGCGCAGAGCGACGGCGCCAATGCGGCGGCCGACGACGACGACACGCGCTCGGTGGTCTCGCGCGCCTCGACGGCGCAGACGGGCCAGACGACCGGCCGCTTCCCCAGCTTCCTCTCGTACCTGCAGCCGCGCCGCGAGATCCAGGCGATCCTCGGCCGGCGCCTCGAGTAGACGGACACGTCCAAGCCTCCACGTCACACACACATACCTCTAGAGCCACGCCGTGAATTGATGATGGTGATACAGATGCAGAGAAGAGATACGGATCCATCGAATGGGCTGTGCTATGAGCGGGCGCCCGGCAGGGCGATGCCACGAGCCTTGCCGCTCGGCTCCTCGCGCCCTTCCCTCGCCGAGCCGCCCGCCTGCGCCTGCTGCGCCCGTGCCCGCTCCTCGGCACGCGCCTCCTCCGCCTCGTACTCGCCCGGGTCGTCGAAGCCGCGACGCGCCTTGGTGATGACCGTGTCGAGGTACAGCAGCTCCTCGATGCGCCCGAGCTTCTTGTCGTCGCGGCGCAGCGCCGTCTTGAGGTCGTCGACCTTGACGCGCTGGCGCGTCGCGAACGGGTGCGGCGCCGTGCGCAGCGGCACCAGCGGCGGCGCCGACTCGGGCCGCTCGGGCGTCTCCTCGGACAGCACGGTGGGCAGGTGCACGGGAACAGGCACGGAGTACGGCGATGGCCGCGCGCGGTGGCACAGGTCCGTCAAGTACTCGACGGTCATCTCCTCGAGCAGCGCCACGCTGGCGGGCTCGGGCTGCGCGACGTCGCCACAGGCGTACATGAGGCGCGCGACTGATGAGGCGAGAGTGCTCTGCGTGAGCGTGCGTCGCAGGCGAGTCGCGCCCTGAGGTTCCGGTCGCAAGCCGTCTGGCCCACACGGCCGCGGCACCTTTCTCTGCTCACCGCCGCGCACTCGCTGCGCCTGCCACTCAGACATCGCTCTCCACCTCTGCATCGCAGTGCCGCCTTGACTCACTGTCTCGGCCAAAGGCACCCCTGCTGCTGTATCCACGGCGTGCCGCCCGCTCGAGGCCGGCGACCTGCGCAGCGGGCAGCGCAGTGCCGCGGGCCGCGGCGCCGGCAGCGGCACGGCGGCGGCGGTCGCGCGCACGCGGCGGGCGCGGAGCGTCCATGAGGCAGAGCTGCGGCAAGCTGCGAGGGCCGAGTGGGCGTGGTGGTGATGGTGGTGATGAGGCAGGTCGCTCCTCTCGTCGGGTGCGGCGCCTCCACCGATGCCGGATGCGCGCCGTGCACGTGCGACTACAACTTGGCCGGCGGCGCGACGCATTTTGTATTGGCCGGCGACAAAGCATGCGCGAGCTTTTGGTAAGCCGCCGCCCCCTGAGCAAGCGCAGCGCGCCGCAAGCTCTCCTTCGCTCCCTCACCTCCGTCGCCTGACGTCTCCTCAAGCCGTGCAAGCATCATCATGCGCGACGCGGTACCCGGCTTGGTGCACGTGGATGCTTGAGTGCTCCGACCTCGGTGCCGCATCGGGGCGCAGCTCGGTCGTGGGCATCGCTTGCGGATGAGCTGACACGCTTCCGCCTGCATTCTCCTGCTGCGCGCGGTGCTGCCGCTGGCTGCCGCAAGCCTCGACACAGCACCCAGCCGCAAAGGCACCCGCGGGCCCGCGGTCCATCCCGATCGAATGCGGCGGCGGCGGTGACGAGCACGTGCACGACGGCGTCCCGGAATAGACCGCGCCCGCATCAAGTGGCCGGCCGCAAGCGAGTGCCCCTGGGAGAATGCTCAGGGGAGCGCGCGGGCGCTGCATCAGACGACTTGAGTGTCAGAACAGAGCGGCAGACGAAGGATGCCGCACGCGATGCCGCTGCGCTGCCGTCGCTTGCGCCTTGCACCTACCTCAGTGCATGGCTGCTAGCAACAGCGCAGCCTCTCTCTGCCACCGAGACTGACTGGCTGGTGAGTCGCGGCCGAATGGGCAGCATGTTCTAGCCGGTACACCGAGGGCATTCTCTTGTGCCCGCTTCTGCACCCTGCCCTGTTCGCGCCGCCGCCGCCCGCGTTCCTCGGCGCTGCGGCTCCGCAAGGCGTCAGGGGCATTCATTGCGCCCATCTGCTACGAAGTGCAAGCCACACGTCGCGACTGTACCTGGCGCTCGGCAATTACTCCTTGTGCGCGCTGGTGTTGCTCATCGGCCGAGTCCGCTGGCACAGCTCTTCCGCCGCTTCAGCGCTGCTGCGACAGCGCAGAATGCGGCGCAGGGGACTCGCGATGCGGCTGCAGCGGAGCGCGTGCCCTCGCCCTTGTCACGGCCCGACGAGTCTAAGAAAGACGGCTCCGTCTCGGCAGGGCAGCTGCGCCGTCCTTCGAGCGCCTCAGGTCGCACAAGGGCGGTGTACATCAGCGCCTCGCTGGCACTCGCGGCGTGCGTGCCGGCAGCGGCGGCACAAGGGCAATGAGCAGTGCACCCGCGCGGCAGGCCCTTCTTCAGCGCTCCTCAGCTCGCATCTTGTCTCTGCCCTCTCTCACACCTTTGCCTCTGCTACTCGCCTTTCTGCTGCAGCTGGCGCATCCACCTCCTCCATGCAGGCGCTCATGGAGAGCATGACGGCCGATGCCGGCTCTGCTCTGGGCCATGCCGTCTGGGAGGCGCCGCCGCGCTCCGCTCCGCCAGCCGGACCGCCGCCGCCGCAGTCACGCGAGCCGCTCGGCAAAGAGACGTGGACCGATCTCGAGGCTGCACTGCCCGAGAAGGGCGCCGCCGACACCGAGGTGCAGCCCGAGGCGCAGACGGATGCTGTCCAGCAGGACTGGGCCGCAGCGGCTAGGCCAGTGGCCACGACACAGCCGCAAGAGCGTGCGCCGGAGAAGCAGCCGCTGCCACAAGCACCACCAGCGCCGCCGCAAGAGCCCCAAGCTCGACCTTCACCTCAGAAGGAGCAGCAGCCTCGTCCAGCTCCTCCGCTGCAACGCCCGCATCACCTGCAACCGCAGTCGCAAGACACGCGCTCGTCATCGCCTGCGCCACGTTCGCAGGCATCGCTGCGCCAGACGAGCTCGCCCGAGCCGCAGGCGCCGCCGCGTCCGCCGTCGTACCGCACCGAGAGGCGCTCGCCGCCGCTGAGCTCCTCGAGCCGCGGCGCAGCGCTGATGCCGCAGTACCCGCACGAGCATGCATCGCCACCGCCGCCGCTGCCGCCGCCGTCGATGCTGTATGCGGCACAGCGTCAAGCCGAGACGGACTCATCCAGACAGGCGTACGTTGAGGACGGTTCCAGGCATTCGCAGAACGAGCGCGCATCGCTGCCACGCTCAAACGGCAGTGCCCGCGTGACAAGTCCCATCGCACCGCCGTCGCTCGGCATACCCAACGGCAGCACAGCAGAAGCCCAGCACAAGCAAGCCAGCACGGCGGCGAGCAAGACCTCGGCCAGCTCTCCGTCCGAGGCGCCCACAATCGCACGCATGCCGGCTTCGACGTCGTACCCGTCCACCTTCGCGCCGGCCTCGGACGCCGCCTCGACCATCTTCGGCACCATCGCCCGCCCGCCGGACATGAGCGATGCCGACTTTCTCGAGCTGCGCCGCACCGTCGAGGCCGGCGCGCGCCGCTTTGTCGAGGAGGAGATGCGCCGCCGCGGCCTGCAGTATGAGCCGACCGAGGTCGACACCATCGCGCAGGCGCTCGCCGAGGAGACCGACGAGGATGCCGACAAGCTCGCTGACAAGCAAGAGCAACTGCCGCATCAGTACCAGCCACCGGGCCCGCTCGACTACATGCCGCAGCTCGCTCCGAACGGCTTCGAAGCCATGCCCGAGCCACACGTGCAGTACGATATGATGCCGCAGATGCCGCAAATGCCGGCGCTCGGCCCGAACGGCTTCGAGGCCATGCCGCAGCCGCCATACGGCATGGTGCCCGATGCGTACGCGCCCTTCGACTCGGTCGGCGATGCGCTGCAGCCGATGGGACAGGCAGCGATGCTTGCGGCTGGTGCTGCGGCCGGTGCTGCGGCTGGTGCCTTGTGGCCCACGCCGGTGTGGAGCGGACCGCCGCCGGCCTGGGACCCGTGGGCGCGCGAGCAGCAAGAGCAGCATGGCGAGAGACCGCACGGTCCGACGCAGGACGACGAGCGCCAGCGCCAGTGGAACTGGGAGCAGGAGCGCGAGGCCAAGGCGCAGGAGGAGCGCGCCGGCTGGCAGGCTGAGGAAGCACGTCGCGCTGAGGCCATGGCGCAGGAGCATGCACAGCGCCAAGAGCAGCAGCAACAGCAACAGCAGCAGGCGCAAGCCCACCAGCAGCAACAGCAGCAACAGGCGCAACAGCAGGCGCAGCAGCACCATCAGCAGCAAGCTCAGCAGCAGCAGCAGCAAGATCAGACGCAGGCCCTCGAGCAGCATGACGAGGAGATGCGACGCCGACACAACGAGGCGGCGGCGCAGCACGCCCACTACTCGGCGCAGATCGCCTACGAGCAGGCACACGCCGCACCGGCGCAGTCGTGGTTCGACGACGGCGCCTACGAGCCGCAGCTGCGGGCGCAGTACAGCGGCAGCATGCCGCGGGCCATGACCGACGCCGTGCCGCCGCCTCCGCCTGGCACCGCAGCTGGTCCATGGTACGTGCAAAACGGCGGCGGAGTCCTACCCGAAGGTGCGTGTTGGATGTTGCCGTGCGAAGACGCCCCGACTGACCTCCTTGCTCAGGCTGGACCGCCGAGTTCGACGACGCCGTGTACATGGCCTGGTACTTTGTCGACCAGCGCCACTCGCCGCCGATCAGCACCTGGCTCGACCCGCGCCGTCCGCGCTCGGTCGCCTCGACGAATGCCAGCGGCGGCGAGCGTCGCCGGCCGCTGCGTTCGCGCGGACGCCGCAGCCGCCACCGTCGCGGCCGAGACGGCGACGACGACGAGTCCGGCTGGGGCTCCTTCTCGGCAGCATCGGCGGCTGCCGCGGCGACGGCCCGCTCGTTCGAGGCGTACGAGCACATGAAGGGCGCGTCCGGCCACCGCGGGCCCGTCGCTGCCGAGCTGGACCGCGAGCGCGAGGCGGCCAAGAAGGTGCGCCACATCTACGAGGAGAGCCTGGCGGCGCCGCAGCGCCTCGTCGCCGCCGTGCGCCGGCAGGACGCCGAGGGCGTGGCGCGCGCCGAGGAGGACAACGCCCGCGTGGCGGGCATGCGCGACCGCCTGCGCGAGGACGATGCGGCGCGGGCGGCGGCGCTGCCCGTCGGCTTGCAGGGCTACGAGGGCCCGCACCGCGGCTGGGACACCTGGGCGCCGCAGAGTGCGCCCCGCCGCGGCTGGATGGCGGCTCCGGGGCCCGGCGGCCTGCGTCCTGGTGCAGCAGCGCCCGCGATCCTCGACCGCCAGCTGGAGCGCCAGCTGCGTGGCCGTCGCGGCTGGGGCCTGGCGGGCGGGCCGACGCCGGGCGTGCATGTGCCGCTGCCGCCCGATGCCCGTCCACCGCCCGACGTCGCCGAGGCCGTCGCGGCGGGCAACACCGCGGCCGACATTGGCTGGCGTGCCGCCGGCTCGGTGCGCCCGCCGGCGCTTGGCTGGGGCTTCCGCGCCCCAAGCGCACGTCCGCGCCTGACCTCGCGAGTGAGTCGCTGAGGCGCCGAGTGCGATGCCGTAGCTGACGACGACCTTGCAGGGCTCCGCGGTGCCGACGCCGTACGGCATGCCCGAGGCCGTCTTCAGCATGGACATGGCGCTGTGAGTGCCGCCAGACGCCACCACCATTGCATGATGCTCACGCCACCCACCAGCCGCGCCTCGCACGCGTCCGAGGCGCTCGAGGGCGTGTACCTCGGCAGCAGCCCGGCGCCCGGCGCACCCCCGGCGCTGCTCTTCCCGCCGACGGCGAGCCAGCTGCGCCACGCCAACAACGTCGCCGCCTTCTCGTCTCCCTCGTACTACTAGAAGAGCACTCTGCTCCTGCATCACAAGCAACGTCAAGCCGCCTCGCCATCATCATCATCATCCTCCGCCGCCTGCCGCTCCTCGGCAGCTGCATCTCTCTTCTCCCGCAAGCCCCGCATGGACGACCACTCGCGGCGTGCGCCCATCCATGCGTGCCTCGCGCCCACCACCGCACGACGCAGCTCTTCCTGCCCATCCTCCTGCTCCTGCATCTGCGCCCGCGCCCACGACTCATCTCACCTGTGTCAGCCTGCCGCGAAGCAGCGCCCCGCCTGTCCGTCTGTATCTTGCGAAGTGCTCCTCTGGCGCCTCCTCTCCAACCCGTCCCGTGTTCCCTCCCGCCGTCTGTCCATCTATCTCTCGCCCCCCTATCTGCGCCACGAAGCCCGAGCCTGTCTGTGCCGTGCAATGAATATCTTGCTACGAAGTGCAGTAAGTGCGTGCGAGGAGCAGACAGAGAGGAGCAAAGGGATGCGGAGCAGAAGCAAGCCTTCCAGCCGCTGGCTGACACAGCGAAACGTCTTTCCGCGCGGAGCGAGCGCTCAACATCGCGCAGGCGGCAACACGCGGGCCTGGTTCGAGAGACCTCTGTGACGCGCCAATCGACTTGCCGCCTTTCCCGCCGGCTGACGTGCTCCAAACAAGCTCACCAACTGCTGCACACAGGCCCAACGAACATTTCGAGCTGCAACGAACGGCCACATGGGGCAGAGCGGAGGCGTGTGCTGGCCGGAGGAGCAGGCAACACGAATGCGGGGTGCGGGGAGAGGGAGCGACTGCCTCGCCTGCACCCCTCCACCTGTCTAGTGCCCGCCTCCGGACATAAGCGGGCCGCGCTCGGGCCAAGCACGCCTTCGCTGTCGTGCGCCTTTCTCTCACCCCACCACCACACACAGTCCGCCAGCATGAAGCCCATCACGCTCTACACCGTCGGCACGCCTAGTGAGCACGGCGGACTCGCGAGCTTCGGCGCTCGATGCTCACGTCCGCACGCCCCGCAGACGGCAAGAAGGTCAGCATCTTCCTCGAGGAGCTGAAGGCGGCATACCCCGACTTCGAGTACGAGGTGTACGCCATCGACTTCAGCAAGAACGAGCAGAAGGAGGAGTGATGAGTAGCGTGCGGCTAGCCAGCGAGATGCCATGCGCTGACACCGTCCTCCACGTTCCTGAAGCACTCGCCCAACGGTGCGTGTCCGCCAGCTGCTGCATCTGTCGCTGTGCTGACACTCCGCGCAGGCCGCATTCCCGCAATCTACGACCCCAACCACGACCACTCCGTCTTCGAGACGGCCGCCATCCTGCTGTGGCTCGAGAAGAAGTACGACCCGGAGCACAAGTTCAGCTGGGGCAGCGACGAGCCGAATGGCGAGAAGCTGCGCAGCCAGGCGCTGCAGTGGATCTGTGAGCGGAAAGGGAGAGAGGAGGTAGTGCGGCGGCTGATGTGTGCTCTCTGCCAGTCTGGGTGCACGGCGGTGTCGGCGTGAGTGCTGCGGCTGTCTTTGCGTCGGACCCCTGCTGACCCCTCTGCCTAGCCTATGCAAGATGAGTTGAGACGCCTCGCTCGATGCGCTTGATGCTTACCTCTCAGCTGCTTGCTCACGCCAGGCCAACCACGTGAGTCCCTCTGCCCTGTCACCCCTACTCTGCTCACAATCCACCCAGTTCGTGCGCTACGCGCCCGAGCAGATCCAGTACGGCAAGGACCGCTACATCAACGAGACGAAGCGCCTCTACGGCGTGCTCGAGAAGCACCTCGAGGGCCGCGACTGGCTTGTGGGCGAGGGCAAGGGCAAGTACAGTATTGCCGACTGCAACGCCTACCCCTGGTTGCACCTGCACGCCGTGAGTAAACAGGGCCAGGCCGAAGATGAAGCGATGAATGACGGGACGGGCGAAGAGAGAGAGAGAGCCTTGGACGCTGCCGTTCGATCTCTGCACGTCCGCTGACACGACATTCCCTCGCAGTGGGCCGGCGTGCCGCACTCCGACGTGGGCCCCAACGTGCGCAACTACATTCTGCGCAACTGGGAGCGCCCCGCCGTGCGCAAGGGCAGCGTGAGTTGGCTGCCGCACCTCTCCGCCTCTCCCGGCTAAGCTCGCCTCTCCTTCCAGGACGTGCCGCACGACCCCAATGGCCTTGGCATCTCGTGCGTATTCCTGCTGCCTCTTCTGCCGCGCACTGACGAAGCTCACAGCCGCATCGCCGCCGTCATCGACCGATTGCGTGCTCTCAACCGGCAGGTTCCTGACCAAGCTCTTAGAGAGCGACTTTGAGGCCAAGTACGCTGACGAGATCAACAAGAAGGCCGAAGACGCAAAGAAGTGGGTGCAGAAGGGCATGAAGGACGACGCTGCGAAGAAGTAGGCGCCGTCCGCTGTGCCGCTCGGACACTCGACCCACTCGTAGGCCGGCGGGCGTCGATCTCTCGTCGAGCCCGGCCTGGCTGCACGTCAGCCCTGCGTCTCGGCCCGCCGGCTCGCCGTGAGCTCAAATGACGAATGACACTCCTTCGCCGAACCGTAGCCCGAGCTTGGCGGTCGCGTCGATGCTGCTCGCAGCTGTGCGAGCTATGCTTGAGGATGGCGAGATGAAGCTGCTCCCAGCGGTATGCGCTGTAGGACGCCGAGCGTAGCGCGCCTCCAGGCCGCTCGGTCCGGGACCGCGGACCAAAGTCCGGCGCGCGTCTACGATCTCTCTCTGCGCTGCCCGGCCGGGCGAGGTGCATGCGCTCCGTCCCTCCGCCTCACTTCCAGCAGCACGAAGGATTGCTATCGAGAGCGGCTCTTGGTCTGAGCTGGGCGTGCTTAGCCTGGGCCCTGGACGTGTCGCATGCGGTCAGACAGCAAAGCGCTGGCGTGAGGTCGCAGCGCGAGTCAGAGTCGCCAGCCGCGCGGAGACGGCCAAGTGCTCGATGCAGCGAGGGACCCCCGATCGCAAGCGATGCCGTGGCGGGCACCCTCGTTCTCAGCGCTGCAGGTGGCCTGACGTTGGGATGTCGATCAATGCGAAGATCTGAGCAAGCACGCCTTGGCTTGTGCGAGGCGCAGGCACGCTAGAAGAACCGCCAACCCCCCTGCGCGTTGCCGGCGGGTCACGCTCGGCGTGGGCAGCGGGTGTCGCATGATGCGTTGGCCGCCTCGAGCAAAAAGCTGGCGGTGGCTGCGGCGTCCTAAGCGGAGGCGGGCACGGTGCAGAGTCCGTCTGCGCAGCCCAGCTGAGGCGAAGAGGTGTGGCTCATCGCTTGGCGTTGTGCGCTGGCAGAGAGGCTCTCGCCGCACGGCGCAGACGGCGGGCGGAGTTTGTGCGCGGTGCTCGGCGCTGCGGTCCGCGCGGCTCCGTGCCCCGTGGCGCTCCCGGCACCCCACACAGCCGTGATGAGCTGCAGCAACATGCGCCAGCCGCTGGGGGCAGCACGAGCACGAGGTGGCCCCCTCTGGCTGCCAGACAGCCCTTTGCTGGCGCTTCAACGCCCTCCAGAAGTCCAGGTGCAGCCTCGAAGACCGGCCAGGGGCGTGGGACTGGGGCAGACTCGGCGCGCGTCGGCGTCGCGCGGCGCCTAGAACCTCTGCGTTGCCCCTCTGTTATCGCCAGCGTGATGAAGGGAGCACTTGAACGTGCCAGCGAGATGGTCGTCTGCTGCGGAGAGGGCCAGCGACGAGGCGGCCTGCTGGACGGCACGCTGCCGAGCGGGGCCGGCGCGCAGTGCGTGCCGCGCGAGATCAAGGCAGGGCCAGGGGCAGCGCGGCGCGTGGGCGCAGCGCAGCACGTCAGCCCCTCGGGCTCGTCAGGCACGAGCGCTGTCTTGTGTGGCGCGCGCGGCGTGCTGTGCCGCGGCAACTCTCCGCCCGCCGCGCGTGTAGCTTTTTGGCTGGCGCTGCCTGCACCTCCACTGCCGCCTGACTTGGAGGCGGCTCGAGCAGGGCAAGCGATGTGCGAGGTGAGGTGCTGCGGCTGCCGGCTGTGCGGGAGCTGCGCCGTGTCTCTTGGGACCTCGCCTTGCTGCAGCTTGGCCGCTGCTGGCGCCGTGCGAGGCGAGCACGGCGGGCCGGCCCCTGACGCACGCCGCTGGCTATCTGGCGCCGCGCCTGGGCGCCGGCCTGCCTTCTCTCCACCTCCTCGCCCCGCGACCCACACAGCCGGCGGGCTACTTAAGGCTGTCGCTGTCTGCGCCACTCCTCTCTGCCCGACACCACACCACCACCCACCACTCTCTCCCTCACCATGCCGAGCGCACCCTCCAACGGTGCCTCCAGCAGCAGCGCCGGCCTCGCCAGCATGGCACCCGTCAAGGCCGCGCTGCTCAGCGTGCCCGGCACCGGCACACACACGCCGCGCGCCGCCACGCCCGACCACATCCTCAAGAACACGACGGGCTACACCGACACCGTCTTTGAGGGCAAGACGGAGCAGGCGGCCGCCGTGCAGACGCTGCTCAAGGGCAAGGGCTTCATCCCGCCGGACCTCGTCGACGCCGAGGTGCAGTGGTTCTACCTGTGAGTGGTGTGTGGGTGGTGCGAGAGATGCTCGGCGCTCGGGCCTGGCGCGCTGGCGAGAGGGGCGAGCGCGGCGCATGCACCTCGCCGCGCTCCTCTCGCTGCACCTCGCCGCGGCGCTGCTCTCGCTGCACCGTGCACCGCTCTGCTCCCACGCACGCGCAACAAGCTCACGCTGCTCTTTCCAGCAACCTGGGCATCGATGACACCTACTTTGCGCTCGAGTCCGTCGAGACGATCGCCGACCACATCATGGCGCTCTTTGGCGCCAAGATCCTGGCGTACACGAAGCACTCGAGCAGCCTCGACATCGACCTCGAGCACACGACGGACAACGGCGCCGTCTTTATTCACTCGAGCAAGGCCGGCGAGAGCCAGACGGGCGGGCCGCAGTGGGAGCGCCGGTGAGTGGGCCGCAGAGAGACGCATGAGCTGCGCTGACACGCGCCGCAGCATGGACGAGAACTACCTCGACAAGTCGTCCGTCAGCAAGGCGTACCGCCTCGAGACGTACCGCAGCGCCGGCAGCGTGTCCGCTCTCTCCAAGCAGCAGCTGCGCTGCTACTTCCTGGCCAAGTGCAACTTCGTGCAGCCGATTCCCGAGGCGGGCACGCCCGAGTACTCGGACGTGACGCGCGTCGGCGACAAGACGTTCCTCTCCAAGGCCAGCTCGAACACGCTCGAGATCTACCAGGCCGTCATGGACGAGGTGCTGCGCCGCCACGGCCCCGTCATTGGTGCGTGTCCCGCTCCCACAGCCCTGCGCGCCCTGCTGACGCTCATCCACAGAGATGTACGAGGTCGAGGGCAGCCGCGAGCGCCGCGTCGTCATCGGCTACCGCATGGGCACGACGCGCAGCTACTTCAGCGCGCTCTCAGACCTCTACCACTTCTACGGCCTCTTCTCGTCGCGCAAGTACGTCGAGCAGTTCAGCAACGGCGTCACCGTCATTACGCTGTACCTCAACCCGATGCCCGCGTCCAAGAGCCCGCCGATTGAGCTCTCGATCCACCAGGTGCGCGCGCTGCCTTGCGTGTCTTGCCCGCTGCTCACGTCCCTTTGCGCGCGCAGATCATCAAGGAGGCGTCGCTCATCTTTGTGCTGCCCGACAACCCCTTCTTCCAGCCCGGCGCGGGAGACCACGCCGTGCAAGAAGCCGCGTACGCCTACTGCGGCTGGCTCTTTGCGCAGCACTTGTGAGTGCGGCTCTCTGCGCGCGTTTGCGACATCCCTGACGCTTTGCACGCGCAGCTGCAACCGCCTCGGCCAGGCCTACCAGGCGCTGCGGAATGTGCTCGACGAGGCAGACCCGGCGCACGCGTCGATCCTGAACGACATCAAGCTGCGCTTCCGCGAGGAGACGTTCACGCGGCAATCGATCCAGGAGGTGAGCATGCGCAGTATCCGCCGCACGTCACGCAAAGCTAATCCTGCCCCAGGTGATGCTCGCGCACCCCGACCTCGTGCGCCTGCTCTACGTGCACTTTGCCAACACGCACTACCCCGGCGGCGCCGACGACCACGAGCTCGTGCCGACGCTCAGCTACCAGCGCCTCGTCAAGGAGGAGGTGCTCGACGACGAGGCCATGTGGGCGCGCATCCGCAAGGCGGCCGCCAACCCGCACGAGCTGCAGGTGCTGCAGGCGCTGCTGTTCTTCAACAAGGCTGTGCTCAAGACCAAGTGAGTTGCCGCGCGTGACTGCGCTCTGTCTTGTACTAACGCGCGCGCAGCTTCTACACGCCGACCAAGGTCGCGCTCAGCTTCCGCCTCGACCCGGGCTTCCTGCCCGAGGCTGAGTACCCGATCAAGCCGTACGGCATCTTCTTCGTCGTCGGCGCCGAGTTCCGCGGCTTCCATGTGCGCTTCAGCGACGTGGCGCGCGGCGGCATCCGCATCGTGCGCAGCCGCAACCGCGAGAACTACTCGATCAACCAGCGCACGCTCTTCGACGAGAACTACGCGCTGGCGAGCACGCAGCACCTGAAGAACAAGGACATTCCCGAGGGCGGCAGCAAGGGCACGATCCTGCCGACGCTCGACGCCGACCCGCTGCTGGCGTTTGAGAAGTACATCGACGCGCTGCTCGACCTGCTGCTCGTCGGTCAGACGCCGGGCGTCAAGGAGGAGCTCGTCGACCGCCTGGGCCGCGAGGAGATCCTCTTCCTCGGCCCCGACGAGGGCACGGCGGGCTACATGGACTGGTGCGCCAACCACGCACGCGAGCGCGGCGCGCCCTGGTGGAAGTCGTTCACGACGGGCAAGACGGCGGCGACGCTCGGCGGCGTGCCGCACGACACGTACGGCATGACGAGTCTCTCGGTGCGGCAGTACGAGGTGGGCATCCTGCGCAAGCTCGGCCTCAAGGAGGAGCACGTCACCAAGGTGCAGACGGGCGGCCCCGACGGCGACCTGGGCAGCAACGAGATTCTGCTCTCGAGTGCCGCGTGCGTGACGATCATCGACGGCGCGGGCGTGGTGCACGACCCCAAGGGCATCAACCGCGCCGAGCTCGTCCGCCTCGCCAAGGCGCGCCAGATGATCTCGCACTTTGACGTGTCGAAGCTGTCGCCGCAGGGCTACCGCATCCTCGTCGAGGAGAACGACGTGCGCCTGCCGTCGGGCGAGGTCATCACCGACGGCATGTCGTTCCGCAACAGCGCGCACCTGCGCTTCAAGGCCGACATGCTCGTGCCGTGCGGCGGGCGCCCCGAGTCGATCAACATCTCCAACGTCAAGGGCCTCTTCGACGCCGACGGCAAGCCGCTGTTCAAGTACGTCGTCGAGGGCGCCAACCTGTTCATCACGCGCCAGGCGCGCCTCGAGCTCGAGCGCCGCGGCGTCATCCTCTACCCCGACGCGAGCGCCAACAAGGGCGGCGTGACGAGCAGCTCGCTCGAGGTGCTGGCGGGCCTCTCGCTCTCCGACGACGAGTACCGGCAGTGCATGATGTTCACCGACGGCAAGCCGAGCGACTTCTACCGCAGCTACGTCGCCGACATTCAGCGCGTCGTCATCGACAATGCCGAGAAGGAGTTCGAGGCCATCTGGCGCGAGAGCGAGAAGACGGGCAAGCCGCGCAGCACGCTCTCCTCGGAGCTCTCGGCGGCCATCAACGCCCTCTCCGAGGAGCTGGCGGCGACGGACCTGTACGACAATGCGCGCATCCGCGCCGCCGTGCTCTCGCGCGTCTTCCCGCGCACGCTGCTCGAGAAGGTCGGCCTCGACGAGCTGTGCCGCCGCGTGCCCGAGCCGTACCTCAAGGCCGCGTTTGCCGCGTCGACGGCGGCCGACTTCGTCTACAAGTACGGCCCCACCGCCACGGCCGTCTCGTTCTACAAGCACATCAGCGGCCTCACGGAGGGCTCGCGCTAGACGTTCCCACGCGGCCCGCGCCGGGGCTGGCCGCACATGTTGACTCCACGGTGTCTGTCGACGCCCTGCTACCTACCCTATCTACTAGAGACGTGTCACGAGAAGCGAAAATTGAATGGCTGACCAGAGCGAAGCGTGTGAGAGAGAAAGAGAAGGAGAGAGAGCGAGAGAGCGAGAGACCCGCGGGAAAGGGCAAGCGCGGAAAATCGCCAGGGGGCGCAAGCGCGCCTTGCAGAGCGCAACGGCGGCCAGACTCCTGCTGCTGCGCCCGATCTTGGGCGCGGGGCCAATTCCGAGGCAAGACCGAAGGCGCCCGCTGATGAGGGCAGGGCGAGGTCGCCCATGCTCCTCCTCGTCGTCGTCGTATGCGAGGCTGCATCCTGAGATGAGGGCGCCTTCATCGACCAGGAAGCGGCGCCAGCGCAGCTCGTGGTGCGAAGGAGGACATGCGATGGCGGCAAGGGCTGGCGGCGGCCCCGCTCGACACGCGGTCGGCGGGCCCGGATCCGCGCTCCGGCGCTAGGTGCTTCTCCAGCCGCCGCAACGCCCTATCAGCGTGCACGCAGCGATGCAGCACGCAGCGCCTAAAAGCTGCGAGAGCCAGCCGCAGCGTGGAAAGCAGCGGTCAGGAGGAGACGTGCTCGACAGGCGCAGCGAGGCGAGCTGCAGCGGGCGGCTTCTCGGGTGCGGCGGCGCATGCCTGCCCGCCCGCGCTTTGCTGCCGTGGGCCGGCGCTGCGCCTCCTCGCGGCCTGCCTTTGCCCCGCCGCGGGTGCTGCGTGCTGAGGCGGGTGCGCGTGTGTTGCCTGCGTGCTGCCAAGGCGCGGAGCGAGCCCTCGCCGGCGCTTCCTCCTCTCCGCACCCATCCGCTACCCTCTCGCCTGCGCACCACCACCACCTCTCCCAGCTGCTCGCTGCTCCCGCCGGCGCAGCGCCTGTGCCATGTCCTCGCCGCCGCGCGGTGCAGCCGCCTCTGCCTCTGCCGCGCCCGCTGCGCAGCTTGCCACACCGCCGCGCAGCCGCAGGGCCCGCGAGCCCTCGGCCTCGTCGAGTGGCTCCAATAACGCCCCTAGCATGCCGGCCTCGCCCGCCGCCTTTGCCGACGCGCGCAGCAGCGCCAGCCACGGCGTCCTGCCCGTCGCGCCGTCGCGCTCGTCGCGCATCGGCGCCTGGAGCGCCTCCAGCCACGACGACGACGGCCGCTCCGTGCACACGGCCTACACCGGCCCGCCCTCGCCCTCTGCCGCGCGCCTCTCCGACGCTGCACCGCTGACCAGCGAGGTGACGCTTGGCTCAGCCGCACCAGACACGCCTACTCGGCACGCTCACGCGCGCCACGCTGACTCGTCGCCGTCGCGAGCACGCGGCGTCGGCAACGCGCTCCTCGGCGCCGTCACGGGCGAGGTCATGATGGGCGGCACCGGGCTCCTCTCGCAGCCGCAGGGCTCGCACGGCGGCATCGAGGCCGCCGAGGCCGATGCGCAGTACGCAGCGACGCAGCGCGGCATTGAGCATGCGCACCAGCTCGAGCACAGCAGCCCCACGGCGCGCAGCCGCGACTCGCAGGCCGGCAGCACGAGCGACGAGGACCGCTCGCGCGGCGACCACGCCACGCCCGGCGAGAAGGGCTCGCCCGTCGACCCCGGCCTGGCGCCGCTGGACAAGCAGGTCGCGCTGCAGATGCACGGCTCGTCCGACTCGCTCTCGCGCCGCTCGCACGACGAGCCGCTGCAGTACAAGGCGACGGTGCGCGATCTCTTCCGCTACGCGACCAAGTGGGATCTCTTCTGGAACGCCATCGGCATTCTGGCGGCGTGTGCGGCGGGTGCGGCGCAGCCGCTGATGACCATCGGTGAGCAGACGGCGGGCAGGCTATGGTGTGGCGTGCCGTGCTGACCCCCGCGCAGTGTTCGGCAACCTCACTACCTCCTTCCTCGACTACACCAACTCTGCCGCCGACCCGAGCGCGTCGCCCGAGGCGGTGCTGGCCGCACGCGCGGAGCTGCAGCGCAACGTCAACATGGACGCACTGCTGCTGCTCTACATTGGCATCGCCATGTTTGGCGCCACGTACATCTACATGGCGTCGTGGATGTACACGGGCGAGTCGATCACGCGGCGCATCCGCGAGAACTACCTCGCCGCCGTGCTGCGCCAGGAGGTGGCGTACTTCGACCTCGTCGGCGCGGGCGAGATCACGAGCCGCATCCAGTCCGACATCCAGCTCATCCAGGAGGGCATCTCGGACAAGGTGCCCATGTCGTTCATGTTCCTCGCCACCTTCGTCACCGGCTTCGTCGTCGCCTTTGCCAAGTCGCCCGCCCTCGCCGGCGTCATGTCGTCGATTGTGCCGTGCATCATCGCGGCGGGCGCGCTCATGAACGTGCTCGCGACGAAGCACCAGCAGGCCGAGCTCGCGCACGTGGGCTCGGGCGCCTCCGTCGCCGAGGAGGCGCTCAGTGCCGTGCGCACGGCCAAGGCGTTCGGCATCGAGGCGCGCCTCGTCGAGCTGTACGACACGTTCAACCACGCCACGGTGCGCACCGGCCGCGCCAAGGCCATCATCAACGGCGCCGGCATGGGCGTCTTCTTCTTTGTCATCTACTCGTCGTACGCGCTCGCCTTCTGGTACGGCTCGAAGCTCATCGCCAGCGGCAACATCCCCACGGGCACCGTGATGAACGTCGTCTTCTCCATCCTGATGGGCTCCTTCTCGATGGCAATGCTGGCGCCCAACGCGCAGGCGTGGGCCTACGGCCTGTCTGCCTCGAGCAAGGTCTTCGAGACGATCGACCGCACGCCCGACATCGACTCGTCCAGCGAGGAGGGCGCCCGTCCGGCGCGCTGCGAGGGCGAGATTGAGATCCTCAACGTGGCTTTCCGCTACCCGGCGCGCCTCGACGTGCCCATCCTCGAGAACTTCTCCGTGCACGTGCCCAAGGGCAAGGTTACTGCGCTCGTCGGCGCGTCCGGCAGCGGCAAGAGTACCATCGTGTCGCTCGTGGAGCGCTTCTACGACCCCGACGCCGGCGCCGTGTTCCTCGACGGCCGCGACATCCGCGACCTCAACCTGCGCTGGCTGCGCACGCAGATCGGCCTCGTGTCGCAGGAGCCGACGCTCTTCGCCACGACGATCCGCGAGAACATCGAGTACGGCCTGCTCAACACGGCGTGGGAGAAGGCCGACAAGGAGAAGCGGGCCGCGCTCGTGCTGGACGCGGCCAAGCAGGCCAATGCGCACGCGTTCATCGAGGCGCTGCCCGAGGGCTACGAGACACTCGTCGGCGAGCGCGGCTTCCTTCTGTCTGGCGGTCAGAAGCAGCGCATCGCGATCGCGCGCGCCATCGTCAAGAACCCTGCCATTCTTCTGCTCGACGAGGCCACGAGCGCTCTCGACACGCAGAGCGAGCACATCGTGCAGGATGCCCTCGACAAGGCCTCGCGCGGCCGCACGACGATCACGATCGCACACCGCCTGTCGACGATCAAGAACGCCGACAACATCGTCGTGATGGGCAAGGGCACCATTCTCGAGACGGGCACGCACGATGCGCTGCTTGCGCAGCGCGGCGCGTACGCGGCGCTGGTGTCCGCACAGGCCATCCGTGCCAACACGACGTCGACCGAGGCCATCTTCGACGACAAGGCCGAGCTCGAAGACCTGCGGCGCCGCACTGCCGAAGGGCTCGAGCGCACCAAGTCGCGCCAGAGCTTCAACTCGATCACCAGCCAGCTCATGCGCCGCAAGAAGGAGGAGCGCGACGCCGTCAAGGCGCCGCGCCACGGCCTGCTGTACCTGCTCTACCGCCTGGCCAAGATCAATAAGGGCCACATCTGGTCGCTGTACGGCGTCGGCTTCGTCGGTTCGTTCCTCTCCGGCGCCGTGTACCCGCTCTTTGCCCTTCTCTTCGGTGAGCTGCGTCGAGACGCGTGCTCTGCCATGGCTCACATTCCCCACAGGTCGTGCTCTGCAGAACTTCTCGCTGTGCAGCAACCTGCCGCCGGGGCAGGGCTGCCCGGAGCCCGTGCGCACTGAGATGCGCTCACAGGCCGACCTCAACGCGCTGTACTTCTTCATCATCTCGATCGGCTCGACGTTCGCCATCGCCGCGCAGAACCACAACCTCATGCTGGCCAGCACGTACCTGATGGAGCGCGTGCGCCGCCTCTCGCTGCTGGCGTACCTGCGGGCCGACGTGGCCTACTTCGACGAGGACACGCACTCGTCGGGCGCGCTCACTTCGGCCATCTCGGAGAACGCGCAGAAGATCAATGGCCTGGTTGGCGTGACGATGGGCACGATCCTGCAGTCGTTCGCGACGCTCATCGTCGGCTACATCATCGGTCTTGCGTACGGCTGGAAGCTGGCGCTCGTCTGCATCTCCGTCACCCCGCTGACGCTCTCGGCCGGCTTCGTGCGCCTCAAGCTCGTCATTCTCAAGGACAGCAAGATCTCGGCTGCGCACCAGGCGGCTGCGCAGCGCGCGTGTGAGGCGTCGGGCGCGATCCGCACCGTCGCCTCGCTCACCGGCGAGACGCACTTCCACGCCGTGTACCGCGACGAGCTCAAGGGCCCGGCGCGCATCACGCACCGCGCGGCCTTCTACTCGACGATCCTGTACGCCATCTCGCAGGCACTCGCGTTTGGTGTCATTGCGCTTGCCTTCTGGTACGGCAGCGGCCTGCTTCTCGACGGCGAGATCACGTCTGGCCACTTCTTCACCGTCCTCACGGCCGTCATCTTTGGCAGCATTCAGGCGGGCAACGTATTCAACTTTGTGCCCGACATCTCGAACGCGCGCGGCGCCGCTGATGCCACGATCCGGCTGCTCGACATGCGCCCCGAGATCGACTCGGAGAGCACGGGCGGCACGGTGCTCGAGCACTGCGAGGGACACGTGCAGTTCGAGAAGGTGCACTTCCGCTACCCGACTCGGCCCGGCGTTCGCGTGCTCGGCGGCCTGCAGATGGAGATCAAGCCGGGCTCGTACTGCGCGCTCGTCGGCGGCAGCGGCTGCGGCAAGTCGACGACGATCCAGCTCATCGAGCGCTTCTACGACCCGATCCAGGGCCGCATCCTCATCGACGGGCACGACATCACCGAGCTGAACCTCAAGTCGCTGCGGCGCCACATTGCGCTTGTGTCGCAGGAGCCCACGCGTGAGTGCCTTGTGGCTCGTTGCCTGCTTCGTTGCTGACACCCGCCCAGTCTACGACGGGACGATCGCGTACAACATCCGCCTCGGCGCCTTTGAAGACGCGGACGACGTCACCGACCAGATGCTGCAGCGCGCCGCGGCCAATGCCAATATCCTCTCCTTCATCGAGTCGCTGCCGAACGGCTGGGACACGGAGGTTGGGGGCAAGGGCACGCAGCTGAGGTGAGCGTTGCTGGAGCGTACTTTGGAAGCTGCATGCTGACACCGTGTTCCGCAGCGGCGGACAGAAGCAGCGCATTGCCATTGCGCGGGCACTCATCCGTGACCCCAAGGTGCGTCTCCCTCCAATACCTGCATGCTCGACATCGCTTACCTTGCTTGCTGCAGATCCTGCTTCTCGACGAGGCGACTTCTGCGCTCGACTCTGAGTCCGAAGCAGTGGTGCAGGAGGCTCTGGACAAGGCCGCGCGTGGGCGCACAACAATTGCGGTGAGTGAGCCGAGACCTTGCTGCATTCCTCCCTCTGATCGCAACCACGCAGATCGCGCACCGCCTCTCGACGATCTCGCGCGCCGACCGCATCTTCGTGCTCAAGGACGGCGCCGTCGCCGAGATGGGCCAGCACTCGACGCTGATGCAGCTTGGCGGCATCTACGCCGACCTCGTCTCGCTGCAAGCGCTCCAGAAGGAGGAGTGATCGCTCCGCTGTCGGCATCTATATGGGCTCCCAGTCACCGTGTCATACCTCTCTCAGCGACCAGCCTTGCGCGTGCGCAGGCGTTCTGGACCCGCTCGTCTCGCTGCTCATCTACCCCGTACATTCTTCCCGGCGCGTACACCATTGCATCTCTAGTCTCCGCACCTTCTCTCGCATGCGCGCCTCAGACCAATCGACACATTCAGTGGCAGCAGCGTGTGACATTGCGAGATCAGGCACCGGCGCGCTTCTGCTTCTTCGCTCTTGCGCGTCCAATCTGCGCGCCGATGTGGCTGGCGCCGTCGCGCTTCGCCTTGTGCTCCTCGACGGTCTGCGAGGCCTTCGCCTTGGCCTTGACCTCCTCGACGGGCGCGCCCTTGCGCGCCTTCTGGTTCCAGTTGGCATGCTTCTTGTTGCGCGGCTCGTCGGCTGCAGCTGCCTCGCGCTTCGCCTCGCGCTTGGCATCGCGACGCGCCTCCTCGCGAGTGGGCCGTGGGGCAGGCTTGCCGCCAGCTGCAACAGTTGCTGCGTCCTCGGCAGCGTGGCGCTGAAAGATGTGTCAGCTAAGGAGTCAAAGGAAGAAGGCAGCGAAGCACTCACCGAGCGGACTGCGGCGCCGGCGCGCTGAGCCGTCGTGCGCTCGCGACGCTTCTTCATCACGACGCTGTTCTCGATGGAGAACTCGACTGAGGCAGAGTGTTAGTGGCAGCGCAATGTGCTAGGCGTGACCACCACTCACTCTGCAGCAGACCACCACGCTCCGCCTTCTCGACCTGCTTGCCAGACTGCAGCTCCTCGATGCGCTTGGCTAGCCGCTTGAGGCGGGCGTCCGTCTCGACGCGCTCTTTGCCCTCCTGCTTCTCGCGCGCGACCTTGAGGCGCTTCACGAGCGCTTCGAGCTCCTCGAGCCACCACTCCTGCATGAGCTTGCCGACGTCGGGCCGCGCGTTGGCCCAGCGGATGACCTTGAGCGCGTCAATGAAGCTGCGCATCTCGAGGAAGCCGTAGCCGCGCGAGCGGCCGTTGCCAGTGAGCGGGTCGAGACGGTCCTGCTGCCGCACGACCTTGGACTGCACCACGGCCGTCTGGCGCTCGGTGCGCTTCTGCTTCGGCAGGCCGTCCTCGCCCGTGAGCGCGGCACTCATTGTGCGGTCGCCCTTCTCCTCGGCACTGAGGTCTGTCCGCTCGCCTGCACGCGCCTCGAGTCCGAAGTGTCGCACCGCATAGATGGCCAGGCGCTTGAGGATGCGGTCGGTAGCGAAGAGCGGCAGCTGCCGAACACTGAGACGCGTCTTGCTGATGAAGAGGCTCGGGTTGGCGCCCAGCTGCGACTTGCGCACGCCGAAGCTCGCCAGGCGCTTCTCCTTCTCCGACTCGCTCATGTCGCGCGCCAGCGGGCTGTTGGGGAACGGCACGCCCTCGCGCATGAGGTGCGTGTTGCGCTTGTCGCCCTTCTCGCGCGCGGCGCGGGCGGCTGCCTCGAGCGAGCCGGCCTGCTCGCGCGCCACGGCCGGCGTGACGGAGAGCACGCGGCCGTGCAGCGTCAGCGAGGCAGTCAGCGGCGCCGAGGCGTCGGCCGTGAGGATCGAGGGCAGGGTGAACGGGTTCTTGGCGCCAGCTGCGGCCGGAGCGGCCGGCTTGCCGCGTGCACCCGGGCCAGCCTCGCTCTCGACAAGCCGCGCTTGCCGCAGCGCTGCGTCTGCGGACTCGACCTGCCAGAAGCAGACGAAGCCGGTACCGCGGCTGCGCTGCGTCGCCTTGTCCATGGTGATCTTGGCGTAGCGCAGCGGGCCGAAGGAGCGGAAGAGGTCGCGCAGCTCTGGCTCTGTGGCCTGGTACGGCAGATTGCGGATGAAGAGCGTCGTGCCCTCTTCCGGCGCAGGCAGGGCCGGCTTGACGGGCGCCTCCATCTCCTCATCGTCTTCATTCTCCTCATCGTCCGTCTCGTCCTCTGCACCGTCGTGCATGAGCTCGTCGACGGCCTCGGGATCGAGATCGCTGCCAGCGTCCGCGCTGCTGTCATCGTCGCTCTCGTCCTCCTTGCCCGTCTCGGCGTCGGTGTCGGCATCCGTCTCCTCCGCGCGCTGCTCCCAGTCCTTCTTGCTCAGCGCCCAGTCAACAGCGACCTGACGCTCTGGTTGTGCGCCCTCCATGGCCTGCGCCAGGGCCAGCTTGGCCGCATCGCGGCCCTTCTTGCCCTTGGCGCTCTTGACCGCAGCGCGCTCGGCTGTGCCGTGCCGGATGGGCGTGCCGTTGATGGCGTTGAGAGCGCGCTCGGCATCGCCGCGCGACACCATCCACACGAAGGCAAAGCCGCGACCGCGCGTGGCTCCTGTGCTCCGGGTAGGTGCTGCGACCGGCGCGGGGTGCGGCTTGGCCACCTCCTCCTCCTCATCAGAGCTCTCTCCGGCGCTCGAGTCCTCCGCGGCAGCAGCAGCGGTAGACGCCTCTGCTGCATCTTCTGCGGAGCTCTCGTCCTCGCTCGCACTGTCCTCGGCGCGCTTCTGCGCGCGGATCTGCGAGCGCGTTGGTGGCGCTGCCTTTTGCGGCACGTCGATGCTGTGAATGGGACCAAAGGGCAGGAAGACGGCGCGCAGGTCTCCGGGCGTGATCTGAGCAGCAGAGAGTCAGCAGTCGCGCCGAGCATGCGCGGGACTGGGGACTCACGTCGAACGGCAGGTTGCGCAGGATCAGCCGGCTGACCTGATTCACGCCGCCCTTGACCTCGGTGAAGGTCAGCGCGCGGCCGGCCGCCTTGGCCTCGGCCTCGGCGACAGCGCGTGCCTTTGCCTGCGCTGCCTCGAGCTTCTCGCGCTTCTCGGGCCGCATACGCGCCTCGAGGCGGGCGGCACCGTCTGCGCGCTTCTTGAGCACGGCACTGAGCATGGCGCCCTTGAAGATGTGGGCGTGCAGCTTGTCGACGGCCGTGGCGGCGTGGTTGGGCGTCCGGAAGACGACATGGGCAATGTCGGGCGACGGCTTGGCGTTGCCTGACATGTTGGACGGGTCGTGCGCCGGGTGCACGACGCGCTCAACGTCGCCGATCTTGCGGCAGCGCTTGTAGATCGTCTTGTCGTTGGCTGCCGGCGTGCAGGCGGCGAGGCCGGAGAGGATGAGGGTGCGCACGGCGTCGGGGTCCTTGGACGGCCCGGCGCTGCTGTGCGTGCCTGCGCTGGCGGGCGCTGCGAGGCGCGGACGCTTGGCCGGCGCAGCGGCGGTGCCGTCGGCAGCGTCGGCCTTCTTGCCCTTGCGCTCCTTGAGGCTCGGCTTCTCGTCGGCCCAGCTGAGGGCCATCTTGCGGCTGCCGCCGTCGAGGCTTTTGCCCTGCATCTCACGCAGCGCACGCGCCGCATCATCGGGCGCGGCAAAGGTGACGTAGCCGACGCCCTTGGACGCCTTGGTAGCAGGGTCAGTGACGACGAAGGCGCGCTTGAGCGGGCCGATGTCTGAGAAGAGCGTCTCGAGGTCGACGGAGGTGGCGGTGAAGGGCAGGCGCGAGACGAAGATGGTCGTCGCCGGCGCAGGCGCCTTGGCTGCGGCACCCGCGGCGCTGGGCCCGGGTGCTGCGCCGTCGTCTGTGGCAGCGTCGAAGTAGCGTTTGGGCGGCATGGCGAGGGGTGTGAGGGTGGAGAGGCAGGCAGCAGCAGGGCCGCACGCCAGAAGAAGCGGCGCGGCGCGGCAGAAGTTCTCGCGCGAGAAGCGCGCAACTTTTTTGGCCGCGGCGGCGGGCCGGCCGAGCACCGCCGAGACCTGGACGCGCGCGCTGGCCCGCTCCCTGGACCTCCTCTCGCTCGCAGGCCATCCCACACCGCACCACCCCCTCGCAGCGCCATGTGTGCAAAGCCCAGCAAGATCGCGCCGGCGCCAGGCGCGCAGCCGCGCGAGCTGCCTGCTGCTGCCAAGGCTGCGGCGGAGCGCGGAGCCAAGCGCGCTGCACAGGCTGCTGCTCCCTCCTCTCGAGCCCAGCAGCCCGCGGCCGGTCCGTCGCGACCAGCAGCAGCGGCAGTCGACGCTCCTGCAAAGGCTGCAGCCTCGACCTCTGAGTCTGGAGATGACTCCGACGCCGATTCCGATGCCTCGTCCTCCTCGACCTCGTCGAGCTCGGCTGCCAGCAGCGGCGGCGGCGACGACATCCTGCAGCGCACCGCCCTCTCGCTCGCCTCGCACCCACTGCCGGCGACCAAGATGCTCTCGCGCACGCTGGCTCGCTTCACGCAGCTGGCGCGCCTCGATCTCAGCGACATGAAGCCGTCGGACGACTCGCCGCGTGGCCTTGTGGACCTCGAGTGGCTCGCTGCCGCGACGGGTGACGCCAAGGCGAAGCGCCGGGCACCGGACGCAGAGCACTTTGGCAAGCGTCTGACGTGGCTCAGCGTGGCGAACAATGAGGGACTTTCGGGAGAAGGCGCGCTGAATGGTGTGGAGACGCTGCGCAACCTCTATGGTGAGTGGGCTCAGACCACGCGTCGCCTGCAGCCGACTCACCCCTGCGGCAGTGCTCAATGCGACGGGCTGTGGGCTGCGACAGCTGCCAGTTGCGCTGCTGCCTCAGTCGCTGCGTGCGCTCATTCTCAACTCGAACGCGCTCACCTCCATCCCGGCGCTGCCGCACTTTCCCGAGCTCAACACGCTCGCGCTCTCGCACAACGGCCTCAAGAGCCTGCCTGCGTCGCTGTGCGCGTCCATGCCGCAGCTCAAGAAGATTTCACTTTCGCAGAACGCTCTCACGTCGGCAGCACTGCCGGACCTCAGTCCGCTCTCGCATCTGCGCGAGGTGCGTCTAGCGGGCAACAAGCTCGGCCGGCTGCCTGCCCACCTGCGCACGTGGGGCAAGGGCGTCGGCTCGGCGGCGCGCGGCACGGGCCTCGAGACGCTCGAGCTGGGCGACTGCGGCCTGGAGCGCTGGGAGGACATTGCGCCGCTGCTGGAGAAGGATGGCGAGGCGGAGCAGGACGGAAAGCGCAGCAAGGGCCTCAAGAACCTGACGCTCAAGGGCAATGGCGTGGCGCTGCTGGAGGGCTACAAGGAGAAGGTGAGTGCTGCTCATCTGTCCCATGCTCTGCGTGGTGTTGACTTCTGCGCTCAGATCATCGCTGCACACCCGTCACTGCTCGTGCTGGATGGCGTCGTCCTGCAGCCACGTGCTCCGAAGCGGCCGCAAGCTATTGCGCCGCAGCAGGCAGCAGCCGAGCGCGATGGCGATGAAGCCGGCCCATCGAGACGCGAGCACGACGGGCCGCGGTCTCGCGAAGATGCTGCCGGCCGCAGGCAAGACCGTGCCGGTCCGCCGCCGCAAGAGGATGGCGGCGAGCGACGCCGGCGCGACAGAGCTGGTCCGCCGCCGTCAGAAGACGACGGTGGTCGCCGTCGGCGAGACCGTGCTGGCCCGCCGCCGGAAGAAGATGGCCAAGAGCGCAGACGGGATCGCGCCGGCCCAGCGCCAGGCTCGTCGGGAGCTCACGAGCGGCCGCGCAAGGGCGACAAGCGGCAAGACAGTGGCACGGCCAATGCACGGTCGAAGCGCACAACAGACGCTGCAGCAGCTGACGAGGAGCGCAGCAAGCCGCACAAGCGCGGCGGCCGCGGGAAGAAGCACCATGTTGATGAGCCAGCAGCGAAGCCTGCGCCCGCGCCGGCACCTGCACCTTTGCCTCCGCCCGTGGAGGGCGTCTTCGAGGACGACGAGAAGCGCAGCAGCAAGAAGCGCGCCAAGCGTGGCCGGAAGGAGGCCGAGGAAGCAGAGGCGCTGCAAGATGGCGAGGATGCTGCAGAGCAGACGCCGCGCAAGAAGCGCAAGGAAGACAAGCCCAAGAAGCCCAAGGTCACGGCGCCTGCATGGGATGCCGACTCGCCGCTCGTTGCTACGCCAGCGCCCGTGCCCGAGCCAGAGCCCGAGGCGCCAAAGACGTCTGTCGCCGCCGTTATCGAGGTGCGCAAGAAGGGCGGCAAGAAGGGCCTGCCGCCTGCGCCGCAGACGGCCCTGCCGGCCTGGTCTGCCGACGAGCCGTGGGGCGCTGGAGCGGGAGGCGATGCGTGGGGCGCCGGCGAGTCTACTTGGTGAGGCCAGCGCGAGTCAATGCGACACTGCATCATGGTGACAAATGTGTGATTACGAGCTATGTGTGGATGTGAGCCGCTGCGAGCACCAATGAGTGGGCGAGCTCTCAATGTAAGGTGTATGAAAGGAAGAAGTCTAGTTGGCGGCCTTGATGAGCTCGGCGCCACGCTCGGCAATGCCGTAGAGGACGCTGCTGAGATGGGTCGACTGTTGCATCGGCAACACCGAGGCGTCGATGACGCGCACGTTGGAAGTGCTGTAGACGCGCAGCTGCTCATCGACGACGCCGCCGTCTTCGCGAGGCATCATCGCGGCGGTTCCGATGGGGTGAGCAACAGAAGAGAACCCGTCGCGCACCCAGTCCTCCCAGCGGCTGTAGCGCCCGTGATTGCTGCCGTCGGGGATGGTGTCGAAGCCGGGAATCTGCTCGTCGACGCCCATTGCCTGCAGCACGCGGCGTGCGGCGCGCAGGCCGGCGACCTGGACGTCCATGTCGAAGGGAATGGTGAAGTAGCGCGGGTCGAGCTCGGGGTCGGCAAACGGCGACGCAGAGGTGCTGTGCACGGAGCCTCTCGAAAACGGCAGCAGCGCCCAGCTGTCGATTCCGAAAGGTGCTGGGTAGCCGACTTTGACGAGATGTCAGCAGGGGCTGCGAGGCAAGACACGCTGGCTGGAGCACTCACTGTCGCTGAACAGCTCAAAGACGCCCCAACCGCCATCGAAGATGCCTTTGACCTGCTTCTGGTACTGCTTGAGCAGGCCCGCCTTGCTGCTGTGCGCCCCGGCGTCAACGGCCTGCTGCGCCCAGCCGTCCAGCTGGCTCTCGACGGACGAGCGCACATCTGACGCATTGCTGAAGAGACTGCCGATGCCCACGAACGCGATCGTGGCAGAGGGGCCCGAGCCATCGGCATCGCCAGCCGAGCTTCCTCCGACGCTGTCCATCGTCTGCTCAACGAGGTTGCGGCCGACTGCCGGCAAGTCGATCTGCTGCGTCACGCTGGGGAGTCATCAGCTCTTGAGCCCGGAGCATTGCCAAGACGATGCGGCTCACCCAATCTTCGAGAGGACACTCGAGTCTCCCACGCCGCTTGCCTCGAGCAACAGAGGCGTGCGGATGGCGCCGGCTGCCAGCACAACCTCCTTCGTCACGGTGACCGAGAAGGGCTCGGCGTCGGCAGACGACAAGATCGAGACGGACTCCGCGCGCTTCACATCGCCCGAGTCGCTGGCCCAGGCGATGGCTGCGGCGCGGTGGCCCGTGAGCACGACGAGGTTCTCGCGATCGTACTCGATCGGCGAGAGGTAGGCCGTTGCCGAGGAGACGCGCGTCTGGGCATCGCCAGAGTATGGCTTGATGGTGTTCGGGGTCCATGCAACTGCCGGCTGCTCGCCGTTGCCGAGGTCGTTGACGAGCTCGACGCCAAGCGCGCTCGTCACAGCGGCGACAAACTTCTTCGGAGGCTCGCCACGATACATCGTGTCGGGGAAAGAGATGTCGAGAGGACCGTCGACGCCATGAACAGACGAATTCCACGCGGCGCCCGCCGAGGCTTGGCTCGAGTCAGGCGCATGGAATTTCTCGCTCTTCTTCATCGCCTCGAGCACGGAGTCCCAGTTCCAGCCGTCGTTGCCCAGCTCCTGCAGCGCATCGAGCTGGCCCGCCGCGCTGCGGGTAAGTGCGCCGCCGTTGATGCTCGTCGAGCCGCCGAGGCCACGGCCGGCGCTGACCTGCAGCTGGCGTCCGTTCGCCTGAGGCTGCGCCACGGTCTGGTACTTCCAGTTCTTTGAGCTGCCGACGACGTCGGAGTAGCGAGCGACGTTCGTCACATCGGGGTCGTTGCGAATGTCGTCGCCCGCCTCGATGCAGAGCACGCTGGCGCCGTCCTCGGAGAGGCGAGCGGCAGTGACCATGCCGCCGAGACCGCAGCCAACGACGACATAATCAAAAGATCGGCCCTGCAAAGCAGACCCATCGCTGGTGACGCTCGAGGAGGCGCGCTGCCACAGCACGTCAGCCGGCGAGGTGACGGGCAGTGCGAGGGCGGCGAGCGGCGCCAGCGAGGCGAAAAGCACGGCCGTGCGCATGACGGAAGTGCGTGTGTGTTTGAGGATCGCGATGAGCGAGCGGAGTGAGGTCGGTGACGCTTGCTGGCTCTGCTGCCGTGCTGGGCGAGCGAGGCGAAGGTCGGTGAAGCTTGCTTGCTTGAGTGTATCGGTGGGCGAGCGGAGCGAAGAGAAGCGAGGCTTGCTTGCTGGGGGGTCGTGAGGGATGAGTGGAGGGATGATCGCAGAGGGCTGCCTTTGTATGCGCGGCCTCAGGGGCCGGTGCGTGATCCCGCCGTCGGTCGGGCTCACGGACTTTGCCGTGCGACAGGGCGGACGACGGACCGCCGACGGCCGAGGAACGGCAGTCAAAGTGTTAGTGCAGGCACGAGAGACGTCAGGGCCGGCATTGGTGCGCCGCGCGCCGCGAGGGATGCTCGCACCGCCGCTGCCAGAGCTTCGAGCGGCGGAGCACAGCACCGGTCAGCACATGGGCGCAGCTCGCCCCGACGCTGTAGCACCGCGCAGCATGAGCCTCGCTACGGGCGCAGCGCCGGCCGATGTCTGACGGGCGGATGCTGGTGCCGCGGCTCGTCCAGGGGGCGGAGCGATGCTGCTGTGCTGCGCCGGGTGATCTGACGCTGGCTGTGCGCTAGACACGGAGATCCGCGCGCGCTCACGCGGCGCGTAAATGAGCCAGGCACCGCCGCGCGCAGCTCACGTCGCCCGCCGCGGCTCACCGCACGCTTATGCCGCACCACGCATGACGACGTCCCGGCCTCCCCCCGCTGTGCAGAACACTCGCCAAATGTCTCCGGCTCAGTGAGCACAAATAAGAGGTGTCCACGAGGTGCGGCGATTTGCGTACGCCTCGCGTCGGCGCCTTCGCCGACGCCTGCGGACCAACGCGGCGCTCGGCACCGAGATGCGACGCGTGCGTGACGTCATCCCCGCTCCCTCGCGGTGTGCATCCGTGGCCTCGAGCTCTCTGCTCACATCCGCGTGCTCCTCCATCGCGAGACAGACATCGTGCAAAATAAGCATGGCATGGTATTCTCAGCGGGCCTGCAGCTCGAGACTGCGTCGCCGCAGCTCGTCGGCCCACTGGTAGGACGGCGGCGGGGCGCGCTTTGGGAGCACCTCTACACGCGCGCAGCCCTCGGCGAGGTGCGTGGCACAGCTCGGCGCCGCTGCACCGCCGTCGGCTTCGGCGGCGGATGCCTCGCCGTCGTGGCCCGGCGGCAGCGCCCACACGTTGACCGGCGGCAGCAGCAGCGAGCCGGCACGCAGCGGCACGAGGGTAAGGCTGAACGTCGCCGGCGGCGGGCGCGTGCCTGCACTGCGGCTGGTGCGCGGCAGGGCAAACGAGTCCTTCTTGGCGCCGCTGGCGACCCAGGACTCGTAGTCGACCTGCACGTCGTACATCAGACGGACCTCCTGCGCCTCGTCAACGCCGGGGCTGACTTCCGGCTGGGCATCGTCGCCGACTGGTGGCTTCTTGGACGCGCTCTCGGGTGTCGATGCGGCCCAGACGAACGATGTCTCGACCGAAAGCGTCGCCGGCACGGGCTGGCCGACGATCAATGGCTGGCCGCCGTCGTGCAGCTTGAGCGAGACGGAGCTGACAATGTCGACCTGCGGAATGTCGACTGGGATCGAGAGCGTGTTCCATTGCTCGAGATCGTCGGCCGCAAAGGGCGTGCATGCTGCCGCTCGCCGCAGCACCTCCTTCACGATGGCGACGGCGGCGTCGGCGTCGGCGCTGCCGGACTCGAGGCCCCAGCGATCGCATGCCCGCCGCCAGATGCCCTCCTCGAACAACCCGACGCGCAGCGCTCCGGTGCTGGCAAACGTCTGCATGTCGAGCGCGATATCGACGAGGCGCAGCAGCGCACGCTCGATGCAGAGCAGGCGGCCGGCCGAGAGCGAGTGAGGGACAGAGCCGTCGGCGACAATGGCTGCCAGCAGCCGCGAGACGAGCTTCTGCGCCTCCTCGTGCATCGAGCGGTAGCGCAAGAGGAGACGCAGCTTTGTCTCTGATGGCGGAGAGGCCGCAGCTGCGTCTGCGCTGCGCTTGATGCAGAAGACGTACGACGCCGGCTGCCGCGCCGAGATGACGATGCGCGGGCGGCTCGAGGGCGAACTGATCTCGAATGCCGGCTTGGAGCTCTCGTCGGCGTGCACAAGCTCGACGGGGCCCATGCGCAGCGTCGACGACGAGCCGGCGCTGATGGAGAACTTGGAAAAGAGGCGCTCGGCGCGGAAGTAGTCCTGGACATTGACGCCGAGCGGCAGCGCCACGCCGAGGTCGACCTGCCGCTGGAAGATGCGGCGCGCCTTTGGCCGCGGCTGCTTCGACCAGTAGCTGATGGACAGCGCCAGCTGCAGCACGCCGCCTGTCGCAGCCGACAGCTCGTAGAGCGGGACTCGCAGGCAGTGCGATGACCGCGCAGGCAGGTCTCGCAGCGTGAGCAGCGAGCCATCCTCGGCGACTTCCAGCTTGATAAAGCCAGTCGCCTGCTGCGCCTCGGCAAGGCCGGCGAGGACGCGCCCACCGAGCCCACTGGCGCGGCTGGGCCCGCTGAGGGCGACGCGGATCTCGGCGCGCAGCACGTCGTTACGGCCAGTGTCGATGTGCAGGTCGGCGTGCCGCTGGTCGTCTATCCGCACCGTGAGCGGCATCTGGATGCGCGCGTCGAAGGCATCGCCGTCCTCGGGCACGCCGATGACGACGGCGCCCGGCACGACGCGCGGCGAGGCGTATTGAAAGATGATGCGCGAAAGGCGGATCTGCGAGACGTCGAGGATGTACTTGCCTGGCGCTGGCGACGCGCACGCCAGGCGGACGTCGTTGAGCCCGGGCTGCAGCGTGGTGCGGCCGCTCGTGAACCACAGCTGGTCGCGGTCGCCGCTGATCAGGCACATGCGCACGTCGTCGACCTCGAGCGGCGCGACGCCAGAGAAGTGCACGCGGCCAGCCAGCGTCGAGCCGTCTTGGTCCTGTGCCTGCAATGCCCACTTGGCCGCAGGCCGCAGGCTTAGCGGCGTGAACTGGCTGATCGGCACCTCCTTGTCGAACGGCACGCTGCGCAGCTCGCTGTACAGCGTCTCCTCGCTGCCCCACCGCACTGATGGGTCGTCGGCCGTAGGCGGCACGGCGTGTGTTGAAGGCGAGCCGCCGGGTCGCCGGCCGTCGGCTAGCCGCTTGATCAGCGCGACGGCATTGTGCACCCATGCACGGTCGCGCGTCTTGCTGAGCTTCTCGTGGCAGGCGAGCTGCTTGGCGAGCAGGTGCGCGTCGAGCGGCACCCGCTCGGCGGTGTGCATCTCGGCGAGCTTGCCGAGCAGCATCAGTGCCGTCTCATAGCGATTCCGGTAGCTGCCAGGGGTAGCAAGAGTTAGCACAGACGCGGCGCAGCTGGCGCACGACGCACAAGTTGAGAGATGCCAGCACCGCCCGCAGCTGAAGCACACTTTCGCGCCGCCCGGCGCTCTCCGAGCAGGCAATGACGCGCTCCGTGAGTGTGACGAAGTGCAAGTCGAAGATCTCGCAGCTCTCGACAGCTTGCTGGAGTTCCTGCCGCGTCATCTTGCCGATGCTCTTCTTGGCCTCTTCTGGCAGCGCCGGCAGGTCGCGCTGCGCCTCGTCTGCAGGCACGGCCGGCAGATCGCGTTCTGTGGCCGGTTGCGAGCGGCTGAACGGCAGCGTGGTGGGCAGGTGGCCCGTGGCCATGCCGATGAGGTCGAGCTGGGCGCGTGCGAGCTCGAGCAGGTCTGCCTTGGCGGCGTGGAACGCGGCACTGAGCTGGCCCTCGATGCTGCGGTCCACGCTGCCATCGGCATCGGTCATGCCCGGCGCGGCAATGTCGCCGCGCTCGATGAGCCACGCCTGGCACTGCTCGACGACGTCGAGCGACGAGGAGAAAATCCACGACTCGATGAAATGCGCCGGCAGCGTCTGTATCAAGGTTAGCCCTGGCTTCTGCAGTGACGGTCTACTAGCTTCGACACTCACATCTCCGCCCCGCAGCATCGCGCCCACGTCGGCAAGAAACGGCGGCGTCTCGTACATGACCTGCGCCACGCGTCCGAGCTTGCCCAGCAGCGCGGCACGGCGCGCGAAGACGTAGCAGCGAAAGTCGAAGAGCGTGATCTCGTTGCGCATGATGAGCTCGGCGTACGGCTTCTTGCGCACGTCGAGCAGCAGCGCCGAGTCGTCGCCGGGCGTCGTGCCGCCGGTGGATGAAAAGAACGTGAGGTTGTGCTCTGCAGCGGGTGTCAGAGAAGTGGGCGAGGCAATCATGCTCGGGTCTGCACGCACCATTCATGCACTGCTGGAACGCCCCATCGATCTCGTCGTACTTGGACAGCGACTCTTTGTACAGTCCGACGCCCTCGAATGTGTTCGCCAGGCATTCCTGCGCTGCGCATCAGCCCCGGCCGCAAGCTACACTCACGCCATGCTCACCATGCCCGTGACCCATTTGCACAAGCTCCAGCCCGGCAGCTCCTTGTTGCGCCACTCGCGCCGCGTTTCCTCCTCCTGCAGCGCCACGAGGCCATCGAAGGTGGCGCCGGCGCACTCCTTGAGCCGCATCAGCAGGTCGGCGAACAGCGTTGGGTCGGCGCTGTGTGCTGCGCCAGCCGATGCGCCGCCAGCCGGCAGCGATGGCATGCGCGTGAGATGCACGATGCTGCGAAGCGCGCTCAGCAAGCAATGCTTGACCTCATGCGTGCTGCACTCACCGTTCCCGCTTGCCTGAGTTGAAGTCGGCCTTCATCTTGTCGATGACGCTGCCCTTGGCCGCCGCGCCGCCGAACACCCGACCAAGACCCGTCTTGGCCTTCTCGTCCGCCGGACTTGGACTAGGCCCTCGCGAGGCGGCTGCTGGCGGCACGCCGAGGGCTGCCGCGGCGCTCTGGTCCTGCGGCGAGAGCAGCACGATGAGGTACTCGGGGCCGGCCGAGGGGCGCTCTTCGTCGGGCTGCGAGGCGCCGCCTGGTGATTCGGCAGCAGCAGGCCCGCTCGACGAGCGCGGCGTCCCGGGCCGAGAAGACGACTCGCGAGCATGTGCCGGTACAGCCGATGCCGGCCCTGAGCCGCCAAGCAGCGAGGGCAGCGACTGCACCGACGCGATCCACGAGCGAATGTCGTTGCGGATGGACGTGCGGTACGCCTCATTGTCCTGCCAGGAAGAAACAAGTCCACCACGGCAGCGTCAGGCCAAGCTCACTACCTGCTCTCCGCATGCAACTCACATCGCACACGACGAAGTAGAGGTGCACAAAGGGCCGCTCGAGCAGACTCTTGAGCACGAGGTGCCGCGTCTCGGGCTTCAGCCGCGCACGCAGCAGCTCGTCGGCCAGCGGCTGCAAGCGCAGCGGCAGCTGCTGGATGGTACGGATGGCGCTGGCATTGCCGCTGCCGAGTGACGAGGAAGAGGACGCCGGCGCAGCGCCCGCGTAGAAACTGCTGGCGGGCGAGGGCTTCCAGTGCAGGTTGCGCAGCGGCAGCTGGGCCTGCAGCGCGCCGAGCAGGTGGCCGAAGAGGCGCGAGTCGAGCAGCGTCTCGGAGCCGGCGTACGTCGCGGCGACGACGGGCGGCGCGCCGGACATGGCAGGGGGTGATGGTGGGGAGGAAAGAGTCCGCGCGGCGGCCGGCCGGGGTCGAGGTGCGCGTTGTCTCGGCGGGGCGCGCGGGAATAGCGGCGTGCGCGCGTGCCGCGCGCGCGTGCTTTCGCTTTCGGCGCCTCGCCAGCGGCCGGCCCTTGCCTCTCCTCCACACTGCCCTCGCTCTTCCCTCGCACGATGAGCGCACCCGCGCCGAAGATCTCCTTTGGCTTCAAGGCCAAGGTCGCGCCCATCGGCGGCGGCAGTGCTGCTGCCGGGCCCTCCAAGCCGCCCGCACGCCGCGCTGCGTTTGGCGGCGACGATGATGACGACGACGAGGCAGACGCCGCTGCGCCGCCCGTCGCCAGCAGCAGCAGAGGCACTGTAGCTGGCCGTGGCAAAGCAGCCGCAAAGCTGAAGCTGCCGGGCGGAGCAGCGCCGCCATCGCGCGCGTCGGCAGCGCGGCAGGCAGAGGCGCTGGCGCTCGACGAGAAGGTGTTTGACTACGACGGCGTGTACGACGCCATGAAGGGCGCGCAGGACGCAAAGAAGAAGCGCATGGAGGAGGCCGGCCGCGAGGTGAGTGTAGCAGTGCAGCTCTGTCGGTGCGGGCACTCACCACTCCGCAGGCCAAGTACGCAGACGCCTTTGCCGCCTCGGCGCAGCAGCGCAAGATCGACTTTGCGCGTGCCGAGGCCAAGAAGATTGCGCGCGAGCGCGAGCAGGAGGGCGACGAGTTTGCGGGCACCGAAGCGTTTGTCACCGAGGCGTACAAGCAGCAGATGGCCGAGATTGCCGAGGTGGAGAAGCGCGAGAAGGAGGAGGAGGGTGAGTGGCATGCAGAAGTCCTGCACTTGCAATGGCCTGACGCTTGCGACAGAGCGGAATCGCGGCAAGTCGGCACGCGGCATGGCAACATTTCAGAAGGAGATGCTCGCCAAAGAGGCTGCAGCGCACGAGGCTGCCGTCGCAGCATCGCTTGCGGCGCCTTCGAGCGAGTCGCCGGCTGCCGAAGCGCCAAAGGAGAAGACGCATCGCGAGCTGGCCGAGGAGGCGCGCGCCAAGGGCCTCAACGTGCGGCTCAACGACGACGGCGAGCTCGTCGACGAGCGGTCGATCTTGACCAAGGGCCTCAACCGCATGGCGGGTCGCAAGGCTGGTCCAGCCGCGAGCACAGCCACGCGCGATGCTCCTCATCCTGCCGGGCAGCCTCGCGACGGCGCACGAGAAGCCCGCGAGGCGCGCGAGGCCCAGCGCGCGCGGCAGAGCCGCATGGTCGAAGACCAGCTGCTCGAGCTCGAGCAAAAGCGCCAGCGCGAGGAGGAAGAGGAGATGCTCGAGCGCAAGCGCCGCGCCATGGGCCAGCGCCGCAACGACGAGACGGCCGTCAGCAGTGCCCGCGAGCGGGCGCTGGCGCGCAAGCAGCAGCGCGAGGCACAGCAGGCGCAGGCCGACGCTGCGCCACAATAATACCTCTGACACAATGCAGCTTCACTTTCCACGCGTGAGATGTATCTACAAGGTGGGGGCGATGCAGGGGTGCGGTCCGGTGCGAGTCAGGCGGCTCACTTGCCGCCGCCCGACGGCAGGCGGAAGAAGGCCCAGCGCGGCCGCCGCACACTTGGGCCCGGCTCGCTGGCGAAGAGGCTGGCGAGCGCTGGCGTGTCGTCGGATGCCGGTGCAGGCTCGGTCGCATCGGACAGCGGCGACTTGGGGTCGCCCATGTAGGCAAACGGCGAGATGCTCAGCGCGCTCTTGGCCGCACGCATGTCGATGCTGTCGACGAGCGTCGTGCCCGGCAAGAAGATCATGCCCGGCGCCGGCCGCTCCGTGACCGTCGCCGAGCGCATGCAGCGCCGGCAGCCGGTGGACCGGCCCATGTCGCGCCCCTCGAAGATGCACAAGTCGTCGAGGGCGCCCGTCGACGTCACCGGCGAGGGCAGCGAGCCGCGCCAGCGACGCTCCTGCTCGCGCCCGATGCCGAGCCGCCGCAGCTCCGGCAGCACCTCGCACGGCGAGAAGACGCCGTCCTCGTAGGCGCCGTCCGTGCGCGCTCCTCTTGTCGCAGCCCGCATTTCGTCGCATGGTAGCCGCAGGTGCCGTGGCCGCACAATGCCCGGCTCGAGATCCTCGCCCAACGCTGGCAGCTCGCCGATCTCGATGCCGTAGCACTTGGACACGGCGCCCGCGACCGTTGTGCAGCGATTTGGGTCCTCGGTCTCGGACGGCCGGATGACTGCGTGCTGCAGGTTGCTGACAGGGAAGCGAAGTCAGCCAGAACCCCACGCAAGTGACTACTGCCACGGCGCGGCGCAACGCACCTGCGCGAGATGAGAGAGATGATCTGGAGCACCGTCAGCATGCGATCGCAAGGAATCTCCTCGTTTCGCCGGACTCACCATGCTAAGGAAATGAACGCTTCCAGCGCCGAAAACGAAGATCGTATGCAAATTTCCCTCGCGCGAGGCCAAGTAGGTGGCCACCGTTGTGACCGACCACATGGCCGTGATGAAACTGAGTTCGAAGCTGAGAGCTAGTTGCCACGCAAGAGACCGCAGTATGTGCGACCTGTTGACCTTAGCGAGGCCTTTGTCGAGGGCTAACAGGCGATAGCCGATGCACGACGCTACGACGACGTCCTGTACGGCCCTTGCTACGCTGACGTACACTGCCAAGGCTAAGGCATCGGCATCAGGACGAATCGCGAGGTCAGCCAGTGGGTCTGGATGCGCACCGACTAGAACATAGCCCTTGTGCCTCGTCGCGTGCGGGTGCCGGAGGTAGTAGGAGGGGAAGATGACGGCCACCGTGAGCGTGATGAAGGAGAAGGCGACTGCGCGTAAATGCTGTGAGCATGCGGCGTCCACCGTTTCTCATGCGTGCGCGTGCAGCTCACGCCCGAACAGCTTGTAGGCCCTTCGCCAGCTGCAGCAGGACGCAGCGAGCTGGACATAGTAGACCTGGGCGGCGAAGCATGAGATGCTGCTCAAGATCGAGCCCAGAGGCTTGTTCCAGCTGCTGAAAAAAGTCAGCGGTCTTCAGCGTGCTCGATCACGGACTGTCTCACGCGACGGGCGGAATGTCCTTTATCTCAGATGGGTGCATCAAGTAATGCGAAGTGATGGCATACTGGATCACGCCGTTGATCGTGTTCGAGACCAGCATGACGGCAACCTGAGTTGAGACGAAGAAAGTCCGAGAAGGCAGCGGTCAGATCCGACGCGACTGCTCGGCCCGCTGAACTCACGAGTGTCTTCTGCCACGGAGTTGCCCGGACTGCATCGCGCTTCACCCTGCGGCCGAGCGAAGGGGTCAGCGCCTGGCCGGGTCTGCTGTGTCGAGGCAGAATTACTCGCAACCACACGATGGTGAGCGCGTAGCCCACCGCATTCGCGACCCCTTGCACTTGTGCCGCATTGGCTGTGTAGAAGAAGTCTGGATTCTCCATGGCGCCGCAGCGCTCAAATGTAGAGCAGGGAGGAGAATGTGGGCGAGTGTCGCAGAGCAGGCGTCGCTGGGGCGCAGATATGGTGGTCGGAGTCGTCGCCTCGACGAGCGGGCTCTCGCATCGGATCTCTGTCTCTCGGAGCCGCTCGGTGACCCAGCATGCAGCAGCATGTGCAGAGATCATCAGACGGCCAAGCCTCTTTCTGCAGGCCGGCAGCAAAAGCGAGCACGGGCTAGCACGCCACCTGTGTGCGACAGAAGCCAGTGCTGCTCTGGCAGGGCAGCAGCAGAGGCATCAGCCCGCCGCGATCGATCAGGTCCGCGAGCGAAGCGGTCAGGAGAGCACTCAAGCACTCCAGGGGCGTGATTAAGCAGACAACTCCTGACGCGCAAGCCACAGTGTGTGAAGCTGATGAGCGACCTCCTAGAGCTCTTCTGCTGCAGCCGCCCTTCACCGTTCAAGTGCTCGGGCGCAGCACGACTTCTCCCTGCCGTCTCTTGAAGAAGGGCAGCCGTCTCCGCAATGTGTCTCGCTGCGCCATCCGTGCAAACAAGCGCCCCGCTCAGCTCCACAGCATCAGAGAAGATCGACCTGCGCTGCTGGGTCCACGCCTGCAGCCTGCTGCCGCCCTGACCTGACGATCGAGCGCAGCCCGACCAGCTTCGAGCAGAAGCGCGAGAGGGTCTTCTCGACCCACCATATCGCCATCTGATGTGGCCGCGGGCCATGCGAGCCGGCTTATACAAGCAGCTCGACTCGGGGGCCAGAGGGCGTGCCTCAGCACCCGGATGGGACATCGTCCGGGCGCTCGGATGCTCGGCCGGTGCAGCTCGAGGAGCTGGAGGGGCTCGCTTTGAGCTTGCGCAGCAGCACAGGCGCGGCCTGCTCCGATCAGCTCCCGCGCGCGCGCGCTTTCGAAGGAGCGCGCCGTCGCTTGGCAATGCCCTTGGCACAGCACCCAGCACCAGCTAGAGAGCAGCAGAGAGGCAGAAAGGAGGAGGCAAGACAGCACGCACCGAGAGGGCGGCCTTCGCGCACCCGCACGCCGCGTCCTCGAGTCGGCGAGGCAGAGGGGCACTCAGGGGCGCAGCCCGGCACCGGAAGCCCACTCCCGCTCAGGCCCGCCATTTACCGCCGGCGGGCGAGATCCAGCTCCCGTCTACCGGCGGCCTGTGTGTCGCAAGCTGCGTCGACGAAGCACCAAGACCGCCAAGCTCATCAACGGCACGCCGGCAAGCACGAGCTGCGCCAGCACCCAGGCATGGCCTCGTCCTCCTCGGAGCTCGCGGACAATGATTCGCTCCGACTCGGAGCCGACGCGGACACCTGTGTACCTCACTCGAAGTTGGTCCATGACGGGGGCGTATCCCGAGTCCCCGAAGATTGTATGGAGCTGCGCCACACCTCGAGTACGCCGAGCTGCGAACAACACCGCCGCACAACGCTCTCCGTACCGACGACGCCGAACCACCAGCAGCAGGAAGCGCGTATGCGAGGACTCACAGCTCTCTGCTCCGCGCCGCTCAGGACGTCCAGCCTCTGGCCTCAGCAGATGCTGAGCCGCACATGCCGCCGCCGAGCAGCACTCAGGGGCCAAGGCGCAGGCGAGCAAGCCTGCCGCCAGGCTATGCGCAGACGCGTGCAAGGGCGGCAGGCTGGACGACGCCGCCCTTGGCGACGACTCTGTGCAGCGAGGGATGGAGGGTGCAGAGAGCGCGACATGAGATTCTGTCGAGGCGGTGGAAGGGGTCCAGAGAAGAGCGACGAGCCCGCCCGGCCGTTCATGGCCAGCCAGCGCCTGCACGTGCCGCTCGGCCAGGATGCGCCGCGACGCGTAGAGTGCCGTGGGAACTGGTGTTGCTCAAGGTGGCGGGAGCTGACAGCGCGCATGCGCCGCAAGCGACGCTACGCCCGACTTTGCGCTCTTGTCGACGTGCCGCTCGAAAGGTCGTTCCCTCTCGCCTCTTTTCAGCAGATGTATGCAACTACTTCTGCTCGGATTTGTGCCTCCATGTGCTGCGACTCGCTTGCGACGGAGAGCCTGAGGCAAAACGCCTCGCAGTCGCTGTCACTCTGCAGCGAAGCCGGCAAGAAACTGCCATTGCCCGCATCTGCCCATCCCTCAATCAAGAGGGCAGGAAGATGTGTAGCCAGAGGGCGTGCGGTCGTCTGATGCGGATGGGAGAGAGACGGGAAAGCGGAGAAGTGACAGCGGTGTCGGACGTGGCTTCAGCTTGCGCGAGGCTCGCGGGACTTGTGCGAAGCTCGGCGTCGTGCGGATGGGCAGCACAGCTATTGAGGAGTGTGCGTCCGAGACAGATCGATGATGTCGAACGGTTCTGAGCGCAGCTTCGAGTCAGTCGTGAGCCTGGTGGAGAATGCAGATGACGTACGACGTAGTGTGAAGAGCGTACGCACGAACAGGAAGGAGAAGAGCGCCTGTGTCGAGCGACCTGGTCAGCTAGATCTTGAAGTAAGACGCGATACGCACGATAAGGGGAAGTGTTGCGGGTGGGAGAGTGCGACACGGAGAGAGACTTCGAGGGGGGATGCACGTCGTTAGTGAGACGCGTCTGGGAGCTGAGGGCTACTCACGGTGCGTAGGTCGATGAACAAGACGATGCGCGATGATCAGCTTGACTTGAACTTGAGCAGCTGGAGGCAGACCGCCTGGTCAGCCGCAGTTCTCCGGAGTTAGCGTCAGTATGCACATGAGGAAGAGGACGGAAGAGGACGGAAGAGGATAGAAGAGGACGGAAGAGGACAGAAGAGGACGGAAGAGGTACACTTGAGGAGCGCTGCGAACGGACGAGTGGGCGCCGCCGTCTGAGAAAGTCGTGATGTGTAAGGAGAGTACTAGAGGCGTGGAGGTACAGAGGGGTGGAGACGGAGACGAAGAAGCGTGGTGCCGATCTCAGCGGGCCCTGACGCAGGGTAAGCACATTGCGCGGCGGCCCGCGCCCGAGCTGCTCACGGGTCGGCCAGGCGCTTCGACCGCCGGGGGAATATGAGGTTGTACTGCCTCCTCTTTTCCGCACGCTCTTCCTCAGCCGCGACAAGCTTTCTCCTCGCGTCTCGCTTTTCGTCCTGCGTCGAGTCTCGCGAATCGATGATCCGGACGCAGGCCTCCATCTCCGCCTCCTCGGCCTTCCGCCGAGCGGCCGCGCTTGGGCGCAGCCGCAAAGCGCCCGCCTCCTTTGCCTGCTTGATCGCCGCCTACTTGTCCGCATCGCCCGTTGCCTCGTCCTCCGACTCGCTCGTCGCCTCGTCCTCCGATTCGCCCATCGCCTCGCTCCCCGAGTCTTGCGCCATTTTGCGCGCCGGATCATCCGCCACAAGACTTGGCTTCGGCGACGCAGGCTTGGCTTCGTGATGGCTAGCATCACCTGACGATGACGCGCCGGCTTCTTTGAAAGCAAAGCGGTCTTGAGAGTACGGCAGCGGGTAGCTTGGAGCGCCTCGGCTGGTGCGAATCATCACGTTAGGCTTCGGAGGCAGGTGCTGTGGGAAGGAGAGGAACGTCAGGCAAAGCTAGTAGCGAGAAAAGTCATGCTGCCGCTGCAGTCGCTTACGTGGAACTTGCGCCGCTGTTCCTCCACAGCTCCGTCTTCATCTGCGCTGGCTCGCTTGCCCAGGATGGACGACTCGGGCGCCACGTTTTGCGGCTGCGGCTCGTGGCGCACCGATGGATGTTGCGATTCCATCTGCCGGGCGCTCGATGACGACGCCAGCTCTTCGAAACGAGGGTACGGCTCAGGCGAAGCGATCGGTGGTGAAGCACGCGTGTCGGGCGGCGGCTCTTGAAAGCGCGAAGGCGAGTCGGGAGCGGAGCAGCCCGGCGACCAGTGCAGCGGCTCTGAATCCGTCGAGAGTGGCGGATGCTGCCCAGGACGCGACGCAGAGTGTTGAGGATGAGGCTGAGGCTCCCAGTCGCCCTGTCCCGGCGCGCGAGCCGCCGAGGCAGGCTGATCCTGGTGGTAGACAGGCGCCTGCCACGCACCATCGCTGAAGTGCGGCGGCGGCTGTTGCTGCTGCCATGGCGACGGCCATGCTTGTAGCCACAACGCCTCGCGACGCTCGCGCTCAAAAAGTTCGTCGGCGTGCTGCTGCTGCTGCATCTGAAGTTGCTGCTGCTGCTGCTGCTGCATCTGAAGCAGCTGCTGGTGCTGGTGCTGACGCTGCAGGTCGGCGCGCTCGCGCGCCTGACGCCGCTCGTCGTCCTCGCGCCGCCACGCGAACTGTTGCTGAGCGATTTGCCAGTGCGAGGCGCCGTAGGGCGCGTAGAAGTGTTCGGGTTACTGAGGGATCTGCTGGTACGGCGCGGGCACGGCACGCTGGGCGTCGCTGCGATGGGCAGGGTGCGGGAGGTGAGGCTGCATTGGCGCGGCGCGGCCCGGGCCCGAGCTAGACGCAGAGGCTGAAGCCTGGCCGGCATGCCAAGCAGGGTCCATCTTGCAGCGTGGAGGCGCGTGGAAAGTGGTGGTGGTGAGGAAGCAAGAAGGGCACGAGCGCCGCTCTCTGTCCAGGGGGATACGGCCTCGCTCGTGCGCAAGCGTGTGCGCCCGTCGTGCAGCGGTAGGGCGGCAGCAGCGCCGCGCGGGCCGCGCCGGCGGTGCCAGCGAGATGCTGCGCGGCGCATTCGATTCAGAGACGAGTTGTAGCCGGCGACTACAAGCGTATGCGCCGATGTAATCAGCGAGCAAGCGCGGGCAGCCTGAGCTGGACCCGCGCGCTGCTTCTGGCGCGCCCAGCAGGCCGCGTCGCTGTGCTGGGCCCTCATCGCCCCCGCCGCAGCGCTTTGCTCTGCGCCACCATCATCCGCTGTCATCGTCGGCGCCAGTCTCTCACTCTCGGCATTTCAAGCGCCTCTCCGCAGCCGTGACGCATCAGTCGCACGCCGTGAGTCACGCTGCACCTCATGTCAGTCCGTTCGCGAGTCGAAGCTCACCCCGATCCCACGAGCAGTCGCTGTTCGTGCATCAGACAGTGGCTTTCCTCAAGCTCCGCAGCTAAGCTCGTGAGCTCGTCCCGCCAAGCAGAGTGAGGCAAGGCACATTTGCACTGTAAGTCAAGCATCGAGGCTTTTCAGGTTACTCGCATGCTCACTCTCGCAGCTTTGCAAGCTCGTCATCGTACCGCCGCTCTCATCACCATTGTCTCCATCAACATGGAGGCTCAGCATGCCGCCGCCGCAGCCAGGCTCATCGCCGCGCGAACAACCTTCTTTGCCGCTCACGAGACCAAGCAGGCTGCTGCTGTGGATCTCATCGCCGCGGCTGAAGATGTGAGGATCACGGGCCAGCAGGCGAGGGACCGCGCTCAGGCAGCAGTGAAGAAGCTCCTCAACACATACGCTCCTCGCAATGCCCACAAGGAGGACATTGTCGGTGCATTCGAGCCGCCCCAACTCGTGTCACCGAGCGCATTCGAGCAACTCGCTGAGCACGTCATCGCCACGAAGCGCGCTGCTCTCACCCAGCTGATGGCAGAGACTGCCGACGCTCCTCAGAAGGAGCGACAAGCTGCACTTCGCACCCTCTACATGGCGTCAACGAAGGGGCTCCAGAACGCGAGGCTAGCTGCCCTCGAGCTGCTCGACTTCGAGCACGTCCCCGAGCCTGGCCTCACAGCGGCCAGGGAGAAGCTCAGCAGCGGGCACATCTTCTCTGAGGCCAGGCGATCCTAGTATCTTCTGCTTGCTCGAGACATCGGGCAGGCTCTCAGCGAATCTTGCGCGCTGGAGGAGCGTCTCGCAGCCGCGAAGGACGACGAGGAGGACTCCAAGCATGGCCTGCTGGAAGGCCAGGTCGACGCCAACGCAGCCGCCGAGGCGCCCGGCAAGCGCGCAGCCGGCGAGAAGCATGCGGCCGAGAAGAAGCGCCGTGTCGGATAACCACTCCTCACCTCGAGCCGGCCAAGTCGCCGCCTCTTCGCGCATCGCAACTGCGCCGCCCGATCCTTCGTCCGCGTCACCTCGTCATCTGTCCATCCACACCTCGCCGTCGTCTGTCCTGTAGCCATCATCACATCGTGTCACCTCGTCACTCCCACAACGAAGCTTCGTATCTGTGATGTGGTGGCGGAGTAGCAGAGGCAGCTGAACGTCGACACCCCCGAGCAGCGCGTTTGTTGGCGTACGAGCTGTCTCGCGCGCCGCACTGCTACAACGCAGGAGGCACTGAGGCTGTGACGAGCGGAGGCGCACAGTGGCGTCATTCGGAGAGCTCGCCAGTCTAATGCTCATCAGCTCGAGCATCTGCGATTGCCTTGCCGGTCGATCGGGGCAGGAGGGTAGAGGCGGGTCGCTCGCGCGGCGCGCGCGCGGTGCGGGTGGCTGCACGTGACGGCGGCGGCGCCAGCGACAGCCAGCTCAGCTTGCCGGCGCGGCGGCGCGTGCGCATCTCGCCGCGCCGCCTCCCCGCCTCCTCCCGCATCTCGACCACTCTCCTCTCATCGCAGCTCCACCCTCCACACAAGCCCGGCATGCGTCTCGCGCTCGCGCTTCTCTCGCTCTCGGCGCTGCTGCCCGCGGCGCACGGCTTCGTCGACACCAAGCCGCTGCTGGCGTGGACGTCGCACGCCTCGGCGCTGCTCGACCCGGCCGCGCACCAGCATGCCGGCCCTGCTGCCGACCCGCGCGCAATCGCCAAGGGCCTGACGCGTGACCTGTCGGCGCTGTGTGGGCTCGACGGTGTGGCGATCGTCGAGGTGCAGGACGTGAGTGTGCGGCGAGGGCGCAGAGATGGCATTGGCTGACACTGCGCAGCTCGACCACGAGACGTTCCCGTCGATGCACAGCTCGCACCCGCTGCGTGCGCGCGCCGTGGGTGCGCCGGCGCAGCTGTCGTTTGGCCATGTCGACGAGGCGCCGGGCCAGTCGGCGGCCGAGATCGCACGCGCCATCCTCAAGGCGTGCGGTGCGGAGCGCAAGGGCGCGTGGACGCTGGCGGGCGAGGAGGCGAAGCAGAAGCAGGTGATGCGCATCAGCGTGGCCGCCCAGGAGCAGGATGGTGAGTCTAGTGCCCGTTACAGGATGTGCATGGTAGCAGAGATGCTGCCGCATGTGCACTGCCGCCGAGCCGCACCCTCGCTCGCTTTAGCTGATGCGCTGCGCCCCAGACGTGCTTGCGCAGTTCACCAGCTCCAACCCGCGCCACCTCGTCGTCGTGGCGTCGGCACCGCGGGCCAGCCGGCTGGCGAAGCGCGCGGCCAAGAGCGACAGCGACCTGCCGCCGGGCCTGTTCCACCGCTACCAGGTGAGTGCGCCGCAGCATCAGGCACGACCTCTGCTGACGCCCGCCTGTGCAGTTCCTCACGAGGTGTGTCGCTGTGCGCCGCGCACCACACATTCCGCTGACTCCTTCTCCGCAGCGGCCTGCTTCTGGCCATCCTCGTCGTCGTCTTCCTCCTCGTGCCGATCGCCTACTTCTCCACGCTGCTGCTGGCCGACATCCAGGCGCCGGTCCCGCGGCGCCCTATGGAGCAGGCCAAGAAGAGCCAGTAGGCGGCGCGGCAGTCTCCGGCCGGAACGAAATGTCAGAGCGTCTCATGTCAAGCGTCTCATGTCAGGCGGGGCAAGGGCGTACGATACAGGGTAGAGGGTCGTCAGGGTAACAGAGCGGAGGTATCGCGGCGGGAAGGGGGGACACGTTAGACGCAGGTGTGGCCGGGCGGGCAGTGCTCCTTGCAGGGCGTCGCGCGGGCCGTGTACGCCGGCGGCGGCTGGTCGCCCGACGTGCGGCGCTCCGTTGGCGGCTGCACATACGTCGCCTGCTGCTCCAGCGAGCCGAGGCTGACAGGCCGACGCGTGGGCGGTGCCGAGGCGCGCTCGACGCCGGGCACAGAGAAGGGCAGGAAGGGCGAGTGCTCGCCCATCGGCTCGGTGTAGGCCGTGTTGGGCTGCGAGTCGAGCGCGGGCAGCTGGAAGCGCACCTCGTCGGTCGACGGGCCGTCGATGACGCCGACGGGCTGTGCGAGCCAGTGCGCATCCTCGACGGGCATGTGCTGCCACGCGCCGAAGATGGACAGAAGACTCGTCAGAAGCGTCACGATCCAGAAGACGAACCACGCTGCAGAGCGAGCCATCAGTTGTGCTCGTTGGCGGCTGCTCGTTGGACTCACCTGCGTCGACGCCCCGCCCGTACACGGCCGAAAAGTTGCCGCCGAGGAAGATGACCGTCGAGACGGCGACAAAGGCGGCGCCAACGGCGGTGCTGCGCAGCGTCAGCTCATGCCGCAGCTCGCACGAACACACTACTCACGTGGCGAGTAGCAGGCCGAGCACGGGCTTGCGGGAGAGGTTGCGCAGCAGCGCCTTTGCCTCGCTGCTCGGCGTCGCGTCCTGCGCCAGCTTGCAGATGATGTACAGCACGTGGCCGCAGCGTGCGAAGAAGAGCATCATGATGATGACGATGAGGGCGAGCAGCAGCGACGAGCTGTTTCGCTGCAAGCAGTGTCAGCATCGGCGCGGACATGCGTTGCAAGGCGGCCACTCACGCGGGCATCAACTGTGGCGCGCTTCTGCGGCTGCACAGCCCGAGCGACGAGCTGTGGTGCGGCAGTCGGAGCAGGCGCTGGCTGGCGCCTTGCGAGTGCAGCCGTCGGCGCGGCTGGAGCGGCCATGCGGCGTTCCGGCGCAGCAGACGACGATGCGGTGCGGCTCGCAGCAGAGAGGAATCCGGAGGCCGACGCCGTGCCCGTGGCTTGCGCCGCAGACAGCACCGACGCAACCGAAGCAGACCTCGACGCGGCCGTGCGGCTCGAGAAGCCGTCGATGACCGACGAGGCGGCGCGGTCGGCGTCGATGGATGCCTGGTAGCGGCTCGACTCGGCAGTGTACGACGACAGCAGCGAGTCAATGTTGCGGTAGCCCGTGATCGTGGTAGATCCGGTGAACACGGTATCGAAGGTGTATTGGCGATACGTCTGCGTAAGCAGACTCGACACCGTCGCAAAGGCCACCTCGCGCGTCCCTGAAAGCGTCGAGAGCGTGACGCGGCCGGAGAAGGTTCGCGTCACGCTTCCTGTGACGATCGCGGAGACATACACATCGGGGATCGTGTATGTTCCGTACGGACCCCGCCGCGACGAGGCGGCGGCCTCGCGCTCGGCGGTGACGTAGGCGCCGAGGACCTGTCTGGTGGTGGCCCAGCGCGAGACGAGCACGGCGGAGAGACAGAAGGCCAGCAGCAGGCAGACCAAGTCGATGCTGAGCAGCGTCAGAATGCGGCGGCGGAACGCGACGGCCATGTTCGCGAAGGTGAGGAGGAGTCGTGGCAGCCCACGCAGGTGCAGCCGAGGTGCGAGGATGGGGTGGAGAAGGAGGAGGACGCGCCGGCCAGCGCTCCGCTCCGCCAAGGGCCGAGCTTATATGTTCTGCGCTCCGGGCGATAAGCCACCGCTCCGAGGACCCCACATGCGAAACCTGCAAATAGCACGCATCTGCTCGCACGGCGAGGGGACGGCAAAGGGCCAGCGAGGAGGAGCGAGGGCACGCACGCGTGGACGGCGCTGGACCCGCGCTGCCCGCGGCAAGGACCGGGCGGCGCAGTGCGGCTGGCCCGGAGCCGGACGCTGCGCTTGTGCGGCCCATGACGACGCAGCGCAGCGCCGCTGCAGCCCGCTCAAGGGCAGCATCAGCGCAGCCGCGGATCCTCGCTGTGAGAGCGAGGCCAAAGCGCACCCGCCGCACGACGCCGGCGGTACGCGGAAGGAGAGCGTGTGAGCGGCAGCGCGCCTCTCCTCTCGTGCCCGTGCCTGACTTGAGCGGCCGCTGCGCCGCCGGCCACGAGCCCCCGCGGCGCAACGCTGGCGCTGCCGCTGCGCCCTCGTGCGCTGCCCGGCTTTGGCTTTACTCGGGCCTTGGCGAGCCGCCATGCTGCTGCGCTGCCGCTGCGGAGGGGTGCCTGCAGCCGCTCAGCGTCAGCGCCCGCCTGCCGAGCTACGGCCAACGCAAGCAGCTCGACACCGCGTGGTGCTCTCGCCATCCGCTGTGGCTCGAGTCACGCAGCATCGCAGCGGGTGCAGTCGTGATCTCCGCACGCTCCCACTCGCAGCTTTGAACCGGCTGGCGGCTTTCTGGGCCGGCCGGCGGCCAGCACGGCGCATCTGCGGCACATCCCTGGCTATCCGCGGGACCCTCTGCAACTCGCTGATCTCTTGCATTCGCCTCTTGCGCACGTGTGAGGCTCGCAGATGCTTGATGTCGACCTCGACAATGGCTCACGGGCACGATGGGTTCGAATGGTCCTCAGTCGCCGCTGCTGCTGCTGCTGCTCACGATTGCTTGCTCGTCCTCGTCATCGCTGCCGGCGAGCGCGTCTCTCTCGCCGCCATTCAGGCACCCGTGCGACAAGCCGTTGCACGCTAGGCTCTCACGCTTGCACCATCGGAGTGGCCCGGTCCCGAGCGCTTGCTCCCAGCTCGCTAGCTCCAGCACAGCCCGTTCTGCCCCGCACCACGCTTGGATGAGGCCTGGCTGCTGAACAGCGGGGCTCTCACGCCTGCAGAGGCCCCACTTCCCACATGTGTCATGCGAGGCTCGTGACGCTCGAGTCCTGGCTCGCTGGACATGTGGCTGTGCAGAGCAGGATTGTCGGGTGTGTCTGAAGCAGTTCAGCGCTGAGCCTGTTGACTCGGCAGCGCCGGCGCTCCGAGGTGCGTGATGCGGCAGTTTGATAGCTGTCGCCGGCCCGATCTCACGCAAGGGCCGGCCGGACTCGCACGACAGCTCAGCGAGCAGCGACACGCTCGGGCTCGGAAACGACGACAGCACGCAACGTAATCTGTCTCACTCGGCCTTGCTACGAGAGCACGACGTGATCTGCGCCACATTGCGACCGCTCATCGAACGACGGGCCCGGCTCTCGCGCGATGCATGACGGTACAGTCTCTGCGGTAGACGTGCAGCCATCGTGCGCGATGGCTCGTACCGCTCGGGTTGTAGATTGAGGCGGCAGCACCAGAGCATCGCCAACGGAGTGAGGCGCGGCGCACTACACAGCTAGCAAGGGCAGCGAGAGCAGGTGCGAGTCGACACGGCGCAGCAGGACTATGCCTCCTGTCACGACACCGCTGGCAAAGTCCGGCGCACCAGGGCCCGCACTCGACGGACTCATCTTGGCTTCTTCGTCTCGTCTCATCCGCAGCCTTGCATGCATCTTCCTCGCCGCTGTACTGCCGCACTTCGATCTCAAGCCCTGAATTGCTAGCCTAGCCCTAGTCCTCCTCCTCGCCAGCCGGCGCCGGCGGCGGCACGCGCAGCAGCGACTCGTTGCGGCCCTTTGCCCGCAGCGCCCAGCGGTCCTGTGTGTCAGACGCGTCAGCATAGGCAGATGAGCGCCTGCACATTGGTGCAACAGCGCAAGGGCGCCCTCCAGGCTTGAAGGCTGGTGGGGCGTGCAGTGCGCAGCCAAGACACTGCTCCAAGGCGCCTTCACGACGCCGCAAAGGCCGCGTCGGACCATCGCGAGATCATGCAGTGCTGGTGCAGGCCTCATGATGCCGCAGATGCGCCTCATTGCCTAGCATGCCTTGTCTCTACGTTGCGCCTCCCCGCCGCACCCGTGCCCTTCCGCGCCTCCTCCAGGCACCTGTCCGACCGCGGCGTCTTCCCGCAGCACATGCCCCTCATCTGCTGTGACTCACATCCGTGAAGAGGCAGAGCTGGTAGGCAGCGTACGGAATGATGCCGCCGAAGATGATGGCGGCGCGAGCGTTGCGCGGCGTCAGGCGGAAGCGCTGGTACATCGTCGCGTGCTGGAGAATCACGGCGCCGTCAGCAGGCGGCAGCACAGCGCAGCGTAGCGCGACGCACCATCGTCGACCACCGCTCGATGGCGGGGTCCGTCTTGAAGGGGGAGTGACCGCCGGCCATGATGCAGATGAGATGGGTGGTGTGGTGGGCGGGAACCTCGGCGCAGGTGGAGCCGAGTGGCCTGGGCGGCGCGACGGGCGCCGGGCGCCAGGCGCACCGGCACGTGACGTGACGCGCGCGGAGGGCGTGGGAGCGGGTGGAGTGCGCTTGTGTTGTTCTGTCGCTGCAGCTGGCCTCCGTCTTCCCTCCACCCACAACCACCATGCCCGCCGACATCGAGAACCTCAGCAGCGCCGCCGCCCGCCTTGACCTCGGCAAGCCGGGGGGCAGCAGCAGCGCACAGCCGACGCAAGTACGCCTGGCCATGGGTGCGCTGCAGGTGCAGCCGCTGCAGGCGCCCGGCGCCGCCTCGTCGTCGCGCCCGCCCGTCGCCGGCGCGCATCTGGCGCGCAAGCCGTCGCTCGATGCTCTGAGCGCCAACAGCCGCGCGCCATCGCGGGCAGGCAGTGCGCTGCCGTCTGAGAACGGCTCGGCGCCGGCATCAGCGCGGCCATCGACGAACCAGGCGCGCGCGCCGCCGCACAAGACGGCCTCGGGCGCTGCGCCGCCGCGTGCGCCGCCGACGGCCAGCTCGGTCGCTCTGCGCGCCGTCGACATTGGCAAGTACGACGGCGGCATGGAGCGCGACGAGCGGCGCGGGCGGCGAACAGGCGACTTTGGCGGCAAGGACGCGGCGCTGCTGGCGCTAGACTCGGGCACGAGGTGAGTCGCAGCGTGGTGGCACAGCAGCGCTGCGTGCTGACAGGCATGCAGCTCTGCGCACCGGCCAACGCGCGTGTGGACGCTGTCGCAGTTCGAGACGGGCCGTGCGATGGGCAAGGGCAAGTTTGGGCGCGTCTACATTGCCCGCACCAAGGCAGACCGCGAGGGCAATGGCGGCGGCTTCATCTGTGCGCTCAAGCTGCTGTACAAGAAGGACTGCGTCATGTACAATGTGCAGGGCCAGATCCGGCGCGAGGTGGAGATCCAGATGAATTTGAGGTGAGTGGTGAAGGATGGAAGAGTGCCGTGTCGCGCAAAAGCTGACGCGCTGTGCAGGCATCCCAACGTGCTGCGCCTCTATGGCTACTTCCACGACGAGGGCCGCGTGTTCCTCATGCTCGAGTTCGCGGCCAAGGGCGAGATGTACAAAATAATGAGCAAGCTAGATGGCCGGCGCTGGACAGAGGCCGAGGCAGGTCGAGTGAGTCGAGCCCGTGCCGCTGCCGCAGCTCGCACTAACATCCAGCAGTTCACGGGCCAGATGGCCGACGGCCTGGCGTACCTGCACAGCAAGCATGTGATCCACCGCGACATCAAGCCCGAGAACCTGCTCGTGGGCCTCAACGACGTGCTCAAGATTGCCGACTTTGGCTGGTCGGTGCACGCGCCGGGCGACCATCGGCGCACGGCATGTGGCACGCTCGACTACATGCCGCCCGAGATGATTGAGGACGTGCCGCACGGCCATCAGGTCGATCTGTGGGCCTTTGGCATTCTCATCTTCGAGTGGCTCGAGGGCACGCCGCCGTTTGACAGCCAGGACACGTTCAACGCCAACCGCGACTACCAGGAGGCGGCGCGTGGCTTTCCGCCAAACTCCTGTAAGTGGCCTGGAGGCATGTGCCCTGCACGTCCACTGACACGCTGCTGGGCAGACACGCGCGGGCGCATCCGCAAGGGTGACTACGAGTTCCCGTCGCACTTCCAGCCCTCTGCCGCGGACCTCGTCAACAGAGTGAGCCCGCCACTCGCGATGCGTCTCGCGACGCTTGCCGCTGACACCCCTCCCAGCTGTTGCAAATCAACCCCAAAGAGCGGCTGCCGTTGGACCGCGTCATGCAGCACCCGTGGGTGCGCAAGTGGGACGCCGACGTGTACGAGCGCGCCAAGAGCGGCGGCTATCTCGCCGACACGCCCGCGCACAAGCTGCCGTCGAAGAACATCAACACTGCGCCCATGCGGCCGATCCAGGCACGCCAGGCCAAGGAGGCCCGGCAGCGCGTCGCCAAGCTCGAGGCGCAGCAGGCGCGCGCCGAGGGCAAGGCTTGACGCCCCTCACTGACTTCCTTTCACCGCACTCGGCCTGTCTCGCATCTCATACTCATGCAATACCACAGCTCCAGCACCTACAGCTTGGCCTCGCGGCGCAGCTGCGTCTGCTTGACCGCCTCGGCCTCATTCCACTGCTCCACCTCGCCGTGCGTGAGGCGCCCGATGCCTTCACGGAAGCCCTTGAGCACGCCGCGTGCGTCGCGCCCGCCGGCGTCGCCCTGCTGGTTGAGCGGCTCGAGGCGCATCCAGGCGATCATGCGGTCGTACGCGCGTCCGTCTGAGACGCGGTCAGCAGGGAGGAAGCGATCGTGGGCGCAGCACGACTCACCGGAGTGTCCAAGCGGCGAGCCGAGGTACCAGTCGTCCATGTCGGCTGCTTCGGCGAGCGCCAGGGCGTCTTGTCGGATCGCGCTGGCTAGACCAGCGACAGCGGCGCGGATGGCATCGGCCTGCTGAGCGTTGAGATGGCCGTCCTCGGTGTAGTCGCCAAGCTCGCGCAGCACGCACACCTCGAGCGTGTAGAAGGCGCACATGCGCTGCAGCGCATCGAGCAGCTCCGGCGACAGCGGCACTCCGACGTCGCCTGCTTGCCCGCTGCGCAGCGCTGCGATGCGTCCGGCAAAGGCATGCGCGATCAGCACGCTGCCGGCCGCGCGCGATGCTCGCGCAGAGAGGGCAGCGTCGAGGTATGCCGTGCCTTCGTGTGCTGGCGCCGCTCGCAGCGCATCAAGGGCACGCACGAGGCGTGAGGCTCGGTGGGCTAGCAGCGCAGCCTGGACGTCTGGCCGCAGAAAGTCTTCCGACGTCTTGCTAGCACACGGCGAGGCGCCCTGCGAGCGCAGAAAAGCGAACTCGGCGCGGCTGGGCAAGCCGCCAGAGCGCAGCGACTTGACGAGGAAGTTTGCGGCCGGTCCGCCGAGCAGCATGTTGTTGTCGCCCTGCAAGTGCATGTCAGCAGCGCCCGTCCCTGCCGCGAACGCAGCGACACACCTCGTACGTCAGATTCGCCGTCGGCTGGTTGCGCTCCAGATCCGCCAGGCCGCTGGCCGCCGAGTACCCGTGCCCGCCCATGCTGCGTCGCGCCGTCTCGACGACCGCGAGGCCCTCCTGCGTGGCGCAGGCCTTGAGGATGCTCGTCATGCCGTGCACGATGCCGAGGAGGCCGCTCGACTGGCCTGCCTGCAGCTCGGCCTGCAAGTCGTTGTAGACGCGTCGCATGTGCTGTCCCGTCAGCGTCAGCGCCCACGACGTGGTGAGGCAGACGAAGAGGCGCGCTTGCAGGCCCGCATAGTCGATGATCTGCGGCTCGAGGCCGCCGAGGGTCGAGCTAGAGCCCTGGCGACGTACGACGGCGTAGCGCATTGCGATGACCGTAGCGCGAGCGGCGTGGTGTGCGGCAATCTCGACGAGGCCAACACGCACGAGCGTCATGCCGCCGCGAGTCAGCGCCTTGCCTTCCTTGTTGCGCTGCTCGTAGCGTCCATCCGGATGCACCACCTGGAAGCGGTCGAGCAGATTGGTGCGCGGGATCTTGACGCGCGTAAAGGTGATGTAGCCATTGTCCATCGCCTGATGAATGCGTCAGGCATGCCTCTGCTGCCGCCTGCTCTCATACTCACCGGCGCGCCAACCTTCGGGCCCATGTCGAATGCCTCGACGCCCGGCAGCAGCTCGTGCGTGTCGGGGTCGCGCAGCGGCACAAGGAAGGGATGCATGCCGAGCTGCTTGCCGCCGATGCACATCTGCGCCATCACGACGGCGTGCGTAGCCGAGCTGCCTGAGCCGCCGATCCACGTCTTGCCCGCCGACGGCTCAGGCGTATGGATCTCCCACTTGTTGCTGTACGTGTCGTACGTGGCGGTGGTGCGCAGGCCGGACACTGTGGCGCGGGTGAGCTGTGCTGCAAATGTAGCTAGCTGTAGCGCTACGCACGGTTGGATCCGTGTGCGAGCTCCGTCTGGGCGTAGCACGTCAGCCAGCGGCCCGACTCGATGTGCTTGCCCCAGCGACGCCACTGCGCCTCGCTGGCCTGCGACTGGATCGTCGGCTGGCCCATGGACTGGTCGGGCTGTGAGCGCATGCAGAGGGTGGCGCATGTATCCCACACGCACCTCGTGCACCTGCAGCGAGATGTACTCGTCGAGGTAGAGGCGCAGGCGGTCGCGGTCCTCCTTTGCGAGGCTGCGTGTGGCGGTCAGCAGAGCAGTCTGCCACGCCGCGGCACGCCAACTCACCCATGCCGGTTGCGCAGCTCGAAGTACTTGGCCGCCAGCTGCTGACCGTGCATGAAGCGCTCGTACCGCCCCTGAAAGGCGCGCTGCTGCTTGTCAAAGGCAGCAGCGGGATCATCGCGCAGCAGCGAGAGGAGCCAGCGGGCACGGTCGCGCGCCGCCGCACCGCCGGCAAAGACGGCGGCCAGCGCTCCGGCGTCGAGGCGGCTGCGCGCCCGCTCGGCGGCGAGGTCGAGCGGCTGGCGTGCTTCGGGTGTGAGATCAGCGGCGGACATGTTGAGGGTATAGATGGAAGGGTGGTGGCTGGGCAGGGTGCAGAGCTCGGCCTAGAGGCTGCCGAGCCGCCGGCTTCTTGCGGCCTTCCCCGCACCGGGCCCGGCGCGCTGCCGAACCGGCAAGGAAGGCGTGGGAGCAGCCGCGCCACGTGGCCGAGGCGCCGCTCCACTCCACCTTGGCGGGCGGCCCGTGCATTCTCCCGCTCGGCCTCTCCGCTCGTACGACACCCCGCCCCCAGCTTCCTTCTCCTCCACCAACCGCACCCGCATCCCTCTCTGCACCTGCTGCACATCCTCGCACCCCACCACTCTCCCCACCACTCTCGCCCACCACGTTCCCCTCGCTCATCCGCCAAGCCGCAAAGATGGCTACCAAGACCGATGCCAACTGGTGCGTGTCTGGCGAGCAGAGGCTGCGGGAAGGGCAACGCATCTGCATGCGCCGGGACCGATGGAGGCGGCTGCGTGCAGAAAGCTGGCGCTCGTCGCAGCAGTACTGTGCACGCATGTGTATTCTTGGCTGAAGCTTGCCGCTCGCAGCATCTTCTGCAAGATCATCGCCGGACAGATCCCGTCGATGAAGCTGTACGAAGACGACGAGGTGCTGGCCTTCCTCGGTGAGTCCGCCTCATTTCGCTGCACCAGCTCTGCTCCTCACATGCGCTCTCCAGACATTGGGCCGATCGCCAAGCGTCACGCCCTCGTCATCCCCAAGTACCACGCAGCCAAGCTGCACGAGCTGCCCGACGAGCACCTCGGCCGCCTGCTGCCCGTCGCCAAGCGTCTGGCCCTCGCCAGCGGCGCAGACGAGTACAACATCCTGCAGAACAACGGGCGTGGCGCGCACCAGCAGGTCGACCACGTGCACTGTGAGCAGACAAGGCCTTGTGTGAGGCCCGATGGTGGCTGATCTCGCGCTGTAGTCCACATGATCCCCAAGACGTCGCCAAAGGAGGGCCTCATCATCGAGTGGCCCGCCACGCAGCCCGAGAGGGAGGAGCTGCAGAAGGTGAGCTGGCGCGGCGACTGCACATGGGACACCTCGGCTGACCCTCGACGCAGCTGCACGGCGAGATGAAGGCGGCGATGGAGAAGCTGAAGCTCTAAAGTCAAGGAATAGCTCGGCGTGTCACCGACTCCTCCCGCTGCGGCACGTCTCAGCGTAGGCGGCCCGGACGGTGTCAATAATGCGATGGATGGCTTGAAGTACAAATGAGAGGAGCGGATCTGAGGCGCAAAATGAGGAGTGGAGGGGCGCAGGCATCTTGCGAGGGTATGGAGGCCAGCTACGACGCCCACGGCCAGCGCGGCACAGCGCGCCGAGCCTCGTCGCTCGCCGGCGGCGTCGAGGCGGCCGAGACGGGCGGCAGCACGGCACGCGCCTGCTCGGGCGAGTGGGCCGGCGGCGCAGGCTTGGGCTCGCGGCCGCGGCCGCGCTGCCACCACTGCGTCTCGGGCTCGTCCTCGTCGGCCTCTGCCTGCGGCTCGCGCTGTATGCCGCGCGGCAGTGCGGAGCCAGGTCGCGGCGAGGGGAGCGCATCGGTGCTGGCGCGAGCACGCAGGCCGGACGAGGCATTGCGAGCGCCGCGCTCTCGACTGCGCGAGCTGTCCTCGGTGCCGCTGCCTGGCGTGCCCGGCGCAGGCGAGCTAGGCACCGACGAGCCCGCATCGCCATGCTGCATGTGATGCTGCTGTGCTCTCTCGCGCGCGAGGAGATTGGCGAGCGCCTCAGGAGCACGCGAGCGGCTGCGACTGGTGCTGCTGCGCGCTGCATTGGTGCGCGACGACGACGAGCGCTCGGCGCTGCGCCAGCGGAAGCCATCGCCGTTGGCGGGCGGAAAGACGAACTCGGCGGCCCAGCCGCTGCTGCCGCTGCCGCCTGTCGTGGCGCCCGCGCTGCTCGGGACGCCCGTAAGCATGCGTGGTCGCGATGTAGAGCGCGCACCGCTGCGACTGCCGCGCGATGACGAGCCGCGCTCGGCGTGCGCGGAGCTCTTATTGCCGCCAGGCAAGCCCGTCGAGGAGCTCTCGTACGAGCTGGAGCGGTGCAGCAGCGGCTTGCGTCCGCGCATTTGCTCCGGCGACTGCGCTGCTTCGTGATGGCGCAACGACGCCGCGCTGTAGCCTGCGGCCTCGCGCTCGCATGCTTGCCTACTACGGCTGCGGGAACGGCTGCCGCTAGCCGAGCGTGTGGAGACGATGTCGATGGGGCGAGCTCCGGACTGCGGCGTGTGTGTCGCACTGCGAGATGTGTCGGAGTGCGCATGCCAGGCGTGTCCCTCGCGCAGATGCGCCATCTCTCCTGCGCGCCGCCGTCCGCGCGGCGGCATGCTGTCTTGCGCATCGCTCGAGCTGAGGAAGGGGCTGGACGGCCGCGAGCGCACAGAGCTGCCGAAGGGTGAGCCTGTCTGGCTCCTTCCCGGTAGGTCGCCGTCGAAAATCTTTGGCGAGGGCCTCGAGTGCGACAGCTCCGAGTCCAGGCGCGTCACACGCTCGCGCGAGGCCTGGCGCTCAAAGCGCAGCGGCTCGGTCTGGGCCTGACGACCCCGCTCCTCGACCGCGGGAGGCTCATGCAGGCGCGCCAGACACGGCGAAGCAAGCACATCGGCGAGCGTCCATCTGCGCGCAGGATCGGTCTCCAGCAGGCCACGCAGCACGTCGCGGGCCTCCTGTCGCTCCACTCGGTCGCCGTCCCACAGGCGCGCCTCTTCATCGCCTTCGTCTTCCGTGTCGCTGGCGTTGTCCTCCTCTTGCAGCAGCGTGCCTTTTGGTGGCAGGCTGGACACGCTCGAGCTCAGCTCGCGTCCGCCGAAGTTGCCGCTGAAGCTGGCCCAGCTGTCGGGTCGCGAGCGCTCCGAGAAGCTCTGGGCGCTGCCGCTGGGACTCATGGCGCTTGACGCCGCCGGCAGACCATCGCCCTCGCTGCCGGGCGCACTCCGCCGCGGCCGACGCCGGACCAGGCGCGGCGGCAAAGTCCAGATGCCCCGCGCAATCTTGGCCTGCAGCCGCGGCTCGAAGGAGTCGGCAAACGGCAGGCGGCCCGAGAGGAGCGCGTAGAAGATGCAGCCCAGCGCCCACATGTCTTGCGCGTGCACCAAGGCCGCCGCGGGCGAGAGCGAGCCCTCTGGCGCGTCTGCTCGGTCGGCCGTGCTCGCCTCGTCGGCGTCGCGAAGCGTTTCGGGCGCCGCATATGCCAGTGAGCCGCCGCGCGGCAGAGTCGGAAACGACGACATGCCGCGTGCCGCTGGGCCGATGTCGGATGCGCGCCCGGCCGGACGCGACTTGCGGCCCTTCTCTTCGGCTGCAGGAGGCGCAGGTGCCTGGTACAGCGGCGCTCTCTGCTGCTCGTCGATCTTGCGTGCCAGGCCAAAGTCGGCCAGGCGCCACATCGTCACCTCGGGCTGTACATCAGCATCGCCGACGACCTCCTTGGTCTGACCCAGCACATTTTCGAGCTTGAGGTCGCCGTGCCGCACACCTTCAGCCTGCAGCGCCTCGAGTGCCGACGCCAGCTGGGCCAGCACACGCCGGGCGTTGCCCAGAGGCAGGCCGCGCGAGCGCGGCGGCGCTGCGCGGCTCGATGCGCGACGCAGCAGGCCTGCGGCACCAGTGGCTGAAAGGCTGCCGGCATTTGATGCGGATCCTGCCTCAGCAGTCCCCAGAGTGCCTCGCCGATAGGGCGCCGAGCCGGCAGCACTGCCGCCCGAGCCTGCTGCGCTGCTGGGCAGACCGCCGTCGGAGAAGATGCGTCCATGGCCGCTGATCGGCGCACCGCTCTGCGCACGCGCGGCGCTGGAGCGAGGCAAGAAGCCGCTGCCGGTGCGGCCAGCCAGCGGCGCAGCAGCAGCAGCGACGCGTGCAGAGTAGTCTGTGCGTCCGCCGGCCGTGCCGCCATTGCTGAGCTGCGTGTGCATGCTCGAGGCGCGCGAGAGGCCGCCGGAGCTGCCTGCTGCGGCGAGAAGGCGCTTCGGCACGCCCTCGTTGCGCACATAGTCGAGCAGCGAGCCGGCGTCGGCAAAGGGCATGACGAGGAAGAGCACGCGCACGTCTGAGCCTGGCGCCAGCGGCATCTCTTCGTGGTGCAGCAGCGGCAGCAGATGCGCGTGCGGCGGCAGCGCCTGCCACAGCGCCACCTCTGCGGCCACCGTGTCGTCGACGGTGTCCAGACGCACGATCTTGATTGCCACACGCGTCGAGCTGGCCGGCAGGTCAAGCTCCGTCGCGGGCGTCTGGGCCCACCCCTCGCGCACCACGCTGCTGCCGCCATAGCCAACGGCGCGGCCCAGCACGTAGCGGCCGTCTGCAAGTGTGGCGCCCTCATCGTCAGGCGCGAGCGTGCGTCGCAACGCGGCGGCATGCTGTGGTGGCATCGACGAGGGCAGGCGCGCGGACCCAGAGGCAGCGCCGGCGAAGAGCGACGCCGCAGCGCTGCCGAGGCCAAACGGCGCGCTGGGCGAGCCGCTCTCGGGCGCAGAGGCGCCGTACGTCATGCTCGAGCTGCCTGCATCGCCAGAGGCTGCCATTGTCGCGGCAAAGAGCGGCGAGAGGGAGCGGGCACGCGTCTCGCTGCGCGTGCCCCACGCCTCGTCGGCCGTGTGGGCGTGGCCTGGCGCATCGCCATCGATCACCGAGTGCAGACTGGCAAAGGCGGAGAGGAAGTCGGCGGCGGGCGAGCGCTGCTGAGTCTGCGGCTCGGCAGCCTCGGGCGCAGCCGGCGTGCGCGGCTCGCCGTCGCTGCTGCTGGGCGGAAAGAAGGGCGAGACGGGCGAGGCCGAGTCGGACGAGGTGTCAAGGTGCAGCACGGGGCGTGTATGCGTGGGCGAGCCGGCGATGTGCTGCGGCGTCGCCGGCGTGGCCGGTGCAGCGGGTGTGGGCACTACTGCTGCTGCTGCTGCTGGCGGCTCGGCCGGGCGCTGCGGCTCGGCGTGAAACGGCGGCAGCACATCCGGCTCGATGCGCACGCGCTCCCACCACTGGCGCACCGGCGCGGCCGGCTCGGGCGGCGACGCAGCGAGCGGCGGCGAGAGGGAGAGGGGCATGGACCGGCGGAAGTGGGTGTGGGCGTTCAGGCGGCGCACATGGCTGGCGGATGGCGCGGTGGTGGTGGTGGTGATGAAGAGAAGCACTCTCGACTGCGCAGCACTCCGCCAGGCGCTTCATGCGAGCGCGCGCCGGCGCGCGCGCGGCGCCCCGCATTCTTTGACCGCGCGCTCCGGTGCTCCTAGGAGGCCGCCGCCGCAGCACAGCTATTGATGACGCTTTGAGCACCATCTCGCTCTCTTCTGTACCTGCATCCATATTGAGGCGCAGCACCGCACCAATTACCGGCCGCTCGGAGCTGGACAGAGAGAGGCAGCGCAAGTACAGTCGCCAGATAGAAGAATGCCGCGCCCGAGTTGAAGTCGCGCCTCGCAGATCTGTATTCCGCCCGTGCGCGCCGGCCATCTCGCTCTCCCACCACGAAGGCTTCCAACCTTCGCGTCCTCACCTCCCACTCCGCCTCTTCTTCGCAGCGTCTCTTCAGCCTTGCGTCGGCTGTACCTCTGCTTTCTCGCTGAACGCCGCACGTCATGTCCTCTCCGCGCTCCTCGCCCGCCGCCTCAGCGTCACCAAGTGCCGAGGCGTCCTCGTCGCACTTTCTGCGCCTCGTGGGCCAGCACCGGCCGCTGGGCGTGCACCGCCACTTCAACGCCATCCCGCTCATCGTCGCGCTGCAGAGCGAGCATGCCGAGCGCATCGACGGCGCCGAGCTGCGCAGCCGCATGCTGGACCTGTACGATGTGCAGGGCCTCGAGGAGCTGGTGAGCGGAGGCGCAGTGAAGCAAGGGCGATGCAGGGCGATGCAGGATGCAGGGCTGCTCAGGCGAGAGCATCGCGACGTAACAAAGACTGGACACACTGCGGGCGCAGTAAACCTGCGCAGAGCTTCAGGGTGCTCGATTTTCTGCCGCAACTTCTAGGAGCCCTAGCACGGGAAGCGCACTGCTAGTCGCCGACTTGCTGCTGACGGCAAGCGCTGCCCCGCAGGAGGACACCGCAACAGCATCGCAGTTCGGCGAGGGCAGCTCACCACCGCCGCCGCCTTCTCCGCGCCTCGACAGCGGCCTGCAGCGGCTGCCCGGCCGGACAAAGGGCGGCTCTTCGTCGTCCCGACGTGCGCCTCCAGGCTTCGGCCTGCCGTTTGCCGACTTTGAGGAGCTCGTGGCGCCGCGCCGTCTGGACCCGGACGCGCAAGAAGAGGACGAGTCGGAGGGCGAACTGAGCGATGCGGAGGAGGAAGACGCGGTGGGTGTCAAGGAGGAGAAGCAGAGCGACGAGGAGGCCTCGGGCAGCGCGCAGGAGGCGGGCAAGGAGGAGGAGGAGGAGGCAGAGGAGGACGAAGAGAGTGCAGAGGAGGCCAGTGAGGAGGAAGAGGAGGAAGAGGAGGAGAGCGAGGAGGAGACAAGGAGCAGCAAACGACGACGGGGCGCCCAGACGCCGCAGAAGCGCGCAACTGGCGGCAGAGCAGCCGCTGCGGCCAGCAGCTCAACGGCAAAGTCGACGAGGGCCAAGGCGGTGCAACCACGACGGAGCTCGCGGCGCTGAAGGGCAGGCCCTGGGCGAAGCAGAATATATCCCACATCGCAAGCATGGTCAAGGGCAGCAGGGTTCCAGGTGTCTAGAAGTACAGTGACGAGCAGCACGGGCGATGCCACTTGAGGCGAGAGGACACATAGCAAGCAGCAGCAGGCGCCGCAGGAATAAGAGAGGGGCAGACGAAGGATAAAGACGCGGCCGGCAACGGAGAGCGGCCATGACCGGGCGAGCTCAAGTGCATGCAGCCAAGCCGGGTCGCACGGCGTCGATGATGCCCAGCGGCCACGGCAGGCCCGAGTCGAGCTCGTTGCGCTCGCGCCCGAGCAGCTCGAGGGCGTGATAGTTGAGCGTGATGCGTCGCATGCGCTGCGCCACCTCTGCGGCGTCGAGCTGCGTTGGAGGTGGCGCTGCCGCGCTACCGTTGCTGTTGCTGCTGCTGCGCGACGAGGGAAAGACGGCGAGGAGATGCAGCCAAAGAAAGTGTGGCGCCCCGCCGGCGTAGCGCACGTCGCTCGAGACGCCGCCGCGGCTGGCGTTGCGGCTGCTGCCGTCTGACCCGCGCGGGATGCGCACCGTCAACGATGAGGCCAGGCTGAGCAGCGGCTGCCTCGTCGGCGCCTCGTCGGCGGCGGTGTCCTCCTCCATTGCCTCCTCGGACGCTTCGCTGCTCCAGACAGGAAAGCAGCGCGCCGGATAGAGAGCGTAGCTGGAGACTGCACCGTCAAGCAGCACTGCGCCGCCGGCGTCGCTGAGCAGCGGCGCAGTGCGCTGCATCTGACGCAGCGCCAGGGCTCGTGCTGGCAGGTCTTGGGCGGCTGCGAGCGCCAGCGGCGACGAGGCGTCGCTGCACATCAGCGTCACGTCGAGAGAGGCATGCCGCGACGCCAGACTCGTCCATGCTGTGCGGAGCGGCGTCAGAGGCTGAGATGCTGGGTCCTGCCGGCGCACTCACCCTGCAGCTCCTCGTGCTCCATGGCCGCCGCTTTGCACACGACGATGCGCAGCTCTGCACTGGTCCTACGGAACGAGTGCAGTGCGGCGCGCCACACGGCCTCGACGTCGGCCTTGACACTGCCCTTCTTGCGCCAGCCGCGCATCTCGCTCGTCTGCCCTTGCTCGTCGATGATGCTCACGAGCACCGGCTCGTCTGGCTGTGCGCCAAGGTCGTAGCAGACGTGCAAAAGCGTGCCGCGCCGCAGCACGTTGATCGCCGCCGCCGGCCATGCCAACTCGAAGCGCGGGCTGACGGTGCGCGCGGCATCCAGTGTAAAGGCGGGGTACTGCAGCAGTGGCGTTGCTGCGCCGTGCTTGCCACGCGTCGGTGCATGCGAGGGCGGGCAGGGACGGGCTGGCGCCACGGCGACGCGCAAGTCCTCGTACACGGAGAGGGCGAAGCGGCGCAGGTCGAACTCGCTGTGCGCCGAGAGGAACCCTGCGCTCAGGCTTGCCTCGGCGACGAAGAGCATCGGGATCGGCCGCACGTTGATCTGATCGCCGGCAGCACCAAGCGTGCGCCGCGCCATGCGCCGCAGACCGTCCTGCAGGCGCACGAAGGCGTGGAACGGGATCGGCCAGACCGGGTTGCCCGTCGCGTAGAGCACGACGTGTCGCCCGGGCCCGAGGTATGGCTTCATGCGCGAGACGAGCGAGTCGAGCGTGTCGTTCCACGTCTCTGACAGGGTGCCGCGTCAGCCGCTACTCCAAGCGCACAAGCTCACTGCGACTCACCGGCATCGCCCGAGACGTCGTGGATCGACTGCGCGATGCCCACTTCGCCAGCGAGCGCGAGCACGTGGTCAGGACTGGCCTCGTGCGTGCCCAGCCCGAGCGTCTGAAAGGCAAATGTGTCAGCGAAGGCACGTGCAGATCATATGCTCTTGCACGCACCTGAAACGTCTTCTCTAGCCTGGCCAGCCAGCGCGCAACCTCGGTGGCCTGTGACGCCGGCGCGCTCTCGATGTGCAGCGCGAACGCGGTTACACGGCGTGGCCCGCCTGCTGCCGAGAGGCCCAGCTTGTCCCAGAAGCGCAGCGCCGTCGGCGCCACGCGCGTCACGCTGCCCTGGCAGCCGACGAGCAGGTCAGGCGCCTCGAGCACCTCGAGCCGCGCGCCGCTTGATGGAGTTGAGGCGGCCGACGTGTCTGCGCTGCTGCTGTCTTTTACCTCTTCTGCTGCCGGTGCAGCCAGGAGCGCAGCAAGAGAAGCAGGCGTGCCCGTGAGCGCCTCGAGCCCTCGCACCGCCGCCGCACAGTGCAGCGCCGGCACGAGTTGCGCCAGTGAAGGCGTGCCGCGGCGGCCGGGGCCATGCGAGGCAGTGTGACGCATCTGCGGATTCGAGACGAGCCAGTTGACGAGAATGTTCCAGCGGCGGTCGCGCTCGTCCTCAAGCTCCGCCGGCGAGCTCGTGGCGATCATCTCGTCCTCGTCATCCGAGTCGTCGGAGTCCGCAGACTCGTTTGGGGAGCGCACCTCGCTGGGCAGCTCGAGTGCCGGAGCTGCATCGACCTGCTGCACTGCCGCCGCGCCCATCTCGAGCGCCGCCAGCAGATCGGACGCGGCCAAGAGCAATCTGTCGGTGCGGCGCTCGAGCATCTCCTCTTGCTGCTGCTCTTCCTCAGCCGCGCTCTCCTCTGCGCTGCTCTCATCCTCGTCGGCGCCGTCCTCGCTGCCCTCGTCGCTGGCGTCGTCCTGCTCCGACATGGCCTCCTTCTCCTCGGCGCGGTCCAGCAGGCGCAGCTTGTGCAATGCCGGCATGCTGAGCGCCGTGTAGCCATTGCCGCGCGAGCCGATGCGTTTGCGCACCTTGCCCTCGTCAGGCGACAGCGGCGGCGGGCGCCAGTCCGTCGCAGTGACGGCGACATTCTCGTTGCGCCGCTGCGCCGCGCGCAGACTGAGCGTGCGGCCCAGGCTTGGCCGCCGAGCGACGCCAGTCTGTCGGTCAGGGCTGCCGACTGTGGAAGGATGCCGGGGATGCGGCGCAAAGCGCCCGCCCTGATACTTGTTGCTCATGTCGCGCAGCCGCTGCTGCTGGCTGAGCGCCTCCATCGCTGCGCTGCCCTTCTTCTGCGGCGAGACGGATGCGCCAGACGTGCCGAGCAGGCCGGCAGCATCGCTCTCCTCGTCGCGGCGTTCTTGCGGCACCTCGCCGAAGCGCACCGGCGGGCCGTACTGCCCGTCGGCGCCGACGATGCCAATGTGCTGGTCGCCGTCGGCCGGAGAGAAGGGCGTGAGAGGCGTCTTGCCCAGCAGACCGCCAAACGCAGGCGAGCTGGCGGAGAAGAAGGAGCTGGGCGTGAAGCCGGGCAGCGACGGCGGGTCCATGGCACTGCCGCCGCCAATGCTGCCGACGCTTGCCGACGTCGACGAGTGCGAGATCATCTCGCTGCTGCTGCCCGATGGCGCGGTCGGCGGGCCCGGCGTTGCGCCCGCCCAGACGGCTTCTGCGTGCGGCGACTCCTCCATTTGTGTGACGTCGCCAGCAGCGTCGAGGTCCATCGAGAAGACCTCGTCCGGCGCCTCCTTGTCGCTCTCCACCGCTGGGACGACAGTCTGCTCTACTGCGGCGGCGGCAGGCGCAAGCGCATCTGCCTGAGGCGCGGCGAAGGCAGCGCCGTCATCGAAGAACGAAAAGTCATCCTCGGTGAGGCCAAAATCGTCAAGGCCGCTCATCGCGTCGTCGTCCCTTGCCTCTCTGCGCGCAGCTGGCGCCTCGTATGCCGCCGGCGAGGGAAAAGCGCTGAGCTGCATCGACGAGTCAAGCAGCGACATGGCAGAGCCGTTGCTCGTCGCGTGCGTCTCGCGCGCGTGCGGGCTGGCAGGCAGCTCCACGTCTTCGGGTCTGACCTCGCCAGGTGCGGCTGAGTCAGTCTCGCCGGCCGGCTTGCTGGCGTCCGTCGTCTTGCGCAGCACCGCCAATGGCACGTCGTCCTCCTCGCTTGCGTCGTCGGGCGGGTCGTCCATCTTGACCTCTGCGGCATCCTCATCGCCACTACCATCGCCCCAGAGATCCTCGCCCGCCGATGTATCTTCTTCGGCGGGCGCTTCGCTTGTGAGCTCCAGCGCCGGCGCCGCTGCCATGTCTTCGTCCTTGCCTGCAGTGCCTGGCGCCGGCGCTGGCGGCTTCTCGGGCTCGGCAGGAGGCGCAGGCCGCGTCCGCTCGGGCAGAGCGATGCCCTCCCTTCTTGCGGCCGGCGGCTCCTTCAAGACTGGTGCTGGCGGCAGCACAGGCATCTGCAGCAGCGGAGCGCCCGCCTCGCGTAGCAGCGCCGCCGCATCCATTGCGAGCTCGGTAGCCGCGCGCGTGGCGAGCTCAAGGCCGCGCAGTGGCATGGCAGGTGCGCTGCGTGGCGCACTGAGCGCAGCAGCAGGGCGCTGCTGGCTTGCCGCATTGTCGAGCAACAGCAGCGGCGTCGGATAGAGGAAGAGGTGCTCCTCGCCGCCCGCAGGATCGGCGCGCGCACAGAGTGCCCAGCTGCAGGCGGACGGCAGCGCGATGCCCTGATGCGAGAGTGTCTCTCGCAGCGGCGCCGCTTGCTCGGCCGAGGGCATGGAGTGCAGCATGACAAAGGATGCGCTCAGGCCCGACGGCGAGAGCAGCACGGGCATGCGGCGCGCCGGCGGCGACGCGCCAAAGGGCGAGAGCGTGCAGTTGGAGAGGAGCATTGAGAGATGTAGCGCGTCGGGCGTGAGGGCGATGCGCATCTGTGCGAAGGTGCACGCCGGCTTGGCAGCAAAGGGCGACGTCTCACTGCCGCTGCGCAGATGCGGCACCTGCATCAGGCCATGCGAGAGCGGCAGGAACGTGGACGCCGAACGTTCGGGCGCGAGAGGTGAGGCTGGCGCATCCGCCTCGCCCTCTTCGCCCTCCTCGCGCTCCTCGTCGACGCGCATCGCCATAGCGTCTGGCGGAGAGGCGTTGCGCGGCTCCGCTGCCATCGCGGCGCGCGCAGCTGAACAGCGCGCCCACTCGCGCACGCTGCGCTCGCGCAGCGCCCGGCACAGCAGCCGATACAGACGGGCGCGCTGCGGTGCTACAGCGAGAGCCGCCTGTGGATGCTGAGCGGTCCACAGATCCTTGAGTGGTAGCTCGGTGCAGCTGTGCTGCTGAAGCCCCTCGGGCACCGTCGGCACCGGCGCGCTCGCATCTGCGGCGGCGAGGCACACCTCGAAGACGCACAGCTTGGCCGGCGCGCGCGGCGCACTGGTCGGAGCCGGCGTGCGTGCGCCGCTGCTGCTGCAGCTGGCATCGGCGGCGAGCGAGGCCTCGGAGACGGATGCGGCGACGCGTGTCTTGCGCTTGCCGGTAACAGGCAGCGGCAGTGTTGGGGTCGGCACAGGAGGAGCGCGCTCGCTCTCGGCTGCCGGTGTCGCGCGTGGCCAGAGCAGCAGCGGGAAAGCACCGGCGAGGAGGGCATCAAGACCTAGAGGCTGGCTTGTAGATGCCGCAGCCGTGGCGGCGGCGAGCAGAGTGCGCGTGTGTGCCCGCAGCGCATCGGCGGCGCCCGTGTAGGTGATGCATCGCAGCTGCGCCGTCGGCGGCACGGGCAGCGCGACGGCCGAGCAGCGCGTGTGCGGCGAGAGCGTGGCGAGCGGCGGCGCACTGCCGAGCGTGCCGCTGCTGCTGCCAGCGCCAGTGCTGCCGCTGCGTGAGGAGGCGCCGGGCCGGGGTGAGGCCAGGCCGCCGCCGCCGCTGCTGCTGCCCCCGCCGCCGCTGGAGGTGGGAGGAGCGCGCGACAGCGTGGGACGCATGGCGGGCGCACGAGGTGGTGGTGAGATGGTGCGGCAGGTGCGTTTATGAGTGCATGGCGAGCGCCTGGAGTGCGTCGGAGACAGGTGAGAGGTGGTGATGGTGGTGGGAGTGGATGAGCAGACCGCTCCACGTCGACCGCCGCCGGCGCGCCGCAGACCGGGAGCGGAGCTTGGGCGCGCCGCTCGGCGCTGGGCGCCGGCGCCGAGCTACGCTATCGCCGCGCCCACACGAGATCACCGCGCGCCGAGAGGCAAGCCGCCTCGCAGGAGTGCTGCCAGCCAGCACATCTGGTGCTATGTAAGGAGCCGATGCTCATCTAGTTGCGACGTCGTACCTTTTTCATCGCCTCCCCCTGTGCAGCTGGACAGTGCCGCCATAAACAGCGGACCTTCTGACAGCGACGGGCGGTGCTCCGCCTGTCCCACATCCGTCATCTCCGCGGCGTCTGGCGCGCGCATAAAGCACCCCTGGGGCGCAGCCAGATGTGCTGCGCCGAGATTTCAAGGGCTGCATCAGCCCTTGCTGCCAGCGAGACCTGCCCTCTTCCTTCTACAGAACGCAAGACGAGGCACGAGCTCGAGCAACAAGAACGGCCTCTTCGCTCTCTGGCTGCTCGGCTCACGGCCGTGCTGGCACGCGAAGGCGGCCCGCCTGCAGGGTCCAAAGCTTGCGCCCCAGCACCAGCGTCTGCTCGAGCCTTCGTCGTTCCACTTCTCGGCGTCAACGCTTTTCGCAGCACAATAGACCTTCTGGCCTGCTCGTCAGTGGTGGTCATCTGAGCAAAGCCCGAGGGAAGGTCTCTCGAAGCGCAGCTCGGTGAGTAGGAGGCTCTTGCTGCTCCAGATCCTCTGCGCGGGAAAACGAGGATCGTGGCCCGTGCACCAAGATCGGCGCGGCGCAGCCAGAGCGAGCGGCTGCCTTCTTTCTCTCTTTCTCTCTGTCGCAGATTTGCGGCTCTGAGCTGCGGCTGTGGGACCTTCGCAACATTTGAGGTCTACTCCGAAGAAGACATCGCGACTCATCGCGAGTCGCCGACGGAGCGCCGCAGAGGCGACAGCGGCAACTGGTGAGGCCCTTCCGCCCTCAAGGGCTGCGCCGCACTTTGCTGCGGCAACAAGAAAGGGCGCAGACGGCGACGGCGATCTCTCACCCGACGCCGACGGAGTCGTGATGAAGAAGCTCTCACAAAAAAATACTCCGAGGTTCGAAGGGCAAGGGCCACACGGCCGACTCGAGCATGGAGGTGCGGGCGCGAGAGAGAGGCAGAAAGAAGCTCACCCGCATCGGGCGCGCGAGACGAGACCGGCAAACGCGCATGCGGGCGGCGTGCTGGCAGAGGCTCAGGCCAGCCCTGAGCCGTCAGGCACGCGCCGTGCGAAGGAGGCCGGCCGGGCCCGTTGCTTTTGGCGCGGGCCGCACCCTAGCCTCCTCTCTCTCACCCCCCCATTCTCGACGCTGACTCGGCCTCTCTGGTGGACTCTGCCTCTGCGTTCTGTGCTCTCCTTCTCGACCCGCACCTTCTCTCCTTTCTCCTCGCTTGGCATCGCGCCTCGTCCTTCCTCTGTCCGTCCGCCAGGCTTGGCCCTCCACATTCCGGCGCCGCAAAGGAAGCCTTGCGCGCCCGCCTGCGCGCGCTTCCTCTTGCCCTCTCGCAGCTGCCGCATCTCTTTTCTTCCTCTCACACACCATGTCGTCGCCTCTCGCCGCCTTTCTCCAAGCACCCAGCGCAGCGACGCTCTCCGCGCTGCCGCTGGCGCCGCCGCCGCCCGGCTCGGCGGCCGACGCAGCGCCGGCCACGCTACGCGCTGCGCCCGCGGCGCTGCTGGCGTTTGCTCAGGCGCACCCGCTGCTGGCGCCAAGGGCGCTGCAGGCGCTCAAGATCGTGGGCACGGCAGAAAGCGTGAGGAGTGTCATGGGCAGCGAGGAGGTGAGTCCGTGCGGAGAGCCAGGGATGTGGGGCGTCAGAGGCACGGGACAGAGGGGAGCCGCTGGCCTGCGGCATCTCTGCTGCGTCTGCGGCCTGCGCTCGTACGTTCGCCGCTCGTGCTCACCCGCTGCCGCTCCAGATCCTCTCGCAGCTGCTGGCATATCTTCCGCAGGCACCAGCCGGACCTGCGTCCGGCAGTGCAGGCGCGAGCGGCAGCAGCAGCAGCACAAGCTACTCCGGCGCCGTGTCCACCGCCTTCGGGCGAGCATTCACCAAGCGGCCCGGCTCGTCGCGCGCAGGGAGCAGCAGCGGCGGCATGCGCTCCTCGTCGCCGCCCACTACGCCGCTGGAGCAGCACGTTGACGAGTGGGCCGCGGGCGATGCGGCACTGCGCGTGCTCAACAACGCCCTGTTCCTGCACGAGCCAGCACGCGTGACGTTCGCAGATGTGGGCGGGGCGGCCAGGGTGACGGAGATGCTGCGCGTGAGTGGCACGAGTGTACGCATTGTGAGCGCAGAGGCTGACAGCCCATGACTTGCAGAACACGAGCAGCACGCCGCCCGAGATTCTCTTCCTGGGCGCTCGCCTGCTCTTCTTCTGCACGCTCTTCGAGGCGCCCTTCAACCGCGTCGGCGTCGAGGAGCATGGTCTCGTCGGCGTGCTCGTTGCGGTGCGTCGGGCCGTCTCGGCTGCTCGGCGATCCGCACCGCTGATGCCGTCTCTCGCAGCTGCTCAACCACGTCATCAACACGCACGCCGCGGCGCCTGCACGCGAGATGGGCCAGCTGCTGAACCTTGCGGGCGAGGCGCTCAAGACGGCATTCAACCTCGGCCTCTACTACCCACGCCTCGTGCACTCCGAGGTACGGGCGCGCGACGAGAAGGCCGTGGTGGGCGAGGGCTGGGATCGGGCATTGGAGACGTGAGTGGCCAGCGCGACAGCGGTACTCGATCACGAGATGCTGATGTGGACGCATTCGTCAGCCTCATTGAGCCAACTGTGCGACTGCTCGTTGCTGTGCCGCTGCCACCTGGCGCCCATCTGGGTGTGCCGCACAGCAACGCCATCGCCGTGCTGCTCAACTGTCCCATCTCGCCCTACCGTTCCTGGTGGTTCACCGCGCCGCGGCCCCCAGACGAGAAACCTTCGGCAGCGCGACGCATCGCCACTGCCGTCTTCTCGCGCAACAACAGCAACGCCAACGCCACCTCTTCGCCCGTGCCTTCGTCACCCAGCTCTTCCTCCTCTTCCGTTCCCCTCGCCGGCAACGCTGCATTCGAGGCACCGCTACTGACGGCGCTGCTAGGCCTCCTCGACGGCGCGCTGGCACGCTTCTTCCCGCGCATGTCCAATGCCGTGGCTGCAGAGGACGACGAGGGAGCCGCGCGTCGTCTGGCGCAGTCGGAAGGCTCAGATGTAGAAGACACGCTGCAGCCGCTTGTGCTGCTGCTGCGCAAGATTGCCGTCGAGGACGCAGATGCTCGCGCTGCGCTGCGCGCTCGCATTCTGCCGCACGACATGTGAGTGGTGCTCTTGCATGATGCGACAAGCGCGAGGGGCGTCAGCTGAGCTTCTCGCATCCTGCCAGCGACCGCACGGTGCCGCTGAACAAGCGCGAAGACCTCACGGGTCGGCTCATCCGGCGCATGGCCTCGGTCTTACTGCCGCGCCTCGGACGCGTCTGCGGCGAGCTGTTGCTGGCGATCTGCGACTCTGATCGTGAGCGCTCATGCAGCAGCACTTATGCGGGGACCGCTCTGCTGACAGCTGTCGCATCCAGCCAAGACAATGTCGAGCGAGATCGGCTACGGGCCCTGCGCGGGTTTCCTGATGCAGGCCAACCTGGCACATGCGCTGCCCACGTCCGCCGCGCCCCGCACGGCTGCAGCAGGAAGCGGCGAGACACGCGCCGTCAACCCCATCACGGGCCAGCTGGAGCCCAGCGCTGCAGACTTGGCCGCCGAAGCCAAGGCACTGGCCGCGATGAGCGAGGAGCAGAAGGAACAAGAGGCCGAACGGCTCTTCACGCTCTTCGACCGCCTCAACAAGACGGGCGTCGTCAACGTCAAGAATCCGGTGCGCGAGGCGCGCGAGAGTGGCAGGTTTGTGGAGATCGACGAGAGAGAGGAGGAGCGGAGAAGGAAGGAGGAGGACGAGGAGGAGAAGAGATTGGAGGAAGAGGTGGAGAGAGAGATGGGACAGTATCGAGCTCGGAAGGGACGAGGCTGAGGCGGCAGAGGAAGCATGTGATACCCCCGCAAGCCGCGGCTTCTCATTATCCATCTGATGCGATGTTGAGACTCCCGTGGTGCTCCTGGCCTGCAGCATCTGACCGCCGCACGGCCTCACGACCAACATGGGCATGCCGGCGGTCTTTGCGCGCTGAACGCGGAGCGTATGAGATCCCTGCTTGCCCCGCTTCGCAAGCTGTGCTGCTCTTGCTGCAGCAGCAGAACACACAGCAGCGCCAGCTGTGCCAACGGCTGCTCGGCTGCGCGACGGCAAGGGCGGGAACCGCAGAGCTCTGAGTGGCGTGCGACGCCCTGTAGCAGGTCCGCCAGATCGCGGGCCGAAGCAAGCTCGCACAGGAGGCAAGCGCAGGAAGCAGCGCCCGCATTTGCTAGCGTGCTCCTGCGATGCGTCACTCATGCGAGAGAACAGATATGACCTGGCATTGACGAAGGAAGAAGCACAAACGAATCTCTATGTCTAGAATGCACCGCCGCTCTGTGAGGAGATGGGCTGCGTCAGCGAGCCTGCAGAAGCTGAAGCGGCGAGAGCGAGAGGCAAGCTGGGAACTCGAGCAGCAGGGTGAAGCGCCGCATTCGTGAGTTGTGCGCTAGTCTCGAGGTCCCGGGACGTTCGCTGGCGCAAGGGCGATGCGCAGCCCATACGCATGACGCCTCTAGGGTGCTGAGGCTTCTGAACCCTCCAGTGCCCAGACCACCGACCCTTCAGCATCAGCGCCTGCTGACAGCTGGCGGCCCGCTGCAGAGGCCACAGCCGGGAATGACCAGGGCGTCTACAGCTGCCTGCAGCTCGCCTGTGCCGCCTTGCGAAGCACGCCTTCTGCCCTTGCGCTTCGCTTTGGCCCACTCTGCATGTCCGTTCTCTCACGCCGCACTCACCATGACAGCGTCCATCTCCTTCTCCTCCCACCGCAGGCTGGGTGTGTTCCAGAAGCGCTCGGGCAGGTCGAACACATCCTCCACCGCGTTGCTGGCTGCCGCCGCGCCGCCCGTGCCGCCGACCTGGCCGCCCTTGGCGAGCGCCTCGACGGGCTGCAGGGCCGCCTTGTCAAAGTGCGGCCCGCTGGCGAGCTTTTCTTGGAACGAGGAGAAGGCGTCGCGGATGTCGGAGGGCGCGGCAGGATGCGGGTGCGGCGAGTGCGCTGTAGACAAAGGTGAGCATTGGCTGACTCGCTGAGTCGTAGGAGCACAGGCCACACGCACGCGAAGGCTCGGCACGCCGGTCGGGGAAGTGGATGAGCGGCTTGTGCGCGTGGGCGAGGAGGACGCGCGAGGGAGAGGCGAAGCGGGTGAAGGTCGGCAGCATGGCGGCGGATGCAAGGTGGTGGCTGGAGGGGAAGGTGCAGCACAGCGAGTGGAGAAGGGACGCCCAATGCTGCGCCGCCCCAGGAACCGGAGGCATCCGGGGCTAAGCTCGAGCGCCGCCTCCGCCGCCGCGCCTCACGTGCGCGTCGCCGCCGCTCCCACGGTCCTCGGCCGCAAAAGCGTCAGCGCAGCGCGCAGCGGCCAGCGCGGCTGTCCTGCGCTGCGCCTCCATTCCGACGACGACGACGACGACCCTTTCTCCCCCTCACCCGTCCCTCCCAATCATGGCCGCACCCACCGCCTCCGGCAGTGCCGCCGCGCCGTCGCAGCTCACGGGCGCCCTGACGCCCGACTCGTCGGCCTACGTGCACGAGGAGCACTCCGCCTTCGCCATTGCCTCGTCGGCGCAGCCCAGCGCGTCGCAGTTCGGCTTCTTTGCGCCCATCCTCGCGCCGCTGGCGCGCAGCGCGCAGCGCTGGAGCGATGCGCGCTCGGCGCTCGCGCTGCCAAGTCCCGGCACGGCAGAGGCGCTGCAGCGCGAAGTCAAGAGTGCGTCCCGTGGCGTGGTGGAGCCGCAGCTGCGGCTGTGCAGAAGCCACAGGTCCTGTGGCCGCAGCTGCTGCGGCTGCGACGATCCTGGCCGCATAGGTTGACCACTCGTTATCAGGCACGCTGCTCACCAACTTCATCTTCGACGGCGCACGCGCCGACCTCACAAAGGCGCTCTCCATGGCGCCCATCTTCCAGGTCACGCACGCCTTCAGCATGGGCGCCCAGCAGGCGCCGCCGAGCTACAACTTTGGCGCCGTGTATGGCTCGGAGGGCGTGAGTGGCGGCAGCAGGTCAAGCTCAATTGTGGGGTGGAGCTGCAGCAGAGGAGGTGGCATCGCGAGCCGCAGAAGCTGTGCAGCGGGGGCTTGGACAGCACAGTCTCGGGCAGGCGCAGTGCGGGCTGCAGCGGCTGAGCTCCAGAGCGACTCGGGCTGCAGCAGTGCGGGCCGCAGTGACTGTACAGCAGCAGCTCGTCTGGCAGCAGCGCCAGCCTCAGCGTAGCCCGCGACAAGCCTGCCTCGCCATCTGGTGACGCCTCTCTCTCCCTGTGCGTGTGGCGCATGGGCTGACCTTTCTCGCCGCAGTACTTCCTGCAGGGCGGTCTCGACGACTCGGGCTCGGTGACGGTGCGGTGCAACCGCGGCTGGGCGCCGGGGCATATCTCGAAATTCCAGGGGCAGATGACGTCGGTGCCGGGGCAGTCGTTTGCGCAGCTGGAGCACGACTACCAAGGCACGGATCACTCTCTGAACCTCAAGGCGCTGAACCCCAGCCCGACGGATGGCTCGGGCATCTACATTGCCAACTACCTGCAGTCGCTCACGCGCAACTTTGCCGTCGGCGTCGAGGCCATCTACCAGCGGCCCGACGGCGCGGCGCAGGAGGCGGCGCTGGGCTACATGGCCAAGTGGACGAGCGATGCGCGCGACGCCATCGCCACGATGCAGCTGCAGGGCCAGGGCGTGGCGCAGCTCACCTACTGGCAGAAGCTGGCCGACAACGTGTCGACGGCCGCAGACCTGCAGGTCATCACGGCCGGCGGCAGGAGAGACGCGCAGGCGACGCTGGGTGCCAAGTGGGACTTCCGCATGGCCACGTGAGTGTGGGCAGTGGGCGCTGTGCGTGGAGAGGGCCAGCACGCTGACTCGTCCCTTGGATGGCCCCGCAGCTACCGCGCGCAGGTCGACAGCACGGGCAAGATCTCGTCGCTGCTCGAGACGCGCCTGGCGCCGACGCTGGCCCTCACCTTTGGCGGCGAGATCGACCACTTCGTGAGTGGCCTGTGATGAAGAGGCCCCTGTCGCAGCATCGCTGACCACGCCTTTTCTCTCCGCTGCAGAAATCGGCGGCCAAGTTTGGCGTGGGCATCTCGCTCGAGTCGGCCGGCGGCGACCTGGCCTCGCTGGACCCCAACGCGCCGCAGCCGACGCCGCCGAGCGTGCCGATGTGAGGCAGCTGGACAGAAGACAGAGACGGGCAGGGCGACAAGGCGAGCAAGCATGCTTGCAGGGGATGCAGGACCAGGGCATCGATTCTAGACTTCACCACTCCACTCCTGCGTCGCTGCTCGCGCGATGCGCAGCAGCTCGCAACTCCACTCCCATCGATCACCACCCCCCTCTCACTCGCTGGCTGCGGCGGTACCCGACGAGCTTCTCGCTGCGCTTCACGGCCACAAAATACGAACTGGCATGCCACTGGCGTCTGATGAGCAGGAGACGAGCTTGGCAGAATGTAGGCGGCGCCGGCCTGCGGCTAGGGTGCAAGCACAGAGAAGCAGTCCTCGCCGCGCGCGCGGCGGGCGGCGTCTTGCCCCGCACCACGCGCACGGCGGGTCGCGCTGCCTCCTTCCTCCACACCTCTAACACCCCGCACCGCACCCGCGCCTCTCGCCCCTGCGCCCGCCACACCTGCTGCCCCAGCAGGCCCCGCGCAGCTCGCCATGGCGCCGCTCTCGCAGCGGCTGCGCGCCGTGGCGGCGACCTTCTACCGCGGCGGTGCGTCTGCCGCGCGCCCCCGGCCGTGCGCGGTGTCGTCCTTGCCGCCTTCGCTCACGCCTCTCTCGCCGCTGCATCGCTGCTCGCTGCGCCAGGCACCAGCCGAGGCTTGATCTTCTCGCCCGCCTCCTTGGCGCGCTTCGATGCGCCGACGCGCGACCGCATCATCTGCACTGCCAGTGCGTCTCCCTTGCTGCCATCGTCCGACGCTTGCTGCTAACGTCACGCTTCAGTGGGTCAGTCCTCGCCCGCTCGCATCTCCTCGCACAGCACCCTGATGCGCGCACCACGCACACACAGGCAGTCCAGATGCCGACCTGCGCCAGATCAGCGGGCTGGGCGGCGGCGCCTCGTCGCTCTCAAAGTGCGCCGTCGTCTCGGCGCCGTCGGACGACTGGCAGCGCCTGGCACGCATTGCCGGGCATCCCTTCCCAGGCGTGAGCTGGGCGGAGAACTTTGAGCGCGCGAGTGATTCGAAGACCGGCTGGGGTGAGTCTCTCTGTCGCGTCAGACAGGTGCGGGAGCAGCAAGACTGACGCAGCTCACCCTTACTCAGACTGCGTCTTTCGCTTCGGCCAAGTGCCCATCAACGGCACGACGATCGACTGGGGCTCCACGTGCGGCAATCTGGTTGCCGCTGTGGCCGACTATCACCTGAGCAGTGCTGCAGGTGCCTCGCAGGCCATGAAGCGCCTGGGCCGTCCTGCGCATGGCAGTGACGAAGCCGAGCAGCCTCGCAGCATGCCGCTGCGCATCCTCGCGCACGACTCGGGCGCCGTCGTCACGGCACGCATGGATGTGTACTGGCACGCCGACATGCAGCGATGGGCGCCTGCCACTGCAGGAGACGCGGCGATTGCGGGAGTGCCAGGCACGGGCGCGGGAGTGGTCATCGAGAGTCCAGTCAGCGACGTGCTGCCAACGGGCAGGCCCGTCGATACCATCAACGTCGACGGCCTGGGGTCGATAGTGAGTGCCTCACTTGCCTCTGCGCCGCTATCTCGGCTGAGCCAGCCTTCACGCTCAGGACGTCAGCGTGGTCGACACGGGCCTGCCAACGATTTTCGTCGCGGCCTCCTCCCTCGCCCTGCCCGATGCGCTGCTCCTCGCACATCCCTCTGTGCTCGAAGGCGATGCAGCGCAGATGGCCAAGCTGGAGGCGGTGCGGTGCGCTGCAGCGCAATTGACGCCGGAGTTGACAAGACGCTTGTCGCCGCCCGCACCAAAGGTGTGCGTCGTGGCGCCTCGCGCGGCGTACAGCACAACGGGCAGCGAGGCGCTGCGGGCCGAGACCATGGACTGCCTGCTGCGTGCGCTCTCCAACGGCGTGAGTGTTCTGATGCTCTGTCGCAGCGACCTGCTGGTGTTGCTGACAAAAGCTGGTCAAACAGCAAGTGCACCGCACAGTCCCCGCCACGACGCTGTCGGCCGCCGCGGCCGCACATGCCTATCGCGACTCGGTCGTCTCTCGCGTCGTTGCGCAAGGCGGAAGCGAGCCGTGTGCCGCCTCGCGTGCAGCGACCGAGATGGCCTCTGCGGGCGAGGCACCGGGCAAAGTGTGCAGTCTGACAGTCGGGCAGCCCGCGGGTCTCTCGAGCGCCTCAGTGCTGCTGAGTCCAACAGCAGGACCGGGCGGCGAGAGCAGTCCAGCATCCGTCCTCATGCTGCGCACCGCGAGACGAATAATGCACGGCCACGTCCTTGTGCCTCGCTCCTGCGCGCCGTTCGAGGACTGGGCAAACTTCATGCCGCCGCCGCCTGCACAGGAAGGCATCGAGACGGACGACTGGCGGCAGAGCAGTGTTGATGGCGAGGAGATCCCGAGCTTCCGGTAGAGATGTGTCTTCGCAAATGCATTGCCCCGCTGTCACCCTGAAGTCTTCGACACGCTGATATCACATGAACGAGTCGTCGCTCTCCTCGCCGTCTGACTCGTCGTCGCCGCCTCCTGCTGCTGCTCGCTCGGCCGCCTCCTGTGCCTTGGCGCGTGCTACTCGTGCCTTCTCGGCCTGTGCAGCTGCCAGGGCTTCATCGCCATACACTGTCGCGCACGGCGTGTCAGCATCGAGGGTGGTGAGAGGAGCGAGGGCGAGAGCATGACGACGCACAAGACGAGTAGTCACGCGCACTCTTGTCGGCTTGACGCGTGCGTTGCTCCTCGAGCTTCTTGTTGCGCTGCCAGGGCCAGACGGGTTCGGTGCACAGGTCAGAGCTACGGCCTGCAACGAGCGGGCAGGGGAAGAGCGCACCTCTGCAACAGCCACCTCTCGCCGTGCCTTTGCGCGCGCCTTCTCCCGCTCGACCCGCTGGGCCTCGTGGTCTACCTGCTCCTCGCGCTTCGTCTTGTTGAGCCGATTGACAATCTTGTTGTCGCGCGCCGCGACGTAGTGTCGCTTCACCTGGCAGCAAGCGGCATCAGCGTGTCGCGTGCCACCTCTCGGGAGGCGGCAAGCGAACGCACCACGCGCTCGTTGTGGAAAGAGACGGAGCCTGTGGCCATGTCGCCCGTCTTCTTGACGTTGGACCACGGTGTGTAGATGATGGTGATGTTGTCCTTCTTGTTGCCTGATCGCCGCACCAATGTGAGCAAAAGCTAGACAGCGCGACGTTGCCACGCACCCTCAATGCTGTTTGCCTTGACGAGCTGCGAGGCATCGTCCAGCAGCGTCGTGGGCAGTGCATCCCAGGTCTGCGAGGGTGTGAGACGGAGATAGACGTGGGCGGATGAGAGCTGCGCCGGCACAGGTCAGCCCTGAGCTGCAAGGCGGCTGGCAGAGTGCCGCACCTTGTCGACGTGGAACCAGACGTCCTGTCTTGACATCGTCAGCGGATAGCACAGGAGATGCACGCGGGGCCACGCACAAGCTCGTCGCCATAGCGCAGCAGCTCCTCATCTGACGCGGCAGTCAGCACTGCTTTGCACTGCACGCTAGAGGCGCTGCTACGCACTCTCCACCTTGTCGCGCCCCATGTACAGCTGCTGCGCTGGATCCACCGCTGAGAGAGGCACGATTCAGCAGCGATGCCTGCGCGCCCGCTGCAAGCCGCGCACCCGTGGAGGTGAAGAAGAGCACCATGCTGGTCCGCCTGCACGTTCACCAGATTCTGCACGCCTCTTGCCGTCGTTGTCAGAGGCAGCCGAGGCGGCAATGGCTCTCGTCGTCATCGGCGAGGCACAGCGAGCGGGCACCCAGAGCGCGGCACATGCTCGGCTAGAGCGTGGGAGCAGCCGGGCCTCCACTCCCCTGGCGCGCCTCGTTCGTGGCCAAGCCTCGTTTCGCTTTCCAGCCACGGCCGGCCACGTCTCAAGCTGACTTGCGCTCGCACTCGAAGTGAGGCCGACGTTGCCCTTCGCCGCTGGCAAGATCTGCCTCGCACGGTGCGGGATGCTCTGCCGCGCCCGCGCCAAGGCCAACGTCCCGGCGCGCTCTCTGGGGCCGGGCTGCGTGCGCGCCTTGGCCAACGGCTCGCACGGGGCTTACGCGCATGCCACGCCGCGCGCGCCGGCCGTGGCCGAGCTGAGCTTTGGGCAGCGCCTCGAGGCTTCCTCAGGAGCACCCAGGCAGCACGACGGCCGGCAACTTTGACGCCGCACAGCTGCACACGCCGCACTCTCGGTGCCGCCGCCGGTGCCGCACGCACACGACGGCGCGCTCAAGGCAACGGAGCGGCTCGCGCCGCACTCCGCCGCGTCCGTCCGCTGCGCCGGGCCGCGGCAAGGCATCGCTTGGCCTCTCGCTGCCTCTGCTGCTGCTGCTGCTGCTGCTGAAGCCTCGTCAAGGCAGCCCACATGCTCACAAGATGCGAGCACCGCCACGCACACCCGTCGACTCGCATGCCTGCAGCGCAGCGCGGCGGAGCCTGAGACACACTCGCGAGAGCAACACGACGTTGCGACCACACGACCGAGAGCAGACATCAGCATCCCTTGCGCACCTCGCTCGCCCGTCTCCTTCTCTCCTTCTCTCCACTACCACCTGTATCCTGCGTGTCCCTCGCTCCTGCTCCGTGCTCTCGCTCCCTGTCGTGGCCTATATTACTCCTCCCTGCCCCACCTAATCTCCAGCTCGACTCAGCCCTTCGACGACAAGACTTCGCTTCCGCCTTCTTGCGGCCCAAACTCCACCCAATATGGACGGCCAGTCCTCGTTCGACGCCTCACTCGCCGGTCCGAGCGACGCTGCTCTGCGGCGCTCCTCGGCATCGCTGATCAAGAGCAGCGACAGCACGGCGGGCATTGCGCTGCTGCCGCGCTCCCTCTTCCTGCCGCGCGCTTCCTCGCTGCAACGACGAAACGCAAGCACGCACATGCTGCTCTCGCTCGACCGCATCGTGCCCGAGATGCAGGCGCTCGATGAGCGGGCAGAGGAGGGCCAGTTCGACGACGCAGAGGTGGAGCCGGCGTTCGAGACAGTGGCCATGCCTGCCGGTGTGTAGTTCTGCTTCCTTGTTGCGTGACACTGTACTGACGCCCAGCACAGCTCCTCACCCTTCTTCGTACGCACCGCCCAGCCTCACATCGCGCTCAGCCACGCACGAGGCCGACGGCGACAGTCTGGCTGCAAACCTGCATCACGCCTCCGTGGCGCTCGAGGAGCTGCGCAGCAGCGTGGTGGAGCGGCCTCGCCGGCGTTCCTTTGCCATCGGAGCGAGCCGGGCGCCAAGCACCATGCCGCTCCGTGCATTGCGTCGCTTCAGCCAGCTGCCGCAAGATGCCGGCGCCTCGCCGTCGGTAGACGAAGACCTCAGCTTTGCTCGCTGGAAAGCGGCCTTTCACGCACGTCGCCTTGCCGAACAGATGGTTGCCGAGGCTCAGCCAGTCGCGTCGCCCATCGTCGAGGACAACGTCTCGAGCTTCGCCTCGCCCGTCGAGCTCATCGCGATCCGCGACACGTCGCTGCAGGTCACCGACGACTCCGACGTGCTCAGTCCCATCTTGCCGAGCGCTCGCAGCGTCGTGCTCGACATGGACGCCGCTGCTTCGCCCGCCACGTCGCTGTCCGACGCAGCGTCAGGCAGGATGATGATCAAGCGTGTGCTCGTCTCGCACCTGCGTCTGCCGCTATCGAACAGCCCCAGAGTGCGCGGCCGCAGCGCCACGCCATCCTCGCTCCCTTTCCTTGCCGAGAGCGCCTCGCATGATCCGACGCCGGAGTCTAGGACGCTCAGTGCAAGCCTCGCACAACGCGCCATCGATGCGCCGCTGTCCTCGGAAACCGAGGACATGGCCGGTCTCGGACTCGGCATCTTTGTCGAGGAGGCACAAGCGCCTCTACAGCCTGCCGAGGAGTGGTTCGATGCGCGCGAGATCATCGACGACGACAACAGCAGCAGCGTCCAGCTGCAGGGGGGGCGCACCAAGCCCGTCGAGGCTCGGCCGCCGGCATTCCAGCCGCACAGGGTCGACGCGCTGCACCAGTCCGGCCACATGGCCAAAGTTGTCGTGCCGTCCAAGGGCGACGCCTCTCCCTCGCTGCACCGTCGCGCCCTTCTCGGTGCCAGCGGCATCTCTTCGCCCGTGCTCGGCGCCAAGGCAACTGGCTTTGTGCTTGCGCCGCGACACTGGAACGTCACGGGCACTGCTGCCAACAACAACAAGCACGCTGCAGGCGCCAAGGACGACAAGAAGAAGGCCAGCTCCTCCAACCCGTGCCCTCCCACGCCCACCGCTGCGCGCTCGGGCGTCGACGCCAATGCGCACGCCAACTCGACTTGGAGCTCGCCCCAGGCGACTGCCTCGCCTGCGTTTGCCAACAGCACGAACAGCACGCCTGCGCTGGCGCAGACACCGACAATGGCCAGCCTGCCTGCCTCGCCGCTCATCGTACAGGCTGCGGCGACGGGCGCGCCGGAGCAGGCTCAACAGCAAGACGCACCGCCGCCGACCGCGGCTCCTCAGCAAGCACAGGGCGCCGCGGGTCACCTCACCACGGCCACCATGGTCGCTGCCAGCGCCGCTGGCGCATTGCTTCTCGTGCTTGCGTGCATCTGGGCGTTCCTGGCGCGTAAGCGGCGCAACAAGCGCCGGCGCCATCTGTCAGGCGTCATGCGCCGCTTCGACGCCAAGCACGGCGGCGGCGGCATGAACGACTCGGGCTCCAGTCTCGACGTCGTCAAGCCGGCCGCATACGACCGCGAGCCCAAGGGCGGCTGGTCGGAGAAGGCCATGCTGGCGTCGAGCAGCTCGGGCATCGACAGCGCCGCCTACTTCAGCGCCAACAAGCCGCCGACGAGCTGCTCGGAGGAGCTCACCGTCATCACGCCCTGGATGCTCGGCGAGGACGGCAAGCCCGTCGGCTCGCGCATCTCGACGGACCTGGCGCGCTCCGGCCTTGTATGCGCCAGCCCCAGCAAGGACGCCACGTTCAGCTGGCAGCACCCCACGCTCTCGCTGCCGCCGGCCGCCGCACGGGCGCTCGTCACGAGCCACTATGTCAAGAAGCGCACCACGCTGCCGGCCAAGGCAGCCGCAGCTGCTGCGGCCAATGGCAACGGACTCTCGACTGCAAGCTCTCCGAATCTGAGCTCGGCCGGCAGCTCGCCGACCTTCCCCGCTCCCGTGGCGCAGGACACGCCGGCGCACACTGCACCGAGCTCGGTCGCGGGCGCCGACGACACGCTGGCGTACGCGTCGTCAGCCTACATCGACCCTGGCCTCCCGTCTGCCGCCTCGGCTCCGGCAGTCGCTAGCCTGCGCAGTGGGCCAGTGGCGTACGCTGCGCCCGAGTCTGTCTCGGCCAGCTCGAACAGCACCGACAACCGCGCGCCGTGGCTGTCCAACTTCCTGCGCGGTCTGCGCCAGACGACGTCGACGCCGCCGCGCGACCGTGCCAGCATGGTCATCAGCCCGCCGCACAGTCTGCCGAGCGTCTCGTCGGCCTCGATGGCCGGACAGGCCACACCGCCGGCGAGCTACACGAGCGGCAGCGACTCTGGCATCGTGCACTTTGTCACTGAGCGCGCGAGCGGGCCCGTCACCTCCTCGGCGTCAGTCTTTGGCGGCTCAGAGGCGCGGCACATCGTCTCGAGCTCGACTGGCAAGGGCCGTGCCCGCTCGTCGACACTGACGCAGCCTGGGCGCATCTCGCTCGCTGCCCTGCCTGCGCCCGCCAAGTCGTCCAGCATCGAGCTGCCGCGCGCGGCAAAGTCGTCTGCGCCGCTCGTCATCGTCTCGCGCCCGTCCGAGATTCTCTCCGGCGGCACGCGACGCCTCTCCAACTGGCGCACCTCGCTGTCGACGTGCCGCGAGGACAGCCGAGACAGCCTGGCGCAGGCCGCCGCTGCTCCAGCTGCCGAGCGCCCCGGCAACATGCGCCAGGGCACCTTTGGGCCCTCGTGGGCCGCGCTGCAGCCGCGCAGCGACTTTGACTCGAGCGAGGACGAGATGCGGCAGGGCTACGAGGCCGGCGAGGAGACGGACGGCGAGCTGCCCTCGACGCTCTTCTCCGTGCGCTACCTCACCCAGCGCCCGCCCAGCGTGCCGAGCTCCGCCGCGACGGCCACGACATCGTCGGGCCCCAGCATGCCTCCGACGCCCACGAAGCCCTCGCTGAGCTCGAGCAGCTCGCCGAACGGCGTGCACAAGCGTGCGCCTCGCCTGCCGCCCATGCCGCTCATCACGCTCACGCTCGACGACGGCCTCGTGCAGCGGCCCCTCTCGCTCACCTCCGACTCGTCTGACGACGAGCCGGCGCCGATCACGCCGACGTCGGCCACGCGGCCGCCCTCCGCCGTGTCGCAGACGCGCCTGGCGCTGCAGTCTGTCGACACGATGGACGAGCTCAGCGACCTGGCGTACAAGACGGCGCCGTCCGACGGCCGCCTCAGCCGCGCCTCGCTGCGTCACTCGCGCGAGCTGCTGCCCGACGACGACGGCTATGGTAGCGATTCGGCGGAAGGCTGCCTCGAGGCCGACGACTTCCCGACGCTCCCGGCGTGGACGCCGATGACGACTGGCCGGCGGCCGTCGTACTAGACCCTTTCCTCTTGCGCTGCCTCGCGCACGCACACACACTCTCTTCGCTCCGCTCCGCCTCCTGTAGCCTCGCAGCCCGCGCCCCTCTGTATTTCTGCTCTCGCTCCCTCTCTCTCACTGCGCGCGGCGCATGTATCGGATGTGTCAAGACCATCGTTGCGTGCGAGGCGTGCGGCGTGTGTTGACGGGGTGTGCGGACAGGTTGCGCTCACGAGTCAGGCGGTACGGGACGGGCGGGACGGGAGTAGCACGGACGTGGCGGCGACGTGGCTCGCTCCGGGGACGGATCAGAAGCGGCGCGACGAGAACGGCTGGCCGCGGTCGGGCAGGTTCGGGTTGGTGAGGCGCTCGAGGTTGTGCGCCTTGGGGCCGGGCATCAGGCGCGCCATGCGCTCGGCCAGGTCCGCCATCTCGGCGCGCAGCTCTGCCTCGGTCGCGGCCTTGCTAGACGCCGCAGGCACAGCAGAAGCCGCTGCGCTCGACGTGCTGCTGCTCGCAGCACCGGCGGTGGCCTTGTCCTGCGTCTCAGAAGGCGCACTCTGGCCTTCGAGCTTGCTGGTAGCCTCCGCGTGCGGCGCGCGCAGAGGACGGAAGGCGCGCGGCATGCCACGCACCGGCAGCGGACCAGCGTCCGTCTGGCGCATCATTGCCGATGAGCGCTTGCGGACTAGGGCCGGCGACGGCGACGTAGGCGGCGAGGTGAAGGCGGTGGCGTCGCTCTTCTGCGCCGAGGAGGCCGCCGACGCAGTAACCGCCGACACAGGCGAGAAGGTCGCGGCGGGCGACATGGCCGCGGGCGATGCGCTCGTGAACGACGCTGCGCCGCTCGCCCACGACTCGTACTGCTGCTTGAGATGCGCGGTGCGCGGAGGCGTCGAAGGCGCCGCCTGCTCGGTGGTGCTAGCAGCAGCGGCCGGCTGGCTTGCCGGCGAAGCGGGTGCAGCCGTGTTCTCGGCCGGCTCGGTAGTGCCGCCGGCAGGTGGCTGTGTGCTGGGCGGCGACGCAGTGCCTTCAGCGTGCGCAACGGTGCCGGAGGCGGCTGACTGCGAGTCGGCCGCCGTGCTGCCCTGCGCTGAAGCGGTGGGGCTGCTGGGCGTGTCGTCAGACGGCGACGAGGGCGCCGCCTTCGGCGCAGGGGCGCTCGGCTTCTTGCCGAACTTGGCGGCAAAGCTAGCCTGCGCCGCCTTGAAGTAGCTCGTGAAGTTTCCGGCCACGCCTGGCTTCAGAGGAACGATCGCCTCGCCGAGCTCGTGCACCGGAGTGCTGTAGTATGCCATCTGGGCTTCTGGGCTCTCGCTGGCAAAGGCAGCAGCCACGACCGCAGCGTCGCGCTCCACGTTCAGCTCGGGGTGCGCGGGGCCGGCGGCGGGCCTCGCGGCGGCGCCAGGAAACGTGAGAGCGGCCATCAGGGCGCCGTCATACTCGCCGGCCTCGATGGCAGCGAGCAGAGGATCGGGAGCGTCGCTGTCTGCATCGCCGTCTACGTCGCCCGACTTGTCCTCCGGAATGCAAACCACAATCTTAGCAGTCTGCTCCTTCTGAGGCTCGGGGAGCTTGCGCCCGGCGTCCGGAGCGGGCTCGGCCGACTTGACCTCCGTCTCGGAAAGAGCGGCAGCCTTGCGCTTAGGCTCATTGCTGCGCGGCGCCGTGCTGGTGCCGCTGCTGTCGGACTGCGTCTCGGGCGTGCGCGTCGGAGGCACAAGACCGATGACCTTGAGGAACTCCGCAGCATCGAAGTCGCCGCTGATCGCTAGCTTGTCTCCGAACTGCTTCCGTTCGCTCATCTTGGCCTTGCTCTTGGCACTTGCGCTGCTCTCGGTGCGAGCCTCCAGCTTGGGCGCGGGCGCAGGCGTCTGCAGGACATGGGCATCAGCGAGTGTCACGGCGCGCTGAGGAGTGCAACGCACCTTCGTCTTGGCAGCACCGCTGGAGGAGTGCTTGGGCGCCGGCGCGCGGCCGGTTCCGTAGTAGAGGCCGTCGCTCCCGCTGCTCTCGTTGCCCTCGTCCGAGCACGAGTCGAGGATCTCATCAGGATCGCCGAACAAATCAGGCAGGCCCCAGCCGCCCTTCATCGACGCGTTGTTGAAGCGGGCCGCCTCGGCCGGGTCCGGGAACTTGGCATGCGCACGCTGCTGGAAGTACGCAAGGCGGTCGTCCTCGCGCAGGAAGTCGAGCTCGGCGCGCATCTCCTCGACCCACAGCTTGTACTTGGCAGGCACGCCGTCCGTGTTCGAGACGAAGCGCGCGCTGAACGCGGGTATCGCTGCAGCGGCACGCTGCTTCGCGCTCGGCGCAGCCTTGCCGGCGGGCGCCTTGCCCTTCTTGAGTCTGCGGCGCGGCTTTGCGGCAGGCGCGCTCGAGGCGGCGGCTGCGTCCTTGTTGGAGCTGCCGGGCTGAGCAAGCGTGCTCAGGTCGGCCGGCGGGTTGTTCTTGAGGTGCTCGCGCATCGCGGCGTCAGAGCCCCAAGGCGAGGCGGCCAGCGCAGCGTCGACGGCGCCCTCCTCGAACACCTTTCCCGGGAACAGGTCCGGCAGGCCCATGCCCAGCTTCTGCGTGAGGAGATGGAAGCACTCGCGGGCCTGGGTGTCCGGCATGAGCGACTCAATCTTGGCGCGGTACGCCGCGTCTCGGTCCTTGGCCGGCAGACCGGCGAGGAAGCTGTGCGCTCCGGCGGCCCACGCGCTGGCTCGATCAGACTTCGGCGGGTGGTCTGCCATAGCTCCTAGAGCGAGGAGGCTGGCCACGACGTCCTTCTCGGTTGGCGTGACGCCGGACTCGCCGAGCGGACTGTCATGCTCGTATTCCTTACCGGGGTACAGCTCAGGCAGGCCGAGCTTCTGCTTGCGCGCCAGGTAGTTCATCGACTCGGCCATGCCAGGCCGCGGCTCCGACGTGAACATGAACTCGCGATACGCTGCGAGGCGGTCGCCCTCAGGCAGCTTGTCGAGCTCCTCGTGCATCGCTGTGGCCCACGTCGAGAGATCTGGCAGCGACCTCGTGGCCGACGCGGCCGAGGCGGCGGACGCGGCTGCGTCAGGCGGCTCACGCTTCTCGGCGGCCGACTTGCCGGGAGCGGCTGCGTCAGGCGCTTCATGCTTCCTCTCGGCCGCCCTGGCCGCGGCGATGGCGGCCAATATGCCGCGCGCCGCAGCCGACTTCTTGAGGTCGTCCATGTCGCTCAGGCTGGTCGGCAGACCGGGCAGGCCGTCGCCCTCAAGCAGCTTACGGCTCTCCAGCGAGATGTTGTCGTCAAGGGCATATTGCTCGATCAGAGCCTTCGTGTGCGCGGACTTCTGCTCCTTCGGCATTGCGTCCAGCTTCACCCGCGCTGCGGTGACCCAGGCCGACGCGGTCGAGGGCGCGTCCGGCTTAGTCTCGGGCTTGGCCGTGGACTTGCCCGCCGACGCAGCCGCCGGCGTCGTCTTGTTGCTCTCCTCGTCCTTCTTGGCCTCGAGCCGGCAGCGCTTGCAGCCGCAGACGGCGCCGTCGGCGATCGGCGGGCCGAGCGCGGCGAGGAGGCGCTCGTTGTACTGGCTGCGCAGCGTGGCGCTCTGCCCGATGCGGTACTTCGTCCTTCGAATGTCGTTAATTTGCGCAATTGAATGGTAATGGACCGTGGAAACGCCCGTGTCCATGCGTGTGGCGATGACGGCGGCCGTGTCATATGTGTGCGCCGTGAGCTGGAAGTGCATCTCGCCGAGCGGGCTGGCCGAGGCAAAGTCGGGCGCGTGCCACTGCAGCTCCTTGTTCTTGCGCGGCGGGATGCGCGCAGAGAGCACCGCCAGCGCGAGGCGGTCGCAGATGGTGCGCATGGCCAGGATCTCGTCGACGCACTCGACATTCGCCGCAAACGTGTCAAGAGCGCGCTGAAAGGCCGCGTCCACCGTGATCTCTACGGGAGGCTCGGCCGTCGAGTGCAGCACCCACTTGCCCTTGCTCTCGTTGAAGGCGAGCGTGCGCCAGCCGCCCAGGTCGTCAAAGGAGTCATGCGGGTCGACGACGATGATCCAGTAGTCCTTCGAGCCGGCCGGGAAGCCGGGGTCGTCGACTCTAAGCGCCTTCACGCGCGCATGGTTCAGCGGATCGGGGCCCGCCTTCTTGCCGATGCGCATCGTCTCGGCCATCTCCTGCGACATGGCCTCGAGCTCTTTGCTCTGCATGGCGTGCAGTGCGAGCACGTGCCGCGCGCAGTAAGGCTGGCCGGCCGGCGGACGATGGCCGACGGGCGCATGCAGCACGTCCTCGCCTTTGAACGTGCCGTACACGCTTTCGCCGCCCTCGAATCCACCGTAGACGGCGAGCGCCGGGTCGTCGCGTGCGACAAAGCGCTTGGCTGCGCGTGAGGGCGTCGACGAAGCGCTGCTCGCGCTAGCCTTGCCCTTGGCGGCTGCCGGACGCTGCGCCTTCTCCTCGGCCCTCTTGCGCTCGCGCTCATCGATTGCGTCGGTGATGTGCGCCTGGATGATGGCCTGCGCGCCGGCGACTGCGGGGCCGCGGCCGCCGCTGGAGATGGTCTTGATCGCGTCCTCGACGCGGCGCGAGTACGGCGTCTCGATGGTGTCCTCGACCTCGTGCTTCTCGTTGCGGCGGCGCTCCAGGATGATGGGTCCGCCGGCGCGCTCGGGCGGCCGCACGCACCAGATGCTCTCGTTGGCCAGCGGCGCACGGCTGACGCGGCCGATGGGCGACACCTCGCCGTAGTCGCGCGTGGCGTTGAGCATGGGCGGCACACACTCGGCGCACGGGCAGCCAAAGCAGACCTCGCTCAGCAGGTGGCCGTTGCGCACCGAGAGACTGTCCAGGGAGTGGTCGTTGCCGGGACCGTGCCTGTGCGGCTGGTGCGCCGACGACGGCTGCGGCGGTGCGGCGGCGGCGTCGGTGAGCGTGACGGCGCTGCCAAAGACGCTGCTGATGAGCTTCTGCGCCGCGAGCGCACGCGCCGTCTGCGCCTCGCGGCTGTAGTTGTGGTCGCCGACGGCGATGCCCTCGTTGGGCGGCGGACGCATGTCGGCGGGCAGGGGCGGCGGCGGCGCGGGCGCGGCGGCGAGGCGGGTGCGCGCCATGGCCTCGAGTGCACGGCCGGCGTCGCTGTCGGCAAACTCGCCGCACTCGAGCATGAACTGCAGCGCACGCAGCACGTCGGGGCTGTCGCTGCCCATCGGTGCCGCGGCCGACGAGCCGGCGGCGGGCGTCTTGGGCGAGGAGCCGGAGACGAGGAAGCCCTTGCGCATGGTGAGCGTGCGCGGGCGGGACGTGGTGGTGCGGACGCAGGAGTGAGTGAGAGCAGCGATTACTTATGCCTGCGCTGCCAGCAATGCACAGAGGACGAGCTGACGACACCAGAACAAGGCGCGGCCGCAGCGGCGAGCCCGAGGGAAGAGGTCGCCGCAGCAGCGGCCAGCGCAAACGCAGGCCGCCGCCGCTGTTGCTCTCTTCGAGGGTCCCACTTTGCCGCAAAGTGGGCGGCGCCACCACGTGCCGCTGCTCCTCTCTGCGCGCCCTGATGATCTCGTTGCCAGCGCATCAAGGCGTCTCAAAGCGAGCCGAGAGAGGCGAGCGCTGATATCCTCAGGTGCAGAGGCAGCGCCATCTGAGCCCAGCGTACTGCGGGCTGCGCGGCGCTGCGCTTGGGCGGCCCTGCGGTGCTGCCGTCTGCGACTACGTGCTGAGCAGATCTTGCGAGCCGGTCTTGCCTCATCGAGCGCTGAATGCGTGCGCGATGACCTTGAAGAGTGATGCCCGGCGCCACAGGGGTGCGGCCGCAAAGGGAAGGAGAGCCAGGCGGTAAACACCGCCTCGTCACGTCGCGTCACTCGAAGAGCCGCACCTGCCTGCTGCCGCGGCTCTGCTGCGGCACGCCAGCACAGCCCCGCCCGGCCTGCTGCGCACCGTATAAAGGCTGCGCCCCCGGCGCTGCTCCCTGCCTCCCGCCACCACCCTCTCCCGCTCCCCTGCGGCGCTCCGCCTCGGCCGTGTCGTGCGGGGTGAGCAGAGGCAACACAGCGCCCGCCCGAGCTGCGCTGAACTGATGCCTGCACCTCAGCCTCCTCGCTCCAGCGCCTGGAGGCCGTCGTCGCCGCCGTCGTCGTCGCCGCCGTCGTCGTCGCTGCTCGGGTGGCGCCTGTTGTGAGCACGGCCGCGACTGCGCATGCGCTGCACTTGACTGACGCCTGCCCCCGGCCCCCTTCTCCTCTCTCCCGCGCCCAGCCGCTGGCACCTACGCTCTGTCCACTGCCACGCACCGCCCTGCCTCAGCTCGCCGTCCGCGCACGTCGCACGCTGCTTCACTCCACCCCCAATCTCACTTCACACGCTCCTTTGCCTCTGCCCCCCGCCACCACACACCACACACATGTAACAGCGCATTACAAGCGTTGTCAGCACATCCCCCCAGCGGGGATGATAATGCGAAAGAGAAGAGCCGGTGCTGCTCTTGCGCAGCCCGCATCTTCATGCGCAGTGGATCCGTGATTGCTGGCTTGCTGGTTGTGAGCCTCTGAGTCTTGTTGAGCGTCTCCGTGGTCGTTGCGTCTGCGAGCGGGCGCCGCGCGAGCGAGGCTTGCCTCTGCGCGAGGCGGGGCGTGTGGTGTCTCGTGCGGGAAATTTCGAGGCGCCTCGGACCTCCACCGAGCAGCATGAGCTGCGCCGCTCCATCTTCCTGGCCCTCACACCGCCAGCCACTTCTCCACTCAACCCTTCACCAGCACGATGAGCGAGCGCTCGGAGCTCCTACGGCCGCGCCTCGTTGATCTCGCCGAGCTCGACGACGACGATGCCGGCTCGTCGGGCGCCGCGCTCAACTGGCCGCCTGCCGCGACTGCGTTCCGCCGCGCTCCGCCGCCCGTCGTCTCGGCTTCTAAGGCGCGCAGCAACACAGCAGACGCTCAGACTGGCTCGCGCTCAGCCGCAGCGACCTCGAGCACCACTCAGACTGCCTCATCCGCGCCTTCTGGCTCTGCACCGACGCCTCGCAAGTCGGTGCGCATCGCGCCCGAGTCGAGCAACGAGGTGCGCGAGATCGAGGCCAACTCGCGTGCTCGCCCCGCAGCCGAGTCTGCGGCGCCGCGCACCTCTCGCTTTGCGCAGCGTGCTGCTCAGCAGGCTAGCAGCTCCAGCTCCCCCTCACCGGGCTTCTCCTGGGCTCCAGGCCGCTTCACGCTGCCGCTCAACGGCGACGAGCATGCCGCACGTGTGGCTGATGAGGCAGATGAGGAAGAGGAGGAGGAGCTCGGTGCGCCGATCGAAGCTGCGGCGCCCGTCATGCGTGGGGTGCGGGAGCGCGTGCCAGGCGGAGCAGGAGCAGCCGCACAGCCAAAGGCCCCAGGCGAGAGCCGCTTCGCAGCGATGCGGCGACTCAATGCCGAGGGTGGCACGTCGGGAAGCAAGCCGACGGGCTTTCCGGCCGTCTCGCATCGCGACACGTCAAGCGACACGTCGAGCAGTGCTACAGATGCATCGACAAGCACGCAGTGGCTGGACGAAGATGGTCTACCCATGAGTGCCTTCCGGCGCGCAAGGCTGCAAGCGGCCGGCAAGGGCCCGCCAGCGCAGAAAGCCGCAAGCGTGGCCAAGCCAGCCGCTCCGGCTGCGACCTCGTCTTCATCTGCGCCTTCCACGTCGGCGCTGCCAGGCCAGGACATGGCGACGTCGCAACTCATGCGCGATGCAGACGCCGAGAATGAGCGCAAGGTGCAGCGGATGGACGCGGCGCAGGTCGAGTCGGAGCTCGAGGAGCTCAAGGCGCACTTTGGCGCCGAGATGCTGGAGCTACTGCGGGGTCGCAAGGCCGACACGCAGAAGACAGTGTCACAGGCTCCCGAGCTGCCGCTGCCGCAAGAGCCATCTCCCGCACCGCAGCCCTCTGCGTCCGCGGGCCCGAGCCGAGCCAAAGCAGCACCTGCCTCAAGCGACGCCGCCACGCCCGCCGACATCCACTCGCGCTACTTTCCCGACGAGCCGGCTGCGCCGTCCGGGCTGCAGTGGATGCTCGACCAGACGGCAGGCGCCGCAAACCCCGCGCCCGAGCCTGGCAGCACGACGCGCTTCGACTTTGAAGGCCGTGTAGTGCGACGCGGCGAGGCCCGGCCCGGTGAAGGCCTGCACCACCACGGCGCCGACGCCGACGCCGCTGGCTACACAGCCGCCGAGCTGCTGCATCTTGCACGCAGCACTGTGCCTGCACAGCGCGTCTCGGCGCTCAATACTCTGCAGCGCGTGTTGGAGACGCACGCTCAGCTACTCGGCATGCCGGCCGAGGCAGATCCGGTCGCCAGCGCTCTGGACGCCGCCCATGTAAGGCAACGCCTCGCGCTCACGGCCGTCTGGCTGCTGCGTGATCGCCAGCGCAGCGTACGTCTGGCTGCCCTGTTGGCGCTGCGTGCCGCCCTCGCGTCGGCGGCGAGAGGACCGGCACCTTTCGCAGCTGTCGAGGCGCCGCATCTGCCCGCGCCTGTGCGCGAGGAGACATTCGAGGTCGCCGTCAAGCGCGACATCGTTGACGGCACGCTGCGTGCCGGCCTCACTAGCGCCCTCACAATTGCATTGGCCGAAGCGCCCGAGCTCTGCGACGTCGCAGTCGACGTGCTCTACCTCGTCGCAAGCCATTCGCCATTTGCTGCGCACGCCGCAACCTCAGAAGCAGGGCTGCTCGAAGCGCTCGGCGAGCATGCTCTGCGCGCACGCGGCGAGCGTGCAAATGCACGCGCTTTGGATGTGCTGTTGCTCTGCGCGAGCGCAGACGTCGCCTCTGCTAGGCGAGTCGCTACTGGTCCGGCCTCGCAGCTGCTGCGCTACGTCGCGATGCCGCCCTGGCTGCTGGATGAAAGCACCACAGCTCACGCCTGGCTGCTTCTCACCGGCACGCTTCGTCTGCATGCCACGCTGGCGCGCTATGGGCTCGGAGCGCCATTGCTTGCCTCGGCATGGAGCAACATCGCCGCGCTCTTCACCTGGGCAACAGCCCGGGCCGCTCAGGCGATGCAGATGCAGCAACATGAGGCAGACTTCGTCGCTGCGCTCATGCAGCTCGCCGCCGCGTGGACGACTTGCGCTGCTGATCCCCACAGCACGACGCCTGCACACGCTGTGCAGTGGGCACAAGTCGAGACGTGGGGCGAGACGGCGCTCGAGGTGCTGACTGCCTTGGCGCGCTCAGTGGCTTCCGGCACCTCGCGCGACTGGCTCGCATCGGCTGGTCAGGCTGCGTGTCTCCTTCGCATCTGGCTGGCCGCTGCACAGAAGAAGGACGAGACTGCGCGCGCGAGACACCTTTCCGCGCTTGCTTCCTCGACGAATTCGCTTGCAACGATCAGCGAGGCAGTCTGCGCAGCACTGCAAGAAGCCTCTTCGTGTAATGCTGCGCAGCCCTTTTGGCGCCACGGTCAGGCGCGTGCCCTTCGACTCGCAAGGGCCGCGAGTGCAGGCACGGAGGTGGCCCGTCTGTGCATCGCGGCTCAGCTCGAGGCTCCGCCTGTGCTGGCCGAGGCGGCTCAGCGTCTGCTCAGAAGCGGCGTCTGGCACGAGCTAGATCATGAAGGCGCACTCGCCACGGGCTCGGCCGGTGTGAGACAGACGCTTGTGTGCTTCTGCGCCGCGGCAGGCCTCGGCGAGAGGAGCGACAAGACGGTCTCGCCGGCCATCCTGAGCCTGCTCCGGCCGGGTGACGAGCAGACGGCTCTACAGATCGTGGAGCAATATTTCGCGCTGGACGACGCGCAAGTCCTGCGTCCGTTCATGGCTGAGAGTCTGCGGATCCCTCTCAACGCGCAGGGTCTGCCTCACTACGCGCCGGAAGTCGGCTCGCAAGGGGCGATTGCACGGACGGCGACGCTGTTTCTGGCGCTTCCGCCGCAGCCACCAAGCGAGGACGAGGAGCTCGCCGTGGAGGGCAGCGAAGACGAGCCGCAGACCCGCAAGCAGAACGCCCACGACGTCGATCCGATCTCGGGCGCGCGTCTGTGGCGCAGCGCCACGAGCGGTCTGCCGCTCCGTCGCGACTGGACGTTGCAGGCGCTCGATGATCTGCTGCACAGCGGCGACTGCGCTGCCCTCAACCGGCCAAACGCCCTGCCGGAGGCGTGGGATGCAAACGAACGGCAGCTGGTGCAGGCCACGTTGGAGCTCACGCTGCGCAGCACAACTCGCGCGATGCAGAGCGCTGCCGGCGAGAGTGGCACGGTGGCTGCGTCGTTGCCGTCGGCGTCGGAGATCCTGCTCGGCATCTGCAAGGTGTTCCTGCTCGAGGCCGACACGACTCCGAACCCGCGCGCCTCGGGCGCTGCGACCGGGCGCGATCTGTTCCGCGATGCGACCATTGCGCCTCTTCTCGACGACCTCTTCGCGCTGAGCCGGCAGCTGGCGCAGCTGCCTTCAGCTCGCGTTGATTCATTGGAGCAGGCGGCGCAGCGCGATGGCGCGCCCTTCTACCAGCTCTACACGGACCTGCTCGGCCTCTACGACAGCATCTCATTTGGCGATGCGCGCTTCGGCAAGGCACTGCTGGCGCCTCTACCCATGTCGTACGCGCCAGACTACCGCAAGCTGCTCTGGGGCGACTATGCGCATCTGCTGCCGACGCTGCGCATCGCCCTAGACGAGGCGCCGTGCGAGAGTGCGCTGGGCTTTGCGGCGTACCTGGAGCCCAGAGAGACGGACACCGACATGCTGCGGCGCTACGCCGCGGCGCTGCTCGGCGGTCGTCTCACGCCGCAAGGCTCGCCGCTGCTGCATCGCATCGCCACGCATCACCTCGCCGCGGCGCTGTGGACCGCGCCCGACGGCCACCCCGACGCCGTGCTGGCGCGCCGCCTCTTCTCAGGCGCACCGAGCGGCGCAGCAGTGCAGCTGCGCGAGTTGCTCGTGCGCTACGACGTGCAGGCTGCAAGGACAGAGGAGGAGCCGACGGCGCAATCGCCCAGCGTGCCGCAGGAGATTGTGCGGCAGCGCGAGGAAGCCTTGACGCGGGCGCTTGCCGCCTGAGAAGACGAGCAATGCACACTGCTCTCGCTCCTTCGAGTGATAGAATTAGCGGCCAAATTGCGATAGGAGGGAGGGAGAAGGGGATGGCGCATTGGCGCTTCTAGTGCTTGCGCAGCGCCTCCGTCGTCGCCTTGAGATCCAGGCCGAGGGTGCGGGCGATGAATGCTCCGATCTGCACAGAGACAGCACGGGGTCAGCCTTGTCTCGCCGCCGCAGAAGCGATCATGCGGGACTCACGTCGATGTTCTCGATGTTGCCGCGCAGCTCGTCGCTGCGATGGCCATGCGCATGCACCGGAATGTCGACGCCCGTGTGGCCCGCTTCATCGCGGGGGGGAAGCAGGCATCGTCAGCGTTTCCCTCTCCCGAGCTTACGCATCGCTCTGCGGGCGAGGGGGGGAACTCACTGGTGCTCCATCCCACCTCCGCGCGTCGACTGATGCAGTCCGCAATCACCTTTCGCGCCTCGTCGGCCGTGTTGATGGGCGGCACGAAGCTTGCGCTCGCGTGCTCTCCTCCGTCGGGCGTCGTCTCCTTGATCGACTGCAGCACGCGCTCCACCTCCTCGTGCGTCGCGGCGCCGCCGTGCGGCGCATCGCCGACGAAGCCGGCGCCCTTGCCGAGCGTCTCGCGCGCAATGAAGGCACGCACGTCGGCCGCAGAGGGACGCGGCACGGCGCGAGCAAAGGCGATGAGCTGCGCAGAGAGGGCACTGGCGGAGGCGGTGGGACGCAGAAGCACGGAGGGGTGGTAGGCGTAGTCTGGTGTCCCCCCGCGAAAGCGGATCAGCGAGCGAAGGGAAGTGAGAAGGAGAAAAGGAGGAGAAAGACGCACTGGGATACGCGGCGCTCAACTGCCGACCGAGCGTCAAGCCGCCAGTCTCGTGGTCGCTAGTGCCTGTGGGGGGTAGCCGCATTTGCGTCAACGTAGAGCGCGCCCCGGGGCAGGACTCGAGGCGACTCACTGATCAACACGCTCCTCTCTCCCCGCTTGTTGGCCGCGTCCACCCACTCCCTCACCGCCTGAATCGCCTCTTGATACGCGACAATCTCCCGCACATGCGTCGCCGGATCATTCATGTGTCCTCCCAGATCGATCTGCGAGCCTTCGATCATGAGGAGCAGTCCCTTCTTGTTGCTCTTGCTCTCGCTGAGCAGGCGCAGCGCCGAGAGTGCGAGGGACTTGAGAGGCGGGAATGCGGCGCGCAGAGAAGAAGGCAGGGAGAGGCGGTCGATCTCGTAGGGCGTGTTGCTGGGCGAGAGGAGCGTGAGGAGTGGAGTCTTTGCGTGTGCGAAGAGATCGTCGTTGAGGCTCGTCGTCGAGAGGGAGTCGAGGTGGGGCATTGCCTGCTGCGAGGCCTTCTCTGCATGCGCCGCGACGGCCAGCTCGGAAGAGACGTTGAATGCCTTGCCGAAGCGGACGTCCCAGCCTTGGCGCTGCGCGAGCGCGACGAGGTCGGCATCGTCGCTGCGGCAGCTCTGCGCGTGCGCGCGAGGCAGGTACAGACAGCCGCCGCCGCCGATTGCCAGATCGAGCGGCGCCGTCAAGGGTGCGGTGCCCGGGCCCAGATCGACACTGACGTTGACGGCGGCGGCATCGTGCCCGAGCGAGTGCAGCGCAATGAGCGGCTCCTGTGCGCGCGAGGCGACGTGCGAGATGAAGGCGCCGGGTGTCTGTGTGTTGCCAGCGTCAAGTCAGCCTTGCGTCTCCATGCATGCGGCGAGAGACATGAAGCGGCGCTCTCTACGTACAGCATCCGTCAGCCGGCTCGTCACCACCACGCCCGTGCTCCAGCCCTTGAGCTTGGCCGCCTCAAAGACGGTGCCGCACGCGCGTCCCTCTGCATCGACGCCAATGGCGCCGTTGTAGCTCTTGGCGCCGCACGCAAAGGCCGTGGCGCCGGCGGCACTGTCGGTGATGAGGCTGTCTGCGCTGGCGGAGCGATGGGAGCCGACGAGCAGCCGGTCGAGGGGCGTGTGGGGGAGAATGTTGTGCGTGGTGTGGGCGTGCTCGAGGAGCGAGAGGGCGGCGCGTCCGAGCGTCTCGGAGGCGGGCCCGTAGCCGTCGGAGATCATGAGGATGACGTTGAGCTTGGAGGTGTGCTTGCCGTGCCGGTGGTGCGTGAGGGGCGAGAGGTGCGGAGGCACGTGAGGCAGCAGAAGGCAGAGCAGGCCGAGTGCGCCGAGGAGCGGCAGCAGCGCACGCAGCCGGCGCGCGAGGCGCGAGGCGCCGGAGGAGGCGACCGAGGCGCGGCGTGCCAGTGCCGGACGAGGCAGCGCGCTCGAGGCAGGCGAGGCCTTCTCCATCGTGTGCGGCGGGGAGAGTGGTGGTGGGGGTGCAAAGACAACGGCGGCGCGCATGGCACGAGACGCCGGCGCCACGCCAGCAGCAGGCGATGCCTCCACTCGCGCGCGCGTCGTGGCCGTGCGCGACTCACCAAGACTCGGCCTCGACGTCGACGGCCAGGCGCCCCGTTCCTTGCAGCCCTCACACCCCCAGCGCCTCTGTGCTCGACGCCGCCTCTGTCGCGCTGCACTCGGCCAGCACCACCCGCGGCGCCATGGCCTCCTCCGCAGCCGCCAGCGCCGCCGAGGAGCTGGCGGCGCTCTCCCTCGCCGCGCCCGCCTCACTCGCCTCGCTCCTGCCGCTGCTGCACCCCGCCGCCTCGGCCGCGCAGCTGCGCACCGCGCATCTCGCCCTCGCCCAGCTCGCCGGCCTCTCCTTCTCCACTGCGCCCACTCCGCTGGCCACGCCTGGCCCGCAGGAGCGCATTGGTGCCGAAGAAGGTCGCGTGCTGCGCGATGCGCTCGCCTCCTCGGCAGCAGAGCGCCTTGCTGCACTGCGCGCACTCGGCATCCTCGCCGGCCTGGCGCCCGACGTGCTGCTGCCGCTCCTCGCTACGCTCCTCCCCTCTCTGCTCGATGCCGGCTCGGCGCCCGACCACGCCGCGCTCCTCATCGCCGCCTTTCTCTCCACGCTCGCCTCGCACGCCGCGGCACGCGCCGCACTGCGCGAGCACCAGGCGGTGGGCGAGTGGTGCGACGGCTGGCTCGACACGGCAGAGCTGGGCGGCGGTGGCAAGCAGGAAGCATCGACGAAGGACATCGCTCTGCTCGCAGGTCTGGCGCGCGTCAAGCTGGGCCCGGCCGCGGCGCCCACGGCACCTCCCGCACTGCAGGAAGAGGAGATTGGCAGTGCCGAAGCGAAAGCTGAGGCCAAGCTGAGGGCCCAGGAGAAGAGAAATCGCGAGAAGGAGGCGCAACGAGAGTGGGAGAGGAAGGAGGTCGAGGAGCTTCGAGCATCGTTGTTGGCGTTGGCCAAGGCGCGTCTTCTCCTGTCGCACTCGCACAAGGAGGCAGCGGCGGAGAGCAAGCCGACGCAAGAGGAGGCCGGGCTGCCATTTGACGAGGAGATCAAGCACGCCACTTTCATGGCTGCACTCGAAGCATTGGCCCATCTGAGCGCACACATGAAGCAAGCGATCGTCTCGGACGCGCCGCTCCTTGAACGGCTCTGCTCGCCCTCGCTCCTCGGCTCGAGCGTCTCTCGAAGACCCGTCTTTCCGCAACGACTCGGCGCAGCAGCCAGCGGCGCTCCCTCTTCTTCATACGAAGCCGATCCCACGCGTCCTGCCTCGCGCACCGCAGATGGAGCAGCGCTGTACGCACTGGCCTCCATCCTCTGTGCCCTCGTTGCTCCGCCTCCCATTCTCAGCGCCCAGGAGGCGCAACTGGCCGCGCTGCGCGCCAAGGCCTCCAACGTGGCGCTTGCGCCGCGGGAAGATGCCGCTGCAGCAGAGGCGCGCGCACTCAAGGTGCTGGCTGCGGGCGGAGCGGCGACGCTTGTGCGGCTGGTGGCGCACTCGACCGAGTCCAAAGCGACGCAAGAGGCGTGCGCGAGTGCCTTTTTGGGTCTTGCGGCTCCTCAGACGCGAGCCAGCCGCGCGCAGATCGCGCGCGAAGGCGGCGCAAAGGCACTCTTGGCTCTCTGCTCGCTCGCCTCCTCTTCGTCGTCTGCCTCCTCGGAGGCGCAAGAGGAACAGCGCGCCACACTCGCCCTGCTGCCGATGCAAGCTCTCGCTCGCCTGTGCATCTCTCTGCCCACGCCCGCGCTCTTCAATGCTCCCGCCGCGCCGCTTCGCCCGCTCGCTCGACTGTTCCTCGACGCTCTGGCGTCGCCATTGCAGCGCTTCGAGGCCTGCCTGGCGCTGACCAACCTCGCCTCGCTGCCCGGGCTCGCGGGCGACGTCGCAAAGGCATCACACGAAGGCGTCTCGGTGGAACAAGCGCTGCGCGAGCGCATCGTGGCGGCGCATCGCATGGAGAGACGAGCGGCGGTAGAGCTGCTCTGCAATCTGGCGCAGGATGAGCAAGTGCGAGCGATCTGGAGCGGCGAAGTGGAGGATGAAGCTGTGGCGCAAGGCTCGACGAGCGCCACGACGACGGCCGCGCCTGCAGCTACGGCGTCGGCGGCGCCGGCGGCGGCGGCAAAAGGCAGACTGCACGTCTTGCTCGCTCTTTGCGCGCCCTCGACCTCTTCTTCCGATGAGCACGACGGCGACGAGCAAGCCGACGCGGAGCAGGGCACGGCGACGGAGTCGACGCTGCAGACTCGGCTCGCGGCCTCTGGCGCCCTGGCCACGCTGCTCTCTTCGCCCTCGGCCTGCAGCCGCCTGCTCTCGCTGCGCGCCTCCAGTCTCGCCATCCTTGCGCGGCTGCTCGAGCCTACTGTCGAGCCGCGCGAGAGGGCGGGAGCGAGGGTCCGGACGCTGGAGGAGGAAGAGTCGGAGAAGCAGGAGAAGCAGGCGCGAGAGAAGGAGCGCCTCGCCGAGGCGCACGACGCGCAATCCGCGGGCGAGGCGCAGATGGAACATGTGAGGCGCGACTTGAGGCTCCGAGCGGCGGCGGCCATGGGCTGCGTGGCGCAGTATACCGCTTGGCTGCGCCAAGGCGGTGGGAGCGATGGAGGCGCCGGCGAGGCGCAGCAGCAGCAGCAGCAGCTGAGGCACATGCAGGCCAAGCTGGGCGCGGCCGCGTGGCTCGAGGCGCTGAGGCAGAGACAGGCGGAGAAGGGAGACGTGGGCGCCATGTGCCACGAGGCACTGGGCTTGTTTGCGAGCGTGGGGGTGCAATGACACACAAAGCCCCCCCCCCCCCCCCCCTCTCTCTCTATCACACTCTCTGCTGTGTTCGCTCCCGACGAAGAAGCGCTGCCCCCAGTCGAGATTGCCGCCCGTCTCATGGGGCAAGACAGAGGGGTGTGAGGCCGACTCTTCTCGGCCCACTGGCAGGCCCATCGATGGCTTTCCCCCCCCCCCACGCTATCCCACTCCGCTTCTCCTAACCATCCCCTCAGCGTGAGATCGCATCTCACATCAAGGGCTGCCCTGCAGTTCGTGCGTTACGTGGTCTAAATTTTCAGTGAAAGGCCCAGACCCAGCGGACAGCGGACGGGAGAGAAGTGTGTGTGTGTGTGTGGGTGCGAGAAGAGAAGAGTCGATGGTTCAGTCGGACGCATTGAGGGGGTGAGAGGGAGTGCGGGGGGCAAGAGAGCCAAGTGTGTGCTCTGTATTAGGGAAGAGAGGGCGAGAGGGGGGGGGGGGACATGCCGAGTGAGAAGAAGAGAGCAGGAGGAGGAGAAGGGCGATCCTACACGACGCCCCAGAAGTCCTCGAGTGCACAGCAGAACTGTTTGAGGCGGGGTTAGCGAATGGGCATCCGAACTGGGTTGGTTTCCTCTCTCTCTCTGCCGCAGCTCCTTTTTTTCTTGTCGCGCGCAAAAAAGGGGCAGGGGGAAGGGGGGGAAGCCCAAGACTCACCTTGCCACATGCGACACTGGCGCTCAGGCTGTACTCGGAGATCGAAATCTTCTCGTCGACGACGGCGTCGGCAAAGCTGTCCTGGCCGTGCGCCATGGCGCCGACAAAGACGGCAATGCTGTGGTCTGCGGGAATCGAGGTGGCGAGATAGGAGGAGAGGCGCTGCACGGGCGCATCGAAGGAGAGGGCTGCACAAAAGAGAGAGGGCCAAGTGTCAGCCCAGGATGGGCAGTGGTGCGGGCGTAGGCGGAGAGGGGGCAAAGGAGAGGGGCATGACAACCACCACCACAACGCACTGATCTTGCGAGTGTTGGGCGGGAAATGCTCCGTCACCGGATTGCGAATGACCTTGAGCAGCTTCTCGCTGCCCTTGACGCTGCGGATGGAGAGCTTGTGCAGCAGTTGCACTGAGGGAAGGGGGGGGGAGAGAAGGCGTTAGCTATGCGGACCGCGCGCAGGGAGAAAACAAGCAAGCGAGGGACCACCGGGCTCGGCTAGACGGACAAGGCAGCAAAGCACCCTTTCGCAGAGCGCACGCTCTCGGCCTGCCAGTGCACCAAGGTCCTTCACACTCACCCATCAAGCCACTGAACCGCTTGAACGTCCTCGGAATGCGCACGTGCGGGTTGACCTCGATCAAGACGCCGCGTGCCGTGTGGATGTAGACTTGCAAGAGGCCGGCCTTGTTCAGCGGCGAATCGAGCAGCGTGAGGAGACACTGTGGAAACGCGCGCGGGGGGGGAGGGGGGTGTCAGCGCGGGGGAGGGTGGGCAGTTGAGAGGGAAAGTGATGCTGCGAAGAAACTGCGAAAGACTCCAACTTGACTCCCCTCCGAGAGACATCAAGGTTTGCTACGCCGCTGGGAGCGGCCCGCCAGCTCTTGCTTTCTCTCTCTCTCTCTCCCGCACTCAGCTCTCTCTCTCTCAAACTCACCTGGTGTGTAATGTCCGGTCTGGCCTCTGCAATGTCCCTTCCCATCTTTGCCAGTACTCGCTGATGATCATCGCAGTTCAACAGCGCATACTTGTCGCCTTCCGTCTTACTCCTCCCTCTCCCTGCGCTTCCTCCTTGCGCGGGCGCGGCACTGCTGCTGCCGCTGCTCATCTTGTACGTCTCGAGACACGCCTGTTCCAGCACGACGATGAGGTGCGGCTGCTTTGCACGCTCAGTGGCCGTCTTGGGCGGCTTGGCGGCCACGGGCACCATGTCTGCGCCGGCACGCGCACGCTTGGCAAACGCCGCGGCGGCCGAGGAAGGCAGCGGCGCGGGCGAGGAAGAGCCGGGCTTGGGCGGCAGCGCGTGCCGCAGCACCGGCGCGCGCGGAGCAGGCTGTTGCAGCGGATGAGGAGGCACGCTGGATGCCATGGCGACGTCTTCTTCCTTCTTCACCGCGCCATTGCTACTCTCAGCGGCGGCAGAGGGCGACGCAGTGCGCGAAGAGGGCAGCGGCGCAATGGTGCGGTACGACGTGTGCGCCGTGCCGCTGGCCTGCCGTGCCGCGCTGTCGTCGCCCGCGCCCGACGAGGAGTCGGCGTCGGAGAGGGCGTACTCGGAGGAAGAGGAGGCCATTTCGGCGGCTGCTGAGTGAGGGTGGGTGAGGCGGGGAAAGGAAAGAGACGTAGGCGCGCGGAGGTGAAAGTTGAAGCAAGGCTTTGCAGCGCCGTTGTAAGCGCTGATTAGCACTGCGTGGTGAGGTCACGTGGGCTGCGCCCTTGCCTGCTTTCCCGGCCGCCCGCCGCGCTTCTTGCTGCTGACGCTCGCGCCTTCGAGCTTCCTGTCCCAACCCATCTCCACCCTGGGCTCATCCTCGCCCAGCATGTCTCTCCCCTCGCCCGGCTCCACCTCTTCCATCCTGCGGCATCTGCTGCATCTGCGTCCCTCGCCGCGCGGGCAGCAGGGCGGGCGCTTCTCGGCCGCAGGGCCCACGCATGCGCGCTCGCGCGACAAGTGGGTGCCGCAAAAGGACAGAGTCCCCTTTGCCAACATCGTCGTCGGCGACTGGGTGCGCCTGCGCAGGGGACGCAAGATTGACGACGGCAAAGGAGGCGTGTTTAAGGGAGAGGGCAAAGTGGTCAGCGTCGATCGAGAGAAGAATCTCGTGTGGCTGAACAACGAGGTGAGCCTGCGGTGCGACGCTCAGCCTCACTCAGAGAGAGAGAGAGAGAGACAAAGGCCTGAGCTTGGCTCTCTCCACTGGCGAGACGGCGCGGGTCGGCGCTTCTACGAGTTGCAGTGAGGCGCAGCCAGGGCGCGGGGGGCCAGCTGCGTCGTGCGCGTGCGAGGGCTCTTGTGATGCGCCTCCTGCGCCTTGCTGCGCACGGCGAGCAGACATAAGCAAAG